CACACAAATGGGCTTCACACATTGTACCAATGTCGGGAATTGAACCCAGGTCTTCAGCATGACAAGTGAACGCTTTAACCACTAAGCTACCCGACCGCCCCTAATGAAGGTTAAGTGTGAAATAGGAGTGAGTGAGTGAGTGAGTGAGTATGGTTTTACGCCCATTTAGGAATATTCCAGCAATATTACGGCGGGGGACACCAGAAATGGGCTTCACACATTATACTCATGTGGGGGAATCGAACACGGGCCTTCGGCATGATGAGCAAACGCTTTAACCACAAGGCTACCCCACCGCCCCTGTGAAATTGGAACATTGCCCCTGTGTGAGTTTGTACTGCTAGAACTTCATTCAGAAATTAGAGTAAGATCTTCATCCAAAAATTTGAGTCAGCTGACTAATCCAGGACAAACCTTTGGCTTAATTTAATCATCAGTGCAAACAAAAATGAACCCTGATGATTCAAGATAAAAGGAAGACATAAATCTCAGGAAATAACTTTAACTTACTGTGTTTATTAACACAAATTCATGGCATCAGTTTTGCTCCATGTTAGTGGTGATAGTGAGAGATAGGGCCACTGCTTCGTCTTCAACCTTTACACTCAACTGCTTTAAGATCAAACATCATGGAGTGTGTTTATAACATTTCTAGCACCCCATGGACTGAACATGCTGTAGTTTATAATATATAAACATAGAAACCATCTTCATGTTTTGTCAATTAGCAGGGGTTGATGTTTTTTTGGGGGTGTATAGATTTTTGGCCCCCAAATTCAGGTCAGTAGGTTGAAAACACATTTTTCAAAACATTCCCAATTTTAAATATATTTTTTAGTTTCTCAAAAGTAGGTAGTGGGAAAAAAAGTGGGGGTTGGAAGAACTGGGAAAGAAACCAGTGTAGAGTTACCTCCCTTCCAGTATAGACTTAGAACTATTCCGATTCCTCGTTATTTGTTGTGTTTTTAAGTTTGTAAGAATAAGATACATTTTTAATAGGTTTTTAATTATAGTATCTTCATATCATTTATATATTGATAGTGACAGTAATTGAGGATTTATTACATTTTACTTATTTCTGGTTGGTGGAATAAATAAAACCACTGGTTTCATTTCTCCCACGGAAGAAGTCTGTTACAAGCTGTATTAACAAGGAAACTAGTAACACCTTACATAATGACTCTACTAGTGATATTGGCATTACACATGTTAAATGCTTCATAAGTTCTTTTTTTTCTGGACCCGTGTAAATCCGGAGTAGAATAGGTCTTCAGCAACCCATGCTTGCCGTAAAAGGTGACTATGCTTGTTGTAAGAGGCCACTAACGGGATTGGGTGGTCAGGCTCGCTGACTTGGTTCATGCATGTCATCGTATCCCAATTGTGTGGATCGATGCTCATGATGTCAATCACTGGATTGTCTGGTCCAGACTCGATCATTTACAGACCGCCGTCATATAGCTGGAATATTGCTATTGAATAATGAATATTAAACAAAACCAACCAAATCTTTTTTTCTGGCTTAGATGATGGGTTGCAGGGGCAGGATGACCCATTATTAAACTGTTAAAGATGACACACATTTTGAAATTTAATGATAGGATGTTTTCAAATTATAGTCATTTCTAGGTTTTCTTCCACAGTTTTAACATAATTCTATTTTGGACAAGCCTCATTAAGGGTTTTGGCACAAGACCACTCAAGGCATTAGAAAGGATAAATAGAAAATACACTTCAAGAAACAGGAACATATGTTGCTTGACTAATTGTTACCTTCTTTTTGGTTGACTTTGGCAAAGAAAACCTGCACTCATTCACTCACAGAAGGAGCAACTTGATGCCATTGGCAACAGAAAGATCGATCTAAGGGCCACAACTCTTGATTCCTTTATCCCACAATGAAATAACTGATCCTTGTATAACACCCATCTCTCCCCTTACCTAACAACCTCTAGCATCGAAAGTCCAAAACCTACCCTTCCAATCACTTGATATGGCCCACACCTTGCAGACAGAATAACAAAGCAGGGATGTATATTCCAATATACCCCTACCCACCTCGGGCCCACCTTCGAATGTGTACCTCACAAAGATTATTGACATTAGAGAATATTCTTCCATAGACATCTTCCAAACAACCTTTTGGAAGTCTTTTGGCACATGTCAGGAAAAGATCAAATGTCAAGGGATACAAAACAACTCATAATAGAGTTTATGGTTACACTTTCTAAAAAAGTACTATTTCAAACAAGCAACTGCCCTACCCCTACTCCAGTACACATAGACCCTTGCTACCCCAACCCTCCATCATCTTGGCCTCTTATCAACAGTAGGTCAAACAAGCACCACCCCACCACCCTCACAACACTACCCCATTCCACCCTCCCCCAACACTACACACACCCTCACCCTCTCCTCCATCATCCTGGCCTATATCAACAGTAGGTCAAACAAGCACCACACCACCGCCCTCTCCCAACACTACCCCCCCCCCCCCCCCCCCCCCCCCCTCCCCAAACACTACACACATCTTCCCCCTCCATCCTGGGTCATACAAGCACCACACCACCACCCTCCCCCAACACTACACACACCCTCACCCTCTCCTCCATCATCCTGGCCTATATCAACAGTAGGTCATACAAGCACCACACCACCACCCTCCCCCAACACTACACACACCCTCACCCTCTCCTCCATCATCCTGGCCTATATCAACAGTGGGTTAAACAAGCACCACCATCACCACCACCACCCCGACCCCGCCCCTCCCACCATCATATTGGGTCAAACAAGCACCACACCACCCCTCCCCCAAGACAACACCCCCACCCCCTCCCCCAACACTACACACCCTCCATCATCTTGGCCTACATCAACAGTGGGTCAAAGAAGCCCCCTGAAACAAGAAACATCACCAGACATGTGCTACTTCAGCTCAACTATTTCCAATCTGTTTACAGGCAAAACAACTGTGCTTTCTTTGTGAATGTCAGAGTGGAGGGTGATGTTATATATAGCTGTACCTGTTCACATCAGCATGTGTTCCAGGAGAGCAGCTGGCCATAGCAGGGAGGGGAGATCTGGTTGCTACTACAAACTTAATACATTCAACTGTTACAGTGTCAAGTCACTTAACACAGGAATGCCGGGGAGTCAGCAGCGATGCATGGTTCTTGCCATAGAGAAGCTAAAAAGCTCACTGTTTATAGAATCTCTGCAAACCTTTTGTGCCATAAAATTAAACCTAGGCAATAAACGTATCAGGTCTGTTAGTTTCTTGTCAGAGAGAAATGAAACAGATCTCATTTAGAACTCCTGGTACTTTTTATCAGAAGAAAGACAGTAAATACTGCTCACTGTACACCAATTACTATCACAGAGATACAGTCAAATAGTATTGTATCTTAACTTCCTAAGACCAGATCAGTCTGTTTCCTGTTTCATTGAAGAGCCTACCTACATTCACTGCAGTAGAAGTAAAACAAATTCTGTGTTTGATTGAAAATTGTTTTGTCATCCTATTATTTATATTTTGGTTAAAACTCTCAAGAGGCTTTATTTGGTGGAAATCAATACTAACAGCATTTTAAAAAATATTTTTGACATATGGACCAAGAAAATAGGTATTAAAGAAATGATTTACAAATTTACATAAATACAGTAAACTACGCTTATAATGAACTTACTTTTTAGTCCCGGCTATTTGTTGTAGTAATGCTGTATATATGCTTATAACGAACTACGGTTATAACGAACTAAAAATAGTAGTCCCTTTGAGTTCGTTATAGTGAGTGAGTGAGTATGGTTTTACGCCGCTTTTAGCAATATTCCAGCAACATCACGGCGGGGGACACCAGAAATGGGCTTCACACATTGTACCCATGTCGGGATTCGAACCTGGGTTTTCAGCGTGACGAGCGAACGCTTTAACCACTAGGCTACCTGACCGCCCCTGAGTTCGTTATAACCGTAGTTTACTGTACCTTCTTTAAAAAGATTAGTTGGAAACATTATTCTAAAACAATTAAATTGTTTGTTGGCATCATACGCACACTCCATCTTGGAAATTTGCTAGGAAAATAAGCAGTTTCAAAATGTAAGTATCAAAAGTATCAAAATTCAAAACATCTCCAGCAAACATTTATTGCCAGTGAAACTCCACACATCAACAGCTGAGTCTTGCATAGTCTTGCCAAGGGCCTTTGTCATAACACTTTGTGCTTTGGCAAACAAACAAATTCTTATGTTTTGGTTAACATGCGTGTCACAGGTATGAGACAAAAAAATATCCTTTTACTCATTTTCCTAAGTGATGAATTGTAAAATGATAGGCTGCTTGGGTTACAATGGAGGTCTCATGGATTTTAACTTATTATTTCAAAGCAACGTTTTGGTATGGGACACAAGAAGGTAATGGAGAAATCGTTGGTGTGTTGTCATGTACCTAGATATGTACTTTAGTTATGATTATTCCAGTTTGGGTTTTCTACTTGCCTTGACCGAGTTTGAAACAAAAACATGGACGGTAAATCCGTTGGAGAAATGAGTGAGTGAGTATGACTTTACGCAGCTTTCAGCAATATTATTCCAGCAATATCACGGCAGGGACACCAGAAATGGGCTTCACACACTGTACCCATTTCGGGAATCGAACCTGGGTCTTCAGCATGATGAGTGAACGCTTTAACTAATAGGCTACCCAACGGCCCGACCATTAGTAAGGGTTTTACTATATGTTATCATCATAAGGACTAGTGGACCAAAACAGTTAGTTTCTATCGCTGTCTGAGCTCCTATTTTTTTCGAAATCTTTGCATATGACCTATCATGACCTATAGTTGCATCAGTTCACGTGTTTAAATACATGCTCAGAATGGCCAGTGAATTCCTGGCTCAGAATCAACTGCAAAAACAAGAGTGGAGTGTCATCATGATGGTTAACTTTGGTCAAAAGGCGCACAAGAACAAGTACATGTAAGGCAACGGTAGTGACTCACCATAGCCCTCGGAGCTGGTGTTGCATTGTGGGCTGGACATGGGGTAGTTTCCAGGGATCATCACGGAGATCGGGGGCACACTTGGCAGGGACTTGTCATCTGCAATATCAGAGAAAGCAAGTCAGTTTTACAGCAGCATGTACAGAGTGAGTGAGTGAGTGAGTGAGTGAGTGAGTGAGTGAGTGAGTGACATCAGAGTCAGTAATACCAGCTTTATCATGGTGTTCCATAACAAACGGAATCTGCATCCTGCAAACCAGAGCACAGGCGGTTCTAGAGGGGGGAAGGGGGGGGGGGGGGGGGGGGTCCAGGGGGGAGAAAACCAAATGCAGTACTTTGTAGGCAGCAAAATGATTTTGATATTCTGGACCCCTTCCTTTTTAAAAATGCTGGATTCCCTCTTGCAGAGGTTGAACATGGGACCAAGGAAGTGTCTGATGATCATATTATCATCAGGGTATGAAACTCCCAAAAATTTCAGCCAGACCACAGGACTGGCTAGCTGAAATACTTGCCAGCCCTGACCAAAACCTGCCTGCCCACTATAATCATATGTTTCTCAGGATAAGCTAACGGGGTTTCTTTTTGGTTACATTTTATCATTCATCTTTACATGTGAATTAATGCTTATCATCAGTAAATATTTAGAATATTTTCACATATGAAATATAACCCGACCGTCGGGCAGGGGGATTTGAAAATCTGGCAGCCCGAGTTGAAATCAACCCGTCTCGGATGGTCGGGCAGGCAGGTATTTCGAACACTGTTATCATACTGCTGCTCCAGTGAAGTTATACTTGGAAAAAAAAAAATTCAAAAAAGAAGTTTCTAAGGAATTGTTTAAGAAAAAACACATAGGCAAAACAGAAATGAATCACACTTCAAGATAAATTCTACAACAATAATAACAAAATTCTTTGGATATTTTAGCAAACAAGGTCTAACAAATATCCCCATACCTCTCTATTTACAAATATTAAACTGATACATAACAGTTACATTCTTTTCGAATGACTCAGAAGCACAAACACAACTTTCCCACACAAATCAGCCTCAGTATGCACTTACTCCCACTGGGAAGTAAACTTCAGGCGGCCATTACAACAACAGGGGAGGTAACTCTCCCTATTTGTGCCCCTATCCACCCCCTTCCATGCCAAGTTCAATACATTTCCCCACCAACGTAATGACATCCTCCAAAACATACATGCATCAATGTCAACATCTGCCCCCTGAAAGATAATTTACTTCCTGCAGATTCTGGCTCGATGCAACTAAAGTGCCAGTTGTGTTTATTAGCTGGAGGCCATCTTTTTATTTCTGGGCAGGCAGCTGACATGATATTGGTAATGAAGATATATGATACGCACAGTCTTTTATATGTGTTTCTGCGGGATAGTTTATGGTAATGTATGACAGAGTTGGAATGTATATCTACATTTTTACACTTTTGCACCTAGCTTTCATACGTAATTGTAACCAAACATTCACATTACAATTGAAGTGTGATCCCAAAATACAAAATTACATATGGTCAATTCTTTAAGACTGACCAAGATGCTGAAATATACCTACAAAATGTTGGAAATGAATGATTTTCAGGATTAAAGTGAAATGTAAAGTTCAGCGTCATTCTTTATAGTGATGAAAATATTTAATAATTTATCATTCATAAATGATAAAGCGTAAACAACATAGGCATGAACTCTAAGAGAACAAAAGTAGTGCCAAATTTATTTGAAAGGTGGCCCATGTAACATTCACTGAATTCTCCTTATGTCTAAAATTTAATATTTGGGTGCTATATTAACCTATACCGAAACAATATCAGATATGTTTACTGCTCAAAAGATTTTACAGAACACCCCATTCTTTCAGGCTTTCATGCCATGTGAGATTAACTATAGTAATATGAAAGTATTGGGTGTTCTTTAACTTCTTTTGAGTAGCATATCTGGCAAAACTCTCCAGTCTGAACTACATGAAGAGGTGGTCAATAGTATGAAGCAATTTTTAAAGTCTTCTGCAACAAAACCAACAATATTCCAGTTATATACTGGCAGGCTGTGAGTTATCAAGTCCGGGACTGGCAAACCATTTTGGGATGACAAGACCAAACAAACCTGGGCCCACTTGCACAAAGCGATCTTAGTGCTACGACTATTGTAAGCCAATGTTAAAGTATGGTAGTTACGATCATCTTAGCGCTAAGATCCCTTTGTGCAAGTGGGCCCAGGTCACACATTGTATTTGTTTGTTTATTTGTTGTTTAACACCGCACTCAGCAATATTCCAGCCATATGACAGCGGTCTGTACATAATCGAGTCTGGACCAGATAATCCAGTGATTGATATATATTATATGCATCAACCAAGCCTGACCACCCAATCACGTTAGTCGCCTCTTACGACAAGCATAGTCACCTTTTACAGCAAGCATGGGTTGCTGAAGACCTATTACACATTGTAAACATCTGATACTCACTAGTCAGCTCTTACAACAATTATGGGGAACTGGAGTTCACAAGGTGGGTTGAGGAAGAAGAAGAAGTAGAAGAAGAAGAAGAAGAAGAATAGCGCCTGACTTTCAACTAAAACAAATGCTCAGTGGTGCTGTAAGGAGTCTATCAACAAACAAACAAAGTATTAAGCAATCAGGGACCCTTCCACAAAGGGATCTTAGCGCTAAGATGATCGTAACTCAAAAACTTTAACATAGACTTACAACAATCATAGCCGTAAGATCGCTTTGTGGAACAGGCCCCAGGTCGGTACAATATGGCCAATAGTGATGAAACATTCTATTTTCCGCAAATTGTGCTCCGAGAAGGACATGCTACCATGCCACATATCATCGGTTGGGGGTTTAGCGTCCATTTCTGGAGTTCCAATTTCATGGACGGGCTCTACTCAGGCTCGCTGACTTGGTTGATGCATGTGGATCGATGCTCATGATATTAATCACTGGATTGTCTGGTCCAGGCTCGGTTATTTACAGACCGCCATCATATAGCTGGAATATTGCTGAGTGCGGCGTTAAATGACAAACCAAAACTACTCTTTAGACCATGTATTTTACCTGCTGTATTTACAAGAGGAAATGGCATTAGGACATTCTGTAATGGAGAATATCATGAGAATATCTGTTGATTATGGAAGTAGAATCAACAAGCCCCAAACACAATTAAGTGATATCTCCGACTTAAACCATGTTATGGTTGATATATTATTTCTCTATAATTTTCATAATGACCTATAGTTGCATCAGTCTTAGTTGTTTAAAATGCACGTTCAGAATGGCCAGTGAATTCCTGGCTCTTGAACTGGCCCATATACTTGTACTGCAATATTCATACAGTTAGAACAACTTATCCAGTACTTACATAATGCACATGCTTAGAATAAATGCATGAGCATTTCAAAAAGTAGGTCAGTAAACTCTCCATTCGTTACAGATAAAGTTTAAACAATAGTGATATCATAGCTTTGTTTAGTCTTAGTTGTTCAAAATGCACGTTCAGAATGGCCAGTGAATTCCTGGCTCAGAATCAACTGCAACAACTACAGCATGTACAGTGTGACATCATCATTATGGTTTAAAAAACAATTACATGATGAATCAATTACTGAATATGATGCGACATTTTCTACCTGTCACCCCAGCTTGATAATGGTGTAAAAATCTACATCAAAACGTCTCTTTATGCAATAAACCAGGAGTTGTACGTTTTCTTACTTAATCACCAACTTCGAAAATGCCAGTCAAACAGTTATTTTCTATGACAATACTAATTTCAAGACAAATTAAAGACAATCAATGTCTTAAAATATGTACCAATCCGAAAACCTCACAGAAACAGAACCCATACTGTCCGAACAGCAAGCTACCACTGAAACCAGTGTGCTGAGCTGATCCTGTACTACAGCAGCCATAATCAGAGCTCCAGATAAGCTTTTGGTGTTGTGGGTATTTTACCCATGCATTTAAAAATCATTGGGTATCAGTAATTCTATCTGGGTATTCAAATTTCTGTTACCCACTAGTTTTTACACATGTGGGTATTTAAGTTAAATATTTAAAAACTCTATTCATCTAGTCCCTGCAAACTGGTGTCGTGTGGGTTCGAGAGCTTTATAGGACTCAAAAATACCACGATACTTCCACAAGAAAGTGTGATGGCAAATGATCATGATGTAACTGTCATTGTGGAGTTTGGTAAGGTTGACGGAATGCCCGTTCATAATTTCAAAATAGGTTGCTGATTTGCTAATCGAATACGCAGGGTTACTTCACAATATTTTGATGATAAGCACACAAGTTTTATTTTTGTAGCGTATCTGTAATGTTCGTTGCATATTTGATACACTTGGATTGGATTTTACTGCGTATTTCTGCATTTCTAATGCGTATTTTACGCAGATACGCAGCTTATCTGGAGCTCTGCATATTGAATATTGATTTGCTAATCGAATACGCAGGGTTACTTCACAATATTTTGATGATACATACACAAGTTTTATTTTTGTAGCGTATCTGTAATGTTCGTTGCATATTTGATACACTTGGATTTTATCTTACTGCGTATTTCTGCATTTCTAATGCGTATTTTACGCAGATACGCAGCTTATCTGGAGCTCTGCATATTGAATGAGGCCCATCTGGACAAACATGCGTGAATAGTGCAAGCTCCTTCGGCAGTATTTACCAGACCTAAACCGATGACATGCCACACGATACCCTGCCATGACTCAGCGGTTCCTGGGTGGCAAGATCATTAGATACCGAAGCAATTTTTCAGCTATTACATTGGCATCACACACAACACAGACTGGGTACAATATACTATATAACGAGACACATGCACCACCCAGATGGTAATAATAATGGTTATAGCACGGCAAGCATCATGGCTGCACTGCCAGCATAGCAATTACTATGCTGTGTGTAGGATTCCGAAATGGCAAAAGTCAATTAGTTTTATACATATAGAAGTAGCATCTGTCTGAAGTTGTAGGTGCATTAGGCCAGGCGTTTTATATTTTTCGGATTGTGGACCCACCGACTCTAATTTTTTTAGAAAAGATTAAAAAAATTAATCAGATTTCCATTTTTTTTTTCCCCACCATAGTCAGTTATCTTATTTTATATCATCACCTTTAATAAAAAAACAGATGAATTTACCGTTCTAAACTAGAAAAGAGATACATAATCGATCTTTGTTGGTCTCGAAGCCGAACATGGGAGAGCCTCCCTTGACAATTGCCCGTGTTGTAAGTGGTAGAATTTTTATTGTTACAAGAGGCATTATCATCACAAATATGTTCATAAAGTATGCCAGAGGCATTCTGCATTAAAAAAAAATGCATCTGGCCTTTTATTTTGTTTCCCCTCCTCCAACCCTGGACTTTGGGCTGAAAAATCCGTAATCCTAAAAATAAAAAAAGGCCTGGCCTTACCAGCTTAAGAATAAGATTATTATTTTTGTACTGGATTCCAAAATGGTAAAAGTCAATCAGTATTATACACGTAGAAATAGCATCTATTTGAAGTTACTTTTAAACACGCTGGTATTTATTGCACATCATGTCAACACTCGGCACTGGTGTAGAAAAGAGACCTACATAACTTGATTTATGTACCTACCTAAATATGTAACTGACATGTTAACTGGGTGAGACATGATATAAGGAGGAGTCGGACAAAACCAAACAGTTGGTAGAATAATCAATGTCTCATAAACACTCAAGAAACTCTCCTGCATCTGTCACACTGAATACGTTTGTCTTTGTACCTTAGCACAAATTTTCAAATATGACTACTGTCAGCTGAAAGGGAATGACGAACTTCATCAATGCTTTTTGACCAAGGATGCAGAAGGCATATTTTACTATCGTCTATAGTCATCTCAACATGATGCAAGGGAAGTAACTCTTCTCATGTTCAGTATTTAGTGAAACTGGCCAAATCATGCCAGCAGTATAGGGTACTGGTAGTTCAAGTCCCCTTAAGAATTGACTTCACTATTTTTTGTTTATGGAGGTAAAAATATAAACATCTGTGTGCATACTGTGTAAATCTGCATATTGTGCACACTGTTTTTTTATGTTGAAACTTGCATAAAAGTAAAAATAAGTCAATTTTTATCAATACATAAGTCAACAATGATAACTTCACAGAATGCGTGTTCAATCAATAACACAAAAAACGGTAATGGAACAAAATCAGCGACATTGTTAACAATCGGGGATAGGGACAAGTTAATTGGGGAAATTGTTAATATCAAAATATTAAAACACAGCTGTGATATCACTATTGTTTAAACTTTATCTGTAACGAATGGAAAGTTTACTGACCTACTTTTTGAAATGCTCATGCATTTATTCTAAGCATGTGCATTATGAAAGTACTGGATAAGATGTTCTTACTGTATGAATATTGCAGTACAAATATATGGGCCAGTTCAAATGCAGCATGGGTACCGAAGCACAAAATTATAGATTCATTACGATTATATATACTACTCAAAAGAAGTTAAGGATCACTTGATTCTTTCATGTTACAATAGTTAATCTCTCATGCCATGACAGATTAACATTACCAATATGAAAGAATCGGGTGATCCTTAACCTCTTTTGAGTAGTATATTACGAATGTACTTTTATTCATTTTCATTTATTTATTGATTTATTCAACTTTCAGGCTGTATTTTAAATCTGATTATGCAAAAAAAAATTAGTTTGATGCTTTAAGTCAGATAATGGAGGTGTTGCTGGCGGCAGAGAATGCATTCCTCGTGCATCACGCAAGGGCGACTCACGCAGTATAAACACAGACAACAAAGAGTTCTGGTTTATTTTTCAAATCTTCCACAACAGAATATTTGATCAAAGTGTAAAAGTAGGGATGAGTTTTAAGTAGGGGAATATCCTCGTAACTCTCCATTCCTTAAAAATAATGGGCCTCTGCTCCATTATTTTTAAGGAATGGAGAGATACTCGGACATTCCCCTCTACATAACTATACTCGCCAGCTCAGCTGGCTCTTATATTATTTGTATGTTACTACGTTACGTTTGTAGCTACATGTGTGGTATCATTGAAATAGTCTTAAAGGGACAGGACGTCTACCGTTCTGAAGTTTGGTTTGTAAACAATAACCCCTAGGTTCACCATGTTTACTCAGCCTTATTCCACAACCGTATGTTCTGCTCGAGTGACCACACCACCAGTGTAGGCTTATCACGTGACAGACGGACCTAATGCAAGCCTTTCGGTGAGCTTTTCATATCGTTTTGCAACTACAACTGTGAGGCATATGACAATATAGTTTTACACATCAAAGTGACTGTATATTTCCAGCTCTCAGTAGGGCTTTGATGACCTAACGTGGACAATAAATATACAAATGGAAATAGTTCTTCACGTTTTAGGATATTTCTCAATGAAAGTTAAACATTTCATGACGAATGATTATTGAAATGTGGAGACTGGTCCAAAATGAAACAGATGAAAGGCACATGAATGGACACAAATCCATACACATCACCTCAGAGACAGTGTTTGAAATAACATAAATTGCCAGACTGCCATCAGGACCCACAGACTTCAGAAGCTGTGGGCCCAGACTAAATAAACTGCAGCTTATTGGGACAAAGAAAGTAAGTAAGTGAGTGAGTGAGTGAGTGAGTGAGTGAGTGAGTGAGTGAGTGAGTGAGTGAGTGAGTGAGTGAGTGAGTGAGTGCCCAGATTAAATTCTTCAGGTTCTCATGTGAAAAACTGCAGCTTATTGGGACAAAGAAAGTAAGTAAGTGAGTGAGTGAGTGAGTGAGTGAGTGAGTGAGTGAGTGAGAGTGTGAGTGAGTGAGTGAGTGAGAGTGTGAGTGAGTGAGTGAGTGAGTGAGTGAGTGAGTGAGTGAGTGCCCAGATTAAATTCTTCAGGTTCTCATGTGAAAAACTGCAGCTTATTGGGACAAAGAAAGTAAGTAAGTGAGTGAGTGAGTGAGTGAGTGAGTGAGTGAGTGAGTGAGAGTGTGAGTGAGTGAGTGAGTGAGTGAGTGAGTGAGTGAGTAAGTGCCCAGATTAAATTCTTCAGGTTCTCATGTGAAAAACTGCAGCTTATTGGGACAAAGAAAGTAAGTAAGTGAGTGAGTGAGTGAGTGAGTGAGTGAGTGAGTGAGTGAGAGTGTGAGTGAGTGAGTGAGTGAGTGAGTGAGTGAGTGAGTGAGTGAGTGAGTGCCCAGATTAAATTCTTCAGGTTCTCATGTGAAAAACTGCAGCTTATTGGGACAAAGAAAGTAAGTAAGTGAGTGAGTGAGTGAGTGAGTGAGTGAGTGAGAGTGTGAGTGAGTGAGTGAGTGAGTGAGTGAGTGAGTGAGTGAGTGAGTGAGTGAGTGAGTGCCCAGATTAAATTCTTCAGGTTCTCATGTGAAAAACTGCAGCTTATTGGGACAAAGAAAGTAAGTAAGTGAGTGAGTGAGTGAGTGAGTGAGTGAGTGAGTGAGTGAGTGAGAGTGTGAGTGAGTGAGTGAGTGAGTGAGTGAGTGAGTGAGTGAGTGAGTGAGTGCCCAGATTAAATTCTTCAGGTTCTCATGTGAAAAACTGCAGCTTATTGGGACAAAGAAAGTAAGTAAGTGAGTGAGTGAGTGAGTGAGTGAGTGAGAGTGTGAGTGAGTGAGTGAGTGAGTGAGTGAGTGAGTGAGTGAGTGAGTGAGTGAGTGAGTGAGAGTGTGAGTGAGTGAGTGAGTGAGTGAGTGAGTGAGTGAGTGAGTGCCCAGACTAAATTCTTCAGGTTCTCATGTGAAAAACTGCAGCTTATTGGGACAAAGAAAGTAAGTAAGTGAGTGAGTGAGTGAGTGAGTGAGTGAGTGAGTGAGAGTGTGAGTGAGTGAGTGAGTGAGTGAGTGAGTGAGTGAGTGAGTGAGTGAGTGAGTGAGTGAGTGAGTGAGTGAGTGCCCAGACTAAATTCTTCAGGTTCTCATGTGAAAAACTGCAGCTTATTGGGACAAAGAAAGTAAGTAAGTGAGTGAGTGAGTGAGTGAGTGAGTGAGTGAGAGTGTGAGTGAGTGAGTGAGTGAGTGAGTGAGTGAGTGAGTGAGTGAGTGAGTGAGAGTGTGAGTGAGTGAGTGAGTGAGTGAGTGAGTGAGTGAGTGCCCAGACTAAATTCTTCAGGTTCTCATGTGAAAAACTGCAGCTTATTGGGACAAAGAAAGTAAGTAAGTGAGTGAGTGAGTGAGTGAGTGAGTGAGTGAGTGAGAGTGTGAGTGAGTGAGTGAGTGAGTGAGTGAGTGAGTGAGTGAGTGAGTGAGTGAGTGAGTGAGAGTGTGAGTGAGTGAGTGAGTGAGTGAGTGAGTGAGTGAGTGAGTGAGTGAGTGCCCAGACTAAATTCTTCAGGTTCTCATGTGAAAAACTGCAGCTTATTGGGACAAAGAAATTAAGTGAGTGAGTGAGTGAGTGAGTGAGTGAGTGAGTGAGTGAGTGAGTGAGTGAGTGAGTGAGTGAGTGAGTGAGTGAGTGCCCAGACTAAATTCTTCAGGTTCTCATGTGAAAAACTGCAGCTTATTGGGACAAAGAAATTAAGTGAGTGAGTGAGTGAGTGAGTGAGTGAGTGAGTGAGTGAGTGAGTGAGTGAGTGAGTGAGTGAGTGAGTGAGTGAGTGAGTGAGTGAGTGAGTGAGTATGGCATACACCGCTTGTGGGGAATCGAACCCGGGTCTTAGGTGTGATGAGCAAGAGTCTTAGTGCTAAGATCGCCTTATGCAAGTGGGCCCAGGTGTATGGGCATGAACTCAGGTGTGGTGCAGAGGGCATGGTGGCCATAAAAAAATGTATGAGAGAAAAAGCTACTTAAAAACACAAGATTTGCTAAGACTCACCAAGGCGGCAGACCAGGTGTATGGACTTGGAGTCGGCATGGTGCAGGGGGTCAAGGCTGACACGGAAGCGGTTGTGGAGCCGAGCGATCTCGCCCTGCAGCAGGTCCGGGAGACCTTCCCTCTTTGTGTGGTGGGGAGTAGTCTTCTTCTTCTTGGGTGGACTAGGACCTCTGGAGACATTCAGGCAATGATGTACAATACAGTAGACACATGGTTTGGTTGGTTGGTTGGTTGGTTTGTTGTTTAACACCACACCCAGCTTTATTTCAGCTTTATGACGGCGGTTTGGACCAGACAATCCAGTGATTAATATCATGAGCATCGATCCACACAATTGGGATCGATGACATGCATCAACAAAGTCAGGGAGCCTGACCACCAGATCCCGTTAGTCGCCTTTTACGACAAGCATAGTCACCTTTTACGACAAGCATAGTCACCTTTTACGGCAAGCATGGGTTGCTGAAGACCTATTCTACCCCTGAATCTTCACGGGTCAGTAGACACATGGAACACGGGGCATCAGATTGCATGTCTAACAGGGCAACGTTCCACATAGCGGATGCAGTTCTATGCCTGTCGAAAGTCTGGGAATTATGATCACCTTAGCATTATGATTGTTTTGTTGAATGATAAAAATGCCAATATCGCCACTTTATTTATAAGTCAATTGTCACAACTAAATATTGACAATGACAAGACTTACCCACAGAATCAAAGAACCATTACATGGGAGATTTTAGCACTAAGACTCTGATTACAGTTTCTGAAATATTGTCCGGATATACGAGTTTACAGATATCTGAATTTGTTAAGATTTCCTTCTTTTCCAAAGCTGTCACTGTATTTTGTTTGCACTTAGCAGACTGGCCTGCCATGTTGACTGTGAAACAATATATAGAGGGGATATTTGATGTCAAATGAAAATATCTCCTTGTCCCCCGTCACTAAATGAGAGACACATGATATTTCACGAGACACATGGAATATCCTATTTATATTATAATATCTGGGCAAGTGTCTTCCCGAAAATTAAATTATTTCATTACAAATGTAAAACCTTGAAACATAAATTCTCCCAACTTAACACACAGAGGCGTGTCACCACTCATTGTATTTGCGACTTAAAAAGTAGTTCCGTGTTTGGATAATCTTAAAAAATATAAACAAAAGTAACAAAAAATAATTAGGGTGACGAAAAATCTTTATCATATATTTAGATATGATAATATACAAATTCAACTTCAATAAAAAAATATTTTTGAAATCTACAAGATCGATGATGGAAGCGAAAGAATACATGCTGGTCAAGTAACCAGAATAGTGCTTTGCGAAAAGAACAGTCTTGATTTACGAGTTAAACGAGAAATCTACAGTTTCAAGAGAATAACAAATGACAAGAACCAATACTAACTCCACAAATGACCATCTGTCATTACTTTGCTTTTTCAATGTGGAATTAACCTAAAAAGGAAGTCAACAGTGTATGTACGGGCTGGAACTTACAATAAAGGGAGACAATTTGAGGGAAGGTAACTCTTGTATGACAAAAGTTCCTTCAAACTGTTATGTTCACTGCAGTGAAATATCAAGTGTTATGTTCACTGCAATGAAAATATCACTTTTCTCAACTTCAGAAAACACAGTCTTACACACTGAAAACGTGCAGACACTCGGTTGCCTTTCTTATTGCATGTTAATTGACAGATTCCTCTCAAACTCCTCAGTCACCTGTCAATGACTGCCCAATGAACCATTGTAACTAATTGACAGAGTGTCACATGATACCCGCCCCTTTGATGTTGGCTGACGGGTGATTAATTGCTAAACAAACATCGTCAAGCATGGTCGCTGTCCAGTAAGTGGGACACAATGGTGATGGAAATTGAAATACACTGTCCGAATCCGAAAACATGATTTCCACATAAAAGAAGCATTTTTTGTTGTATTTATTTCATTTCACACAAATATTGCCCAGCAGGCAAGGTTTCCAGTTATCTGGGGACTGGATAAGCGGAATTCCACTGTACTCACATATTACCAACACATACTATACTCAGTGGCCAAGAGCTCCTGTCAATCCAAGGCCAGCATAATTAGTGCTATGTGTGAAACTGAGACAGGTGTCATCCCGGCAACCACGTTCTACCCAAGGCAAAGGCATTAACTGACTCTAATAGTCCAGTTTCCACCCTTGCCGAACTAGCCTGGGATTCTGAAGTTACCATTTGGCTGCACTAATGAGTCTTTGCATAGTCAAATAAAAAAAGCGTAACATTGTTTCTCGCTAATTACATGAACAACTGTAAAACATCTCATTCACTTACAGGCTTAAAGACAACTTTATCTTAAAAACAAGCCATCATCTGACTCTGAGTATTTACAATTTCTGTTTGACGCCACACCCCACGTTATAGTGCAAGTATTCGTGATAGAAAACGTATGATGTCCGAAAACCTATGCTGCTGAAAGCTCTGATCGAAAACAGGACAATCCGGGACGATTGTCCGGTTTTCAATCATATTTTTCGGAGTGTTTTTTTTAAATCTTTGATTAAATTTTTACGCGGGAGATGATTATTCCCGAGGACTACTGTTTTAAAAAACGCGATTTTCCGCGTTTCCGCGGAGATTTCACATCCCTGTAACAAACTAGACATCCACTTCGTAAACATGGATTTTAACGTGCAGATTTTGGTAAAGAAAACTATTTGCAAACCATGTGTACCGCCAACTGGGCTTTGACAGATATTTTGATTGGTCAATCAGAGGGACAGAGAAAGGACATAACTTGTAATAACCACTGGTGGCACTATGATTGAGCCTGGAAATTCCAGTCTAGTTCGGCAAGGGTGGAAACTGGACTATTCATCTTCGGGAAGATGGGCAACCATTTAATTGAAAGCCATTCTACATTTTGATATAGGAGTAATGACTTTGATTGATTCGTAGGCAATTTGCAGATCTATGCTTCATATCCTGAACATGGAATTTACCCTCTCTCTCAGAAATGTATTCCCATTCCAGGTGGGATACATAGAATTTTATCTCGATCATGTGAACCAATCAGATCTCAACATTCTGACATGGATGTAAGATAACGATGCATGTATTGCGAGATATTGCATGCATATTTTTTATCATAATTTGTTATGAACATGAAATAAATAAAAACCAATAATCAGGATTTCCCTGCCCATTTTGTCCATACTAGTTAAATCATATAGAGGAACTTGGCTGCGAATAGCTTTTACGATCACAGGAATCAAGTCACTAACTTTTGAATTTCACTTGTATAAATATTACCAAGATAAAAATATGCATGATTTTTAGGTGAGGTGAAATGGGGTTTAACGTCGCGTCCAAGATTATTGCACTTATATAGCGACGTGCATGTACGTTTGTGTGGCTGCTTGTACTAGTCCGGACTGATGCCGATTTATAGTGCTAGATCACTGAGATACCATGCTGCAGTTTAACATGAATACCCCACTCAGACACAGTATACTGACTCCGAGCCGACCAGTCCTTGTTTTAGCCCCTTAATGCCGAGCGCCAGACGGGGTAACAACAAGTACCATCTTTTAACGTCTTTTGGTATGACGCGGTCGGGGATCGAACCCCGGACCTTCCGCTCTCCGGGCGGACGCTCTACCACTGCATGATTATAAACTGTCAACAAGTAAGGTGTATGTGTACCTGATGGGGGCTCCACAGAGGGTGTTGATTGCGGGGCCGAAGGAGCGGAAGAGGCTGTGGTTGATGGTGGAGGACTTGATATGGGTGGACAGAGCGTCCGTCAGGTGCTGACACCAGGAGCTATGGACGCTAGAAACTGCCGTGCTCGAACTCTGAAAACAAAGTCAACCAGTCATTTACCTTCCATGACATCAGGGACAACAGATTAACCCTATACAGCCTATTGGTCTGCGTATTGGGAAAATAATTGTATTGCAATATATTGCGATAGAGGAATCTGTATTGTGATGCATACTGCAATATATTGGGAACTAAAGTGTTTGACAGTGATTGTACACGCAGATCCTATTTTCTACACACTGAAGTAAATAGGGATTTGACCTGGATTTTGTATTGCAATATATTGCCATACTCTAACCTGTATTGCGATACGTATTGCAATTTATTGCCAATTTACATTTTCATGAGTTTCATGTTAATCAGAGTTATACCTTGTATTAATGTCAGATACGATCAAGCTCCTTCCCAGCTCGTGGCACCTTCGTCATACTCTCGGTATAGAGAGCTCAGCAAACGGGCTATCGCTGTGAGGAGCTTGATAGTCGCGATGTGTACACACAAATTGATAAAAAGATCGTCAGAGGCAAGTTGTATCAGAAAGATACTATTTTCCCTCTCCATATCGATTAGGAACACGTAAACACATTTACAAACGTATCGCAATACATATTGCTGAAGATTTGGACCATAATACCGGTGTACCAGTAATACCGCACACCCTTAAAAGTTAAAATAATGAAGTCAAAGTCAGCATGGTCTGTCGCTGCCATTTTGCTTGTTTGTTTGTTTGTTTGTTTGTTGTTTAACGCCGCACTCAGCAATATTACAGATATATGACGTCTGTCTGTAAATAATCGAGTCTGGACCAGACAATCCAGTGATTGACATCATGGGCATCATTCATGAGATGTTGCAAACCAAACACTTACCCCTTTAGTCTGTATGTCCCAGTTCTGGAGCACCTGCTCACATCGTTGCAACATCGCAACTGGCACCCTGCAACACCACATGACACAGTCAAGCACAACCTATAAACCTCTAATCACGTGAGCCTATTCTTTTCATTCATTTTGTAGAACCTATCAACAGCGACATTCGTGAGGAAGTCCCTCAGTCCCTAAATGTCCCTCACTAGAACATAATCTGCAAAAGAAAACGTGCGGAAATGTGTGAAATCAAACGACAAATATCTTCCATAGTATTCCGTGGATGAAACTTGCATCTTTCGTGTCTGTAGCCATGAGAATGAACCAATAGGCTGCAGATGCACTAATAACCTCAATGCTCTCTCAGTCAATAATATTCTGCCTTCCCCAACTTTCATCTTCCACAGGCTTACATTCTCAGTCAAGACCTTTCGGCCCTCCCCAATTTCATACTTTTTCATCACCTTTGCCTTGTCACAACTACCATGTGCTCCACATGCTGCACTGACCACTACTGCCAAGAGTTGTCTCCCTTTCTGAAGCCAGTTTGGGTGAGGTGAGGTGAGGTGAAATGGGGTTTAACGTCTCGTCCAGGATTATTGTACTTATATAGCGATGTGCATGTACGTGTGTGTGTTTGTGTGGCTGCTTGTACTAGTCCGGACTGATGCCGATTTATAGTGCTAGCTCACTGAGATACCATGCCGCAGTTTAACATGAATACCCCACTCAGACACAGTATACTGACTCCGAGCAGACCAGTCCTTGTTTTAGCCCCTCAATGCCAAGCATCAGACAGGGTAACAACAAGTACCATCTTTAAATGTCTTTTGGTATGACGCGGCTGGGGATCGAACCTCGAACCTTCCGCTCTCCGGGCGGACGCTCTACCACTATACCACGGAGGCGGTCTTGAAGTCAGTTGACAGTAACCATTACCAGGAATAGTCATATTAAAGCCCTCCCTTTTTTAGCCCATGGGCTTAAATACAGAAACAAATAATTCCCATGGGCTTAAATTGAATAAAAATATTAGGAAGCTGGATTTGTTACAAAACATGTAGTAGCATCAATGCATGGCCTGATTGAAATGAGTTCAACATATTCAAGATTATTGCACTTACAGAGCAAAGTGCAGTTGTCTGTGGCTGCTTGTGCTAGTCTGGACTAATGCCGGTATAATAGTGCTAGCACAATGAGATATCACACCACAGTTTAACATGGATATCCCACTCAGACACAGTATACTGACTACAAGCTGACCAGTGATGTTTCATCCCCTTAGTGCTGTGTGTTAGCAGAGCTCCAGATAAGCTTTTGGTGTTGTGGGTATTTTACCCATGCATTTTAAAATCATTGGGTATCAGTAATTCTATCTGGGTATTCAAATTTCTGTTACCCACTAGTTTTTACACATGTGGGTATTTAAGTTAAATATTTAAAAACACTATTCATCTAGTCCCTGCAAACTGGTTTCGTGTGGGTTCGAGAGCTTTATAGGACTCAAAAATACCACGATACTTCAACAAGAAAGTGTGATTGCAAATGATCATGATGTAACTGTCATCGTGGAGTTTGGCAAGGTTGACGGAATGTCCGTTTATAATTTCAAAATAAGTTGCTGATTTGCTAATCGAATACACAGGATTACCACACGATATTTTGATGATACGCACAAGTTTTAATTTTGTAGCGTATCTGTAATGTTTGTTGCGTATTTGATACGCTTGGATTTTATTTTACTGCGTATTTCTGCATTTCTGATGCGTATTTTATGCAGATACGCAGCTTATCTGGAGCTCTGGTGTTAGGCAAGTATCATATACTTTTGGTATGATGAGGTCATTGGATCGAAGCACCGACCTTCTGCTCTTCGGATAGGTGCTCTATCCATGAGACCACAGCAGCCGTTATATGCACTGATCTTAGGACCAAATTCAGCAGCATTTTCTCCACTACACCATATCGTCTTTTAATTACAGAGTTTTGTAGAATTTTCCTATTCGGAATATTCTATAAGTAATACGTTACCACTGTTATACCGAGGCTGTTGTCTCCCACAACTGCTACCACAGAGATCTCAATTACCTCATGCAGCACGTGCGTAGCCACCTAGCTGCCATGTGACACCCTTCACTCTTGTCTCCTGCGAGAGCAAGTGCTCAGGGGACGGACGGGCGGGCAGCAGCCCAGTGGTAACGTATTACTTATAGAATATTCCGAATAGGAAAATTCTACAAATTACATTAAGTAATACGTTACCACTGTTATACCGAGGCTGACTACCACAGTAGGCGGTGGGGAGCACCTACAACCCGAATCCTGACTGCTAGCGTTCCTTCCGACCAGCGGAAGTAAACACCAAGGCGGAAGCACTCGATGCGCATGCACCTAGCTAGGCGTTACCCTATAGGAATACCAAAGCACTGTCATGCGCATACCGTAAGGCTCAATCATCATTGCCAAAACGATTGGTGACTCCAAACGGCCCCACTGGATAGGTATTTCATCGCCGCAGCGGATGAGAACACTGTATCCGCGTGAGCTAAATCTTAGATCAGGTTAAACAGTCGAAAAGAGGGAAATTAATTTCCTTCAGACCGTATATCCCAGAGCAAGCCTACTGAAAGTATGCATTAGGCGCATGACCTAATTCCAGTATTCGTAAGCATGTATCGCAAGGTTGGAATACACGACAGACAATTAAATGCATAATTGTCAAAATACAAATAAGGACAAAACACACAAAAAGCCGCCTCACCTGTGGTGTGAGTGTGCTGGTTTGGAGGACCCCCCTCCTGTACCCACGGCGTGGGAACATTGGAGACGACCCAGATTGACCACCGTGCAAGGACTGACGACTGCGGAGTTTGAAATTGCGCTGGACACACCCCCTAGATGACCGCTTGTGCCGCGATCAGCGGCCCAAGACGGTGCACCCCCTCCACGTCTTCATCAGAAACCTTTCTGAGGTAATGATTGGCAAAAACCGAGTCAGAACGCCAGTAACAACCTCGTAATATTCTGTGAACAGAGATATTCGAGTGTAGGGCAAATGTTGCCGCTAGCGCCCTGATCTCGTGCGGGTTTGACCCCGCTACCGGTAACCCCCGAGACCGGTATGCCAGATTGATGACAGAACGAAGCCACAACGCAATCGAGTTGCGAGTTATGTCAACCGTGCGATTAGGGTTACACGATATGAACAGACGGTCACGCCCTTGTCTACGTTCATTCGAAGCCTTAAGATAATACTTAAGGGCCCTAACCGGACACAGCGCTCTGTCCTCAGTATCAGCAGGATGTAAGATATCTTTGAGTGATCTTACAGTGAATTCTCTCTCCGCTTGCCCGACTCTCTGATTCTTGGCAACGAAGCCCATGAGCAGGCCCAGGCGGACCGCTCCTTCGTCACCCCTATCGAATCGTACCTTGGCGACATCGAGTGCATGAATTTCGGATACACTCCTCAGACGCTCGGTGACAACATCCACGCGTGCAGATTGAACTGCCCTGCGTTTGGATGAAGCTGACGGGTGTGAGGGTGGATCAAGAGATCCGGTCTCACAGGCAGTGGGAGTGGCGACTGCGTGACCTGGGTCAGCAAGTCGGGGTACCAAGATCTGTTCGGCCACATGGGCGCGATCAGTAACATTCGACAGCGAACTCCTCGAAGCCGGCTTAGAATGTGTGGTATCAACGCTGTCGGCGGATAAGCATAAGCGTCCAAGCCCGTCCAGTCTAACGCGAGAGCATCGTGATCGATGGCCCTCGGGTCCGGGACTGGTGATACAAACAACGGGAGTTGATTGTTGAACCGCGTTGCGAACAGGTCGACCATCGGACGACCCAAACGTTCGCACAGCCACTGAAACACTACAGGGTTCAGCATCCACTCTGTGGGGCCCGGATCCCGAGGCCTCGATAGAGCATCGGCCAGTACGTTCCGCACACCTGGGATGTGACGGGCGCGTATCTGGCACGGGACACTGTCCACCAGAGCGTAAAACTCGAACGTGAGATCGAGCAGCGATTGACTGTGGGTTCCCCCCAGTTTGTTCACATAGGACACTACCGTCGTGTTGTCGGTCGCCAGCATGAGCCGGGCGTCGACGAGACGATGCTTCCAGTGATTGACTGCGTTGATCACTGCCTTGAACTCGAGACAATTGATGTGAAGACCTAGTTCGTCTACGCACCACAGCCCCGAGCTCACCTCCCCCTCTAGATGGGCGCCCCAGCCCACTAGAGAGGCGTCTGTATACAGGTTCAACGTGGCCCGGTAGGGCCGCATAGAGACTCCTGATAAGACATTGTAAGGGACCGTCCACCACTCCAGATGCGGTCGGAGCCGATCCAGGAGGGCGACGGTCGCACTGTTCACCTCCGTTGCTAACAACTTGATTAAAAACCGTTGCAGCGGGCGGAGTTGGAGACGACCCCGTACGGTGCAGCCCTGGGCTGATACAAGTAGCCCTAACAGCTGTTCCCAAAAGTGAACAGTCTGTTGCACCGCTAAGACTTTGGCAATCATCGCCTGAATTTTGTGCCACCGGTCTGGGGGGACAAATAGGCGATGGGACACCGTGTTGAACCGACCTCCGATGAACTGCAAGTTCTGAGAAGGGGTTAACTCGCTCTTGGGGAGATTGACAATCCACCCCAATTGCTCCAAGAGCCGACGTGCGAAAACGAGATGGCGTGACAGGGTGTCCGACATTCGATTTGCTACTAGCGAGTCGTCCAGGTACGCGAAGTACCGGACACCCCTCTGGTGGAGGAACCCCACTATGGGGGTGGTTAACCAGGTGAACAGCCAGGGAGCGGACGAAAGACCGAATGGGAGTACAACCCACTCGTAGTGCCTGCCTTGAAATACAAACCTGAGATACCTGTGATGATCCGAGTGAATCGGAACATGCAGATAAGCATCCTTCAGGTCGATCGAAGCTAGCCAGTCGGCCGGCATGATCAGTGCTTTCAGGTCCGTCAAGCTCAACATTCTGAACTTGGGCGGCTTGCGCAGGTAGAACTCGTTGAACGATTTCAAGTTGTGAATCATTCTGAGTTCGGCACTGTCCTTCTTGTTAACGAGAAATATCCTGGAGTAAAACCCTGGTGTTATTTCTGGTAGAGCTAACTCCCGAACTGCCCTCTTCTCCACCAACCTGCCGATGGCATCGGCGAGGAAGGGAAGATCGGTTTCCGAATAGAAACCTGCCGACGGGGCAACGGTGAGCGGCGGATTCGCTTTGAGATCGAGCCGATAGCCGTACCAATCGTGTTGACCACCCACGGGTCGTCGAACACTTGTTCCCAATTCTCCCAGTAAGTCTGGAGTCTGGCTTCCACTGGGGAAAGAGAGGGGGGCCGGACGGGCTGCGGCAGGCGCAACTGTCCAGGGCCGTGTGACTCGGGTTCGCCTACGGGCCAACCGAAGTTGGCGCTGTCGGCATACGAACCCCTCCAATGAGAGTCACCTGGAGGGGCCCTTGCCGTCCTTAGACGACTTGGGCTTCCCCCAGTTCCCCTTCTTCCCGCGAAAGGGCTGCTGAGAACCCTTACCGGAGCCCTCAGAGCGGGGCTTCTTCCCGGAGGAAGAAGGACCCGACCCCTTAGGCCTGCCAGACGCAGCAACCTGGGGCGCGCTCCGCTTCGGAGCGGCACCCAGGCGCCTATGCAAGGACCCCACAAGATCCAGTGTGTGCCGAGAGGCCTCGGCAGACACAGCGTCCTGTTGTTCCTTCAGAACCCCAGGGATCTTGTTATTAAACAGGGTCCGAGCAGACCAAGGCTGCGAAAGGAGCACCTCCTGATTGGCAGCGTCCAACCCTGAAGCAACCAGATACGACTGGCGCCGAAGAAAATGGCACGTGCCGGAAACAAAGGCCGAAGCCCCGGCAACGTACTCCAGGGAAGCATTCAAACCGAGCAAGCAGTTGTAAATGCGCTGGTCACGGTCCGTGGGAGAACCTTCGACCAGACTGGCCGCCGCAGCCAGGTATGTGTCTCCGTGAGACATAGCCAGCATGGAGTGTCGAGCGAGGGTGTCCAGCTGTTGCAGGGTACCTTGCGGTACCGTGGCAACCGGTGGGGCACGGACCCCCAAACGCTCCACATGGGCTTCCGCAGAAGGACCAGCCTCGGGAAAGGCAAGGTCATGAACTGGGAAAGACCCTTTTCTCCACGACGGGGGAGGTAACGGGAGACCCCGACCGGAGGCAGCCGTGAAGGCCTTCTCCAAAGACGGCTTAATCCCACGCAGCAAGGTTGATGCCGGGAAAGCCTTGTCGGACGACTCGTCGTATACCTCGGAGGAACCCACGGAACCGTGGATACCCCGCGGTATCGGCAGGGGCTTTGGCATGTCCTCGAAGAGGTCATACACCATGGCCACGCGGTCCTTAACCGATAGCGGGAGCAACGGTTCGGGGGAAGGACCGGTAACCACGGCAGCCGGCGCCGTACCGGTGGACCCCACTTCCGAACCCGCGGCCACCGAAGAGGCCGGGGACGGAACAGCCAGCGGCCTATCTTGCGATAAGGCCGCCAGCTTGGAGTCCACAATTTGCGACAACAATGCGGCGACGGGAGCCCCAGACAGCCCGAGGGCCGCAAGGGGATCCGCCGCAGCCGACAAGGAGGTGCCCGCACGGGGGCCCCGACCGGACGAACCGGCCACCACAGGGGTGGAAACGGACTGCGCGCACAGCCGGTACCGCTCAAACTCCGCAGGTCCCAGACCTTCGCACAGGGTGCACCGGGTTTCCACGCAAGGAACCCTGCACCGCGGGCAACGATCGTGGGGATCCCGGGACGACAAAAACTTTCTGCACACCCCACAAATCCGAGGAGCAGGGGTAGAGGGGGTGGAGACAGGGGACATATCCATGTCAGACATTGATTGTTTGCTAGAAACAAAGAACAAAACATGGTTACAACGCACACACCACAATGATTCACAAACGAACATTTTCACAAGAAAATAAACGAGCAATGTGAACATATAACATACACATATAACTTTTACTAAAGAAATAAGTTATGTTAACCCCCAAAACATACAAGAACAGGGGAAACGTAAAACACAACGTGCATACGCGAACCCCGCAAGTATATAGAAAAAAGGGCGGGAAAAATTTTCCGTTTGGCGGGAAAATTATAACCAAGCGTAGCTACCGCAACGCCCCATAAAAGCACAGTTTATTAGAGAATAAACGGTAATAAATATCACCAAATCTTCAAGGAACGCTTCAGCAGGAGAAAACACGTCTTGCTAAGCAGACGAAGGAGACAAGAGTGAAGGGTGTCACATGGCAGCTAGGTGGCTACGCACGTGCTGCATGAGGTAATTGAGATCTCTGTGGTAGATTTCGCTATAGCAGCAGTTGTGGGAGACAACAGCCTCGGTATAACAGTGGTAACGTATTACTTAATGTAATATGACAATACAGCAACATGTTCTAATGCTCCTACCTCTTGGTGGAGTCAGTCAGAATGTCCAGTAAACTCTTCATTTTATGGTAATCTTTCTTCCGATCTGAAAGTTCAAACAAGTATGAATAACAGATCCTTAATATCGTATATCTTACCTCCTATATCTATATCAACCTATACTTTCTCATGCAAATTGTGTGAGTGGCGGGTTCTACCAGTAGAGCAGGACATGCTTACTTTTATTTGACCACCTCATCACCTCATTTCCTCATGACAAATTTTCAGGAATTTATTCATATACTTTTCTCCATGATTTTGCCTTTAAAACACAATGGCATCTGTTTCGGTGGTATTTGTCTGGTAATTTCCTGGTCTTGCCATTCTATATTCATACAATGGGCTAATGAATAAGGAAGCATTTATAAGATGAGTGAGTGGGCAGGATTAACTTTGAACATTCTATTTGTACATCAAAAAATGTCAGTTTAATGTGGGAGGAATGCCCAGTGTAGTACAAGTCGTAGATGCATTACACTTGGATGAAACCCACAGGTTTGTTTGTTGTTTAATGCCACATTCAGCAATATCCCAGCTAATTGACTGTAGACAAAGGGGGCACGGGTGGCCCAGTCGTCTAAGGCACCATGATTTGCTGTGCAGAGTTGCGTCCCTTGGCAATCTATGATTGTGGGTTCGATTCCCGGTTTGCCCCGATTATGTTTCTAGGTTTGTCAGCACCATACCAGTGCTCGTGGGTTTCACCAAAGTGGTAAACGTCTGAGACCTGCATCACTTCGGGCTTTCATCCCGCATTAAACTGACACGCCACGATATAACTTAAATACTGTTAAAAGCGGTGTTAAACCCAACTCACTCACTCACTCACTGTAGACTAAAAATATTCAAGTCTGGACCAGACAAACCAGTGACTGATATTATGAGCAACATTCCACCAGAACCAAAAACAGTGTATCTGGGTACGACCAAGCAACAGGGCCCTAATCCACAAAACATTTGTAGCACTACAACAATTGTAAGTCTATGATACCATAGGTCGCAAGGCTGTGAAGACTTCGTGGACAGGGACCCAGAACTAGATTGGTTTGGTTGGTTAGTTTGTTGTTTAACGCCGCAATATTCCAGCTATATGACGGCGGTCTGTAAATAATCGAGTCTGGACCAGACAATCCAGTGATTAATATCATAAGCATCGATCCACCCAATTGGGATCGATGACATTCATCAACCAAGTCAGCGAGCCTGACCACCCGATCCTGTTAGTCGCCTTTTACGGCAAGCATGGGTTGCTGAAGACCTTATTCTACCCCGGAATCTTCACGGGTCCCCAGAACTAGATGACAGCGTGTCTCTACTGCTTACCTCCATCTTTCTCCAGCCTGTTGACCATGCGGCGGAGTGGGTCGATGTACTTGGACAGCTTGTTCAGTTTGTCCAGGTAGGCCTGCTCCTCCGTGGTGTTCCGGGGCTGGCCAGGACTCGGGGCGGGGCCCACAGAGCCGGGATTACCTGACACAGACATACAATTCCTTTTATATTTTGCTCATAAACATAATAAAGAGACATACAGTAGAACACGGACATAACGAACACTGATGGAGAGAACAAACTGTTACAGAATACACGATTTATCTCCTCTATATTATCATATATAATATAATGAACTCGCCACGGTGAACTAACCCATACAGAGAACTGAAATCTGATCCCAGACAAGCCCAAATACCACTAAATAGTGACGTGTTCTGCTAATACAAGTCAATGCTACAATTACGTGTTTTGTGTTTTGTTTTATCTAAGATGGCAGACATTTCCGAGCGAAAACGTATATAACGACCCATGTATATAACAAACTGATTTCTCTGGTCCCTTGTAGTTTGTTATATCCATGTTCTACCGTACAATGTACCAAGTGAATCTTCGCAAATTATTAAAACAAATCAAAATATTAGTGGCTCCAAATGATGAAAATAACTGACTGCCTTGAAAGGGTTTCTTGTTTTCGTTGTTCTTGTTAATTCCGATCTTTACTGTTTCTTAGGACGCAGGATATGTCATGTGACATGACAGCCTCGAAATATGACTCCTTGAATAAAAAATCAGCAGCCACACAATTACCAAAACATTTTTCTCAGAAAGGAGAACCTATTTTCTGTGGAGTTGGCCCCCACCCTTACCTACCTGGAGTGTTGAGGGCTGCGCTGGGGGATGGCGTGCCAGTGTTCCCCTTGGCCGCGGGAGATGGTGTTACCTGCGGCTGAGGGGATGGTGCCGTCAACATGGTGACTGGAGAACTGTCATAAAAGGCCACACATTTTATTGTCTCTATTTATGCAAAATAAATAAAATTATTTCACAACCAGTGATTAATGGGTAACATCACAAGTGGGCTGAGGATCAGTGGATGGTTTTAGGATGCAATCAGCAACATTACAAGTACTTGACCATTGAAATACGAAAGAAAATGATATGACCCGTAGATAAGCCGAACCAGGAAGTGATAGGCAAAAAACACTGCGAAGTCGGACTGCAAGACATGTGCTGGTACTCGCAGATATTCAATAATATAAGATGAAAAACCTAATTATATTGAAAAGTCATTATTATTTCTAATAAAGATTTAACAAACCAGTCATCCACTCTCATAATGTGGGAAGCTGTTTCTCTTGTCTTTTTAATCTCATAATGATCGTTATATGTTGCCATCAACAACGAAGCACCATTTTGTGAATCGGTGTATATAGAATTATGAACTGTGAGAAAATATATAAGCTAGAGTGAAGATTTGCAGTTTGAATGCAGCACTGTAAGCATGGTGTTTTCGTTTCAAACTCATGATGAGAATGTCAGTCAGTAAAAATATACCAACTTTTATACCCCCTCTTTATACCACTATTGTATGTTAATCCAACTGAATTAAATAAACTATGAACGCATTGAATGACCATCACTTACTCACAGGCATCTCCAGTTTATTAAACTAATCTCTCGAAAACAAAGGAATTAAGCCCCTACTCCCAACACGATCGCTAAGCACCTACAACTTGAAAGTGTTTGTGTAAACAACATAACAATACCAATTGGCCAGTTATTACCAGTGCTCATTTCCTTGTGTTCCAGCTATATGACAGTGGTCTGTAAATAATCGAGTCTGAACGAATCCAGTGATTGATATCATGAACATAGATCCATACTATTGAGATATGATGACATGCATCAACCATGTCAGCGACCTGACCATCTGATCCCATTAGTCAACTCTTACAACAAGCATAATTGCCTTTTACGGCAAGCATGGGTTGCTGAAGACCTATTCTACCCCAGATCTTCACAGTTCTTTTTACAGAAAACAAACCATAGAGGTAAGTACAGTGTTATATGCACAAACACCAAAGACATTGTATAACATTTACTTATACTATAAACAAGCTGTCTTAACACACGTGAGATGTTAAGTTCAGGCTACATCAGCCATTCATACATGAATTATCTCCCCTTTCTAGAGCGACCAGTAACTGAATGCCAGTTGTACATACAGGATATGATAAATGGTAATTTCACAACAGCACTAGAGTATGATTCAAATTGTTAAACTTGTCAGGAACAGTGTGCCAAAAAATAGGTGTTATATTTCAGCGATGAATTAGGAACAACTCATATCAGTGTGTCCCCAGCCATTAAAGAGACTCCGCTCACTGGTCTGGTACCAAATTTCAACCAAGGTCTAAACGCTGTAATCAAAACACAGAAACTGAGCCACTGTGTAGTGAGTTAGTGAGTGAGGATGCTTTTACGTCGCTTTTAGCAACATTCCAGCAATATCACAGCAGGGGCCACGAGAAATGGGCTTCACACTTTGCACCCATGTGGAAAATCGAAACCTGAGTCTTCGGAATGATGAACGAACGCTTTAACCACTAGGCTACCCCACCTCTCCCACTGCTTGTAGTACTGTCTTCAAGTACTAGACTGTTATACATAATACATCTGAGGTAGCAGGCAAACAAAGATAAAATGCATTCAAGGTACTTGAATCCATCTTACTACAAATACCAACTTGCCAGAGTCTTCGTTTAAGTTGGAGAAGCAGCAACATTTTGCAACCAGATGACAATATATAAACCCTAACAAAAGAATGTTTACAACCCCTTCCTTCCTTCCGTCCAGCATGCATGAAGAAGGTGAAAGTTAACGTACCTCATCTGAGCAGGGGAGTGGGCAGGGGCCATAGAGCCAACTGACTGTGGTCCAGACGACTGAAATATTGTCAAGAGCAAGACATTTTATTCCTCAAATATCTTTGCAACCTAATCTTGAACTGAAGGCTTACGGCAACCTTTTCTTTTTCAACCAAGCAGGATTCTTATGAGACTAATTTATAAATAGTAAAAGAGTGAGTGAGTGAGCTGGGTCCAACACTGCTTTGAACAGTAGAGTTGCATCCCTTGGACACAAATCCTGGTTAGCCCCGATAATGTTTCCAGGTTTGTGAGCACCATACCCTTGGTCATGGGTTTCACCAAAGTGGTAAATGTCTAAGACCTGCATCACTTCGGGCTTTTCGGGTGCTGACATGCTGTGATGTAACTGAAATACTGTTCATTAAAAGCATTAAAACCCTACACACACACTCGCTGACAAAAAAGGTTTGAAAAGATTTTGTGACTGTAGGGTCTTCTTCATATGTTGTTGAATTTATGAGAACATGAGAACATGATTTCGCCTCCAATCACACAAGTCTAATGCTTATAAATGAAATCAGTTTCCATGGACATTTAACCAGTCTTCAACAGTTCATCTTACAGGGACATAATTCGCTATAATATGGATACGTCTCCTGTTACAACTATGATGAATCACCTGCTGGAACTGTTGCTGTTGGCCTGAGATCCCGCTGGGGCCAACAGGACGAGGAGCTACCCCAGATGTGGGTTGGAACGGGATCTGAATCAAAGATGGAACGCTCTTCAATACTTCCATAAATTACTTTTGCTCCCAACCACAGCAGTGACTGATCGATGTAAGATGTACAAGCTGTTTTTATTTCCTTTTCAGTTAAGTATTTTTTACATCTTTTTCTATCCATACAGACTATTATTCTATTCACTTTGGTCTACGCTATGATTAGTTTGTTTGATTGCTTGTTTCTTTCAATATTTCAGCTATATGACGGCGTTCTGTAAATAATCAAGTCTGGACCGTGAAGATCCAGGTTAGAACTGTTCTTCAGCAAGCCATGCTATTCGTCAGGGGGGATTAACTGAATCGGGTGGTCAGCCTCCCTGACTTGTTTGATGTATGTCATCAAACTCTAATTGAGTTGATCTATCTAGACTCCATTATTTACAGACCATCATCATCTAACTGGAATATTTTTGAGTGTGGAGTAAGCAAGACAAAACCCATCTACTATACTGACATTCTGACAGGAGGCGGGGAGTGGTTGACTCTGAACAGGCTGCACATTCTGGGGAGAGGTGACAATGAATGCATCTTGTCTCTGAAACAAATACACAAACTCGTTTAACAAACACGCCTCCAGTTGTCATCATAATCCTTTCTCAAACTTAATATTCATCCTATGTAATTGTCACAACACACAAATACAGTGTTCATCAATGGTACATTTTTCAAATTTGGGATTGAGGATAAAAAGAAACTCATCAAGAAATATAGTCATGCACAGTGAATAGTCTTTATTTCGAGGCATCGGGTGAGTGAGTATGGTTTTACACCGCTTTTAGCAATATTCCAGCAATATCACAGCAGGGGACACCAGAAATAGGCTTCACACATTGTACCCATGATGGGAATCGAACCCGAGTCTTCAGCGTGACGAGTGAACCCTTAAACCACTAGGCTACCCGACCGCCCCTAGTTTCTTAACCAATCAAATTCATTTTACAGTGCTCAAACACAGCATCAGTGTTAATCAATATCCTGTCAAAATAAACAAACACAACATCGATGTCAATCAATATCCTGTTAAAATAAACAAACAGTATCAGTGTTACAGGAAGAAGTGGGGAGCTTGGTTGTTGAAACTGCTTAATGAAGCACTGATCTACCGTCAGGCATTTTTCTTGATAAGATGCACACTTTAGCCAGCTAGCTTCAGTTGTAGTCCTTTACTTGATTAATAACATGAAAATCATACTGAAATAAGTAGTTGTTAAGAGTCATGATGAGATCCACTACCACACCAGTTCTGTCTGAATACACACCTGCAATTGGGGCTTCTGTTGCTGTGGTTGCTGCTGCTGCTGCTGCTGCTGCTGCTGCTGTTGTTGCTGCTGCTGCTGCTGTTGGTGTTGCTGCTGGGCTCGCTGTTGCTGCATTAAATGCTGTGCCTGTTGCTGCGCAACAAGCTGTTGTCTTTGCTGTGGCGTCATTTGGTGTGTCGCCATCATACCTGACAAAATGGTCACAATTAGTGAGTGAATGTTGTTTTATGCTTCAGTAACGATATTACAGCCGTATCCTTTGGGCCTGGACCCTGTTCCACAAAGCGATCATATCAATAAGAAGATCGTAACTCCCATACTTTAACATAGATTTACAACAGTTGTAGGGCTACGATTGTAATTCCTACATACTTTAACATAGACTTATGACAGTTGTAGCACTAAGATGATCGTAATTCCCATATTTTAACATAGACTTACGACAGTTGTAGCACTAAGATGATCGTAACTCACATACTTTAACATAGACTTATGACAGTTGTAGCACTAAGATGATCATAACCCCCTATAATATAACCTAGACTAAAGACAGTTGTAGTGCTAAGATGATCATAACTCCCATACTATAACATAGACTTATGACAGTAGTAGTGCTTAGATGATCGTAACTCCCATACTATAACCTAGACTAAAGACAGTTGTAGTGCTAAGATGATCGTAACCCCCTATAATATAACCTAGACTAAAGACAGTTGTAGTGCTAAGATGATTGAAACTCCAATACTATAAGTAGTAGTAGTGCTAAGATGATCGTAACTCTTTTACATTGCTTTGTGGAATGTGGCTTAGAAAATAAATGAGTGTTGGTAAGACAAATAAGTGGCTTGTAGCAATACCTAGTTTGTTTTCTACATGGAAGAAATTCTACGAAAGCCCCAAACCATGCAATGTATTTACTAACATATACTGACACAGTATATAAATGCATAATCAACTTTAACTCGAAATCAAGTCCATCTGCAAACACATCGAATGAGATTCAAAACCATAGGAAGTTAATTTGTTGAACACTTTGTTGTGTTTGGTTATCTCATGCCTAAATACCCAGATTTGATTGTTGTGAAATTTGCCAAATATTACCAAAAATCAAATATGCGTTTTGAAAGTGTTTCAGTTTAGGTTTATTATTGATATATCTTGGCATGAGCAATTTTTGGGGCAGCCAAGTTGGCTCAAAGAGCCAAGAACAAATAATGTCACTAATCGAGAGAACCGTCATTTTAAACTTTTTTCAATATTCCTGAATATCATCAATTTGACTGTCATCAGTTGTGATATTGTGACATGAGGAAAACTTGTCCCCCCTCTCTGCTGATCACCTTGTTGCCCCACCCCCTGCCTGGTGAGAGTCTGTAGGGCATTGATGGGGTCCTGCTGTCCCGGGACTCCTGCCCCGCCCCCCATACCATGGGCTGCCATCACAGGGCCGGGCACGCCTGCCTGTTGGTTCTTCTTGGTTGCATCTGAAAAAAACATATCACGTAATCTAACCTTAGCATGAAAACTCACAATGCACTGGTGCATCAATATATCGTTTTACCCCTCATTCCCATGGGCTAGAGACCACATAAAGTCATCACATGACATACTTATGTATTGAAATCACACAGCCAGTACATTCTAAACACTTACAAATATCTGTGGATGAAGGCATTTTGAGTGAAAAATAACAAACTAAGTTATTTTAGGGCTACGACCTTTCAAGGGTGATCCTTTCAACACTGAGTGAGTGAGTGAGTATGGTTTTATGCCGCTTTTAGCAATATTCCAGCAATATCACGGCGGGGGGACACCAGAAATGGGCTTCACACATTGTACCCATGTCGGGAATCGAACCCGGGTCTTTAGTGTGACGAGAGAACGCTTTAACCACTAGGCTACCCGACCGCCCCTCCTTTCAACACTGAAAACACCAAGCTGTCATTAGGAACTGTCGTTCATTCATAGTCTTTCATCAATGATTAGGCCACACTTTTTTTATTTTATGTTTCATGGTTTTATTCCAGCTTTTCCATTTAAGGTTGGTTAAAATTAAAATTAAAATAAATAGCTATGTCAATCATTTATTTATTTATAGTCATTCTGCTGTGGAGTTAAAAGTGCAGCTGGCTTCTTGAATTGCTGATAGTTTAATTTATTTCTTTTCCAGCTGCTTTTCAGAAGGGGAGGGGGGGCCATGAAACATAAACAGTGTGGCCTTTAGTATGAGTGAGATGGGTTTATAACAGTATTCCAGTTATATCACAGCGTGTCAGCTTAATGTGGGAGGAAAGCCCGATGTGATGCAGGTTTTGGACGTTTACCACTTCGGTGAAACCCACAAGCACGGGTATGGTGCTGACAAACCTAGAAACATAATCAGGGCAAACCGGGATTTAAACCCACAATCATAGGTTTCTGGTGTGCCCAAGGGAGGCAACTCTGCACAGCGAATCACAGCCACCCGTGCCCCAGTGTGGCCTTTAGAAAGTATGACCTCCATTCATAACATGCATACTTATATTATTAAATATTGCTAATGTGTCAAGTACGGTATGCTTCCAAACTGTCTGCTTAACTTTTCCCCCTGACTGGTGAGTTACTGTCAGCTCTACTTGATGCCTCATGTGACAAAAGTATATCACTTACTGAAATCCTTCACATGCAGAATCAGTCTAGCAACCAAGGCTAGGTATTCTTCCTGAAAAAGAAAAATCATCTGGAATAAATACATGTGTGAGTACAATATTGACCTCGTCTTACGACTTTGAAAGAAGAAATTCCACACAGGGAGTTGGGCTTAATATGGGGGGGAAAGCCCAAAGTGATGCAGGTCCCAGATGTTTACGACTTCGGTGGGTGTGGTGCCTCTTCCCGAGGCAAGGAAGTTAACCGACAACAAAAGTTATATCTTGGCAGGACTAACGAGTCCATGCATAGTCCAATCAAAATCATGTTACGTTATCTACATCAACTGCTGCACAGATTTTGGTCGATTGCAGAATTTGTAAAGCATGTGTACCGCCAACTCGGCGTCAAAAGATATTTACCAAATCCATTTCTGTTTCTAATCACATTATTATATACACTCCCCGAAGTAAGACCGGGTGCTTTTTACAGTATGGATCTTGATTATTGATCTGATCGTCTTGACTGGGCGGCACCATTTTCTTTGAAGCAAATGCAAGAGATATGTGAGGTGGAATAACTTGTAATAGCCACTAGTGCGAGCCAGGATTCAAATCCATGATTATAGGTTTCTGGCATGCCCCATGGATGCAATTCTGCACAGTAAATTGTGGAGCCTTAGACAACTGGTCAACCTGTGCCCCAAATTCAACACAGTGAGTGAACGAGTGAGCATGGCTTTACGCCACTTTCAGCAATATCAACGTGGGGGACACCAGAAAGAGGGTCCTTGTGGGGGGTGTCACAAGTCAGTAGTCATTCATTTTTCAGCTTAGTCAGTGAAAAGTCGCAAACAGGTTTTCGTAATCATATTTTGTCGGTCAATTTGAAAGGTGTCGTAAAAGGTTTTATATTTCATTAATAACTATGAAATACACCAGTGTCCAACCGAGTCTAGCATATTTTGTTAAGGACCAGTAAAATTAAACAAATGCGGGTCCAGTAGTCTAGTGTTATTCTGGGGATGAACAAAGTAATTTAAGTTTATACAACTTTGGAAATCATCAATAGATCAACTCTATATTTGATGCAAAAACAGCAACCTAAGCATGCACGGTATAGTGGTTACCTTCTTGGCTGGCGTCTCATTTTAACTGCACAATGAAGTATTACGTTTTAAAACCCTTTTAGGTCATGACCATTGTGTCTAGTAGAGATCTAACAGTACTATAAGATTTTCCTATGTGCTGGTCCTTTGAACCATCGACATATTTTGGTCAGTGTCAAGAACTGTACACACCAGAAGAAAGTGTGTATAGATAGATTAACTAAAGATGCAGTAACACTTGGATTTTACTGCAGGAGAATACATCTGCTTGAAAGAAAGCAGAAATTTTGTGAAATCATTCTGTCTTTTTATTTCACCTGAATAGAAATCAAATACTAGTATATGTGTTGACACAGTTAAATCTGAAATGTAGGTGCTGATCCAGTTACTCAAGGGCACGCAAAGAATATATTTTTGAGTTAGGGTACATAGGTGGGGGGTTTTTTAAATTTATTTTTTTAAATTTAGATTTACAGTTCCAATAAGATTGTAAAACTGAATCTGAATGTTGTGCTCTGCATCACACTAAAATCATGTGAAGTATCATTTTAACCACTACACCACCACCTCTCAAATTCCACACAGAGCATGGAGAGTACTTGTGACATATATCACTGAAGAACATGTGACGTTGATATCAAATGACACACATAGACTGAAAGTAATCTAGAAACTTACTCGTGTCTTAGCTTTTTGAAAAACATGGTTTTCCATGTCCATACTTGATCGCACCATTGGCGTAGCTGACTGCCGAATTGCTTCATCGCTGGAATTGTGAAAACAAAACACATTATAGATATTATTAAGAAAATCATAAAATGTTTACTTAAGAATATGTGTAGTTGGTTTATTTAGCACAATGATGAAGCATAACATCTATCTATCTGTGTGTTTTTCCGCTTGTACTAGTTCAGACTTATGCCGATATCGAGTGCTAGCCTTGAGATACAATTATACAGTTTAACATGGACACCCACCCAGACACAGTGTACTGACTCTAGTTTTAATGCCCTTATGTTGAGCACCAAGCAGAGTAACAACAAGTACGATGGGGATCAAACCACTGACCTGGTCTCTGGGAAGATACTCTCTCAGTCACACCACGGAAGTGATCGACTATAAGTAATGATCACTGATGAACAGAACTATATCATTAGAATACAGTACCACCACTTCTCATGAGGATAATCTCTGCCGTAGGTCACGTGTCTCAAAGACAAGCAACCAGTTTTTGTGAGAATCAATCAGTCGCAAACTCGCGACCTTCAGCTAACCCACTGAGCTACGGCCACACTGTGAAATTAAGTGCAAATTTACCTAGTCATGCCTACGCCGTTACAGAACAGAACAAAAAGGGTCGAATAGGTGACAGATACTTACAAAGGTTATGGGTAGGTATGGTGTCTCGTGACTTTAGTCTATGGATACTTACAAGTGATCCCAATGCCATTTGGAACACTGGTCCTATTCCTTAATCTAGAAGATACCGAGTAGTGAGGAATGAGCCGATATGGCGTGAACTGAAAACAGCGCCAGGCGTCAGACGTACTCCAATGATCGTAAAGGGGTGATTGATCGTAAAGAGGATCCAAGGGCTAAGGATAGAGTTTGGGGTAACCCACCCTAAAACCGGCGACATTTGGATGCATTCAACACCAGTATAATATACCTAATAAACTGCATTCCTGTGCATAACAATGAAAATTAATGAATCAAGCTAGAATCACATTATGAAACTAACAGAAGCCATTCATATCATAAGATTCAAACTGACCATCAGTAGAGACTAGGGTTCCTTCACCCTTCCACCCTAGCATTCAAATACAATGGATTCATTCATTAAAAGAGAATAACCTAGAGCCTAACTCACAACTACTGCTGCGGAATGTAAAGGGGTGCCTAACCCTAAGAAGTGAAACGGAGTGTTTGCTTACAAAGTGGTGCCCAACCCTAAGGATCATGAAGGCGTGTTTCATTGGACTAGGGTACCTTACCATGCTTACCCTAACGATCATAATAGGGGGCTTGATCGGAAAGGGGATCTAAAGGCTAAGGATAGAGTTGCAGCATTAGAAATTGGCACGAGTCCTGTCGTCCTTGCCAAACGGCCCAATAGTATCATAAGGACCAGTAGAAATTTCCCTATTTTAAGGGTTTTCCTATATGTTTTCATTATAAGGACTAATGGGCCAAAACTGTTTCGGCAACAATGCAGTTTACCGGGCGCAGCCCGAGCTCTACCATCCGCTCAATTACCGCGCTATAGTGCCACCGCTGTCTCGTTATACCGTTACCGTTCCTCATGCTCTGGTGACTCTCGCTTCACGATCCAACACCCGTTTTCGGTCTAAGGGAAACTTACACGAATCTTTACAATCAAACAACAGTTCTCGGTCTTAGGGAAACTTACACTTTACGATCAAACACCCATTCTAGGTCTTAGGGAAACTTACACGTCTTTACGATCCGACATCCGTTTTTCGGTCTTAGGGAAACTTACACGTCTTTACGATCCAAAACCCCTTGTCGGTCATTAGGGTTAGCTGGCTTTGGGAAAGGGTTAGCCATAAATTCTTACTTTTTCAAGCGTTAATCCAGTTAATCCCATTGGTCGGTCATGTTGACATAAACGATTGCGGGTGTGGTTTCAAGAAAAGATGAATGGGAGAGCGGGCCGTGACGTCACACGCATGCGCAATTCATTGTTTACTGAATTACGTATGCATGCCAATGGGGATTCTAATGACCCGTTAAACGAGCACTGATTACATGTGATAGCGCCTGTGGTCCTGTGGTAGAGCGTCGGCTAATTAACCTATTAATTAGCAGAGCCGAAGCGCGTTCGAGCCCCCACAGCACTTATTGGATCTGAAAAAGTGCGCCCGGTAAAGTGCACTACTCCCTTCCCACTGTTTCTATCAGTGAGTTGGGGTCATCTGTCCTAACCCTAATATAACTAACCTACGAATCAAAGAGGCATGTGAGAGCTGCAGAGCCTAAGCCAAATAGAGGCATAAGTTGAGCCTGGTAAACTGCATCATCCTGGTAAACTTGCCTTCAGATCTTATATCATAACTTAATTCACTTGTCAGTGTTTTCCCTCTCCGTTGATACAGTGGAAGAATTGGCACAACATTTTCTGCACTACATATTTTGGGTATAAGCGGTGCAAACACCTACTTAACTCACACGTAGCACCGAAATTGAATCTCCTGAGTAATTCAAATGACAATCAAAACATTGCGCACTTATCATAAACTTCACATGGTCATTGTGCGATTGATACTAATGCAATTGTCAAATAAGATGAAATGCCAAATACTGGTATAACAAATACATAGCACTCATAAACATTCATTTTACTTACATTTGAGCTACGAGTTTCTGACGGAAATTTTGAGTTCGCCAATCTGCTTGGTCGGCCATTGTGATCAACTTTAGATTTATCGCCCCTTATAAAAGGGGAGGTAATACAGTTTTAACTCGTCCTTTCATGCCGATAAGAACAAAACAATTTGCGCATAAACATACGTCGAATAAATTAATATATTTTAATTCTGTACATAACATCGACAAATAATTTCCTAAATCAAATATACAGCAGTCTACAATTATACTCAGTAAATATATCCTCGTGGGAACTGCGGGTTAGAATAGCTACCCAGTAACCAATGCTGGTCGTAAGAGGCAACCAAATGGATCGGGTGGTCTGGTTTGGTACCCCGACCGCTTGGATCGTTTTTAGCAATATCAGTCACTGGATTATCTGGTCCAGACTCGATTATTTACGGCTGAATAACTGCTGAGTGTTGCGTAAAACAACAAATAAACAATAAAGATAAGAGGGGACACGGAATATAACGTAAAGTTGAAGCGAATATTTTAGATTGTAAAGAGAATTAAGTAAGGATAAGATTTATGGATGAACCACTTCTTTATTACAATTAGGAGCGACGTTTCGGTGTAGGTTCTAACACCGTTATCAAGCAAGCGATATACAGAGTGTGATTGACAAGTATACATACAGGTTGGAGGCAGTGTTTATACAGTAGAGTAGATTAAGATGTAGTAACACTGGAGTACTTAGTACTTCAACTTCTAAATGTCTCTCAAAGACGTTGTTGGGAGAATGTTGGGTTGGAGCGGTTGCCATATCCTTTAACATGGCACAAACTCGGTATTATTCTGCTGCATTCAGTTGCGCCAAAGCCATGTAGTCCACATATTAGTGGGGGACACGGGTGGCCCACTCGTCTAAGGCGCCACGATTCGCTGTGCAGAGTTGCGTCCCTTGGGCACGCCAGAAACCTATGATTAAGGGTTCGAATCCCGGTTCGCCCCGATTATGTTTCTAGGTTTGTCAGCACCAGACCCGTGCTCGTGGGTTTCACCGAAGTGGTAAACGTCTGAGACCTGCATCACTTCGGGCTTTCCTCCCACATTAAGCTGACACGCAGCGATATAACTGGAATACTGTTAAAAGCGGCGTTAAACCCAACTCTCTCACATATTAGTGGAATATAGCTCCGCCTTGTTGAGTCTTATATAGACAGCATGACAAAACCAATATTCAGCCAATCTCATTAAAATCAGATCTTAGTTCTCGCTACCGCTAAACAGTAGCGAGAACTAAGATCTGATTTTAATGAGATTGATATTCAGCGAGTCTACTACAGTAGAATCAGTATGATTTTCCGCCGCTTCTAGCTATATCCCAGCCCTTTCGCCGTGGGTCGAAGTACAAATGATAGAGCCTCGGTGTGTTTGGACCAACGTCGCTTTTAACAATATTACTGTTATATTATGGTGTGTCAGTCTGATTTGGGAGGAATGAGTAAGTTACGTTAAACGCCTCTTTGAACAGTAAGCTGGTTATATCACGGCGTGTCAGCTTAAAGCCCGAAGTGATGCTGACTAAGCTAGAAACAAAATCGTGGCAAATCTTGGATTCGAACCTGTTAACATGGAGTTCGGGTTCGCCCAAAGGGAGGTAACTCTTCACAGCAAATTGCAGCAACTTAGACCAATGGGCTGCCCATATACGGTGGGTTAGCGATATGATTTGATACAGTGTTGACAATAAGAACGATCCCAAAACTGGAGAGGTAAAGTTGCGATTTCGTTTTATTGTCAGTTCAACATATCCTGTTTCTGACTTTCTTCATACCTAGGGCGTCAGTGTGACGAGCGATCGCTTTAACCACTAGGCTACCCAGCCTAGTGGTTAAAGCGATCGCTCGTCACACTGAAGGTTCTGGTTCTATTCTCATGTGAGACAGATGCTTCATATTTGTGGGCAGGGTCAAAATATGTGAAACCAAGGATCGGTTATACACCACCATCGGTTTGTACATACGTTGACACGGGCCTTCGGTGACATTAAAGAAAAGTTCACTTGAAAATGACCGACAATACCTGATATTTTATTTTCATCGATATACAACTCGAATAAACATACATGTAGTTGAAAGATATACAGTGACGTTTTCGTCAAGTGAATGTACCGTTTTATCGCCAAGCCAGATGTCGTTTTCGACAGTTTGGTGCCGTTATCGCTTAGTGACGTTTTGACGTGGTGTCGTTTTAGCTATTTTTCTGATCTTAATCTGAAACCATATGTCAATAAGGCTGACTGAAAGTACTTCCCGTATAAAATGTCATATCATTCGATCGAGATAGAATGGTAATCTTCATTGAAGCAGGTAGACAAGGTGAACTTTCGTAAGAAATTGTGCAGTTTGGAAGATGAATACGGGTACTGGGACGGATCCAGGATTTAAAAAAGGGGTTCCACTTAGGAAATGTGTAACTGTAGTGTGTGTGTGTGTGTCTGTGTGTGTGTGTGTGTGTGTGTGTGTGTGTGTGTGAGAGAGAGAGAGAGAGAGAGAGAGAGAGGGAGAGAGGGAGAGAGAGAGAGAGAGGCAATGCGCATACAAAATGACATCAGTTCATCGCCAAACCCCAGATCCGCTAATGGAGTATAAATTTTAACTTGTTTGTTCATTGTACGTTCATTGAATATTTTAATATTTAATTCTTGGTCCATTTTCATCAATTCTATTTGTAAATATTGCACGGGGCGGGGGGAGAGGCAGTCGTCTATGGTGCCGTAATTCGCTGTGCAGAGTAAAAATTGCTTCTTTTAGCCTCGCCAGAAACCTATGATTATGGGTTCGAATCCCGGTTCGCCCCGATTATGTTTCTAGGCTTGTTCTCACCATACCGTGCTCGTGGGTTTCACCGAAGTGGTAAATATCTAAGACCGTGATATAACTGGAATACTGTTTAGGACTGTGTTAAACCCAACTCACCCAATCATGCGATGAACTTTGGGAAATCGATACATTCTTGATATTGATCTACCTGTATGTATATCAGTCAAATGGACACCCGCGACAACATGTCCCCCTCGGGGATTCCGGGTTTACGATTTTGTAAAAAGTGACCTCACGTATCCCAGACAGTCGTTGAACAACAAACTCTCTAAACACGTGGAACAATCACAATTTAGGCCGATCGCCTCCTCAGTTTCACGAATAAAAACGAATCGATTGATGAAAGATTGAATGAAACTAAAAAAGTCCGGGTTTTAGATAAGCTACTTTTAAAAATCACCTCACCAGACAGAATTTAAAAAGTGATTACATGTTAAATGTAAGGGTTCGAACGCTATATTTTGTGTACAGTTCTAAAAAAATATGAAGTATCCAGTACGGAGTTATGTACCTTTGTACTGTGATAGCCTGCACATGCGCATAAGGAGAAAAATTCGTTACAGTGGAAGACGATTTTGGACACGATCGTTCGTATTTCGGGGACCATGTCCCACGACCAGTCGTCCCTTTTGCTTAGAAAACAGCTCGCAGGTGGGTTGAAAGTATTTCCAACAATCTTTTGCAAAATTACCACTCATTCATCCATTCGAAGGAGAGACGCAGTAACCAAATCCCGTACACCATGTACAGCTGGCAACTAGGCCACAGTTGGAAACAATAACAATAGTCAGTCTTGAAGTTTGGAATCATCTAATCAGCTGATGTTTTGAGTCGAAGGAGAGCAGTGTTTAGATGATGCTGCCAGCCATTCACCCCCATTTCCAACTGTGTTATATGATCTATTGATTTTATTTTTTTCAAATGTGCAGCCGTTTTCCGCAGAAGTGATCTGACTTGGATCTTCTGCTCCATTTAAGTTGTGGTGAAAATGGTCTTGGTAATAAAAGGAATCATGTTAAGGGTCACTTGTATTAATGAAAAGGTACTTCTTGGCATTACTATACAATGCTTTCACTCCCAGGACAATGATGAACAATGAGAATATTTCAAAATGAAGAAGATAAACATCTGAACCAAATAGGCCGCAGTTGGAAAAAGGTTGAGGTATCTGACCATTGATCTTCACTATGATGATTCTCAGCAATCTTTCCTTTATCTGTTATGGGATTAATTGTAATTTTAAAATAAAACCATTTCTTTTGCCATTTCTGTGATTCATCTAATGATCGATGGCGGCATTCATTCAATGAAGTTTATGTAATGATTTACTTCCTATATGATATATCGTGAAGAAATATTAAAAAACAAAACTTATCATCACCTTGCTCAAATACAACAGGAGCAGCAGGTGTCATGTGACTAATTAACGCGTGAACATAAATCCAGCTACACGATGATGCACAGCAGGTTTTACCCCCAAAAGAGGAAAACTCTAGGGGGGTCTGGGGGCATCTCCCCCCATCAATTTTTTAAACATTTGATTGTATTTTAAGCAATTTCATGCAGTTTGGTCTTGGTTTACACCAAGAAATGTAATAAGTCAATGGCAAAAGTCAAGTAAAATAAACAAAGATGGAGGATGCAAGTTAAATCAGTACTTTTTAAAAACATCGGGCATAGCTTCCGCCCACCCGGTGGGTCTGGGAGCAATACTACCATAAACTTCACCCCCCATCCCCCGGGCACAAGGACAACTATCACAAGCGTTAAAAAAACAACTTACCTTGTACTTACTTACCTTTTGTTGAAAAAAACAAAACAAGATTGCAATCATAAGACATTAATACAACATATATCCCCATGTTATGGGTTTTCGGATGCTGAAGAAACATTCATAGTTTTCTCACTAATCACATGAACCACTCTAAAACATCTCATTCACTTATAGGCTAAAAGACAACTTCATCCTAAAAAACAAGCCATCTTCTGAGTATTTACAATTCTGTATTACGCCACACCCAGTGTTATAGTGCAAGTATTCGTGATAGAAAACGTATAATGTCCGAAAACCTATGATCCGACGATAATAGTATTGTGTCATGATTAATATACACTTCCAAAAAAGAAACTTGGGCCATTTCTGTGATTCATCTAATGATCGATGGGGGCATTCATTCAATGAAGTTTATGTAATGATTTACTTCCTATATGATATATCGTGAAGAAATATTAAAAAACAAAACTTATCATCACCTTGCTCAAATACAACAGGTGCAGCAGGTGTCATGTGACTAATTAACGCGTGAATGATAGTGCATTCTCGTAGGTGTCGCAGCCGGATGTATCGATTTTGTGCTAGGGGTGTCACCCTTGGTCTCCCTGACCTTGGTCTTTCGTCAACTCTGTTGGTGTTGTTGTATCTCCATAATGCGGAGATTGTCTGTTGGGATACGCCAAGGTGCCTGGCCACATTTTGCTGAGTTGCTCCAGCTTGTAATCTGCCAATGGCGTTGTGACGTTGACCTGTAATGGCTGTATTCAGCCTTGGCATTCTGTCACCGCGTCTGTATGAACGCCCGTTGATGTGTTTTTTTATACCCCTTTAGCAGGGGTGCATAAATGCAGGATCCTGTGCTGCACTTTTTTTACAGCAGGTTGCATTTGGATGAATCTGTAAAATTGATCCCCAAACGCAACATTTATGTGTGGTTTGGAGGTGTTTCTGCGAATTGTGGAAACATCATCCTTCTGTTTGACTAATTCTAATCACATTTCATTAATGATTTTGGATATTTTGAGAAAAGTGGTTTTACCTCTATCATGTCTATGTCAAGTTTCTTTTTTTTAAGAGTATACATGGTATAGTAAAGGCATATATGATGCTGAAAGCTCTGATCGAAAACAGGACAATCCGCAACGGTTGTCCATAAACACGATAAATTGCTCAAAAGGTTACTTGGAACTCTGCAAGTAGAGAGTCAATTTAATGGTGTGCTATTTGCAGAATTGACCTTCATTCTACTATTAAATAGTTGGTGTTATTTTCATGAAATATAATGACTTGCATATTAAAGAGAAATGTCAACAAATAAAAACAGCATTTGGGGAATGTCACCAAAGAAAGTAATCATGGTAGTTATGTATGGACTAAAGTACTTACACATCATATATAAGGTGAGGTGAAATGGGGTTTGACGTCACATTCAAAATTATTGCACCTATATAATGTAATGTAATAGAGACATGTGTCTGCTTGGACTAGTCCAGACTAATGCCGGTTTTATTGTGCCAGCGCAACTGTGGTACCATGCTGCAGTTTTAACATTGACACCCCCACTCGTACACAGTACCAGTCCTTGTTTGATCTCCTCAATGTCAAACACCAGGAAGGGAAATACCATCTTCTTTTGGCATGACGATGCAGGGTCTCAAGCCGTTCATTCCGACATTCCGATCTCCAGGCAGACTCTCTATTCACTAGAACCGGAAGTGGACTATGATGATGTGAGGAGGGCCATCTTTGGTTTAGTAAACTGAGTGATGAAATAGGTGAACAGTACTGGCCACCAACCAGTTATTGCCATATTTTAATGTTATTTCTTTAATATTCTGTGTACAAAGTTAACTGTGCAAATAATATTTCTGTCCATGGAAAAAATCAGTCAATGCTTTTATCAATTTGTCGTCTGCAAACTGACGTACACAAATATTCCCCAAATTCAAGTTACACGTGCTTATCCTCCACACTATGTACTTTGGATTTCGCTATATATATATAGGGTTATGCATTTTCGGAAAAGGAACGCAACTAGGTTTTTAGTAATATGTGTACTTGTGTACAGAGTCTACAGACAGATAGTAAGCTATAACAGACAGGGATGTGAAATATCCGCGGAAACGTGGAAAATTGCGTTTTTTAAAACAGTAGCCCTCGCAAAAAATATTTTCCTTGTAAAAATATAATCAGAGATTTAACAAAAATAATCCGAAAAATATGAGTTTTTACTCAAATGCTTCTATTTTAATTGGGTTATTACATTTTTCATTGGGTAACTTATATTTTTTCGCTCATTTATGCATCACTCTATTGTTTTTTTCCCAAAATGAGTACACATTTTGAGATTTGAAAAAAAATAATAATGTTTTAGATGTATATACATATGATATAATGGTTCTAAATATAGGCTTGCCTCAGAAGGTAACTCAGCTAGTAATTGTGTTTCGGAAATTAGCTCCATTGTCGCATGCTGAAAAAGCTTCATTGGGTATTTACGCATGCTGTTTTTATACATTTGAGTTTTCCATTTAATGCATGCGTTTCTGTACGCAAGTTAATTTAAAGTAATTGGGTTTTGAATATTTTGGGTGTTATTTTACGGAAATATGGAGCTTATCAGTAGCTCTGTACTTGAACCTGTACCAGTAATTTATTATGGTTATTCTGAAAGTCTTTCTGTGCTCTCTCTGATCATGCTGATGATAAATGATGATGATCACACTCAGGAACGTTATAGGAACGTGCACAAAATCTCGAAGTACCCCCAGTATGATGATGTCAAGCCCACGAAAGCATGAAAAATTACACGTATGGATTCGTGATGTAGCAGGGTGAATAAACCGTAGAAGTATGGAATGTGTTCAAAGATTGATGTTGTGTGGACAAGTAAGGGTAAGCATGGTTAGGCAGACAATAAATGTGAATTTTGTTTGCATGCACTTAGTGCATGTTGACATAAATATTAGGTTGCATTTTCAATACTACATGTACTAGGTTGCACTGGTGCATGTTTTATGTAGCTAAATCGAGCCCTGCTTATCTTGTTGGTTACCATGGTTACAGACAATAAGTTGGTTCAAAGATAGTACCTTGTTAAGGGAGCAAGGTATCGTGTTATGTATCCGATCATACAGCTGGTGTTTAGTCTCAGACCTAGCAAATACGGTACTCAACCTTACCAGTACTAGTAATCATGATGTGTAACTTTCTGCAGAGATCTTCAAGGCCACATGATTGTGCCATTTGGGCATTCGATATTCAAATGGCGCACATGTTAATTACGAAAGGGACATGCTGGTGCACTGTGATAGTGAATTATTTACAATAGAATACATAGAATGCAACAAATGAATAAATCCTGATACCAAAACAATGTGAGTTTTGATTGTAACCTCGTTGAACATGTTAAACTCCAAATAATGCACATTTTGCAAATGCGGATCTAGCTTTCTTAAAAAGGGAGGGGTCCAAATAACAAAATCCTCTCTCAGATAATTTTACTGCCTACAACATGCAAGATTTGGTTTTCAAAGGGGCTGGGAGCATCCTGGCGTTATGTTTTGGGGGTTATTTTTTCAAGTCAAGACTCTGTTTCTGTGGTGGTATTTCAGTGACAATCTTACAGCTTTTTACCATGTTTGCTGCTGTTTGTCCTTACTGCTAAAGGTTAACTTGAGGTTAATATATGTATTTTGTTTCATTATTTTCAACTTTCATCATCCCTTTTTTTCAGAGCTTAACCGCAATGCTGTAGAGGGATTTTCTGCTGGACTTATTGATGACAATGACATCTACAAATGGGAGGTTGTCATTTACGGCCCACCAGACACAGTCTTGTATGTATATGTTGTACAAAAGCTGTCAACAGAGACAGAAGTGTCAAGCATCTTCACACAGAATTAACTCATCTTAGGAACTGAAGCAAATGCCTAATACTAATTCAATGTCCAGTTCTCAGCTTAATTTTTACATGATCTCATGACAAAGAAATAAGCAAGATGGCCAAGTTTTGAAGTAATTTTATGAACTTCTTGGTTTCAGTGAAGGGGGATTTTTCAAAGCACACTTGCTGTTCCCCAAAGAATACCCTCATCGCCCTCCAAAGATGAAGTTTGTGTCAGAAATATGGCATCCAAACAGTGAGATAAATTTATTGTTTTACTCTGCTGTGTAATCAGTAATTCCACTAGGTGTTTCATACCTGATTCCATGGATGTTCAAGTGGTTTAACTGTGAACTTAAGCATCAACATGGTTAATATTATGGAGGTGATACATGATCTGTGGATAATCTCACTGCTATTACAAATAAATGTCTAACGAAGTCAGGGATTTATCTAGGCCTGTTCAGAGGCGCAAAGTTACTTTACCATCTGTCAGTAAATATTCTCAAGTCGGACCCGTGAAGATCCGGGGTGGAATAGGTCTTCAACCCATTCTTGCCGTAAAAGGCCACTCTGCCTGTCGTAAGAGGCGACTAACAGAATCGGGTAGTCAGACACGCTGACTTGTTTGATGCATGTCATCAATCTCAACTGCGTGGAATGATGCTCATAATGTCAATCACTTGATTATCTGGTTCAGACTCAATTATTTACAGATCGGGGCATATAGCTGGAATATTGCTGAGTGCGGCATTAAACAACAAACAAACAAACAAAATATCCCCAAGTCGCACCCTGAGAGTTGGTAACATCACTTCTGAAGCAAAACTGTGTTGGCAGATGGGTCCAGGGTATTTATCATAATAGAATGGAGATATAATACACAGGATAATTGAGGATGCCTTACTGATTAAGTATCATTGTATCCAGATAGTTGGGATTGTTGTGTACACGTTCCACTGGTTTGTCAAGTCGACTTTTCATGCCTGTTGGGGCCATGGTGATACAGCTATTATGTGGCTCATTCATTCATGATTGTTCCTTGTGTAATTATATACCAGGGAATGGAGTCATCTCACAGATAACATCCTTATCTTGTCAGGTTGCTGGAGGGATTGGTACACATGCACTATACCGGACACCTATCCGCCATGTTTGTTTGATGCTACTATCAAAGCTGCACTTGACAAGCTCAAAATAAGTCTAGTGTTAGAAATTGGCATAGGTCCTATAGTCCTTGCCAAACTGCCCAATGGTTAAGGTATCATAAGGACAAGTAGAAATTTGCCATTTTTAAGGGTTTTGCTTTATAATATCATTATAAGGACTAGTGGATTAAAAATGTAAGTTTCTACCGCTGTAAGCCTGCTTGCATTTGTATGGTTAGTATCATGAAACCTTGGAATTGAATATGAAAGCGATGATGCATAAACATCGGGAAAGTACTCAAAAATAAAAGTTTCATAATGGCAGTGACAACCCTATCAGTGACATCCGTCACAGCCTCATTTCAGCAAACACATATTTTGTATCTACTTTGGTAATTAAACATTGCATTTATTTACAAGAGCATTTAATTCAAGCCATTGAGCACATCCCTTACCAAACTGATGGAAGGTGTCCGGTATACTGCAATCTTGTCGTGGGATTAGCCTCTTTGGTCATGTGGACAAGCCATCCAACCTTGGATCAGACAGTCCGTGGTTCAGATCATGTCACATGTCTTGGAAATTTTATGGCCGCTACATCATGTACATTGGTGCCCAACATTGGGTTGAGCATGTTCATATCAAATTGGAACAAAAAAAGTCTCAGTAACCTACTGTGTGGCCTGGGACATGGCCTCTATTGACAGGGGTGGAAGAAGCAGGGCTTGGAATCATCCCACAGATGACATCCTTCCCATGTCAGCGTGCTGGCGGGTTTAACCTCTTTAGTCGTGTTCAGAAGGTCCGTGTTTCGAATCCCCGAACGGGACTTGAAAATCTTATGGCTGCTACAATGTAAATGTTTTTATGTATTCAGAATGTTCCTAATAACTGGGTGCATTGTTTGAACAGTTGACAAAGAGGGCAACGTTTGCATCTCCATCCTTCACGAGCCAGGGGATGACAAGTACGGCTATGAGAAAGCGTCAGAGAGGTGGCTGCCAGTCCACACTGTGGAAACAATTCTCATCAGTGTAATATCCATGTTGGCAGATCCCAACGATGAATCCCCAGCAAATGTTGATGCTGCTGTAAGATCCATCTTCAGTTTACCATGATAAAGTAGATGATACTACAACTTCTAATAACAATGTGTATTAATAATGTGCTATGTTGTGCTATAATAGACAAGTGCAATCTGATGATAAAAATGCACAACATTATTGTCCTGGTCAATGGATCAGTTTGCACTCGAGATTTCATTCTCAGCTCCCTGGGGAGAATGAGGCGAGAAGGTTATGCATAACAATCCATACCATTGTACAAACCAGTTTATTACACCTTAGACTACAACTTGGATTACTAGTCCACTGAGGTCAGAAGCCTAGGTCCATATAGTTCAGTCTAGTAAGTTTTAATAGCTAATCACAGTCAATATATTCAAAATGTTGAAACTAAAATCTACTTGAAATCAGTTTGGGGCGATTTGACTAAAAATATTTGGTATGGACTGCTTTCTGTCACTTGGCTTCTGACAGTCCAGCAGGACTTTGGGTTGATTTAGGGGTAGCCTGGTTAAAGCGTTTACTCGTCATGCCAATGGCCGGGATTCGATTCCCCACTTGTACATTGTGTTAAGTACATTTCTGGTGTCCCTGGCTGAAATATTGCTGAAAGGGGCTCGCTCGCTCACTCACTCACTCACTCACTCAACAAGATCGAACAAGAGCTCTAACGTTGATTTGTTTTCTGTTGACAGAAAGACTGGCGAGAGGAGCCAGAGGTATTCAGAAAGAAAGTTGCCCGCTGTGTACGTAAGAGTCAGGATGAATTATGATGGCAGCACACATTATCATCAAGGTAGGATTAGACATTATTTTTAGATATCTATGTGGTTGGGGGACCACCGGATAATACACTTACGACCTCGTGGTGTCCTCAACCTCCCCTGTGGTCTAGAGGTAGAGAGTCTGCCCAGACAGCGGAAGGTCGGGGTTTGATCCCTGGCTGTGTCATACCGAAAGACGTTAAAAGATGGTACTTGTTGTTACCCTGTCTGGCGCTCGGCATTAAATGGCTTAAACAAGGACTGGTCGACTTGAGTAAGCAAACACAGTCTAAGTTGGGTGTCCATGTTAAACTGCGGCATGGTATCCCTGTGGGCCAGCACTATAAAACCAGCATTAGTCTGGACTAGTACAAGCAGACAGACACACACACACACACGTCTCTATATTAGTACAAAAATCTTGGAACTCGACGTTTAACCCCATCTCACCTCAACTCACATTTCTTGTCCTCATGGGGTGGATCACTGAACACAGTGCATTAGCCCTTGTGAAGACAATGGTTAAAATTGTTCCATCCCATGCTCTTTGTCAGATGCGACTAACATGATTGGGTGTCCAGGCTCACTGACTTGGTTGGCATGTTTTTGTATCCCAATTGTGTCGATGCTCATGTTAATCACTGGATGGTCGGTTTAAGCTCGAATATTTACGCCATCACCATGACCACAGAGCTAGAAAAACTTGTCCACTTGTATTGTTGTTGACAGCATGTGCAGGGCGAGAAAGAATTGAAGAAACGCTCGTCCTACCGGGCGAGTGCATATGTTTCAATTTGTGTCAATTCATCTCTAATCATTATCAATAAAATAAGCCAGATAATTTTGAACCTAATATACGTTTCCATCTCTAGCACGATATAAGTTATAACAACGAAATACATGTTGCTCATATTGTAAATAGACGACATACTTGGCAACTGTCTTACAGAAATAAACAGGAAGTGTGTTTGCACAGCATGTATCAAAACTAGTTTTTAATAGGAAATACATAAAAATATATTTTTGTTGTAAGCAATATTGAACAGCTGATGATTGATTTTGTGAGGGAAATGGCTGACATTTGGTGGGTTTTGATCGGGGATGTTGAAGCCATGCAAGATCTGTGACATTTTAGGCTTTTCTGCCTTGTGAAATTGATGTGCTATGCTAATTGAAATACTGTTCGTAGTGTCATCAAACCAAGCTCACTCCCTACTACCTGAAAGCACCCACTATACAAATTCTACATTGTCATGTATTTATCTTTAAAATTCGGGAAACTATTGTTCGGCAGACCTTGGGTAAACCATGTTATCAACCTCTAACTTATTTTTTGTTTCAGTCATTTTTCAGGAAAAGATTTCAAGATAACAAGGCAAAGAAAATACCTGTTTCTCATTTGAATTAGTATGCATGTGGCCTCGAGCTATCCAGCCACACTTCAGTACTGTACAGTCCATTGATTTCTCATCCATCCAAATTCTCATTTCCTTACCATGATGAAGTACATACGATGATGTAAATATATTATATACATAAATACAATAACAGTGCTGCCAGTCAGTTATAAATAGCATTTATTGTAGGTTTTCTCTCAGGGCTGTAGTATTAATGAAATATAACATGCTTTTTTATTGCTTTCCGTTATCGTTTGTTTGAATTAAATTTGTCAACGGTATTATTCTCAGATTTACTAAGGTTATATGTTATGCCAGAACGTTATTTTTTATTAAATTTTGTTATAGATATTGTTTTGACTTCTCAGAGACTCTTTGAAACTTTCCTATATTTTTTTATCAGTTGTTTCCAGGAATATGATGCAGGAAGTGAATTATGTGGTATTTAAGAATTGGTAATCTGTGTTTGAAAGAAAGCATTTGTAACTACTTGATATTTTCCCTGCTGTGTCTCAACTGATGACTGAATGTGCATGACAGGACCTTCTCTACAGCCCTGAGGTTAAGTTAATGTTTTGGTGTATTGGGTTTGGTAGTGTATGCTTTTTCATTTTTACTTGTTGTCCTTTTAAAGTCTAATACAAAGATATCCTTCTATTTATTGGAGAAATGTACCAAATATATTAAGCTGTTACAGTGTAAAGCTTCAAGTTGGCTCACTGTTGTTATCTTTGTATTAGATGAAATATATTTGTCAAAATAATGGTTTGATAGTAAATGTTGCATGAAAGTGCATTGCACTTAGAAAAATAGTCAGTCTAAAGATTTAACCAAGGAACATAGTGCTTACAACAAATGTGCTATTAATCAAACAAATCCAATTTAAATATGTTCTGCCATTCCGATTTCTCTTCAAATTGATTAGCACTTCACCTCTACGACTTAGACTGTCTCAAGATGTTCAAGTCTTAATTCAGAATATGAAATACATTTGCTTTTTCCTCTTCTACCATCACTTGTGTTTTACCTGTCCACTGATATCATTATTAATTTCGGTCATATCTTATAACAGTATCCAAATGTTAAATTAACAGTATCCATGTGTTAAATTCCATCAAACGGACATGTTTTATTATATTAGGGACTGGTCAATCATTACAGTGGTGGGTGGGTCAGAGTCTTTTGATGCATGAATGTACTGAAAATAATTTCCCTCCCTAGTGTTCGTCATACTTTTTATGCTCTTCACCATGTCCTTAAGTTGTACATTTTTTCTTGTCCTCCTCCTCCCCCCAATATGTGTATTATTACTTATGGCCCTCCCCTAGAGACTGTCATATTTTTTGGTTTCCTCCAGATTTCCTGAACCCCACCCACCCATAGCTGACCTGTCCCTAACGTCCTTAGAAAGAATGGGATGTTGTTGCACATGTTTCACATGAATTTATCCGTGTTCATCCTCAAACATGTGGGTTGTTTGCACACTTTTAAATTAATATATTATGAATGTGTGTGATGACATATTGTACTTTAGACTTTGCTTTTCTGAGTTATTGAGCAGAAAATATCTTTCTTCACATAATGTGTGATGTTGAATGTTCTATATTCCTGTATGTTTAAAAGTTAAAGAGTGTTGTTTGGAATTCCTATTCTGCTCTGGTTGTGGTGGTACGGACAAGTATGTGGGTGATATAGCTGATATACAATGAGTGATACAATATGCAGGTCACAATCAAATTTGTTTTGGCTTTATTTTTCATCCACTTTGTGGTCAGTAAATACAGTCTTATCTCATGAAGTCAGTTTAAAAATAATTAGGCAATTCCCTTTGTTCTTTTAAGGGGGGTGGGGGTGGGTCACAATTGCCCAGTCGTCAGAGCTGCAATGAGTGTTGCAGAGGTGCGTCCCCTAGACATGCCAGAATCCTACAAGTATGGGTTTTAATCCTGGTTCACCCTGATTGTGTTTCTCGGTTTGTCAGCACACCGGGCTTGTGGGTTTCACCAAAGCATTAAATGTCTAAGACCTACATCACTTAAGGCATCCTCCCACATCAAGCTGACAAGCCATGATACAACTGAAAGTTTTCAAAGCAGCATCATACTCACTCACTCACCCTTTGTCCTTTTTGACTGAGTATTTCTAAAAAATTAAAAGGCATGAATTTCAGAAATCTTTTGAATGACAATTCCAGCCTAAGACTTCAGCTACTAGTATGAAGCCTAGGTTTAGTAATTTTATTTTGGTTTTGTATGATAGGCTAATAAAAGCACTTACGGTCAGATAATAATCGACTGAAAATTACTCAAAAGATTTTGGCTGTTTGGGCTAAAATATTTGGAAATTTGTACTTTTCTGTTGAAAAACACTGTCAACTGGGAGGATTGCTTTTTGGAGTGAATCAGTATTGTTCTTGTTGGATTGAAGTTGTTACTAAGTGTAGGATCTAAGAGGTTGAATGCTCCGACTCACTACTGGTTTGATACAATTCTCTGTATGTATATCCATTTCACTGTAGTCGTAACCCTGATGTGCACTGGCTGCATGTTTACAACCTTACCACATACCCACTTACTTCACAGCTGCCCAAATTTGGAATTTCAAAACCATTTGAGGATTTCCATTTTTCTCTTGAAAACATGTTTGTTAATTGCAGTTAGAACTATTGTTGGAGAAATAGTGAAGTGAGTGGGTACAATGTTGTTATCAACTTATTTTGTATTCAATTTACCAAGACAATTAATGATCTCGGCTTAAGAACCATCATAAAAATAATAATAATCCCTAGCTAACAGTATTGTAAGCAGTTACTGGTGTACAGTTTACTAACACACTTAATGGCATCGATGCAAAGTCTGCATTGAGAATTTGTTGTTAGTGTGCTAACTCACAGGGCTCATTCAACAGCTGTCAGCACCCAAGGCTATAAATTACCTTGTAATGGTGGATTATCATATGCGTATCAAGTGCTATATATTCTGGTTAACCAGTTCAGTGTTATAGCTGGTTACTGTCCAATCTGTGTGATATATCTATAAACGTATTACAACATGGTACACTCTGCAGGCTCCAGCAGGTAGGAGAACACAGTTGAGTGAGCCCTAGTTTTTGGTAAGTAGTACCTCTGTACATATTTTGTGATAAGGGAGCAGACTGTTTCCATCAGATTGGTACATTAATACTGCAGTCAATAAACTATTGATTTCAATGTACTGTTTGTTTTTTAGTTTGTTCTGGTACACAAGATTTTGTGTTGATGGTGTCAAACATTTTTCATCATATTTGCATTAACTGACACAAGTCAGTAAAGAGCTAGGTTATCTGTAGGTTTAATTGTCACAATTGAATTTGGAACCCAAACGCACAGTGTGAGGTTTCAAATGTAAAATTTAACGTGGTTAAATCTACAGGTAACCTAGCTCTACATTGAAAACACAGTATGTTTATCACCATTCTACCATAACTAAATAAGTTTGTTTACACCGTAATACTTCACACAAACAATGACAGGCATTGATAGCATGTAGCACAGCAACTTCGTATGCTAACATGACGTGGGCATCCCTAAAGAAAAACAAGCAGGCCTTGCAAAGGTTTCTTTCTACACTGCACGTGACTATTATGACATCTTATCGTTCAATGTGACGCAAAGTATTTTTATCTCTGTTCTACCATGACAAAATTATACTCCATCTCTTTGGTGTTAGCAAAGATGAGTGAAGCGGCATGTGTTGAGTTCAGTGTTTTGGCTGGGTTTTTTTTAAATTGCACTGTGACGCAGCTGTCAAACCAGCTCTTTCACTCAGAGGTGGTTATTGTCATTTGAAACCTCTGATAGTGAAATTTCCATATTCATGATTGGATATTAGATAAATATACAGAGAGACAGTTTTCATGGCATTTTAGTGTTGCTAACATCCCTCTTGTGGTAAATCTACAGTTGGAATGTGGGTTCCCCTTGACATGATGGTTGATAACCACTCTCGGGACTGGGAAACTCTGTATTCATGGGTCATCGACCTCTGTAGTCTAGTGGTTGAGCATCTGCCTGGAGAGCGGAAGGTCCGGGGTTTGATCCCCGGCCATGTCATACCAAAAGACGTTAAAAGATGGTTACCCTGTCTGACGCTTGACATTAAAACAAGAATTTGTTGGCTCGGAGTCAGTATACTGTGTCTTAGTGGGGTATTCTGTTGTAAGAGTTGTAAGATCAATGGTATCTAACAGGCACGAGTGCAGTAATCTGTTTCTTACACACCCTAAAATCGCACCTTTTTAGCATCAAATCGATGAATTTTGTCTATTCTCATGATCGCAGTAGCGCATTAATACATAACACCACTGTCATAAGTGACGTCATCCTATGTACTGCTTACTACTCATAAATAATGTGACCCTACACAAAAAGGTTTCCCCCATATCTGCGGATTATCAAGACCATGTCGATAATGCAAACTAGACAAAAACAAAGAACACGCTGGATGCCGAGTTAAAAGTTTACACTTCAAAGCAATTACCAAATATGTACAACAATGTTTAGTCCAGTATGACATCACTACCTGTGACTGACTTTTACAAAATGGCGTGTTCACTGACAACAGTACGCAGGATTTCAAGAGGAGGATTTTCGTTGATTGAGGGATCGTATATACATAAATGTGTCACGTAAGTAATCAGAAACATTCTGACAATCTGCATACTGTTATTTTTTTGCCATATTTTCCAATGTAACAAAGAGAATTACTCAGAAATGCAGATAACTACCGTCCTCGTGCGTGATTTAGCGTCAGTCATGGCGTCACAGGACAGAAACTTTTACGGTTTCTGTTGAATTTACCACGTCACTGTAATGTTTATATTTAAAATTACATACTTACTGCAACGATACTCTTCCCATGAATATTCTCAAATGCGTGATCGGGCCAATGTATGCAACAATTAGACGAAAGTACCTCTAAAAATGCTACACAGTGTAAAGTCTGAATTTTTTGTTTACATTTCAGCAAGTACAGTTTTCCAAGCAGTGTTCATTTTAACACCTGATTATATCTAGATAATTTGCATTCGTGACAAAGACCATTTGTCAATTGTTCCTAAAATGTATGAGGAATTCACGGATGCATTTATAGCTGCTGAGTTTGAAATATACCTGATCGAATAGGTGTCTCATAACCAGCATTTTGTAAACACAATCCAATATGGCGGAATGTACACTTCAGCGTTCGTGTATGCGTATTTTCCAAAATATTCTAAACGATTCTAGGCTTATCACCGACGTTTCAGAATTATCATTAGTTATTTGATACCCGTGATCACCAATATGCTATTTCTCTCCTTTAATTGTTCGAGTAAATATCCAATATGTAGATTTCTAAACACACAGTAAATAAAGCCGTGAATTGTGATTTGGCGAGATTTATGATGTACCTAATTTGCCGAAGTCACTTTCAGTAGTTTTGCTTTGCCTAAAATGACTGTAAATGATAAACAGAATAGGGAATTCAAAACTGTGAAGTGTATTAGTTTGCGTGATGTATTTTTAATTTTATTCGACTTCAAAGTGAGGGTTGAAGAGAAGGGACACATGTGGTGCTGTGGCATCCAAGGGGTTTACACTCTAAAAACCGATAACGTTGACATAACAACAGATAATGTACCTGATAATAATAACAAACAAACTCGCAGACGAGGCAAGTTTGTTTATTATTATTATTAATTACACGGTCCTGTGGTTCAATACAGACGTAGGTGAACATTCGACTGAAGCACGAGCAACTTATGAATGACTTACACTCAGGAAAGTAGTCCGTCGATCTCACACACGTTTGATACCAGTTATCTCAAATGGGTTTCTCACCAACAGTTGGAAATGTCACATCTAAAGGTTAACAAAACTCAGATGAAAATTGTAGGACAAGAATCTTTTCTGTTGCGGACAAGGATGGAAGCGTGTCTTGAAAGAGTTAAAATAGACGATTTGTCAAACCTCAGGAGAAAACCTGAATATGAGCAAGTCTGTAACCCAAGATGAAGTTTTCACCTGATATTTGTACTGAGAAAATACAAGACATGTTCAAATAACTAAAAGGAACACTTCAGTTTTCCCCCAATATAATCTAATTTCTAAAATGTTTATCAAATCTCTTCAAAGACTACACAAGAGGAAATGAACACAAACAATACTGCATACACATAATTATTTATAAACTTTAAGATTACAGTATAAGCACATTTTCGGTTATACACCTATTGCTGGGATGCTATCGACAATAATTCAGAAACAATAATCAAAATATTTCATGTAAGAAAACCATTGAATGATATCTAAATGACATATCACAGCTTGCTATGGTATACGGCATATATCCAACACCAGTTATCACATCACGAAAACTCCATGGCAGTTGCGCACACATCAGCATGAACTGTTATAACATCTGATGGGAACAGGTCTCCACACAGGGGACACTCCACAAAACTCTCTGCATCATGTGTTGAGATAACATCGGAGTCGGCACTGTCATCTTCAACAGTGTACACATCATCTTCATCTGGCTGTGTGACTCTGCTGGAGGATGAAGAGGCAGCAGCAGACAACTCTTGTCCCACATTGCAGGTCCGGGAGTGCTGGGGAAATATGTGTTCCGGAACATTACCTGCAAACATGTAAAACAATCAGTAAGTCATGTCCACTTAGATGCACAACTACGTACCGTGTCTCAACTGTGACAGTCCAGTAGACGTGGTTTGTTATCACGGGTCCGCACTAATGAGGTTTAATGTTCATGTCAATAATGAGGATTCCAAATAATTTCTCTGATGATGAAAGTTCTTTTCTGTCACTAGACTGTAAACTCACATGATCTGGTAACTCTCCTATTGAAACCTTGATTGTCTATAATTCAGGATTCACCTAAACTTGGTTGCTATTTCAGGATTCCCTGAACTTGATTGTCTATTTCAGGATTCCATAAACCTGATTGCCCATAATTCAGGATTCCATAAACTTCTATAAATAAGGATTTGCTAAACATGCTAAACTTGATTGTAATTCAGGATCTTACGAAAATTGATTGTCTATAATTCAGGATCTCCAATATAGTCGAACTTGAATGTGTCGAATTCCCAGTTGTATTGAACCTATTGAGAGTTCCAAGTGTCCAAATTAAGCACAAAATTTCCCTGTCTCGAACACTTGCCAAAATCGAACTTTTCCCCAGGTCCCCACGAGATTAACATGAGAGTACGCTGATCACTGTGTCAGATTAACGAGACTGATTAATGAGTGATTTCAGCAATTCATTGCAAATTAGGTGTCGGAGTCGGAGTGCGAGACTGTCGGATTAATGGGTCTAAATAGCACTGATTAAATCAGTTCCCATCATTTGTGTCGGATAAAGCCGATTGTCGGATAAACTAGTGTCGGATTAACGAGACGTGACTGTACTTGTTTGTCTATGATTCAGGACGCCCCACAACTCAGTTGTTCGTACTGTTGGTTGCCAGGGACTACCCACCTCTGCATGATGGACAGCTGACGTAACCACCATATCCTGAGCCTTGGTTCGACCGCCTGGAAAATATGTAACAGACACATTAATAAATTCTCTTTCTTTAAAACATTAAAGATATCAAGCATTCATTTCTCTTTGTGATATCAAGGCTGTAAGTGTAGCTTCAAGCCATGAATATATACAATAATATCATTAATATTGTTTCAATGAATAACCCTACATTATGAGTCCAGAAAGACTTCCTCATCACTCTCCTGCTTCAAAAAACCCATCAAGACCCACCTGTTCAAAAAACACTCCCACTGACTATAAGTTTCATTGTAGCGCACAGAGCACTTATGCACAGTGAATGCTGCGCTATACAAATGCATAAATTATTATTATTATAAGGTCTCCACTCTTGTTTACGTTGTACTACATGGGTATTAAATTGGTATGAGGATGTACCTCAACAGAGGACATTACTCAACGTAAACATTAAGTCAAATTATGAAATAAATGTATCATAATAACCTTACAAACCTAGACATATTTTCTTCATTTATTTTTCGACTCCCTACAGTTCCAAATGTTGCAGACTGCCTTGGTGTTTTTGTCCTTGTTGACCCCGAGGGTTTTGGTGTACCGGGATTAGAACCAGCTTGTGTAGAAGTTGTCCCCACTAACCTGTCATTAGCACTGACCATGCCCTTGCCTTTAGACAACCACTGATCACAAGTATCGGCTCGGTCAACCTCGAGTTCTTTAACATTCCGACTTCTCTTCCTAGTTTTCGGAGTTCCGTGTGTATCAACAGCAACAGCACCCATATTAACAGCTTTTGAGGCAAATGGAAACCTTTTGCGAGAATAGTCATTGCCCAGGTCGTCTTCTTGCTGAAATGTCTTTTGAATTTGGGAAATAAGACTTGTTTGGGGTAGTAATGTTGATTTGGACGAAATGGGAGTGCTTAAGTTTGATTTATACCCCTGTGTCCGAAGACTTTTTGGTGTCCGAGAAAATTCATTTTCATTCTCAAGCTTTCTTTTACAACCTGATGGTGTTGTATGTGTCTTTTCAGTTGATTTTTTGTAGCTTTTGGGTGAAAAAGAATGAGAATCTGCCACCTCTTGAGAGCGTGAGGAAGATGCAAGGGGAGACAACTCTGTTGGGTTATTCTTTGTCTCAGCTGCGTCGAACAAGCTACAGATATGGTCTCCACACTGCTGCATGAATATTTTCTTTTCGTCTTGACTCAGCTTTCTTTTCTTCTTTTTTTCAAACTTGTGGCGCAAATCTGCAAAATTATTATTTTACCTTGAGCATTAACATGATTAAATGCCTCTATCATGTCAGTCTAAAAGGCGGTAAATTATTGAAACGGTTTTCAATTTCATTGACTTTTGAACTAAGTTTCTTCACTACTGTTTCATCTCTGAAAGCAAATTTAACTTGCTACGTGTGGTATTAATAAGCAGCCCCATTTGTCAACCATCTGGGTGACCCAGGGCCTTCATAACAGCAAATACAGTAGTGTGTGATTTCGGCCTACCTTAGAATTAAGCACCACAAAGTGTACAAACACTTGAAGATCTGTGGGTTTAAATCCTGTATGTTACTCCACCCCAAAAAGTACTAGAATTAGAAGTATTTGTTTGTTTGTTGTTTAACGCCACACTCAGCAATATTCCAGCTGTACGACGGCAGTCTGTAAATAATCAAGTCTGGACCAGACAATCAAGTGATTAACATCATGAGCATTGATCCACGCAGTTGGGATACGATGACATGCATCAACCAAGTCAGCGAGCCTGACCACTTGAACATGTTAAATCTTCAAATCATGCACATTTTGCAAGGGAGGGGCCCAAAATATCAAAATCTTCTCTCCGATAGTTTTAGTGCCTATAACATGCAGTATTCCATCCCGGATCTTCACAGACAGCAGACAGTTCAACATTCTCTGTCAGTGACCACCTTGTAATCAGGGGATGTAGACATATAACATGTCACCATGACAAATGGAACTGTGGGTATACCGTATTCGACGTAATAAGCGCCCCCGATGATATTTGCTAATATATTGACTAGTGAACAATCCTAATTATCACCTCTTCCGATTAATCAATGTACACAAGATTTATTTATTCGTGTATAATACGCACTCGTGTGTTATATGCACCCTTAATTATGGGCAATTAAATTCTGGAAAAATATATCTGTCGTGTATAATAAGCACAGACTTTTCTTTTGTATCTTTTCAGGTACATAAACCTAGAAATTTACCATCTTTCAACTGTTTTTTTTTCACCAAAATTATATTCTAATAAGAGCCCCCTATTTCATCGAATACGGTATTACACATCTCGGTGACTCAACAACGAATTTGACAGAAGCCATTTTGCCCTTTCGCGTATCCTTTGTCATTGTATCACTGAACGGAGCTGAAAATCCAGTCATACACAAAGAAATGTTGCTCATGAAATGAAGTTTTTCTGATTCAGATATTATTTTTAGGTGGCCACAAAATAACTGTAAATTGAATACAACACATTTACAAATCCTGAAGGGATCACCTGGTGTTCTGGCTCAGGCCCTGTGTGTTATATGTAATCATGGTAATATCATCTTTCCGAGGCAAGAGAGTTAACTGAGTATAAAAGTCCAGTTTCCACCCTTGCCGAAATAGGCTGGTATTATGGAGTTACATTTTGGCTGGACTAACGAGTCTATGCATAGTCCAATCAAAATCGTGCACCGAAATCAAAATCCAGTCCGTAAAGTGTCGTGCATGCACCACCAAGTTGTCAGCAGATATTTTCCAAATCTTTTTAATCAAGGTGCTCACGTGATTTGATGCATTTCGCGATGTAAGACACGTTTTCAATCACAATATAGATCTTGATTATCGATCAGATCGTCCTGACTGGGCGCCACCATTTTGTGTGAAACAAACGCAAGTGATACGAAAGGTGGAATCTGATTGGTCCATAGAAGAGGATTAGAAGGGTCATAACTGGTAATAGCCACTGGTGGCGCTACGATCGAGCCCAGTAATTCCAGCCAAGTTCGGCAAGGGTGGAAACTGGACTTTTAAAGTCAGTTAACTCTCTTGCCTCGGGAATATGTGGTAATATCTGCCAATCTTCCTTGTACAGGATTATTCAAGTGATGGTATGATTATTGAAAAACACACCTGCGATAGTCACCTTGTCCAAATCAATGTTTTCCATTTGGATTGAGCTTAAGAACTCACACAATTCTTCTTCAAACTGAAAAAAAAAAAAAAATCCCAAAAATATAATCATTTTCAACTTTGTACATATGACAAATGGCTCAAACAACGTTAATCTGAAATCTTTCCGAGAGAGACGGCTACCACAAATGCCGATGGTCAATAGTATTGGTGGTCTTGTTCAAATAGATCTATATTTTTAAATATTAATAATGCTTATCACCGAAAGAGCAAACACACCATTGGTGAAACTAGGAATAGCTAAATAGATTGATAATCGGAACTACCATCAATGGGAAGAAATATTAACGTTCATTGATATGAAAATTGTGTAATTGATTATACCTTACACACACTATTATGATGAAATAAAGATTAAATTAAGCAAAGAAGACTTGTTTTTTACCATTGCCAAACACAGAAAGCAACTGATTTGGTTATATCTAAAATGTCCACAACGTAATCCATGCATAAATGTGTCACCACTCTCCAGTGATTGAGCTTTTTGTATACTTGCTCAAAGTTACTTCTCCGATATTTATTGATAATTGATCGTAATTTTGTTTATTAACCATTATTGATCTCTAAGATTTTTAGCCAGCCTTAGGTGAAACACATTGAAGTCAGAGATGATCACATGATCAGACAAGCAAGAGTTACGTTCTGTGTTATTGGATAACAAATACTGACAACACTTAGGCTAAAAAAAGAAGAAGAGAGTCTTGGCTCCCAGGCACTGCCCGCATCATCATAAAGTTTGCCGCACGTTTGGTTTTTATTTCCATTTTTAAAAAATTTTTAAAAAAATTCTTAAATATTCCAAATCCAATGGTAGTCAAATACTTTATTCCAATATTTTGCTCATCAAGGAAGGGAGGCCCTTTCCCAGGTTGATTGTACAAAATTGTTTTTAAAAAAAGAAGAAGAAAAAAGACACCCACCGCCCGCACTATATTTTTATAAACCCTTACCTGAGAACCAATTCTTTTATTTTTTTAAGCCTTAAGGATTCTATTTTAGAAATGATTGAAATAAATTGATTAAATGAAATGTTGTTGCAGCTTTCTACATTTTAGCTTATACTAGACTTCTTTCGCTTGGAAGCTGACAGACCAAGGACGATAATCAGAATGAAACACGGCTCAGAACCCATGACAAAAGCTGATTCTGTCAACACCTCATACAACTGGGCCAACCAAGCAAACAGTTGTCAGGTGTTGATGAATGTGTTGATCTTTTGTCAGTACTTATTGCTAATATCTAATACTGTCTCATATATCACGCATATCTCTATAGTACTCTATACACTTACTAGGCATTCACCTAATGAAGGAGCAAGAAGTAGCCCTGAAACATCATACAGAGAATAAAAGAAGTTGCTAAAAGTGTCATTTGTCATCCAAAACTGGCTCCCACAGGAGATGTCGCTTGGATTAGATCAAGCGATATCTACACGGTAGATATCGCTGCAATGAAATGACATCACAATGCTTTGCAGATCATTGTGACATCACTGGTTACCATGACATCACAATCAAATGACATCACTAATGGCTCTGCTACTGAAGCTGTTAGCAGTACTTTTTACACTGAAGTCACTGCTAATTACTGTCTACAAATTGAAAAAGTTGGAAGAATGATGTTGGATGATAAATAAAATCTCACCTGAGTGTTTTTTGATATCAAATATATCAACACTCATGATAAAAGTGGCAAAAATCCTCGGCAAGCCTCGGAATTTGTCCACTTTTATCAACTCATGTTGATATATTTGATATCAAAAGACACTCGAGTGAGATTCTCTATGCATTAATATTGTCTCAATTTACGGCAAAAAACAAATGGTTGATCATGTTCAATACTTACAGTTGATCCATATTTCTGCATTAGATGCTCAGAGAAAAGTGAAATCTTGGCAGATTTGCCTGGGCCAGCTCTGACTTGCGGGCTGTATTTGCCAGCATTCTCCGATGCTGCCAATACAAGCTTGGCTGTTCTGGACAACGCCCCGTCTAGTTCCACCCCACCATCGGAGGACCCAGCCAGTTTCATCAGTCGGGACTTTACAGCATCGGGGGAAGCACTGCTGTGTTTACAATGTTTCAGGAAATTAATATGATGAAGAGATGTAATAAATGCTGACACATCATCATGATCATTGATTTCATTTTTCCAACACTGAATAAAGATTGTCAAACGTGCTTCACCTGATGGAAGTTCATCAAGGAATCTGTACATACCTGAAGCCTCAGTGTCAGATTGTAATCATGTTAATCAGATGGAATATTGATGAGTTAATTGTTAAAGTCTCAAGTTCTAAAAGGCTATATAAATATTACGACAGAGCAAGGCCACGTACTACGATACATAGGTCACAATATGATACGTATCGCAATATCCATAATTTCGTCAAATCCCGTGGAAACTTCTTGACATTTAATAATTCAGTGCAGGTTCAAAAGAAAAAGCTACCTGTAGACACATGTTTGTAGCAGATATTTGTATTAATGAACTTAACTTGAAACGCATTGAGAAGCATTGAACAAGTAAGTTATTTATTTTAGCAAGTGTATCATCTTGTAATGATACAGAAACAAAATGTATTGTGTAATTGTGTATCTTGTCATCACATGAAAATTCCCGATGCACTGATGTATCATTTCACTCCTATTAAATATCAGACTTGTTTTTGTATCAGAATGGTTGAATATAGAGTCGTCCATGAGTGAGTGAGATGGGTTTAACACCTATCTGAACAGTATTCCATACATCATGGCATGTCAGCTTAATGTTGGAGGAAAGCCTGAAGTGATGCAGCTTTCAGACATTTACCACTTTGGGGAAACCCACAAGCACAGGTATAGTGCTGACAAACTTAGAACCATAATCAGGATTTTGGCCCACAAATCGATCACTGTGATAAATGATACTTAAACTGTTATTAGCAAGTAAACATGTACTTCATGTTGTACAAAATCAAGGCTTTTCAAGCTATCTTAGGGAGTTTCACTAAAAATCAAGGCTTATCAAGCTATCTTAGGCAGTTTCACTAAAAATCAAGGCCTTTCAAGCTATCTTAGCGAGTTTCACTAAAAATCAAGGCTTTTAAAGCTATCTTAGGGAGTTTCACTAAAAATCAAGGCTTTTCAAGCTATCTTAGGGAGTTTCACTAAAATTCAAGGCTTTTCAAGCTATCTTAGGGAGTTTCACTAAAAATCAAGGCCTTTCAAGCTATCTTAGGGAGTTTCACTAAAATTCAAGGCTTTTCAAGCTATCTTAGCGGGCCTAAAAATTAAGGCTTTTCAAGTTATCTTAGGGAGTTTCACTAAATATCAAGGCCTTTCAAGCTATCTTAGGGAGTTTCACTAAAAATCAAGGCTTTTCAAGCTATCTTAGGGAGTTTCACTAAAAATCAAGGCTTTTCAAGCTATCTTAGGGAGTTACTAAAATTCAAGGCTTTTCAAGCTATCTTAGGGAGTTTCACTAAAAATCAAGGCCTTTCAAGAGGAACCTTAAAATTCAAGCCTGAATGAAGCTTGTATTATGAACACACTGTAACCACACAAAAAGTGAGTGACAACCAGAAATAGGTTTCACATGCAGTACCCATATGGGGAATCTAACCCAGGCCTTCAGCGTGATATGCAAACGCTTTATCCATTAGGCCACCTCACTTCCCCTAACCACATGCTCTTGAGAGGTTACAGTTACACTGACTTTATAGTAGGGGCGTCACACTACGCATACCGCCTCACGATACGATACAGGATACATGTACACTTATATCGATACAAAATTGTATTGAAATCGGTATCCATCTGATCGCGTATCGATTGATTTACTAGCTTTACTCGATTGTCTTGAGTCCTACGATTTGCTTGTTTTCATTGGCTACTGAAGTGTTATTGACCAATCAGAGACAGCGGTTCATAATAGCGCCTGTCAGAGCACGTGCAGACGACATCATGGAGTTCTCGGAGACGGAATTTGAAGACCCGCCGGGGAAGTTTAGTTCAAATTTCTGGAGACATTTTAAGTTTCCGGTGTTCTATGAAGCCGGTGTAAGGAAAGTTTGCCGCGAAAAGACTGTTTGTCAACTATGTAAAATGCACATTTCCCAAACAGGTAGCACAATCAACATGAACTTTCACTTATAAAGGCACCATCCATCTGCGTCGGTCAGCGCAACTCCAAGCCCTTGCAAAATAATCTACTGGTAGTGATTAGAACACATAATTGTGAAAGTGATATGTAACTAAAAATTTTGCTTCTAAATATACTCATAAAAGGTCGCTATTGCTGTATCGAGATACGTATCGTATCTTGACCTCAAAATCGAGATATGTATCGTATTGTGAAGTACTTGTATCGTGACACCCCTACCAACAGTTTAGATCAGTCAAGAGATCAACTGAGCATCAAGCAACTTACTGTTTGTTTAATGACGATCCAAAGAAGTGTTTCTGAATTGATGCCACTGAATTTGTTTTATCTTGTAACTCCAAACAATGACCACCCTCGTTCCCTTCCGATGGTCTGATCTTGCTTCCCACTGCTCTGATTCTCACAAATGAGAGGCCATATTGAACATCTTTACGATAAGGCTGCCGACAAATCACCTGGATTCGATCCCACTTTTGGGCCGCTACTTCAGGTGCAAAGTTCTCTGAGAAGGAAAAGACAGGACCTCTTTGAGTGAGTGATATTATGGGCACATGTATCCTACATTTACTTAAGTAACTACACCCACAATGAAACTTACTTTACCAAGTGACTGAGTGAGTTGGTTTTAATGTCACTTTGTATGGTATTCTAGTTATATCACAATGTGTCAGCTTGATGTGGGAAGAAAGCCTGAAGTGATGCAGGTCTCAGACGTTTACCACTTTGGTGAAACCAACAAGCATGCGTATGGTGCTTACAAACCTAGAAAATAAATTTAGGCAAACCAGGATTTGTTTTTGTTTGTTTGTTTGTTTGTTGTTTAACCACACCACACTCAGCAATATTCAAGCTATATGACGTTGGTCTGTAAATAATCAAGACTGGCCCAGACAATAATTAAGTGATTGGCATCATGAGCATTGATCCACGCAATTGGGATATGATGACATGCAGCAATCAACCCGTTAGTCGCCTCTTACAGCAAGCATATTGAGGAAAATATGTAAATGCACATGTAACATATAGACATTACGATGTATCTTTACATACATCTATACACACTTGAACTATTTTAAAAGTCAAATACTATTACCGTATTCGACGTAATAAGCACCCCGCTCTAATAAGCGCCCACTGCAATATTTGCTGATATATTGGCTGAACAATCCCAATTAGCCCCCCTTCCGATTGATCACTGTACACAAGACTTATTTATTCGCGTATAATACACCACCGTGTGTTATATGCACCCTTAATTATAGGCAATTAAATTCTGGGAAAATATATGTGTCGTACATAAACATTTCAGGCTGTCACCATAAACCATGAAATTTATCTTTCAACTCTGTTGTTTTTCACCAATATAATATTCTAATAAGAGCCCCCTATTTCTAATTTTGAGAGCGCCCTTGGCGCTTATTACGTCGAATATGGTAATTATAATTTTATGCAAATCTGAAAATATGGTGAGTGATTTCCCTATATGTCTCTATGGTTAAGAATGACTTCGTGACTTGGTCAATGCATGTAATTATATCAAAATTATGTAGACTGATGCTCATGATGTCACTCACTGGATTGTGTGGTCCAGACTTGATTATTTACAGACAGGAATATTGCTGATTGCGACAAACAAACAACATGAGTGAGTGAGGTTTTACACCGCTTATAGCAATATTCCAGCAATATTACGGCGGGGGACACCAGAAATGGGCTTCACACATTGTACCCATGTCGGGAATCGAACCTGGGTCGTCGGCATGACGAGCGAACGCTTTAACCACTAGGCTACCCGACCGCCCCACAAACAACATGAGTTACCTGCAGAGAACATCCTAGTCTTGACACTCCCCTGCCCCATCTTGCACTCCACTGGAGTCATCAGACTTGAAGTAGGGACCAGTGTCCTGTACAGCCTGTTCTGGGGCCAGTCAGAATTACCCACTTTGATCTCAATGCTTCCACACCACTGACTGCCTAGCAGAATCAAACGGTTCAGTGTTATAAACTTTAATGTTACAAATAAAATATGAACACGAATTTGTTACTGACAACAGTCAGAAGAATTTACTGGCCTTCATGAATACAAATTAACTAGCCCCTACTGAAAGTCAACAAGGTAACTTACCATTCCTTACCTCTTGATAAATGTAAATACTGCACTTTTTCCATAAAAGTGTACACTAAATATATTAATTTTGTCTTAAGTACAACATCTAGAATAAAAAATCTGTTACTGTGCCCTTTGTAACACAAATGTGGAAATACTGTCAGTAAGTCCCCCACAAAAATTGACAGTTAGTGTTGATTCCATGATTAGTCTTTTCATGAAAAAGGGAGCCCTTCACAAAAAACACAAAGTTTACTGGATGACTGTTACAGTGGTCTCAATTATCAGACTTCCAGGAGTATGGTACTGTGTGGTTAGTTAAGCATGCTCACCAATATCAATGTAGGCAAATTGACTGGGTTCCTCCAGCTGAAAGATTGCCTGTATCTGTCCTGACTTTTCTTTAGGGTGAGACAACCATTTCTTAAAACCATCACCTCCGACAAGATTCTGCACCTTGTGATGATCATCCTGAAATAAGTATACACCATGTATCGATGTCCTGAACTTGCAACACCTCCCTCAAATGAATTATATCTAGGGCATGGGGCCACCAATTATTACATTTACCAGTTCACTCAACAGCTCGACTTCTGTCGGTTCTGATCTCAATGATCAGTTACGTCCTACACTTGTGACAATCATGGAGTTTACTATACGACTTCTTAAATATGAAAACTGTAACACAATTGATCAGACTAGAGACTGATAATAAACAATAATTACCTGTGAAGAAAATGAAACAACAAATTTGATGGATACTGGCGCCATATTTGTTTTTCGCGGGATGTTAAACTAAAAATAGTCCACGTTGCATAAAACGGAAAACAGATTGTTTACTCATATGCTAAATGAGTATTTTCAAGCTCGATCATCATTTAATAAGCTTATATGAGCCTTGTGGGTTTGCTGATTTAAAATGATTTCTTGTATTTGTTTAGATTTGATGGATTAATATACTTAACTTTTTTCCGAGACCGCATTTCCAGTTTTGAATTGGTAAGAGTTGCGATTAGATGCGTCGTCTGCACGTCAACAAATAAGTGCAAATGTTTGTCGATGTAGACCTAAAGTAAATATTTTCAATTTATGTTGTGTACTAACTATTTTCATCACTTGAGTGGCTTCTATCTGGAACATCCTATTGACATTACATTATATTGTGTAAATACAGCTGTGTTCAAGGCCTACTTTTCAAGTTATTGCTTTTATGCAATCTTTTGCCTGATAAAAAGGATATCAAAATCTAGACCCTAAAGCTTATCAATATATGCGGTTCACACTTAGAAAATACTTTTGCAATTTATGGCAATGTCATTTTATGTTTTAACAGGGTTCAATCTAGTCAAATATTTAAGCATTTCCACAAGTCAAACCCTTTTAAGATGATTTTACATTTTTGCTAATCTTAGGGTGACAACTGCGCTGAATTTGCCTATCCATATCAAAGTCTTCTTACCTTTAGAATTCAACACCAGAAAATTCACAATCTCATGACAATACTCTAGTACATACTTTTGTAAACAATGTTGCTAGACACACCATCTAAAAATATTCTCTGTAGGAGAATCTGAAATTTATAGCTATCACTCATATTTATACGTTACTTTACCCTTTAGGCCTATTTGACACAATTCAACCAACATGCCCCATTGCTCCAAACTAATTTAAATTTGTTCTTTTGGCTTTGATTAAGTATTGACAGTTTTCATGTGTATTGTGAGCTGAACCTGATAACCTGTATATTTGTTTTACAAGTTTTGTTGTTGCTGGATCAAGTGAACAGTGACCTGGGAAGACACAGGTTAATGATGGACAGCATCTTCCTTTCTTCAAACATCTCACAATCAGATGGGTACAGTAGTATTTCAATACTGAGAACTGAGCCTGCCAAGTCTGTAAAGACAGCCACTCTTAAAATCAACTATTTCAAAGTATTAACTGTATTTTTAAATAAAATGGGGACACAATTGAACACTATGAAAATGCTTCTTATGTCTCAGTGAGGAGCTAAGTGTCTTTAACTTGGAGATTACAAAATCCATTTGTGTTATTTATGAGCTGCTCATAAAAATGTAGCTATGTTTTAAACATAACCTTCTGTTCATGTAAATAGATCTGCATGAAAATATATTTCTGTGACAGTGACACTCAATTACAAAGACACATAAATGTCAAGTTGTTTTCTTAGACTTCTATCTTGAATGATGAATAACATAACTCAATGAACATGTTTGTTGAAGCTTGTCAACTCAGAAAAGGAAATGGTCTGGAATACCAGAACCTCCGACCGATATTGATGCTGGAATCTTGTCCAGCTCGTTCTTCTCAGAATTACCACTGTCAGAAGTGTTCCACCTTTCCCAGTCCCAGAAGAAATCAAGATCACCTCTTATTTTCCAATCTCAGGAAAAAGGTAGTCATTCATTTAAATGTCTTAGGACTACCCCAGAATGTATTTTGGCTGCCTCAGTAACCTTTTTCTTAGCTCACCAAACTAAAACTTTAAGAATACTGTAAATCATGAAATTTATTCGTCAGATTAATGCAAGTGTTGGCCCACTGGCTTCATATGCTTCACTTTGTTAATGTGAGCAAAGGACACACTTTGTTCGGATTAATTTCATGACTTACAGTATTCACAATAAAGAAATAATCTATGTAGAACGTCATCCATGCAGGTGTATTTTGTACTGTTAATAAGTGTTGGGAATTGTTTGTAAAATCATGATTTATGTTTGGATTACCCCAACCGATCAGTCATCAAAATTAAGTGATTAGTGTCATTTTGCTGTTTTTTAATTTTAGGTTCAGTATTACTAGATCACAGCTACCGGTAACAAAAAACAAACAGAAAATACTTGCTTCAGCACTTTATTTTCACTTTTTCTTCAAGTACCAAGAAGTACCAGCAAGTGGTGAATAAATCTTCTCAGGAAACAAAACTATCTCAGGATTTGATAGTACATAATATAATCTATTTTTTTAAAGATGACAACAGTTGAGCACTTGGGGGTTAAAATCATTTGTGTTTGATTATGGAAAATTGCATTTGATTGCTTTGTCATTTGGACCTTCTATTATTTTAGTTAATTGAAACACCACAACTGTTAATAACTTTCTTTTAATTTTCAGAGAATGTTTTTCTACAGATAATGCCTCAATCTCAAAGAAGCTTCAAGTAAGATTATTATTGAGGAATATGATGATTATTTTTTAAATTTCTACTTCACAGAATGTGTTGTGTATAGTATGTAAAAGAATATTATTTAAAATAGTAACATTGTAACATTGTAACATTGTAACAAGGCTATCAACTGTAAGGTTGACAAGCCTAGATTTAGGCACAGACTGTCATTGTGTAAACATATCTTTTGTTATCAATACTCAGACAAGAACTAGAAAATGTTGGTAATATTCCCTATTTTTTTAGTTTTGTCTATAATCCTAGAAGTGATATCTTTTCTTCAAATTTTAATTTAGAAATCAACTTCCAAGATGTAACACATTCAAAACCCCCCAGAAGCAAGTTTTTAATCCAGTCTACCAACGAGAAGCTGATGTTGATAACCTAAGTTTCTTGGACTATGGGACCCCATCTCTCAGCATTACACCAACTTATAAGGGGCTCTCAGCTGCAGACAAGGCACCTCACTCATCAGTGACGCACAGGAAACTGGAATGGAATGATTGGAATTTACAAAAATATGCAGACCCCTCAGATATCCCAGAAATTGATCCAGAAGATGATCAAACGCCTAGTCAGTTGACTCCTCCAAAAAGAAGATGTTTCCAGTTTTCACAAGCAATAAATTCCAGTTTTCAACCAGATAAGACAGTGGTTCCATCTTTCAGTTGTCCATCAGTAAATGGAGACAGAAAATTGGTCCATGACTTTTCACGGACATTTCCACAAAAAGATAAAGGGTCCAGTTTTTCCACACCATGCATCCCATCAAGGAGAAGGTCCGACCCTTCAGACAGTGGGTTCTGTGAGCCTAGAAGTCAAGTTGATTCTCTGAATACTCCTGCCTCTATTATTGTTCCAAGTATGTACACCAATATCTACTTTCTTTATATGTAAGACATATGTATTATAACCGGTGCTGGGGCACAATTGACAAAGATATCTAAAGTGTAGGAATTCACAATGCAGAGTTGCGTCCCTTATTCACCACAGGATACTCTTATTATTGGTTCATGTGGTTTAGCTGCTGAAGTTACAGCTGGGGTAATATTTCCTGACTGGTTGCCGACAAATAGAGAGGTTTTGATTCACCATATCAGTTGCAACATCTGTTGAAGAGACATAGGGTTTCAGGAAACTAATACATGTAGGAAATAAATGTGCAGGTATGCATGTCAATGTTCATGTAACACATTTTGTGTCAGTGGAATAGAGGATTCAAAACTTATACAACCGGCTTGTAGATGGATATTGTGCATGCTTGAAAATCTTGTGAGGACACAATTGTTTGGAAAAACGACTCTGCGCTAATCACTTTGGAGTCTTTTAACATGATTTAAGTCAAACTCGAAGAAGTGAGATATATAATGTGCAGAGTTTTATATTGGTTAATTTTCTGACTGATTGTCATACAACATGTAGAAAAATTAAATGTGATAATAATACAGAAGAATGACCAAGCAGCAAATTATTGAATTATGAACATCTTCTTTAATGCCTTATTGCCATTTGCAATTTCAATGAAAGTTATATTTTTTCCAGATACAGATAATGGACAAACACGACTGCGCTCCGTTGAAGAAATTCATATCCTTCAACATTATATTGATAGTTACTGATCAATAGATAATCTCACCTCGTCTTTTGATATAAAATATATCCACACAGGTTGATAAAAGTTTAACACACTAAGGCATGTTGAGGAGTTTTTAAACTTTTATTGACAAGTTTTGATATGTTTGAATATATTTCATATCAAAAGACTTAAGGATGAGATTCTTCTTATCATAGAAATCAATCTTTCTACTATTTTAGTTTGTAAACAAGAATAACATGTGTCTTGAGTGTAAAAGTATAGCTAACCAGCCTCAGTTGCAGATAGATTAGTGTTGTAATTTGATTGTGATGTCATGGTAACGGATGATGTCACAATGGTGATGCAATTTCATTGTGTTGATATCATCTATATCTTGTAAACAATAGACATTGGACATTCTTGACAGTAAGTGTTGGGAACACAGGGTTCAATAGCAAGCAGGAAAAGCTGGGTCCTTGTCCTTGTCATGACCCTAATGTTAAACGTTTATAGATTTAGAGGGTCCTTAGTTTCAAATAGTTAATACCATAGAAGATCTAAAGGAGCAAAGTGCCCCTCTCAATTTCGAAAACACGAACAACTATATGTGATTACAGGGACACATACTCAAGATTCAGACAATTCACCAGGAACGGTGCCACTCAGATTTCAGGGTTTCCATGTACTTCAGTGATAACACTGTTTTGGATACATATGGTGGTTACAACTTAATGAAGATCACATATTTCCTGAACATGTTTTACCTGCCAGTTTTAGGGAGGTGTTTGATTTTCCTTACTTCAACATGGTGCAGTCAATGGTGCTTGATGATGTAAGTACCAAACTGATTGAAAAAGTTTTTAAAAAATTACAAATCATAGTAAAAGTTCTTATACTGAAAAACACATGTAGCAGGGCATGGAGTCATCCTAGAGATGACATCCTTACCATGTCAGCTTGTTGATCAGGTTAACCTCTTTGGTCATGTGTTTACCAGTAGTTACATCAGTGAGTTCCTCCATTCTTTGCCATTTGAAGTCTTATAATTCATTTGAGAGATGTTTTAAGTATGAGACAACAGAGGTATGGTAGGTGTTAATGTGCAGAATAAAACCTGAGGGAAAGTGTTATATCTTGCTTATTAACTGAAAGTGTAATGATGCGGATAGCAATTTTTTCATAAAATGATCATATCCCTTCTCACTCAATAACCAGCGAGACCCGTGAAGATCTGGGGTAGAATAGGTCTTCAGCAACCCATGCTTGCCGTAAAAAGTGACTATGCTTTGTCATAAGAGGCGACTAAGGGGATCGGGTGGTCAGACTCGCTGACTTGGTTGATGCCTGTCATCATATCTCAAATGCGAGAATCGATGCTCATGATGTCAGTCACTGGATTGACTGGTCCAGACTCCACAGACTCTTTACAGACAGTTATCATATAGCTGGAATATTGCTGAGTGCAGTTTTAAGCATCAAACAAACAAAAAATCATTAACCAACAGTTGACACATATGATATGAACATGAATGTAATGTAATTTAAGTGATACTCTGATTTCCATTTGGACACAGGTGCTATACACAGACAAGCCGCTGGTGGTGTCAGCCCCTACTGGAGCTGGGAAGACTGTCATATTTGAACTTGCCATCATCAGACTGCTCAATAAGTTTGTGGAAATCAAGAAAAATTGGAAAATTGTTTATGGTAATTTGAAAAGTTTGTTTCCCCATCTGGATGTTGTGCAGCCTATTGTGTCCCTTGCAATGTATGACTGCAATGTGCTGAAAGTGGAGTCAGATCTCACTCACACTCAATATCTCAACTCTTAATATAGGTGAAATAATTCTTGAATGCTTTTGCTTTCACAGAGTTTTCTGCATGAATTGGAATATTCTATATTGGAATATGAAATGTTTGGTATGATATATATATCGTCGGATCATATGTTTTCGGACGTCATATGTTTTCAGACGGCCATGATTATCGTGATTACTCGTGCTAATTCGTGACGTCTAGCATCACACAGACATTGTAAATCCTCAGATGATGGCTTGTTTTTAAGAGAAAGATGTCTTTTAAGAGTGAATGAGATGTTTAACAGTTGTTGATGCGATTAGAGAGAAAACTATGAATGTTTCTTTAGCGTCAGAAAACCCATAACACGGGTATATTACATACTTACCTCATCGTGTAGTCTCCCCATGGGGATTCAGGGTTAGAAGTGGCCCCAGCACTCTTTGCTGGTTGCAGAAGGTACTTACTGAGTTTTCAGCTTGTTTCTTTCATCAATGTCAATCAATGGATTGTCTGGGCCAAACACAGTTATTTACAGGCCTCCATCATATAGCTGGGCTACTTCTGATTGCAGCATTAAACAACAAACAAACTAATCATTTAGTCATGATATGATGCCTCATTTTATTTGATATATATGTGCGATGAAGACAAAAATAATTTCTCTCTGTTGGATTGATGCAGTCATATTTTAAGGATCAAGTTGTATGGTTTATTCATGCCTGGTCTCATTCTCTTATTTGTCCCGTGACGATCCGGGGTAGAATAGGTCTTCAGCAACCCATGCTTGCCGTAAAAGGTGACCATGCTTGTCGTAAAAGGCGACTAACAGGATCAGGTGGTCAGGCTCGCTGACTTGGTTGATGCATGTCATCGATCCCCATTGCGTGGATCGATGCTCATGATATCAATCACTCGATTATGTACAGACTGCCGTCATATAGCTGGAATATTGCTGAGTGCAGTGTTAAACAACAAACCAAACCAAATCTTATTTGTCACTTGTCCCTGATGTGATTCTGGGACAGACGAGGTCCTGTGTACCAAATGCTTATAGTAACAGCCGACTAATCAGATGATTGCAGTGTTCTGCCTATGATCATTACTTATGTTAGCAATCACTATTTCCTTTGACCCTCCAGATTTTTTACACATCATCATTATGTAGCTGTAATATTGCAGTCATGGCTTTAAAAGACATTCCCCTGCGAACATCCGGGTTATGATTGATCCCCAGAAACCCATGCTTGTCGTAAGAGGGCACCGAAGGGATCGAGTAGTCAGGCTCGCAGAATTGGTAGATGCATGTCATCATTGCGTAGATTGATGCTCATGAAGTTAATCACTGGATTGTTTGATCTAGAATTAATTTTTTATAGATCACCGTCATATAGCTTGAATATTGCTGAGTGTGGCCTAAACAACAAACAAACAAAAGACTCTGTCACTTGACTACAAATTGAGACGTATGTGTGATATGTATCCCTGTTTCACCCAAGTGGCTCCTGTCATGTGTGTGATATGTATCCATGTTGCCCCCCCAGTGGCTCCTGTCGTATGTGTGATATGTATCCCTGTTTCACCCAAGTGGCTCCTGTCATGTGTGTGATATGTATCCATGTTGCCCCCCCAGTGGCTCCTGTCATATGTGTGATATGTATCCCTGTTTCACCCAAGTGGCTCCTGTCATGTGTGTGATATGTATCCATGTTGCCCCCCCAGTGGCTCCTGTCATATGTGTGATATATATCCATGTTGCACCTCCAGTGGCTCCTGTCATATGTGTGATATGTATCCATGTTGCACCTCCAGTGGCTCCTGACATGTGTGTGACATGTATCCCTGTTGCACCCCCAGTGGCTCCTGTCATGTGTGTGATATGTATCCCTGTTGCACCCCCAGTGGCTCCTGTCATGTGTGTGATATGTATCCCTGTTGCACCCCCAGTGGCTCCTGACATATGTGTGATATGTATCCATGTTGCACCACCAGTGGCTCCTGTCATGTGTGTGATATGTATCTATGTTGCACCCCCAGTGGCTCCTGTCATATGTGTGATATGTATCCATGTTGCACCCCCGGTGGCTCCTGTCATATGTGTGATATGTATCCATGTTGCACCCCCAGTGGCTCCTGACATATGTGTGATATGTATCCATGTTGCACCACCAGTGGCTCCTGTCATGTGTGTGATATGTATCTATGTTGCACCCCCAGTGGCTCCTGTCATATGTGTGATATGTATCCATGTTGCACCCCCAGTGGCTCCTGACATATGTGTGATATGTATCCATGTTGCACCCCCAGTGGCTCCTGTCATATGTGTGATATGTATCCATGTTGCACCTCCAGTGGCTCCTGACATGTGTGTGATATGTATCCCTGTTGCACCTCCAGATGCTCCTGTCATATGTGTGATATGTATCCCTGTTGCACCTCCAGTGGCTCCTGTCATATGTGTGATATGTATCCATGTTGCACCCCCAGTGGCTCCTGTCATGTGTGTGATATGTATCCATGTTGCACCCCCAGTGGCTCCTGTCATGTGTGTGATATGTATCCATGTTGCACCTCCAATGGCTCCTGACATGTGTGTGATATGTATCCATGTTGCACCCCCAGTGGCTCCTGTCATATGTGTGATATGTATCCATGTTGCACCCCCAGTGGCTCCTGTCATATGTGTGATATGTATCCATGTTGCACCCCCAGTGGCTCCTGTCATATGTGTGATATGTATCCATGTTGCACCCCAAGTGGCTCCTGTCATATGTGTGATATGTATCCATGTTGCTACCCCAGTGGCTCCTGTCATGTGTGTGATATGTATCCATGTTGCACCCCCAGTGGCTCCTGTCATATGTGTGATATATATCCATGCTGCACCCCCAGTGGCTCCTGACATGTGTGTGATATGTATCCATGTTGCACCCCAAGTGGCTCCTGTCATATGTGTGATATATATCCATGTTGCACCCCCAGTGGCTCCTGTCATATGTGTGAAATATATCCATGCTGCACCCCCAGTGGCTCCTGACATGTGTGTGATATGTATCCATGTTGCACCCCCAGTGGCTCCTGTCATATGTGTGATATATATCCATGCTGCACCCCCAGTGGCTCCTGACATGTGTGTGATATTTATCCATGCTGCACCCCCAGTGGCTCATGACATGTGTGTTATATGTATCCATGTTGCACCCTAGGTGGCTCCTGTCATGTGTGTGATATGTATCCGTGTTGCACCCCCAGTGGCTCCTGTCATATGTGTGATATATATCCATGCTGCACCCCCAGTGGCTCCTGTCATATGTGTGATATGTATCCATGTTGCACCCCCAGTGGCTCCTGTCATATGTGTGATATGTATCCATGTTGCACCACCAGTGGCTCCTGTCATATGTGTGATATGTATCCATGTTGCACCTCCAGTGGCTCCTGTCATGTGTGTGATATGTATCCATGTTGCACCCCCAGTGGCTCCTGTCATGTGTGTGATATGTATCCATGTTGCACCCCAAGTGGCTCCTGTCATATGTGTGATATGTATCCATGTTGCACCCCCAGTGGCTCCTGTCATATGTGTGATATGTATCCATGTTGCACCTCCAGTGGCTCCTGACATGTGTGTGATATGTATCCATGTTGCACCCCCAGTGGCTCCTGTCATATGTGTGATATGTATCCATGTTGCACCACCAGTGGCTCCTGTCATATGTGTGATATGTATCCATGTTGCACCTCCAATGGCTCCTGTCATATGTGTGATATGTATCCATGTTGCACCTCCAATGGCTCCTGTCATATGTGTGATATGTATCCATGTTGCACCTCCAGTGGCTCCTGACATGTGTGTGATATGTATCCATGTTGCACCCCCAGTGGCTCCTGTCATATGTGTGATATGTATCCATGTTGCACCCCCTGTGGCTCCTGTCATATGTGTGATATGTATCCATGTTGCACCTCCAGTGGCTCCTGTCATATGTGTGATATGTATCCATGTTGCACCTCCAGTGGCTCCTGACATGTGTGTGATATGTATCCATGTTGCACCCCCAGTGGCTCCTGTCATATGTGTGATATGTATCCATGTTGCACCCCCAGTGGCTCCTGACATGTGTGTGATATGTATCCATGTTGCACCCCCAGTGGCTCCTGTCATATGTGTGATATGTATCCATGTTGCACCTCCAGTGGCTCCTGACATGTGTGTGATATGTATCCATGTTGCACCTCCAGTGGCTCCTGACATGTGTGTGATATGTTTCCATGTTGCACCTCCAGTGGCTCCTGACATGTGTGTGATATGTATCCATGTTGCGCCTCCAGTGGCTCCTGACATGTGTGTGATATGTATCCATGTTGCACCCCCAGTGGCTCCTGTCATATGTGTGATATGTATCCATGTTGCACCACCAGTGGCTCCTGTCATATGTGTGATATGTATCCATGTTGCACCTCCAATGGCTCCTGTCATATGTGTGATATGTATCCATGTTGCACCTCCAATGGCTCCTGTCATATGTGTGATATGTATCCATGTTGCACCTCCAGTGGCTCCTGACATGTGTGTGATATGTATCCATGTTGCACCCCCAGTGGCTCCTGTCATATGTGTGATATGTATCCATGTTGCACCCCCTGTGGCTCCTGTCATATGTGTGATATGTATCCATGTTGCACCTCCAGTGGCTCCTGTCATATGTGTGATATGTATCCATGTTGCACCCCCAGTGGCTCCTGTCATATGTGTGATATGTATCCATGTTGCACCACCAGTGGCTCCTGTCATATGTGTGATATGTATCCATGTTGCACCTCCAATGGCTCCTGTCATATGTGTGATATGTATCCATGTTGCACCTCCAATGGCTCCTGTCATATGTGTGATATGTATCCATGTTGCACCTCCAGTGGCTCCTGACATGTGTGTGATATGTATCCATGTTGCACCCCCAGTGGCTCCTGACATGTGTGTGATATGTATCCATGTTGCACCCCCAGTGGCTCCTGTCATATGTGTGATATGTATCCATGTTGCACCCCCAGTGGCTCCTGTCATATGTGTGATATGTATCCATGTTGCACCCCCAGTGGCTCCTGTCATATGTGTGATATGTATCCATGTTGCACCCCCAGTGGCTCCTGACATATGTGTGATATGTATCCATGTTGCACCACCAGTGGCTCCTGTCATATGTGTGATATGTATCCATGTTGCACCCCCAGTGGCTCCTGTCATGTGTGTGATATGTATCCATGTTGCACCCCCAGTGGCTCCTGTCAAGGCACTGTGCAGTGAGAGGTACCTGGACTGGAAGAGGAAGTTTCAGCCGCATGGCCTGAGCTGTATGGAGCTGACAGGAGACACAGAGATGGATGAACTGCCAGGCCTACACACTGCCAACCTCATTGTCACCACACCAGTAGGATACTTGTACCATCTTTGTTGTAACATCTATTTGAGCCCTCCGTTACTGGTTGTAGAGTTACTTCCCTTGATGCACTTTATGTCAATTTGTTTTATGGGCTGGAGAGTTACTTCCCTTGATGCACTTGATGTCAATTTGTTTTATTTGGTTTTAGCATTGAAATGTAATTTTGCTGTCTTAAGGATTATATTTACATCAGTTTTTCTGTTTTCATGAGTTGATTATTACCAAACATATGTTTGCATAAATGGCAGGGGCAGAAACATGAGTGACCAATCATATTTGTTTCAGTTTAAATGTAATATTGCAGCTGGAGTTGAGAATACCATACTACCAATTCAGTATCGGTTTCATCATTACCTTTAATTCTTTTGAAAAATCTCTTCCATCCTAATTATTTTCCAGTATGGATTGTAGAAAGGCATGAATTTAATATATTAAATACTGCTTGTAGTCTTACGCATGAACAGGGTCAAAGGGTGTCTCAGTAACTGCAATTAGCTGTGCAGAGTTACATACCTGGGTGCCGTTGTACAAAGCAACCTTAGCCCTAAGACTGTTGTAAGTCTATGTTAAGGTATGGGAGTTGCGATCACCTTAGTGCTAATATAGCTTTGTACAGAAACTTATGATCATTTGAAATCCTGGTTTGCCCCAATTATGTTTCTAGGTTTGTCAACACCATACCTGTGCTCGTTTCTCCAAAGTGGTAAACATGCATCATTTTGGGCTGACACGCCATGATATAACTGAAACACTGTTCAAAGTGGTGTTAAATCCAACTCACTCACTCACTTGTGTATGAAGATAATTTCTAGTTAGGCATAACCTTAAACTTTCTTGGTAGATAGCTTATCAGTATTCTCCATGTACAGGAAAAGTGGGACAGCATGTCGAGGAAGTGGAAAGATAACAGGTCATTGTTCCAGATGATATCCCTGTTTCTTATCGATGAGGTATGTGATAACTGTTCACATTAGAGAAGTGCTATCATTTTTTACTTTTTTATCTCTCAGAACCGTATACCTTATGTCTATACTTAAAAATAGGTTGTCTGTACATAACTGACCTGCAACTTCCTGGCCATTGGCACATTCAATTTTCAAATGGCACACTTTGAAATTATGGTGGTGCAATGTGTTTGAAATAAATCCAATCTAATAAAAGACATAAACTCTCCCAGTAAACCTAAAAATTCCAAAACAAGAACTCACAAAAACTGCATTATGTTAAACATGATTAGAGCGGGTATACAGCTGTATCGCTATTCTGTACTCTGCACACTGTATAAGCAATAATTACTCGCAATGCGATGCCCATGAAATGCTGTCAGGTAACTGCACCACAACCACTTTGTATCCAGTTCAGTGTTTGGTTCATATTGCCAGCAGCAGCCAATCCATATTGCAAGAAAATTACATGACTTTATGGCCCATCAGATTTTCTGAGTGGCCAACATTATTGGGGTTAAGTGGGCCATGGGGCTCACCTTTTTTCAAGTCCAGAGTGACCTCCAAACTTCTGATTTGGGTACATTGGTAAGCATTTGATTATGTTTTTCATTGAAGAAATGTAATTACCCCTTTTTGTAATGTTACCCAATCAAGGTTAATCCAGTAATGGTATGTGTAAGAGAAAATGTAGCACAAATCAAGACTTATTCCATATACTGTTATTACAATGTCTTAGTACTTTTGTCACACCTCCATGTCAGAATGATGAGATCTGATTGGTTCACATGATCTTGATAAAATACTATGTATCCTGCCTGGGAGGAAAAGAGGACTTGATTGAGTTGGAATTGTAATAACGAGAAAGATAAGTGAAAATTTACGAAATATGCTAAGGGAATTAATAATTTATAAGTTGCAAACTTCCGGAATTCGACAAAGTTTACGTAGCTATTTTGGGCACTTCAAACTCTCTTCACATATCTTTTTACCATATCTTATCATGACGTACATACTTTTAAAAAAGGTGATCTTTTTTTAAAAAAAACCCCCACATTTTTTTCAAGGGAACAATTTAAAACAAACTCCGGTATTGAGTTGGGATAACATGTGTTTGGTTGATCCGGTAAAGGCACACTACCTTTCATGGCATATTTATTTTGTACAACCATCTTGAATGTTTTAAGCACCCCCTACATGTTTTGAAAATAATATTTCAGTATGTCCTTCCAATTCCTTTTCCTTTTATTAATGTTTATCATGTAATGAAGTATTCAAAATATTAATAAACTATAATCATTAATAAGAGGTGCAGGTAATCATGGATATACACCCGTCCTTGCAAACCTAAGAGCCTGGTTACTATGCTGAATATTGTAATGTACCGGTATGTATTGTGATGATGATGGATTGACTGTTGTGTAGATCCACATCTTGAATGACAGCACAAGGGGGTCAACGGTAGAGGCCGTAGTCAGTCGGATGAAGACCCTGAGACTCACCGACAGAGCCACTGACGGGCCTCTCATGAGATTTGTTGGAGTTTCCGCTACCATCCCCAACATTGAAGATGTAGGTTCATTTCTTTTTCTCTTTAATGAAAACACATATTGAATTACAACTGTTAAAAATAGAAAGAAACTGAAGGAATTAACCTAAGTTTAACCACAGGACCTTTTCAGCGAAATTCTTGCATACTCATGGACTAAAACACATTTTGGCCTCAAATAAATGTGCATCAATTTCGCTGAAAGGTCCTGTGGTTAAACAAGGAAGGAGACAAGGGACAGTCATAGGCGTTGTTCTTCAGAGACATATTGGAGGAATATGGCATGACTGCATCACATATTTTTAGTATTATGTCATGGCAAGTTGGGAGTAGTGACAATTATGAGTTATATCCCTTCTTTGTCCTGCCTATTGACATATTAATCCAGGCAAAATATAATTCCATAATTGCAGCCTAGTTCGGCAAGGGTGGAAACTAGACTTTTATAGTCAGTTAACTCCCTTGCCTCAGGACGATGTATTTTAGGTTTTATTTGTTTGGTGTTCATATTCTGAACCAGATGTGTTCATAGCATAGATGCACACTCCCCATCGAACCCATCTCTTTTTGAAGTAGACTAAACTTAATGCATTAAAAATATATGACTAAATCTGTTGGTGTAAGTTTTCAATGAACTAACACAATTATGAAACTCATTCTCCTTTTGTATTTGTGCTTGGTGTATTTATCCTACCTTCTTGGTTTTATCAATATAGTTCTTAGAGAAAACAAGAAAACATTCCCAACCTTTATGGCACTCCTTGATTACCTGAAGAAATTTGAGTTCTCATTACTTTGACTTTCCAGATTGCTACATGGCTTGGGAATCCTCAAAATCCAGCATCAAGTTTCAAGTATGTTTGTTTTTAGACTGCGCTATCATGCCCTTATTTTGTCTTTCATTTCTTTCACCCATTTTGAGATCTTTTAAAGGATACTTCAAGCTATTTAAAAAAAATAAAAAATATTTGTTATGTTTTTTACAGAGATTACTGTCATACATTTTACAGCCATTAAATTGTGTAAAACCTTCTCTCTCTTTTTATAGTATTACTTGGTTTGTGGATGATCCAATTATATTATTTATTGAGGTGGAATAGAACTGCAATTTTGAAAACACTGAAATCTTTCATACAAGTAAAAATCTGTAGTAGATGAGGGAGGTAACTCTTTGAAGGTAGCTTTCTTTCATTACTGTTACTAGTATTTTTATTCAATGTACTGACCATGCATTTAAGAGAAAACTTGAAAAAAAGTAATTTTATCTTTATTTCAACAACCAACTAAAAATAGATCCATATCATAATCTGTAATTATGTAATGATAAGTTCAGCTAAATTTTGTAATTTCAGATTAGGTGAAAAGTACCGACCAGTCAGGCTACAGAAGATTGTGGTTGGCTACCCCTTCAAGCCAGGCTCTTCTGACTTCAGATTTGATATGAATCTCGCCTACCGACTGAAGAGCGTCATAGAAACCTACTCCAACAACAAGCCTTCCCTTGTGGTAATCTGTCACATACATATCTTTATATCTATTTAAAGCATTGAAAAGTATTGTTTATGATATTTATTCACAACAAATATGATTTAGTCATTGAGAAATTGAACCAATAAAGACCAACGTATGTATGTTCTGCATTTCACCTTCGTACTATCAGCTTTAAGCAAGGAATGTATACAAACATGCTATACATAAATCCCTTATACCCAACTTCAAAGCAAAAAGACGCATACATTTGCCGAGTCAATGAAAGTCACATGACATAGCACAAGTTAACCTCAGCTCAAATGAACAGCTGTTTTCTATCAATTTTTAATTTGTTTTTATTCTTTTTCAATGTCATATTAAAACATGTTGGTAAGATTAATTCGTTGTAGCAGGATCACGAGGGGTACATGCATCCCTCTTTAGGTTTTTTAGCACTTGCCCCCAGCTTGTGGTATAAAACCTAATACGGGACACATAAAACCCCATGTCCCCCTCGTGATCCTGCTATCAATTTTATATTTTTTTAAATTCTTTTACAATGTCATATTAAAACATGGTGGTAAGATTAATTCATTGTAGCAGGATCTCGAGGGGTACATCTATCCCATGTTAGGTTTGATAGCACTGGGCTCTGGCTCATAGTATAAAACCCAACTCAGGACACATAAACCCCATGTACCCCTCATGATCCTGCTACCACTTATACTGCCTCTGTCTGGTGTAGTTCTGCTCCTCCAGGAAGAGTGTGGAACAGAGTGCTGATATCCTGAGGAAGGAGCTCTGTGGGAGGTCCCTGGTGAAGCCACAGTACCGGGAAGCTGTCTACAAGACATGCCTGCTCATCAGAGAAACTAAAATTGCAGGTATGTAGGATAGACTAACATATTATCTCTGAATGAAAATATTTTACTGAAAAACAGTTGTTAAATTATCTTAATGAAATGTAATAAAATGGAGCCCAGAGACGAATTTGCCAACTATCATAGACTTGCATGGTGCCGTGAGGATCCGGGTAGAATAGGTCTTCAGCAACCCATGCTTGCCATAAAAGGCGACTATGCTTGTCGTAAGAGGCGGCTAACGGGATCGGGTGGTCAGGCTCGCTGACTTGGTTGATGCATGCTATCAATCCAAATTGCGTGGATCGATGCTCATCATGTCAATCACTGGAGGGTGTGTATGACAGACTAATATGACATTGTGGGAATGCACCAATAAGAGAGTACTAAGGTTGTGACATAATGTACAATTCTATTTCCAGTTAACAATGCATTATTTAATGGAAATCAATTTTTTATCAGTCTACAGAGAGAAAGTTATATATTTTGTTTTTATTAGGAATATTATAATCTACATGAACACATGGTATATAGTATCTTGTCTAGCTCTAAAGACTGCTATACTTGGGAACCAGACAATGGTAATGTTCAACACCTGTATGTCAAAAGTATCTTTGCAAAAAGAAATTTCAGATGCTTCATTATGTTCATAGTTCAAACAAATTGAGGGGCGGTCGGGTAGCCTAGTGATTAAAGCGTTCGCTCGTCACGCCAAAGACCCGGGTTCGATTCCCGACATGGGTACAATGTGTGAAGCCCATTTCTGGTGTCCCCCGCCGTGATATTGCTGGAATATTGCTAAAACATTACTCACTCACTCACTCACTCAAACAAATTGAATATCATATTTTCAATTTAGATAAGTACTTTATCATAGTTAACAGAACTTTGAATGTTGTGTTTATCCTATTCTCCAAATTAAGTGCCCTGCTCCAGTAAGTGCCCACTGATCAACCTCTAGATCAGTTAGTAAGCATAGCCTTTGTAAACGCCCCTTCTTATACTAAGAACAAATATTTACATGACGGTCCATATTTTCAAATGAATATTACAGATTATGTACAGAAAACAGCAGTATAGAAGGGCACTATAATTGCCTGGTAACTATTTAATGCACTAGTGCTCAATATCTGAAAATAAGTTCAGTTGTGTATGGTTTTAATATGCACCCCTTTATTTATTTTTTAAGTGCTTATTACATCAAATTTGGTAATCTAGTTTAAATGTGACTACATGTCTGTATAGATATGGTGCGTATCGGCATCGGGGTGCATCATGCCGGCCTGAGTGCTGCAGACAGGAAACATGTGGAGGAGCTGTTCAGGAATGCCATGCTGCCTGTTCTCGGTATGGGTGAACCTTATTGTCCTCCACAAAGTCAGCCTCAGAATCCTTAGTACTGAGCCTCTATAAAGTCATCAATATTTGATAGATTGTAAAGAAGCTGATAATTCAAACTTCTTTTTAACTTTGAGCACACTGGACTGAAAGTCAAGTGAGTTTGTGCCATGACCTGTTTGTCCAGCATCTGGTGTCAGTCTTCCTTTATAAACATTTTATCCTCAGAAACCATGGAACCAACGAAACTGAAATTTTACATGCTTGTTCCGACCAATGATGATACCCCAATTTGTTCAAGAGGTTCGAATTTAATTTTCAATATGGCCACCATGACAGCCATATTGAAAAATCTAGTTATGGCCATTACTCAGTTATTTATGTACATAATGTCATAAATTTTGGTACATGTGTAGTTGGGAGTAGGGCTCAACATACTTGTCTTGTGTTTTGCAATACTTTAATTTTTACCATGATTTGACCTTTTCACTTTTACCAGTGAAAGCTGAAAAAATATGTATGGCCCCTCACTCAGTACTTTTCCTTCAAAAGGTAATGAAATGTGGCAATTGTGCCGTTTGTAGTGGCTCAAAATGTACGTTTTTTTTTCACTGTATTGCACATTTTGATATTTTAATTCTGCTTTCAGACATAGGCAAGTATATATTTGACTTATTGGTAGCTCTTTTTTCACACTGATAAAAAAGGTGCATTTTTATCTGAAAAAAAGATCCCTAAAGACTTTTTTGTTTATCCTTATATTTATAAATCTTATTATACCCCCGTTTACGAAGTAAATCGGGGGTATATAGCATTCCGTTTGTCCGTCCTTCCGTCTGTCCTTCTGTCTGTCCTTCCGTCCGAGCTTTTGTACGGCCCATAACTATTTAACCATGCACCCTAGCTTCACCAAACTTGCTACACACATTAACCACAATGAGTACTTGTGCCTTTTGCTAGTTTGAAGATTCTGAATTTTTAATTTTTGCCGTTTCCATGGAAACATTAGGAACTTAAACTTTTAGGGTGGGTGTTTTGTACGGCCTATATCTTTTTAACTATACACCCTAGCTTCATCAAACTTTCTACACACATTAACCACAATGAGTACTTGTGCCTTTTGCTAGTTTGAAGATTCTGAATTTTTTATTTTTGCCGTTTCCATGGAATCATGGTGAACATGGTGAAACATAAATTTTGGGTAGAGATTTTGATCGATCCATGTTTACAATATTATGTATCCTAGCTTCAGCAAACTTGCTACATTAACCGCTATGATTGTTTTTTATCTTTTATAACGTTCTGAAAGTTTTGTCTTTTGCTGTTTTCTTGGAAACATGATGGAATTTAGAAATTTTGATGACTGGTTTTGTATAGCTAATATATTTTCAAAAATTGTTTCCACACATGTAGATCATCATAAGTATCTGTGCTTTGTGACAGTTTGAATTTATGAATTCTTTACTATATCTGTTAAGGCTAGATGGAAATTATTAATTTATTGATTTTCTTATATGATATTGTTTCATTTTTTATGTGTTTTTATATCAACAATTTTTGGTCCTTTTGATAATTCTTCTTATGTAACCCCTCAATCAAATTTTTATTCAGAGGTGTTCATGGTGATCTACTTCCTCGTAGTGAACACTGGTAACATGGGAGATTTGGTGGGTTGGGGGGTGGGGGGTCAATTGTCACTGGAACTCAATCTTAGTTTTTAAAACATTGAAGTTAAAATCAGTTAGAAATATGTAATATTTCATTAATTAACAAACTATTTACTATTTGTTGTTGATGACCAGCGGGGATAACGGGGGTATGTGAGATTTGCTCACTTCTTTCTTGTTATTATTTGTAGTATCAACAAGCACATTGGCGATGGGTGTAAATCTTCCTGCCCACCTGGTGGTGATCAAGTCCACAGTATTCTACAGCATGGGGTCCCCAACAGAGTACTCTGACTCACAGGTGCTGCAGATGATAGGCAGGGCAGGGAGACCACAGGTACAGTGTTGTTCAGATGATAGGCTGGGCAGGGAGACCACAGGTACAGTAGTGTTCAGATGATGGGCAGGGCAGGGAGACCACAGGTACAGTGTTGTTCAGATGATAGGCAGGGCAGGGAGACCACAGGTACAGTGTTGTTCAGATGATAGACAGGGCAGGGAGACCACAGGTACAGTATTGTTCAGATGATAGGCAGGGCAGGGAGACCACAGGTACAGTATTGTCCAGATGATAGGCAGGGCAGGGAGACCGCAGGTACAGTATTGTTTAGATGATAGGCAGGGCAGGGAGACCACAGGTACAGTGTTGTTCAGATGATAGGCAGGGCAGGGAGACCACAGGTACAGTGTTGATTAGATGATAGGCAGGGCAGGGAGACCACAGGTACAGTGTTGTTTAGATGATAGGCAGGGCAGGGAGACCACAGGTACAGTGTTGTTCAGATGATAGGCAGGGTGACCACAGGTACAGTATTGTTTAGATGATAGGCAGGGCAGGGAGACCACAGGTACAGTAGTGTTCAGATGATGGGCAGGGCAGGGAGACCACAGGTACAGTGTTGTTCAGATGATAGGCAGGGCAGGGAGACCACAGGTACAGTGTTGTTCAGATGATAGACAGGGCAGGGAGACCACAGGTACAGTATTGTTCAGATGATAGGCAGGGCAGGGAGACCACAGGTACAGTATTGTCCAGATGATAGGCAGGGCAGGGAGACCGCAGGTACAGTATTGTTTAGATGATAGGCAGGGCAGGGAGACCACAGGTACAGTATTGTTTAGATGATAGGCAGGGCAGGGAGACCACAGGTACAGTGTTGTTCAGATGATAGGCAGGGCAGGGAGACCACAGGTACAGTGTTGATTAGATGATAGGCAGGGCAGGGAGACCACAGGTACAGTGTTGTTTAGATGATAGGCAGGGCAGGGAGACCACAGGTACAGTGTTGTTCAGATGATAGGCAGGGTGACCACAGGTACAGTATTGTTTAGATGATAGGCAGGGCAGGGAGACCACAGGTACAGTATTGTTTAGATGATAGGCAGGGCAGGGAGACCACAGGTACAGTGTTGTTCAGATGATAGGCAGGGCAGGGAGACCACAGGTACAGTGTTGATTAGATGATAGGCAGGGCAGGGAGACCACAGGTACAGTGTTGATTAGATGATAGGCAGGGCAGGGAGACCACAGGTACAGTGTTGTTCAGATGATAGGCAGGGCAGGGAGACCACAGGTACATTATTGTTTAGATGATAGGCAGGGCAGGGAGACCACAGGTACAGTGTTGTTCAGATGATAGGCAGGGCAGGGAGACCACAGGTACAGTGTTGATTAGATGATAGGCAGGGCAGGGAGACCACAGGTACAGTGTTGATTAGATGATAGGCAGGGCAGGGAGACCACAGGAACAGTATTGTTTAGATGATAGGCAGGGTGACCACAGGTACAGTATTGTTCAGATGATAGGCAGGGTGACCACAGGAACAGTATTGTTTAGATAATAGGCAGGGTGACCACAGGTACAGTATTGTTCAGATGATAGGCAGGGCAGGGAGACCACAGGTTCAGTATTCTTCAGATGCAGTATTTTTGTCAGGGAGCTGGGAATGCAAAGTGTTGAATGTACTGAAGCTGAGCATGTAAATTGATTGTATTTTGACCCAGATAATAATTCTTCATGCTTAGAACATGTGTCATGTGGTATCAGCATCATACAAATGTACACATGCAATCAATGCAAGCACCTGTCTTGGCAACCATATGGAAAATAATATATTTTTAACATGAGCTTGTCGCATTGAATTCATAGACTGCTAGACCACTGATATCATTAGAATGATACCAAATGTGGTACATTTTCTAATACATAGATAATATTTATAGATATTCTACAGCCATCATCCTGGCACCACTGCAGCATTGTTTCGTATTTAGATCCTAGCATCTTAAACTTGTTTCATGGATCATAGAGTCCTCTTGTGATCAGTGTAATTTGATGGTAGTATTATGTCGAAACTCACACATCATTGTCTGGCTGACAAACATTGTGTTAATTATAATTAACAGCTTGACATGATATCTCCTTTCAGTTTGACACCTCCGCTACAGCTGTCATCATGACAAAGTCAGATACTAAGGTATTGTTTCTGAGTAAAATAACATTTCTACATTAAAAATGATTGATTTTGAGCATGGTTTTTTTTCAACATTTCAATTTTTTTGTTTAATTTTGTATATTTTGTTTAATTTTTAGTCAAAGTATGAAAACCTGATGAACGGCACACAAAGGATTGAAAGCAGGTATGATAATAGACTTGATGATAATAAACTATGAAAATGTATACATGAAAATATAAAACCAAACCTTGGCTAACTCAACATTTATGTGTTATTCCATGATTTTCAATAATTGGGGACATGGGTGGTACAGTCTTCTTAGGCTCAGCAATTTGCTGTCCAGAGATTTGAATACAGAATCACCGCATACCGTTCTCATGGGTTTCACCAATGTTTCTCCCACATTAAGCTGACCAGCCATGATATAACTGGAATACTGTCCAAAGCAGCATTAAAACTCACTCACTCACTCACTCACTCACTCACTCACTCACTCACTCACTCACTCACTCACTCACTCACTCACTCACTCACTCACTCACTCACTCACTCACTCTCACTCACTCACTCGCTTAATCATATTGTTTGCATTTCAAGGTCTTAGTCTAAGTACAAAGATATGATAATCGTCTTTTCTGATATGCAAGCATAACTAGTGAGCATATTATGTTTAGTAAACAGAGACTTTTAGCCGAGTGTGATTTTGTATTTATATTTATCACATTAGGAATATGAATTGTAGTATGCAAGCCTTTGGCTCTTTATCAAATGTCATTCTATAAATAATCAGATAAGTTTAAGACATATTTTTATACAGTTAAGTAACTTTAGAAACCACAAAGGAGTACAGTGCTTTAGTGTACTGCCCTATTTATGGTATAGTGCCGAATGATTTGCAGCCATGTTTGTTCACATAAGGACTTACAAATAGCGAAACCTGTATGCAGTGCTTGCTCGCTCATTCACAAAGTAATTTAAGTTTGTATGACTTTTGAAATCAGCGATAGATTGAGTCTAAACTCTATTGTGTCAAGCTGTCCTGCCATGACATAACTGATATACTGCTCAAAGCAGTGATAAGCATTCCTCACACATTAAGCTGTCCTGCCATGACATAACTAGTGGTATACTGCACAAAGCAGTGATAAGCATTCCTCCCACATTAAGCTGTCTTGCCATGACATAACGATGTTTTACTGCTCAATGCAGTGATAAGCATTGCCCACACATTAAGCTGTCCTGCCATGACATAACTGATATACTGCTCAAAGCAGTGATAAGCATTCCTCACACATTAAGCTGTCCTGCCATGACATAACTGGTGGTATACTACGCAAAGCAGTGATAAGCATTCCTCCCACATTAAGCTGTCTTGCCATGACATAACAATGGTATACTGCTCAATGCAGTAATAAGCATTGCCCACACATTAAGCTGTCCTGCCATGACATAACTGTGGTATACTGCTCAAAGCAGTGATAAGCATTCCTCACACATTAAGCTGTCCTGCCATGATGTAACTAGTGGTATACTGCTCAAAGCAGTGATAAGCATTCCTCACACATTAAGCTGCCCTGCCATGACATAAAGTTGGTTAACTGCTCAAAGCAGTGATAAGCATTCGTCACACATTAAGCTGTCCTGCCATGATATAACTGATATACTGCTCAATGCAGTGATAAGCATTCTTCACACATTAAGCTGTCCTGCTATGACATAACTGGTGGTATACTGCTCAAAGCAGTGATAAGCATTCCACACACATTAAGCTGTCCTGCCATGACATAACTAGTGGTATACTGCTCAATGCAGTGATAAGCATTCCTCACACATTAAGCTGGCTTGCCACGATATAACTGGTATACTACTCAAAGCAGTGATAAGCATTCCTCACACATCAAGCTGTCTTGCCATGATATAACTGGTGGTATACTGCTCAATTCAGTGATAAGCATTCCTTACACTTTAAGCTGTCTTGCCATGCTACAACTGATATACTGCTCAAAGCAGTGATAAGCATTCCTCCCACATTAAGCTGTCCTGACATGATATAACTGATATACTGCTCAAAGCAGTGATAAGCATTCCTCCCACATTAAGCTGTCTTGCCATGATATAACTGGTATACTGCTCAAAGCAGTGATAAGCATTCCTCACACATTAAGCTGTCTTGCATTGATATAACTGGTATACTGCACAAAGCAGTGATAAGCATTCCTTACTCATTAAGCTGTCACGCCCCTTTATAACTGATATGCTGTTCAATAAGCTTGGGTTGTATGCTCCCCAGGGATCCGAGAATGAAAATAATGTGCACACTGAACTAATGACTGGGTTATTAATAAGAACTAACATGGCCTTAGCACATTTGAGCAGTTATTAACTGGAAAGAGCACTTAACAAATTCATAATATAAGTAAATAAATATTTACCCATGCCTTCTCCTCTTCCTGTAGCCTTCACAAGCATCTGATCGAGCACCTGAATGCGGAAGTAGTCCTACACACTATCACTGACATGGCACTGGCTGTGGAGTGGACAAGACACACCTTCCTCTATGTCCGCATCATGCAGAACCCAACCCACTACGGTAAACATTTTGTTGGTTTTGTTGTTTTTTAACACCACACTCAGCAATATGGCACTGGCTGTGGAGTGGACAAGACACACCTTCCTCTATGTCCCCATCATGCAGAACCCAACCCACTACGATAAACATTTTGTTGTTATTTATCACCACACTCAGCAATAAGGCACTGGCTGTGGAGTGGACAAGACACCCCTTCCTCTATGTCCCCATCATGCAGAACCCAACCCACTACGGTAAACATTTTGTTGGTTTCGTTGTTATTTAACACCACACTTAACAATATTTCAGCTATATAAGGGCAGCAAGTTAATAATCAAGTCTGGATAGGATGATCCACTTAAGACTGGGATACAATGACATGCAATCAAATGAACTTAACACTAAACTCAGTACAGTGATTCACACAATCCAGTGATTGATATTGTTATCAACACTCCGTTTTTTCAAGTTACAATGTTTGTTTGTTGTTTAACGCCGCACTCAGCAATATTCCAGCAATATGACGGTGGTCTGTAAGTAATTGGGTCTGGACCGGACAGTCCAGTCATTGACATCATGAGCATCGATCCACGCAATTGGGATACGATGACATGCATCAACCAAGTCAGCGAGCCTGACCACCTGATCCTGTTAGTCGCCTGTTACGACAAGCATGGGTTGCTGAAGACTTATTCCAAGCCGGAATTTTCACGGGACTAAGGGTAACAATGACACAATCAACCAAGTCACCGAGCGTGATCCCCCGACCCATTTAGTCGCCTCTTACGACTAGCATGGGTCCTTGTGCACCTATTCTAATCTGGAATCTTCAAGATGGGGTAATGAAAGATTCAAAAACAGATTATTGTCATGATAAGGTTTCAATTTACAAGCTGAATTAGGTTTATAACTGGTTTGGGACTCTAGTATAAGCATGATATTCATGCATTCAGCTCTACAAATATTTATATCAAAAACAAAGTTGACTAAAGACAAGATATTTGTATTTTTCAGATGATTATTAATGTTGACAATGAATAAATGTTTAGTGTGGATATAGTTGAAAGAAATTCAGATAGTTTTATGAGTACATCCACTTATGAGTAGATTTTGGGAAGAACTGCTTAATGAAATGGTTTATACATATGTATATGATTTTGTTCCTAAAGTGGTGTTTTGTTAAAAACATTTATCTTTTTCCAGGATATCCTTCAGGTTTGGACAGGAAGCAAGTTGAAAAACGGCTTGAAGGTATAATAAGCATGCATTAGTTTAAGACGAATATACTGGTTAATAATTTATCAAATATGTTATTCGATTATTATAGTCGTCAACTAGTTTCGAGGGGTATGTAGTGTGATGTACCCTCTTTGTGAGTACACACATGGTACATCATGCCATATACCCCTTGGTACCAGCTGACATCTATAATAATAATGACAACTGTAATATATTACCTCAAGTGACCGGTTGACGATGAATTTATCTTACCAGCTTAATTCTTGCGCTTGCATTACAATCAGATATGTCTTTGAACTGCCTTTGAAAAGTTTCAAGATAATATAATCATATCTTTGTATTTATTGTTATCTCATTGGTGAGAAGTTCGGCATTTCCAAGAGGAGTTTGTGAAATGTGTTGCTTATCCCTCAGAGGGATCCATGTGAAATCATTTCCTATTCAGTTACCAATCAGAAACAAGTATCTTAATGCAAGGTAAGATAAGTGTTAAAGGGACATGTGCATCCTGAAGAGAACTTGTATAATTGCCTTGCACTATACATTATGCCACAGATGAGCCCATTTGACCAAATGATATATTATACTGACAAAGGAAAATCTTCATATTGACTTGAATAATTGAGTACAATGCTGTATAGAACCTCTTGTTATTCCTATTTGATATTTTCAGATCTTTGTTTCCAAAACCTGAATAAACTGGCTGACTTGAAACTTGTCACCATGGACGAGGAAACGTTTGCCATACTACCAACAGGTAATTATGAGTAAAAGAATAGTTAAAGCTGTTTGTTATTTGTAGTAGTATTGCAAAGTGCCCCCAAGTATGGAATTGAACCAAGGCAATATGGTTGAAGGTAATTCCCACTAACATTTATGATAATTCCCACTAACACCCAAGTGTGGATTCCGGGTTAGAAATGGTCCCCAGCTGCCTGTGATGGTCGTAAGAGGTGACCAAATGGATCCAGTGGTCAGACTTGGTGATCTAGTTGATGGCGTGTCTTCATACCCCGATCTTATGAATTGTTGCTCACAATGTCAATCACTTGATTTTGTACAGACCACCGTCATATATATGGCAGGAATATTACTGAATGCACGTTTTTAATCAAGGTGCACAAGTGATTTGATGCACTTCGTGAAGTAAGACCTGTTTTATCACAGTATAGATCTTGATTATCGATCAGATCGTCTTCACTGGGCGACGCCATTTTATCTGAAGCAAATGCAAGTGATATGAAAGGTGGAATCTGATTAGTCAATAGGAGGGACATAGAAGTGACATAACTCGTAACAGCAACAGGTGACGCTATCGAGCCACGAAATTCCTGCCTAGTTTGGCAAGGGTGGAAACTGGACTTTTATAGTCAGTTAACTACCTTGCCTCAGGAAGATGTCTGAAGATTCCACTTATTCACGTTAGTCTTAACCTGTGCTTGTGTAAATTTTATAGCATTTTAGCAAAATGTGAAGTTGCATCTTAGAATACCTGAACTGTGGACAGTTGAAATTGTGTTCCATGCAGAGACAGGCAAGCTGATGGCAAGATACTGTATTGCCTTTGACACAATGAAGATGTTTGACTCTGTCAGTGGAGAGGAAACAATCAAAGATATGGTAAATAGAATTGTGCTTAGGTTGCATATTTCAATACATTTCTTACTCGCCATTGTTGTGATCAATATAACTGATTGCTAGATTCCATCTGCAGTGGTTTTGCTGGAGACAAATGGTAATAGGACATTTTCATGATTTTATCAACTTTTGACAGGACATTCTTCTGTAATATCATTTCCAAATTTAAAAAAGATCTTGAGGACATTTTGGATGACAGTCAATTTCCTCGAAAATTTACTGATCTGAATCTCTGCTTTGTTTCCATACAATTTTCGATGTTTTTGAATTGCTTTGATATTCAATTTTCAGGTTTAATTGTATTAAACCATCCAAATGCAAGCATGTTTTTTTTTTATTCTTATTTGAAGCTTCATTGCCCTATTTTGCATGCTACTATAGTACATGGCGGTACTCTGTAGGTGTGCTGACAGTAAATGAAATTAGGTTAGTTACACCATATGGACATCTTGAGCTTAAATATAAGTATTTCTGGTTAAATATTATATTATTCGTCTTCATATTTGTAAGGATATTCTTTGGTGTTACAATGATGACCCTTGGAGTAATACCATTCCCTAACAATGTTTCAGCTAGAACTAATGGTAAGCTGCTCTGAGTTCGATGAGTTTGTGCAACTGCGGAACAATGAGAAGGCCACTCTGAATGCACTGAACAAGAACAAGAACAAGCCCACCATCAGGTAACACTTCTCGCAGATGATGGTACATGTAGTTAGTGTGGTGTCTTTGTACTATTTTCTCCAGGGGAGTTATTCCCATGGAACTGTTTTTACTGGGAAATGTTTTCCATGAACAGGGATTTTGTTTCCCCACATTTGCCTTGGTGTTTTAGGTCTGGTGTAAATTCCCTAGTGAAAATGTTAACTAACCCTAGCCCTAACCCTAGCCCTAGCCCTAGCCCTAACCCTAGCCCTAACCCTAGCCCTAACCCTAACCCTAACCCTAACCCTAGCCCTAGCCCTAGCCCTAGCCCTAACCCGAACCCGAACCCGAACCCTAACCCTAACCCTAACCCTAACCCTAGCCCTAGCCCTAGCCCTAGCCCTAGCCCTAACCCAAACCAAAATACTAACCCTAACCCGAACCCGAACCCGAACCCGAACCCGAACCCGAACCAAAATATATAAATGAAATCATCTGGAAAATTATGCAAGTTGATTTCTTTGAATCACTGAAAATTTGTTCCACATGCATGTGCTCAAAGCTCACCGACATATAGCTGGAATATTGCTGTGTGCGACATTAAACAACACACACTTATAGTTATACAAAAACATTATAAGTCTTTATTGAGACAAAGACATAGTCTTCATAGGTAAATGAATTATGTATTTTTTTCAGATATCCTATGACTGGAAGAATCAAAACAAAACAGATGAAAACAAACTGGTTGGCATAATTTTCCCCTTCTTATAATATATCTAGCCTGTGAATGTTGTAATTAAAGAAGTTGTACGATGGTGTTTCTCTTACCCACAAAACAATTAGTTTTGAAGCTGGTCTTTCACAGAGGCTGATCTCAGGCATATAATAACACAGGGCATGACCTACAGGTGTTGCATCATGCTGTGCAGAGTTACATCCCCTACCATTCCAGGATCCACTGATCCTGGGTAGGTCACACACCATGGATTGTATCAAAGTGGTTAATGTCTACATCATGTTAAATATGTTCGGTGTGCCTTTCCACCTTCCCTTAAGAATATGTAGAGAATCACAACCTTTCAAAAGACACAAGGTTAAGATTCTGTTTATCATAAAAAATCAGTCTTCCATCTTTTTTAGTTTGTACACTGTGAGAACCAGTGTCTTCAGTGTAAGAATACAGCTCACCAGCTTCAATGGCAGAGAGATTAGTGATGTCATTTGATTCATGATGTCACAATGGCTGGCAAAGCATTGTGATGCAGTTTTATTGTGTCTCACCCAAGTGATATATCCTGTGAAAGCCAGACTTGGATGATATTAATGGTTGTGATATAACTGAAATAATGCTCAGCTAGCTTTAAGCTAAATGCACACAGCCACTCATGTCCTCACAAGCTGCTCGTATGTCTCCTTCAGCCTGATGCAGGCCCAGTTTGGCTGTCTTCCTATACAGGACTTCTCCTTGTCACAAGATGTCCTCAAGATATTCAGAGTGGGTCAACGTGTGGCAAAATGTATGTATTGTGTTGAAGCTACCAAGGCACATAAATTTTGATATCTTATGCAGTTCTTGTGCTAAACATATCATTTATGGTGCATCTTTTATATCTTATATAAGAGTTTGAGAAAGGATATCGGATAACCTTACAGCTGAATGCATGTCAATTAACAAAGGAAGTAGGCCAAAGCTGTCTGCAGTGATTCAACACTTCCATATACCTTCCCTGGTATCTGGACTCACTAATCTACTGTTATTATCCTTTAAGGGTGACATTCACAGTTTTTACACAACTATTTCCAGTTTTTTTAAATAATAATTCTTATTTGTACCTACCCGGCATGTGCATGTGATGAGGTTGTTATGTAATTAGACCCTTAGATGTTATTACATACTAAAGTCACCAAGCATGTGCAAATGCAATCAGGCAACAACTCAGGGTTAGAAACTAACAGTTTTTGTCCACTAGTCCTTATAATGATAACATATAACAAAAACCTTAAATTGGGCCAATTTCTACTCGTCCTTAGGATACCTTTACTATTGGGCAGTTTGGTAAGGACTACAGGACTAGTGCCAATTTCTAACGCTGCAACTGCTATCTGAGCAAGTGTAATTAGAGAGCCAGTCCGTGGGTCTGTCATTGGTTGTAAAACCATGACGTGTAAGTAAGACAGTGAACAACCTCCCTTCAGATGCTATGTGATTTGAGGTCCTTGGCATCGCCTTTGGGGTTGAATCCCATGGTACCTTCGGCGAGGTTGCTAACCTATATGTTTACAATTGAGCCTGAATTACATTTTTCATATCTGATGATATATGTATGCATACATTAAAAATGACTGGATGCAGAATATGGTTATGAGTTTTAAAAATATACACACATAAAAACAGACATGTAAAGATTTTAATCAGACAATTTATTTGCACTCAGAATGGCCTAAAGTACACCATTTTAGGTCTACATTTGAAAATTAATTCTAACTAGCTCTCAGCTACCGTGCCCAATGGGAACCCATTCTTTGAGGCCATATGCAAACACTGTATACCCCTACATACAGTTAGACCACCTCTATTGTCTAGTGGGTAGAGCACCTGCCCGGAGAACAGAAGGTTGTGGGTTTGATCCCAGGCTGTGTCATACCAAAAGACGTTAAAAGATGGTACTTGTTGCACCCTGCTTGGCACTCGGCATTAAGGGGCTAAAACAAGGACAGGTCAGCTTGAAGTCAGTATACTGTGTCTGAGTAGGATATTCATGTTAACTGTGGCATGGTATCGCAGTGAGCTAGCTCTATAAACTCTGCATTAGTCTGGACTAGTACAAACAGACACACACATACGTGCATGTCGCTATAAAAGTGCAATAATCTTGATTCCGATGTTAAACCCAATACAGTTGCAAAGTCGGTGTCTTGTTAAGTTGTGTTTGGGTTTTGAAGTAGTCTGTATTTTCACATTAACATGTACCAAAATGGTTTATGTTTTTGGCACAGACAAAATCCTAGTTAACAGAAATTCTGCCTTATGATAATTGCTGTATGCTGAACATTAACAATCAGATGCACCCAGTTATACAATACATATTGATCTAATGGTCAGGCTCGCTGACTTGGTTGATGTATGTTATCATATCCTAATTCCGTAGCTCAATGGTCATTATGTAAATCACTGGATTATCTGGTCCAGACTCTATTTTGTATGCCTGATAACCCCAATGATAAAAAGTTAGGGGGTCCGTACTCCAGAAGAAAACCTCACTGACCCCCTTAATTTCATACACTGGTCTGCCTTCCCTGAGTAAGTCACATGATCTACCATATTCAGAGCTCCAGATAAGCTTTTGGTGTTGTGGGTATTTTACCCATGCATTTTAAAATCATTGGGTATCAGTAATTCTATCTGTGTATTCAAATTGCTGTTACCCACTAGTTTTTACACATGTGGGTATTTAAGTTAAATATTTAAAAACACTATTCATCTAGTCCCTGCAAACTGGTGTCGTGTGGGTTCGAGAGCTTTATATAGGACTCAAAAATACCACGATACTTCCACAAGAAAGTGTGATGGCAAATGATCATGATGTAACTCTCATCGTGGAGTTTGGCAAGGTTGACGGAATGCCCGTTTATAATTTCAAAATAAGTTGCTGATTTGCTAATCGAATACGCAGGGTTACTTCACAATATTTTGATGATACGCACAAGTTTTATTTTTGTAGCGTATCTGTAATGTTCGTTGCGTATTTGATACGCTTGGATTTTATTTTAATGCGTATCTCTGCATTTCTGATACGTATTTTACGCAGATACGCAGCTTATCTGGAGCTCTGCATATTGCCCCATTGGGGTTCAAACTGTTTAATTTCAAACACTGTTGTTGGTATGTGAACCTAGGCCTGATGGAGTTTCTGTGGCAGAGGAAGGAGTACAGAGCTTTGCTGACAGCCATTGAGCTGCTGAAGAGTACCAAGACAAGGCTGTGGGTTGACACCAAGTATGTTGCCAAGCAACTGGATGGCATTGGTGGGTGCTGTTGGCACAGTACTAGAAAATGTTTATGGTTTAAGAACATCTTATCATTATCAGAGTTACGCTGTTATTTCCAGTTGATTATGTAGGGTGGATGTCTGACTTATTCCAGGAGATTTTGATATGATAGATCTTAGAGGGAGGATGTTCTCCACAGTCTAGAGTCTAGTAAATAGTATCATTTGTGAAACTTAGACTTATCTCTTGGTAATTAACATCCTCATAAACTGCTAGATTGTACATAATAAATAAACTAATAAAATTGGAGTTAGCAGTTAACCAAATATGTGTTTAATTTACTTGCTTGGACTGACTGTTAGCTCAAGCTCAACCCCTTTAAGCTATTTGCACTGTATAAATGAGGTGAATATCTATTAAACAACATCAAATGTGAATTGATTTTCATGAGCATTTTTGTTATTATTTGGACGCCACATATCATAAACTCAATAGCTCCATTTTGTTCAACTTCTTCAAATTATAAGTATGTAAATACGAAAATAATGTCTGAAGATACATTGATTGCATTAATAATACTTGGCATGAAATTTATTTTCTTGTCTTGGCTTAAGTCCTGACTATAAAAATGACACATAATTATCTCAATAAACATCTCTAAAGTATCAATCTCATTAAAATCATATCTTAGTTCTCTCTATCGCTAAACAAAGATCTAAGGACATCCCATTACGGGTCAAATCAGAATGACCTTTCATCTGACCAATCAAAGTATTGCTTACCAGATCATGAAAGTGACAGTCAGAATGTGTTTTGTAATCATGCAACCTCGAAAATGTTAACAGGGGGTATTCCGAACGACAGTTACGGCCCCTACGACTGATTCCGTCAAAATTATCGTCTTTCTCACACTTCCGTGGGATAAACATTTGAACAGAGGAGGCGTTGCACAGTACGTGGGAAGCACTGCCATACAATCTCAAATGTATATATTCTGGAATGTTTGTTTGTTCAGTTTTCAAAATTTTAATCGAGAACTGTGTCAACACATGTTTCAAGCATGGTCTGAAATGGAAGTCACCAGGTTGAAATGAGTGCCGTAATGCTTGAGAAAGCTGCTTTCTAATTGGCTGATGTTGACTTCTTGTTTGTCATTTCAGTGGTCGGTCAAAGTTCGCGAAAGATCGTTCTGACGTGACTCGTAATGGGATGTCCTCAGATCTTTGTTTAGTGGCAGCGGGAACATAGATACAACAATGAGATTGCAAAAGCATCTAAGTTACACAACGTTTAGGTTTGATCCATAACAAGAAAAAAAATTGTACATGCATCAATGTACTCATTACCAGGTGGATATTTGATACATAATTGACTTTCTTTCAGAATAATTATGTTGCTATGACACTATTTGCATATTCCCATGATTAATGAGCACTTGTGACATCTGCCGGTAGGTCCCACCATGTCCCTGTCACTGGTGAATGCTGGGCTGACAACCTTCCACAAGCTGGAGCAAACAAACCCCAGGGAAATAGAACTGGTACATCGATTAAATATAATGAAATATTTCTTCATGAAACTTTGCATATACTTCCGGCAAGTGCGGAACTGCTGCCTTTTGATGCTAAGGAATATATCAAATATAATCTTTTGCTATTCCAAGACAACAACTTTAACTGAGAGTAGTAGGATTTGTTTTTTTATGCACGACCTTTCATATATCTTTATGAAATGTAGCAAATGTATTAGGCTAGTGTAAGGACTGGTGCCTATCATTTTCACAGAAAACTAAGATTTTTTATTTAAAAATGCCATTCAAAAACTTGATACAACTGCAGCCTTACAAGGTCTGTCTTCTTGTTTCTCATTTCTCATTTCTGTCTTTCAGATTGTAAACAGACACCCTCCATTTGGCAACCAAATCCGAGATGCTCTTGCTGTCCTACCCAAATATGAGATGTCAATTGAACAGGTTAACTGTATTTGTGACATAGATATACCAAAACGACTCTATTATTTCCAGTAGTTTCTTGTTATTTGGGTGCACAGTGGCCCAGTCTTAAGGCAAGCCAACTCATTGCACAATTGCATCTTTAAGCTGTCACAATTCGCTGGTCATGGGTTTGAATCCAGTGTTGGCACCAGTTGTATTCCCAGGTGTTTCAGCATCATATCCGCTTGTGTTCATGGGTTTCACAGACTTCCATTAAGCTGGCATGGTTTAATTCCATCTCACTCACTATAGAATCTTCAGACAAAGAGGCTCAGTGACTACATTGGAATGTCTGGTATTATGCTTGAAGTGAGTGAGTGAGTGAGTATGGTTTTACGCCGCTTTTAGCAATATTCCAGCAATATCACGGTGGGGGGGCACCAGAAATGGGCTTCACACATTGTACCCATGTCGGGAATCGAACCCGGGTCTTCGGCGTGACGAGCGAACGCTTTAACCACTAGGCTACCCGACCGCTCTATTATGCTTGGAGGAGACCAACAGTTCAACCCTTGTCATGACTGATGTCTCCATGGGCGTAATGTGACCCTTATCATTTTAACTCTCTACCCCTTTTAATTTTCACTCATTGCTCTGCCTTCAGAAAGGTGTTGAATAATTTGGTCTGTGTCAGTTGAAGAGTTCGGCATCTAAACCAATGTTGTCAAACTTGTTGATAAAGCATATTTTCCTTTCTGTATTAATATTGATGAAACATTTGCACCACAAGGCTCTGAAGCTCATCTGAATTATGAAGAAATAATGGTGGCCATGTATTAAAATCAGGTTGGAATTCTGTGAGACCTTTTTAGTGGCAATAAAGCTGGGATTACTGATACAAAGTTTCAGCGCAATAGGCCTCGTAGTTTCAAATGACAGTGATACAACCGGTCAGATAACGTGACACCACAAACTTCACTTGATTTTCAATCAGGCGAGCTAACAAAGTGAACAAAGTGTGAACACTGTGTTGAGGGTGTTATGCCCATGGTGTTTGTGTCAGGCCACAATGTGTACAAGCAGCTCACTGTTATAATATTAATGGTTACAAGAGCTGAAAAATAGATGCTTTACCCCATTCGCAAGCTATTGGTTGATTTTTTGTCAGATTTTGATGTTCAACAACATATTATGAGTGACTCTTGGCATCTTTGTTACAAGCATTTGATTATTCACATATTCCTGAATACATGTGTTCTGAAGACATGTTTGTTCATTAGAAATGTGCTCCAAATGCACCCGGAGGCTGTAGATTGCGCTTCACGTGCAGGCATAAACTGTCCTGAAGACATGTTAGTTTTAAATAAAAAATCTGTTCTTCAAAACGCACCCAATGCATAAAGATCGCATCGCATGAACACACCAACTTATGGCTGTGACTGCACGTGATATGCAAGGGTTGTGTACAAATATAAGGCGGTAGCGCGCATCATCATTTAGATGGTTACAGAGATGGTTACGGAGTGTTAGACTCCCATAGGGGTAACCAACACATAAGCAGAAAGTTAGAATTAGTATTAGTCTTAGATATTTAGTTTCTTTCATTTGAAGTTTATACATCTTTTCTTCACATAATAACAGGTAATCACGTTTAATTCCTTATTGATCTTCCTTAGTTTTTAATAGGTTATCATGTTTAGTTCCTTGTTCATTTATAAAAGGTGGTCATTCAAATTTAGGTTAGTTTTCATTTAATTTAAACCACGCTCAAAAATATTTAGTTCCACTGAACAACAACATGTGTATTGATTATTATTCTACAAACATATCCAATGTTTGTGTATTATTTCAGATAAACAACTACAAGACCAACACATGTGTGCTTGTAGTCAGCATTAAATTGGCCAATAGGGAGACAATCCAGACCAAGAAGGGCTCCACAGATCACCAATCTGTGATACTCATCGGCAATCAGGACAACCACATTGTGTTCAAGTGGAGAATTGTGTAGGTCCCATGTATGATCACATTGTGTTGGGGGCACGGGTGGCCCAGTCGTCTAAGGCGCCGTGATTCGCTGTGCAGAGTTGCATCCCTTGGACACGCCAGAACCCTATGATTGTGGGTTCGAATCCCGGTTCGCCCCAATTATGTTTCTAGGTTTGTCAGCACTATACCTGTGCTCGTGGGTTTCACCGAAGTGGTAAACGTCTGAGACCTGCAAAAACTTCAGGCTTTCCTCCCTCATTAAGCTGACACGCCTTGATATAACTGGAATACTGTTAAAAGTGGCATTAAACCCAACTCACTCACTCAACATTGTGTTCTAGAGGAGAATCATGTAGGTCCCCATGTATGACAACATTGTGTTCTAGTGGAGAATCATGTAGGTCCCATGTATGACAACATTGTGTTCAAGTGGAGAATCATGTAGGTCCCATGTATGACAACATTGTGTTCAAGTGGAGAATCATGTAGGTCCCATGTATGACAACATTGTGTTCTAGTGGAGAATCATGTAGGTCCCATGTATGACAACATTGTGTTCTAGAGGAGAATCATGTAGGTCCCATGTATGACAACATTGTGTTCTAGTGGAGAATCATGTAGGTCCCATGTATGACAACATTGTGTTCAAGTGGAGAATCATGTAGGTCCCCATGTATGACAACATTGTGTTCTGGTGGAGAATCATGTAGGTCCCATGTATGACAACATTGTGTTCTAGTGGAGAATCATGTAGGTCCCATGTATGACAACATTGTGTTCTAGTGGAGAATCATGTAGGTCCCATGTATGACAACATTGTGTTCTAGTGGAGAATCATGTAGGCCCCATGTATGACAACATTGTGTTCTCTGGAAAATCATGTAGGTCCCATGTATGACAACATTGTGTTCCAGTGGAGAATCATGTAGGTCCCATGTATGACAACATTGTGTTCTGGTGGAGAATCATGTAGGTCCCATGTATGACAACATTGTGTTCAAGTGGAGAATCATGTAGGTCCCATGTATGACAACATTGTGTTCTCTGGAAAATCATGTAGGTCCCATGTATGACAACATTGTGTTCAAGTGGAGAATCATGTAGGTCCCCATGTATGACAACATTGTGTTCTGGTGGAGAATCATGTAGGTCCCATGTATGACAACATTGTGTTCTAGTGGAGAATCATGTAGGTCCCATGTATGACAACATTGTGTTCTAATGGAGAATCATGTAGGTCCCATGTATGACAACATTGTGTTCTAGTGGAGAATCATGTAGGTCCCATGTATGACAACATTGTGTTCTAGTGGAGAATCATGTAGGTCCCATGTATGACAACATTGTGTTCTAATGGAGAATCATGTAGGTCCCATGTATGACAACATTGTGTTCTAGTGGAGAATCGTGTAGGTCCCATGTATGACAACATTGTGTTCTGGTGGAGAATCATGTAGGTCCCCATGTATGACAACATTGTGTTCTAATGGAGAATCATGTAGGTCCCATGTATGACAAGACTGTGTTCTAGTGGAGAATCATGTAGGTCCCATGTATGACAACATTGAGTTTCTGGTGTATAGCTATAGAGCACCATCATCCAAAGCAATGTACTGAGATAATGGTATTCAAGTGCAGCAGTTTTCGCCTTGTTTCATGCACGTCTAAGCGTGATGGGGTACCCACCCTCCATGCACTATTCCCAAAGTTTAAGATTTGATGTATCCCTGTGTGCACGATGTCTGTACTGGGTTAGTTGTGTGTATGAATTCTCCCCAGTGACAGCCAGATCCTGAGGGATGGTGTCTGGAAGCGGAGGATCGACGTGACCCAGAGCAGTGCTGGCCCGGAACTCTATGTGCATCTCATAAGTGTGCAGTACGGTCAGTGTGTATACTTTACACTACATTGTAAAGGAATGTGATATGGGATAGATATGGGCCAGCTATCATCCAGTGTATTTATAGCCCTATTCTGTTATGATAAATACCCTGGACCCATTCCCTCCAGAAGCTGCGTTTCTGAAGTGACGTTTTCTCCTCCATCTCTCCTATACCTAACTTCGTCACAATTGTGTAGGATTTCTTATGCTGTACTTTGATTGGACGGCTATTTTAAGAATTGAGTGTTTCGAATCAGACTCTAAACGCAGCAATGGTAGAGAATGGCTAATCAAGGATGGACATGGGAAGGCATTGCTTTTTAAACCATAAAGGGTGTGGCACAGGTGTTGAAGCTTTCCTTTTCATCTTAAAGCAGATAAAAGTAGAGTATTTTTGCTGACATGTCAGATCTTACATTGTGTGACCCTGTGAAGATCCAGGTTAGAATTTGTTTTCAGCAACCCATGCTTGTTGTATGAGGCAACCAACAGGCTCGGTGATTTGGTTGATGAATGTGATTGTAGACCAGTTGCATAGATCGATTCTCATGATGTCAGTCACTGGATTGTCTGGTTTAAACTTGATTATTTACAGACCAGCGTCTTATAGCTGGAATATTGCTGAGTGCTGCATTAAAAAACAAATAAATGAACAAACATTGTGTGCCTTTCAATGTAAGAGTCCTTAAGACCCCAGATGTCGGGGTGTTTTTTTTACTGATAACTTCAGAACTGAAATGTTATATTTCTATTACTAATAATTTGAAGGAAACAACTATTTCAATGTTTGTTTTAGTTCTTATGAAGTATAATTACCATCCAAGATGTGTAAATGATGTGTTGATAATTCTTTCTCTGTGTTCAAGTTGGGCTGGATATCCATACGACATATGTACCAGTGTACCGGTGGTGTGGTGACCATGTACAGATGACTAGTGTAAGTCACGGCCTGGTGTAGCCATGTCACACATATGTACCAGTGTACCGGTGGTGTGGTGACCACGTACAGATGACTAGTGTAAGTCACGGCCTGGTGTAGCCATGTCACACATATTTATCAGTGATAAGTTATGCCAGTAAAATATAGAATATTGACCAAGGCATACTAAATTTACTAGGTTTTTTTCATGGGTCAAATTTGTTAAGTCTGTTATATCTTATAACTAACTCATTGTCAACAGATATTTTTCAAATCTTTTCATGATTTTAATCAAGGTTTTCACATGATTTGTTGCTCTTCCCGATGCAAGACCCGTTTTATCACAATATAGATTTTGATTATCGATCAGATCGTCTTAACTGGGCGCCGCCTTTTTGTTTGAATATGAGAGGTTGAATCTGATTGGTCCATAGGAGAGGTTTAGAAGGGACATAACTCTTAATAACCACTGGTGGCGCTACGATCAAGCCCAGGATTTCCAGCCTAGTTCGACAAGGGTGGAAACTGGACTTTTAAAGTCAGTTAACTCTCTTGCCTCGGGAAGATGTTAGAACAGTGCAGCCAGCATTTTGATAGTAATATCACTGCTTTCAGGACAGTGCATCAATCAATAATAATAATAATAATAATAATAATAATAATGCCTTCAGGACAGTGCGACCATCAAACATCCTCCACCAGACCCAGGATACCAGACCCAGGTGAAGCCATCTCTCCTGTCAGGGTGGTGTAATCACAAGTGCCACAATAAGGCACAGTGTGGCCACAAGTGCTGTAAGGAGGATGTCCGAACCCGCACCGACCAGGCACCTGGAAGAAACCACTCCGTCACAACACCAGCCCGGTGTCGTAATCAGAAAGGTGTCGATGCTCAGATCAGGATGCTGAAGAGTAAAGCAAGCTCACTTGATCTTCTATCAGGAACATCCAAGAGGAAAAAAGTAGGTTTGAAAATGAATTTTGTAAGACAGAGTTGACATTATTTAAAATGTGATAAAAACTTTGACTAGCCTAGTCTATTCTCAGTGATCAAACTTGAAAATTTCATACCTGTGTAACATGAGAAATCAAATGTCAATTTTTTATATATATCAAAATTCATTGCTGTTTTTGCGTTTTGCGGGGGAAGTACTAAAATGGTCACAGTACTTCTGTGCGTCTATGTGTCCGTCCGTGCAAGATGTTGTTCTTGAGCAGATCTTGAAAACCGTACAATACTTCTTCACCAAACTTAGTACATTGATAGGTCTAGCAGTGAACTGGTGCCTTTTGTTAGTTTAGGATTTAAAAAATATCTTTTTCTAGTTTCCATAGCAACAACTTTAAATTTGGCTGAAAATGTTGGTAATGCTCTTGTTGGGAGCAGATCTTGAAAGCCTTCCAATCTTTCTTCATGAAACTTGGTACATAGATAGGTCTAGTGGTGAACTGGTGCCTTTTGATGGTTTGGGATTTTTCGAGTGAACTTGGCAACAACTTTTACTTAAGCTGGAATTTGTGAAAGGGCTCATTTCCTGAGCAGATGTTGAAAACGTAACAATATTTCCTTACCAAACTTGTCAACATCGATAGGTCTTGTTGTGAATTTTGTGCCTTTTGATGTTTTGGGATTATTAAAATATATAAATATTTTTTTTAGTTTCCATTGCAACAAGTTTCATATATTGATTCAAGACAAGTATTTACCATTGCGAAGGATATTGATGACTTTGTCTTCTTGTTTCAAATAATATTGGCTAGTTATTTGTCAGGGATTTATCTAGGATTCCAATGTAAGTGCCCTTTGGCAGGCGATTTGGGGAAAAAATAATTATTTTGCTCAAATTAGTCAGTGAAATATAAGTCACTTCTACCAAGCCATAACATAATTTATTAATATATAACATGAATTTGTAATTCTGTAATTCCAATATATGAATTTGTCCTGACATTCACTGCAGACTTTTGGTCGAATGTCAGCCTCAGAATAGGTCTAGCTAAATCCCTGTCGTCCATTCATACTAAAATGTATTTGGATTACCGTATTTTCTTGAGTATAGTGCACACTTTTTCCCCCCAAAACACAGCTGTGTAGAAGGGGGAGCACATTATACACGCAATAATGAGTTTTGATGTTTTTTCCCCCCAACGGAAAGACATTACTGTGAGCATGTAACACCGGAAATACCAGGTCAACAAATCCATACTGTTGTACGCAAATTAATCATGTAATTACACAGTCTGGCTATAAAAGGTGTTCTTTGTATATCTGGACTTATGTTTGTAACTTATTTCATAAATTTTATTAAAACTTCCTTTTAATATTGTTTTAATTAATTTCGGCGAAATCGTGTGTGAAGCGATCGCAAGATCGCACAACTCACCGTTATTAACAGCAACCACGGTCAGATTACTGCTATTGACGCCTTGAAATGAACTTTAGTTGACAGAGAATAATGTCACTCTAAGATGAGATAGTAATAGAATGTTTTGGCAAAATCAAATGTGTGTGAGGTTTATTAGTTAAATAGATTTAAGAAAAAGTGAATAATATATTGAAGTTCATTTGTATTGTGTACAGATGTGTGATGTGAAACCTGGTCTCGGTCTGCAGCAGTATGCCTACCAGAAACCTCCTTCAATGAGAATACATGATCAGTATGCCAACCCACAGCAAGTACCTGCTCACTCCATGCAGGAGACACTGCACAGACACCAGCCATTCAACCCAAGAACCCCTCTTGCCAGACTTGGAAACATCCCCATTCTCAAGTATGGTGTAGGTGGGCGGAGGATAGATCCAGGGTTCATAAGCAACATGGACAAGACTCCCTCGTATCAAGATCTGTATGCAGAAGAGTGTGAGGATGAATCTGATTTTAACACGTCTGAATATGGTTTGACTGGGTTGGATAATGAAGATGGCAGTATATCCTTGCAGTACTTGTATCCAAACAGAGGTCTGATGAATCCTCAGAAAGGATGTCCGTCCCCATCCAAACTGACAGGACAAACATCGAAAGTGCTGAGAGCAGACATGCAGAGAGGCACTGCTGGGAAGTCAGGATCATCTTGTGACCTTGACCTTGCTGCAGAGTTTGACAACAGCTGGGACAGTGTGAGCATACAGCAGGTGCCCTCTGCACAGCCATCCCGGAACCACTCACCTGCACACACCTCTTGTCATGATGACTGGGCTGAGCTCCATATGTATCAGAAGGATAGAGAGGCACATGAACAAGGTTGTATATTGTTCAAGCAACATTCAAACTTTCAACTTTCCAATGTAATGATTGTATACTTACCCATTATACCTATAACAGTGCCATCCTGGAATATGTCTTAAAGGGAGACTAAGCTTGGGTTAACTGGCAGTCCATGCAAGTATGTTTCAAGTACCTCAAACACAACTTTGTTTCTCTAATGTCTGAAATTACCATATTTACACTAAGAAAATGTTTCATTTTTGCACATAATGTTAATAACGTTGTCTAGACCTAGACTCAAACTCGGTACCAGTGTGCAGAATACCGGTAGTCCCGCTTTTAGGTGCAAATTGTCTGTCACCCGTCATGGTCAACTGTGAACCTAGCTAAAACTGCTGGATGGATTGAGCTCATACATTTTATAATTGTCCCAACCATTATGACAATGAGTTGAATCAATGAACAATCTTTGAAGGCATCAATATTGAAAGTTGAAAAATATATGTCTTCAGTCTAGAGATCTAGAGCTGAATGATAATGACATTATGGTAACTAGTAACATAAGTACCCTTATTTCCTACGAAGGCAAACATATCACGGTTCATAAAAATCATATGTGCACACATCACGAGACAACACTGTATTGTTTCCATCATCCGAACGGCATTGTGATATCATTCGAATCTTATTGTGACGTGAGGTCGGATGACGTCACACTAGAAACTACATCATATCTGAAGATTGTTGACGCCATTCGACAAATTGTGGCTCTGCTACTGTTGCAACTTGGTGTCCCTATAGGTAAACACTAAAATTCGTCTCTCTCTCTCGGGAAATACAGGAATTGAGACACTCGTGTTGTAAACATAGTATGACATGAACAATCATATAATATCCTCCATATATCTGCACACAACATGTAGACAGTGTTGAAGAAACATTTTCAACCTTTTCTGCACAACTGCTTTGAGTGTTGAGTAGTACAAATCTTGTAAAAATAAATTCAGACATGTTTGACATAGATCCTGATGACTGTTTTTTACAAGTGTGGTCTCAAGGAATTGGCACAAATTTTGGTGGTTGTTTTTACAGAGATGTTTGGAATCGATCCTGATGGCTTTTCACCTGAGTGTTTTACAAGGGAGGATCTGCAGGAGCTGGACAGACACAGCAACCTTCACTCTAAAGATATCAGGCAGCCAGAATCTTATAACACAAGAACAAACATGTACCCATCAAGGGACAGTTACCTACAGCCTCAAACATACAGCAGGTCTGTTCAACAGCAGAATCAGTACAGGAATGTTGGCAGTGTGTGCGGGGATGGACACAACCAGCTGTCAAGTCCTGGTGTGGAGGAGGTCAGCAACAACACTGTGGTGTTTACAACAAGTCAGTCCAGGTAACACTTCATCTTGCCTGAATTTGACAGAAATGTCTTAAAGATGTTTGCTGTGATCTTGGTCCTGCATCATATGTTTAATGTTATGGACCGCCTCTGTGGTGGAGTGGATAGAGTGTCTGGTTGGAAGGTTGGTGGTTCTATGCTTAAAAGATGGTACTTGTTGTTTCCCTGCCTAGCATACAACATTAAGGGAATGAAACAAGGATTGCCGGCTCAGGGTCAGTTTGCTGTGTCTGATTGAAGTATCCATGTTAAACTGCAGCATGATATCTTAGTGGGCTAGCACTGTAAAACTAGCATTTAACTTGACTAGTACAAGCAGCCACAAACACCCATACAAGCATGCACATCACAGTAATATTGAACGCAATGTTAACCCCCCTTTTCACCTCGTCTTATTATTATGATTGTCACACAAGTTGCTACAATGATGAATTACACTGTATGAATCTAGGGATGGATAGTAATATCTTGATGTCATAAACCGATTTACCCTGATTATGATCCTTGGGGCGTAGCACCATATATACATACAAGTCACTGTCATCAGTGTGACATTATAATTAAATATTAATTGTTGTGTTTCAGCGATGATGAACTATGTTACGTAGGAGAAATACTCGGGAGACAGGGCTGTGATACACTGCAACCAACAACCCCCAACCCAAACAAACAGTATGGAGAATTGAGGCCAGGTAACACCCCTGTCCCAGACAATGCACCATGTGGAGACATGCTACCGGTAGGAATGAAATCCCCTCCCTATGGCTCCGACACACGGCCTCCCAGATCTAGAAAACATAGTTTCGGACAAGTTGTAGCCTGGGTGGCCGACTCCGACTCCTCCCCCTGTAGCCAGAAGTCCATCCCAAGGTCAAGGACACCACTGCTTAAAAGGAGCACCCTAATGGTTGAGCTGCAGAAAAGGTAATGCAGGGCTCCTGATAATGCATTAAGCTATTGATTTACTCACATTCACATCGGGTATGGATAGTTTTCCTTGGGTATACCAGTATTTTATATATGTACAGTAAACTACGGTTATAACGAACACGCTTTTTGGATATAACAAACTTACCTTTTTGGTCCCGACTATTTGCTGTAGTTATGCTGTATATATGCCTATAACGAACTACTACGGTTATAACGAACTAAAATTAGTAGTCCCTTTGAATTCCTTATAACCATACTTTACTGTATTAATATATATTTACTCTCTTGTGTCCAGCCTATTGGCATGATTGGGGTTTGTAAACCAAGGAGAAAATAATTCTACTTCTGTGCTACCAGATTTTCAAGTTACTACTTCATTTGTAATATTTTGCAGACACACTGCGAATATTTCTGATGATTGTTGTCTTTATCTCCATAATGTAATGCTTTGCCATTGCTTTGAGGCAATACAGATTTCAGTCTGACCAGTTGTTTTAACAGAACACCCACATATGGCTCAAGGACCACTGACAGTGAAGAAAAGTCCATGGTAAGTTAGTTTGACAACATCTCCATCTAAAGTTTATATTAATGACGTGGTTTAGATTACATTGAAAGTACTGTTGGCTGGACATTAGAAAAGTCAAGTTTTGCCTGTATTTGTCAGCAAATAGTACCCTACAATATGGTCAGTCCAGTTATTGTAACTACTATAGGGTTATGTGGCATCCAGCAGTGAACGGGTACCCGGGAGGATGAGATGGTAATGTGACTGTTAACATTCTTGAGCCTCACAGGCAGCTTCAGGTGTATACTCCCCAGGGAGCTCAGACTAAACATTGAGTGCACACTGAACCATTGACCGGGGTAATTATGTATAGAGCTTTGAGCTTACTTAAAGGGGTGGATATGTCACATTACAAACATACTTACACATTTATATTATTATCCTGTCATGCTATCATACAATGATACTGTTATGGCAGTTTGAAAACTTAACTGGGGACATTGATTGTCAGTTTGCATGACTCTCTTAAAATATTCTCCCACATGAAAACATGAAAAATTTGAATTGTAGAATCAGAGATTTATCTGCACCTGCTCAGAGGCCAATATTCCCCAAGTCTGCAGCTAATGTCACTAAAAGTTCCCAAATAATAATAACAAATTTCCCAGTTCATGTTATGTAGTAATAACTATGGCTTTAAAGAAGTGACTTGTAATGGTTTGTCTGGTACGGATTGTTTACAGGTTGCTGTGAATCTTGGTGACTGCAGCATTGAACAATGTCCACTTATTCTAATGTAGTAGCTGACCCATAAAGATCCAGGGTAAAATAGGTCCTCAGCAACCCATGTTCGCCGTAAAAGGTGACCTTGCTTGTTGTAAGGCGACTAATAGGGTCGAGTGGTCAGGCTCGCTGACTTGGTTGATGCATGTCATTGTGTCCCAATTGTGTGGATCGATGCTTATGATGTCAATCACTGGATTGTCTGGTCCAGACTCGATTATTTACAGACTGACGTCATATATGGACTATTGCTGAGTGTGACGTTAAACAAGAAACAAACAAACAAAATATAGTAGCTGTCATCTTGTTTCAGCAGCTGTCTAGTGACCGGGTGTACCCAGAAACAAACACATCCAGCTTCTTCCATGTGTTCAGGTATGTCACTTAGTGAGGTGAAATGGGGTTTAATATGCCATTCTTTTAATAACTTGGTTTACGGATATTATACACACACAAAAAATTCAGATTAGGTGATCGAAATAAAAATAAAAGTAGGGTTTCCAAGTCACAATCTTTCTACAAATGTTCTTTAGAAGAGTATAAGATTTCATCATGTGACTTAGCTTCAAGTATAATATCCTTAGTATTTTCAATAATAGAGCCATCTTCCAGCTGAAATTGTGCCTTCCCTTACTGATATAATTCCTATTTTCTTATTTGCAAAAATACCGGCTAACCTTTTCTCCTTTATCAATCCACTTAGCTCTTGACCATATTATGCTAAACTCCTTTTCTGTGGTTCGAATGTTGTCTAATTCTTTTTTCCTCTGCTCCAATTCTTTATTGTTTTTAGGAAAATCTGTTCCTAACTATTTAATCTTCCTCAACATTTCATGTTCCTGTTGAACTCTAGACTTCTTCAAATAAGAACAATAAGAACCATTTTCCCCCCTGATTTCCATAAAAAGAGTCTCCATTAATAGCTGGTCATTAATATTGAATTCAGCTTGAAATAGGGCAAGTGGATGTGAGTGAATGAGTGTCCATGTCAATGTCAAATTAAAAGAAATCCATAATATTTCCATACCTCGAACAGGAATCTTACTTCCAGTATTAACATCCATAACGATAGCTTCTGGAACTAATTTAATAACCTTGCTTGTGTTTTTCTTAAGTTGTCTATGTCTTTTCTTGCTTGGGTCAGGCACTACCCTGGGTATGAGGTTATATCTGCAACAGGGACTCATGTCCGGACTTGTGCTACTTTTATACAAATACAATGTATAAATTTTAAAGTACAGAAAATTTAATGATTTAATCATTGCAATCATTCATCATGCTGTCTTTTCCTGTGTCCAACATTTGTTATCAGTATTGTTCGTGTTTCAGGCCCAACATGACGGACGACATAGGCGACATGAATGAAAACATTTTTGCTGGCATTTTCTGAAAACTCTCCTTCAACATGTTCAAGACATTTCTTGCTGCCAAAATATGAAGCACTTCGATACTAGCTAGTACAGTCACCTGTTTGGAATTTTAGTTCTGTGAACTATTATGCTACACAACATGTAATAAGGATATTTATTCTGGGTGTCTAGCTGGGGACTGATTGTTTCGAGTTGTCATGGAATTTCTGTATTTGTTTCATTTGATTTTCATATCAATGTACTGGTATTTACACATTCTGTTACGTTGGTGTCACAACAGTAGATTGAATAGCATATGAAATTTCCACTTTTCCTGATGTCTGATGTTGAGTCTGTGATATTTACCCAACTGTGATAAAAAGGTTCATTTCTGTTTCATATGTACTGTTATATAGTGGCAAATGAACATGCTGAATACGTCTGTCACCTAGTTCATGGACCTGACAGTGTAGAATATTTATTGGTTTATTAAACTATGTATCAACTAATGTGTGCTTGTTCCGAAAAGAAAAATTAATACTTAAAGATAGATATAACAAAAGTTCACATGGTAAAATCATTAGCCATAATCAACCGCCCATCTATTATCCTTTAGGATACTCTTAACATTAGACAAACTTGGGTATCCCTGGTCAACTTTACAGTCCTTAAAGGCTCCGATCCAATCCATTGGGTCACATGTACCCGGTAGTAGAAAGTACTCCAACCTCACACATCAATGTTGCTCCAGCTGCATGTTCACAGAGAATTGCACAGTCTTGGGGCAAGAGGGGAAAGTTGAAAAGACTTGATTCACCCTTTGCATTCACAACTGTAACTTTATATCCCAATATATATCCTTTATTACTTGGGATCAACAGTGTCTGATGGTTTCCACACATCTTCCATTACCTAGTGTTGTAATATTGCACAACCTTCGTGCTGATATAATGTCACTTCCAGCTAACTACCAGTCATGACGTCTTCTCTTGAATCTGTTTGCAGCAATAAAGGTCACATTTTGGGTTGAAAGAGAAATCCAGCCACCCTATCTCTCCAAAACACATAATTGCAATGCAGTTATACTTTGTGTCAAAGTTTGAAATATTTTGAAATTTCTGGATCGTTGTTCACAATATCAATCACTGGATTGTCTGGACCAGACTATTATTTACAGGTTGCTGTCACACAAGTCAAAATGTCCAAAACGCTGACCTGTTGGCCATGAATGAACAGTTTGGGCCTGCTTGACCTTGTTTCGCCATTTTCTCCTTTATTAAAAGGTGTTGGATGGTGAAACTATGCATGGACTATCCTCTCCTACATTTGGTCACACCAATTCTTTTCAAAGTCAAGTTTGGTTCCATGGCAACATATGAGAAAAGTTCTTGAAAACAACAATGCAAATAAGAATTTTTAACTTTACTGATGGCTTTTTACATAGGAAACGGAAATATACAGACATAACTTAAAATTCAAATTTAAAGTCAAAGTAAGATTGATCAAAAAAGTGTACTCTGAGATAGCCATCTTCCCCTCCACTTGTGTAGCTGAAACAAACATAAGCACAAATTAAAGTCAGTTTACAACATATTCCAAACAACTATCAGCTGACTTTTAGGAATTGGAACACTTCATGTTAACCCTTTGACAAAGAACTAACATGTCATTAAGAGATCTAAGACTACTGTGGTATTAACAGATCAAAGCACTGTTGTAGCATCAAAATAAATGTGGCATTTACACCAGTCAGCAAAATTTCAGGCACAACTGACTTCCTGTAAGTAATCGAGTCTGCACCAAATTAACCCATAGCAGACAGTACAAGTAACAAGGAAACTAGTCTGCTTTTACGAAGAGCATGGGATACAAGGAAGCTTTTGGTTTGTTTGTTGTTTAACGCTGCACTCAGCAATATTCCAGCTATATGACGGCGGTCTGTAAATAATAGAGTCTGGACCAGACAATCCAGTGATTGACCTCGTGAGCATCGATCCACGCAATTGGGATACGATGACATCCATCAACCAAGTCAGTGAGCCTGACCACCTTATCCCGTTAGTCGCCTCTTACTACAAGCATAGTCGCCTTTTACACAAGGAAGTTAGTCGTCTCTCATGAAGAGCATGGGATACAAGGAAGCTAGTCCGCTCTTACTAAGAGCATGGTGTTAAGGAACCTAGTCTGCTTTTACGAAGAGCATGGTGAACAAGTAACCTTGTCTGTTCTTAAGAAGAGCATACAAGAGGGATACAAGGAAGCTAGTCTGCTCTCACAAAAACATAGGGTACTAGGGACTTATTCCAGTTAGTTATACGTAGTCTGCTCTACATGGAGCATGGGGTAGTGTTAGTCTGACCCTGAATCCAGAAAGGGGTAAAGAATACAGAGCACAATACAAACCCACCTTTTGCCGTCAGGATGAAATGAAACACTGTTGATTGGACCAAAGTGACCCTTGACCCTGCCGAACTCCTCCTCAAAGATCATGTGAAAGAACCTAGCGTCAAACTTTCCAATCCTTGTTGAAGTGGTGGTGACATCCATAGCCTCCTGCCCACCACCCAACACCACCTGAAACAGAGACACTTCTGCTGAACCTGGTCCAAATACGAATATACTCATCCTCATTTATCCAGGGTATTGTATCTTCATTCTATAATGATTAATACCCTGAACCCACTTCGCCATCACAGCGATGGAAGTTTGTCTGTTGTTTAACGCCTTACTTGGCAGTCTAACTTATCAAATCTTGACAGACAATCCAGTGATTGACATTATGAGCATCGATCTACGCAATTGGGATGCATCAGCCATGCCAGCGAGTCTGACCATCTGACAAGCATGGGTTTGCTGGAGGCCAATTTTAACCTGAGTCTTAACGGGTCCTTTTCAAAAGTGACATCACAATCTCTTACATCACTAACCTTTCATTCGCTCATGACTATGATTTATTTGGCCGGCTATTTTTAGATTCATGTTGTTTACATCAGATTGGAAATACAATCCCCTGGATAAACAAAGATGGGTGGTAAACTAGCTGTTGATATTCTATTGCAGAGCAGACACTTTACATAGTAATAATCCCTGTGTAACTTGACTCATAACCTGATAACAGGAATTGGGTCAATCCCCACAAGGATTTGTTGTCAACAACACTCACATGTTCATAGATGGGTGAGAGAGATGCTGAATTGATAGGTCGCTCCGTCTTGTAGCTCTTCATGAATTCGAAAGTCTTTGTGTCATACAGCTACGGAAAAAATATTCAGGGATTGGATTACAAGAAATACAGTCACAGCTCACACAGACAAACAAAGTAGGAATAAGTAAATTAATGATAGTCCTAAGACCATCCCCCAACTATAATAAACAACCAGTCGCTCAATACAGCGAATACAGTATGTCAAAAATTACACTTTAAGTATTATATGGATCATCCCTATTGTCTCATCTTTATTTACGTATCCAACTTATAAATGCCTTCCGAAAATGTGGGTATATTTAAGGCCCACTCTCACCTTGGCCGATGTGTCTTTTGAGGCTGTGATGAACATAGATCCGTCTTTTGATAACTGAATATCATTGATGTTCTTCGTATGTTCCTTGACAGAGTTCACCTTTTCGCCAGTCTGTGAAAATTCAAAGAAAATCTCTCACACACAACACAACAAAACAATCCAATATTTGTGTAATGACCATTTTTGTGCCAATTCTGAACAAATTCATAAAGCCCGGGAAGGAAATTAGCACAAGCCCACTAGTTGGGGCCAATTTTGTTAGTGTTAAAGGTAAGTCAGCAGGGCTCACTAATACCCGACTTTGACTCCACATATTTTCAGGTTCATAACATGAAAAAAAGCAATCCACATATAGAAATATAACTTTGCATTGCACCTCTCCAATTGGTGTAGAAACTGTACCCCCAATTGGAAAAGAATCCATGAAGTAGTTTTCAAGTTATAGGTCGCATAAATGTTGAAGTAAAAGAATTCTAAGTACAACACGTGAAAAAAAGAAATAATATTTTTTCAGAAAATACACCTAAAATCAAACTATGCACTGCACCTCTTCCGTTAGTATGGAAACCGATCACTAAATTTGAAAAGAATTCATGCAGTAGTTTTCAAGTTATAGGTTCCACAAATGTTTAAGTAAAAATATTCTAACTGATCTGACTTTAAGCTGAATTTTTCAAAAAAATCAAAATATTGAAATCAAACTTTGCACTGGTAACCCTGTACATATAAACCCAGCATTCCAGCATCATGAACTAATGTCTTGCCCACAAGGCTACCCCACCGCCCCTTGGCCTACAACAGAGTTGCCTTACCTTTAGGTCATACTGACAAACTTCTCCGTTCTCATGGCCAGTGATGATGCATTCCTCATACGGACCCCAGATGGCAGACGTGATCTTTGACCCATCAATCGGTATCACCATCACTGGTTCATTGGAGGCTGAAATGTCAATAAACCCAGGGTTACCATGGTTACACATGACTAAGAATCAACATTCATACAAATCTGACTAGTTTCTTTGTTTCACAAGCCAGATATATCATCCAGAAAGTATATGTAGGCTTGTGTGATGTTATCTTTGGAAGCTACCCAACACAGATGTATATTGTTATGTGAGGTGAGGTGAGGTGAAATTGGGTTTAACGTCGCGTCCAAGATTATTGCACTTATATAGCGACGTGCATGCACGTGTATGTGTGGCTGCTTGTACTAGTCCGGACTGATGCCGATTTATAGTGCTAGCTCACTGAGATACCATGCCGCAGTTTAACATGAATACCCCACTCAGACGCAGTATACTGACCTCGAGCTGACCAGTCCTTGTTTTAGCCCCTTAATGCCGAGCGCCAGACAGGGTAACAACAAGTACAATCTTTTAACGTCTTTTTGTATGACGCGGCCCGGGATCGAACCCTGGACCTTCCGCTCTCCGGGCGGACGCTCTACCACAAGACCACGGAGGCGGTCGTATATTGTTATGTACAATATATGTACCGTGTTGTTGATTGAGTTACCTCCCTTGTTCTATGTATGGCACTCATCGTGAGCAAATAAACCCATGTCATACTAAGAACCTTGTCTGCGGCCACTGCTAATACTTGTAGCGCTACCTGCGCCACAGAGAACCCACTGCAATACTGTGTTAAAATAGCATCCACATAAATGCGTAAGTATGGTTTTACGCCTCTTTCAGCAATATTACAGCAATATCACTGCGGGGCACACCCGAAATGGGCTTCACACATTGTACCAATGTCAGAAATCGAACCCAGGGCTTCGGCGTGACGCGTGATCGCTTTAACCACTAGGCTACCCGACCGCCCCACATCCACATAAAGTGTCACACGTCTATCTCAATGCACTCGGGCTAGTTGGATGTTTTGATCTTATGCAATATTGACTCCAGACTTGATTATTTACAGACTGCCATCATATAGCTGGAATATTGCTGAGTGCGGCATTAAACAACACTGACCGACTGAGTATGGTTTTACGCCGCTTTTAGCAATATTCCAGCAATATCACGGCGGGGGACACCAGAAATGGGCTTCACACATTGTACCCATGTCGGGAATCGAACCCGGGTCTTCGGCGTGAGGAGCGAACGCTTTAACCACTAGGCTACCCGACCTCCCCCATTAAACAACAAACAAGCAAGCAAGGTCCTTGAGAAATGTTGAGTTTGGGTCCTGAAGTATTTGATTTTGTTTGTTTGTTGTTTAACGCCGCACTCAGCAATATTACAGCTATATGATGGCGGTCTGTAAAATAATCGAGTCTGTACCAGACAATCCAGTGATTGACATCATGAGCATCGATCCACACAATTGTCGCCTTATACGACAAGCATAGTCGCCTTTTACGGCAAGCATGGGTTGCTGAAGACCTATTCTACCCTGGAATCTTCACGGGTCTGTAGTATTTGAATCCAGTTACTCCTAAATCTTTAACTTTCCATATTAGGTCAATGACAAGGACTCCTTGACGTCCATGGATGCTAAATACATGTAATTGCATCAAAGAAAATTTCAGAAAAGTGTCAGACTGTTGGGAAACTTACAATCGTTGATGTCAAAGATGTCAATCTCACAGGGCAATCCCATGGTCTTGTCTGTGGTGTACATAAGGAGGTTCCCGCTGTATGAGAAACCACATGACCTGACGGCTGTGCGAGACTCCAGCACGTTCAGTGTCTTGCCTGCAAAACACACACAGTACAACTACAGTGGATCCATACATGTGGTTTTTTCCTCCTGATTTTTTTATCACTTTATTTCTTTTTTTCTTGGGTACAGATAAGACATGTTATTTCAATAGTATATTACGGGATTACATTATGTTGGTCAATATGAGTATATGAAATTATTCTATTGTGATACATATCAAATACATGTAAGATAGGCACATTTGTCAACACAGTATGGTAATGCAAGGTTGTGGCATGTCAACCAGAAGATCATAAATGTATCATTTTCACATTTCATATATGAGACTTATTTTTGTGTATGATATAAGCTGAAGAGATATTTTTTTAGTTTGGTAATATTAGGGAGAGAATTTGAACATTTTTTTGGAGTAGATATATGCTTTGTTGCAATCCTCCTGATTTTTACAAATTATTTTTATCCCCCCCCCCCCCCAAATATAATGACGGGGGATATAGCCATCAGTATGTCCGTCAGAAACTTGGTACACTTACCAATCAGGCTCAGTAGTAGTGCCTTTTGCTATTTAGAGATTTTTAGAATTTTTTATTTTTGTCTTTTCCATGGAAATATGATGAACTTAGGAAATTTGAGGGTAGTGCTCTTGTCCGGAGCATATTTCCTAAACCCTACAACCTAGCTTTACAAAACTTGGTACACTTACCAATCAGGCTCAGTAGAAGTGCCTTTTGCTATTTAGAGATTTTTAGAACTTTATATTTTTGTCGTTGCCATGGAAATATTATGAACTTAGGAAATTTGAGGGTACTGCTCTTGTCCAGAGCATATTTTCTAAATCGTACAACCTAGCTTCGCAAAACTTGGTACACTTAACAATCAGGCTCAGGAGAAGTGCCTTTTGTATTTAGAGATTTTAAGAATTTATATTTCCTTGCCAATCTAAATACATTTGAAGGTACACATAGTTTACCGACATGCCACGTCGGGGGGATATCTCATCTTCGGACGACTCTTGTTCATTTCAGCAGGCATGTACATTTGGCACATATTTACATAACAGTACATGGTTTTGGAGACAAATGACAAAAAATAAGAGTCAACAATATTCCTTAATTTGCACTCTATGACAGACCATGTGATGGCCGGTGCAAAATGAGCTTCTGACTCAAATAGAATATTATGAATGTGTGAAAGCTACGCAGTACATAGCTAAGATGACACACAGCCTTAAATAAGACAAGTATCCATGTACTGTATCAGAACTTTGCTGTCAAGATATGTATTGTAAACGTATTGTGACAGCCACAGTTAATTTGATCTTCCTTTCTCCAGACTATAACTCACCTGTCTCACAATCCCATAACCTGCAGGTGTTGTCAGCTGCGCCAGTCATCACCTTGGTTGTGTCCCCTGGTCAGAGGTCAAGGACATTCAAACTCTACATCAAATACTTACACAACACTGATTCTGATATTCAAGAATATCCAGAAAGAAAATGCCACTTGATAGACTTGTCCAAATAATTATATTAAATAGGATAAGTAAAAGAAAAATAGGAAACAGAATCCTCCAATCTCCCTAAAATCAGATCTTAGTTCTTGCTACTACTAAACAAAGATCTGAGGACATCCCATTACAGGTAATGTCAGAACGACCTTTCGCGAACTTTGAGCGAAGATTGAAATGACGAGCAAGAAGTCGACATTAGCCAATCAGAAAGCAGCTTTCTGTTTTAAGGCACAAGTTTCAAACTGGTGACTTCCATTTCAGACTACACTTGAAACACATGTTGACAAAGCTCTTGATCAAACACAGGAAAACTTGTATAAAAGCGCATTCTGGAATGTCTTATATATAGTCAAGAGTGTATGGCAGTACTTCAAACATACTATGCAACGTCTCTTCTGTTCAAATGTCTATCCCACTAAAGCGAGAGACAGATGTTTTTGACAAAATCATTCCTTGTTTGGAATATCCTGTGTTATCTTTTTTGAGGTTGCATGATTAGAAATCACATCCCTACTGTCACTTTCCTGATTTGGTTAGCGCGCTCTGATTGGCCGGATGAAAGGCCGCCCTGACGTGACCCATATTGGAATGTCCTCAGATCTTTGTTTAGTGGTAACGAGAACTAACATTTCATTTAATGAGATTGTTGACCCCTCCCATCCCACTTCTGGATGCCTCCAATATGGCCAGCGTGGGTTAAATATTCCAGCTATATAAAGGCAGCCTTTAAATAATCGTGTCTGGAACATCAAATAAGATTCATTTTCAGGTTTTGATGATAATAAGACTATCACCAACTCAGCTTACTAGAGCAAACAGAAGTTTACAAGACCCTGTCTTAGACTAGTGGCTAAAGTTGCAGACAGCCATTATCAAGCATGTGATCATGAGTGGGACATGATTATTTGGCTGATTGGGTTTCTGCATGTCCAGTGAAAACAGTGCCAAGGATACAGTTAACGTCAATGCACCAAACAGCACCATTGTGTCCTTGGAAGGTGCCAAGTCTTTCTCCATTCAATGAATACCAAACATTTGGCTCTTGATCCTTAGCTGATGAAAATAACAAGTCTCCTTCTCGGCTGTATTTGATTTGTGTGATGGACCTCTCGTGTCCTTGAAGCAGTATAGGCCTCTGGAACAGGAAATACAACATGTCTCAAGCGTATTACTTAATAAGCATGGTAAGTAGTTCTTAAGGGTTGACAACCAACTAGGGTGAAAATTCACTGACATATACTGATCAAAGAAGGTGAAGAACAGCCTTTTCTTTCATGTTAATCTCTCTAGTTAATCTGTCATGGCATGAAATATGAAATCGGGCGTTACTTCACTTGTTTTGAATGTGTGTATGTGTGTGTGTGTGTGTGTGTCAAACTTACAACTGACCATATAATCCCATGTTTCTTAACAATAATATTTACAAAGTTCCCCATGAAAAACATGTCATGGCTGATCGGCTACAATGAACTTTTAACATTAACTTGACTAACATGGGACTAAGCTCCACGGTGAGTATTCACAGTGTGCAACTGAAACATTGTCCCTGTGTATTTACAGTATCTCAGGAACTGCTAGATTGACATACATGACACAATTACAGGTGGTCCAAGAATAATCTCCCTCTATCAGGTCAATGGAGATTACGCATATTACTCAATTATGTTGCAATGGTCATACTCAAGATGCTCATGGATACTTTGTATGACAGTAACCTGATCTTGTAACACACACTTCGAATCATTGAAGCACGCTAATTCAAACTGTAAGGTTTTTAATAGGCTGTATCACCATATCACAGCGTGTGTTCTGAATTCAGATAATTTCAAAATGTTACTACCAAATCATGCTAATGTTGTATCAACCATTTGTCAACAGCTGGTCATGTTAATATCATTGATGTAACTCACACTTTTTGGATAACCTAGTTATGAACATGAGAATAACTACAGTAATTATAAGTTAAAAACATTGAGCAGCCATATGGTCTCAGGCTCGTAGCGACGGAAAGAACTCCAAATTGAGTCCAATACATCCACAATCAATATGACATATGGCCGATTCTTGCAGGCGCAATACACACAAAATAGTCAAAACATTTACATTTGGAAGTCGATCGGATTCTAAATGTAATCTACAATGGGAAAGCGTTCATACTTAAAAGAATTCTATTTTGTCTTAACCCAGTGATAGAAATAATGTAGGAATAAGAGATACTTTCAACATACCATGCTGTCTTTATGATGGATAGTCAAACAGGAAGCATGGGCAAGCGAGCGATTTTGCGCATGTGTAAACTCAAAAAGTACTCTGCACTCAACCTTGTTAAATCATGTTGTCGTCTTTAAACGAACAGGACACCTGCTGAACATTTCTCACTATTTACTTAAAACATAATTTAACTGTACAGACGTAGGTGATTTTAAAACAATCCACAGAGTTTTGCGTAAAATGTAATTGATTGATTTACGGCCCTATTTAGTTGTATGTGATCATCACGCCGAAAGCGCGTGGCAGATCATGGCAATACGCTATAAATAAATCAGGTTAAAAATCTATTATATACTTTTCAAAAGAAGTTAAAAATAATATGGTTAATTAGTCATGGCTGATTGTTTTGCAAAAATACAATCTTATAATTGTGGGTGTTCTATAACATGTTTTCGGTAGTATATGATGTTACAGTCAAATACAGTGAGTCATACTGTTGTCCGTAAATTTTCTTTTAGACATTTTATGTATGTTTAACTTGAATTGTGTCTCTTGTCTTGTGCAAATCTACAAGTATATGTACTTGCATACAGTAATTTGATAAACACCGCTGTGAGTGAGAATGGTTTCACGTTGCTTTTAACAATAATCCAGTAACATCACGGCGGGGAACACCAGGAATGGGCTTCACACGTTGTACCCATGTGGAGAATCGAACTGGGTCTTCAGCTTGACGAGCGAACGTTTAAACCACTAGGCTACCCCACTGCCCCCACCGCTGTGGCGTTACCACAGTTGATGTGTGTACTTGTGTAAATTACACACATGGGGAGACATAATCATCAGTGTGGCCGCATAGTTAACGTTGATAACAATATGAAGTGCATTACTATGATTATCTATAACATTTGTTAAATCAGCTATCATTGTAAGATTTTATGCATATCTTAAGTAAAGTTTTGTCAAAATAATGTGTGTTAGTGTTAGTGTGTAAGTGTGTAAGTGTGTGAGTGTTAGTGTGTGTGTTAGTGTGTCTGTGTGTGTTAGTTAGTTAGTTAGTTAGTTAGTGTGTGTGTGTGTGCGTGTGCGTGCGTGTGTGTGCGTGTGCGTGTGTGTGTGCGTGTGACTCATTGTCTGTGTAAAAATGTAGAAGATAACTAAAAAACTCACATCAGAACGCACAATTGTTAACCATACAGTTTAAAGTGGATAGAGCATTGTTACATAAATATGTATATTCCTGCCTGAGCCTATACTATAATAGGATATCTAGTCTCCCCTGGCGGGAAAGTTAAACTTATTTTACAAGCCCTTTAGCATTAAATTAAATTCCCGAAGACAGTTTGATCGAAAGTAATTATAAGAAACGAGCTGTCTTTAAATAGTGTTAAACAACGCATTTAATTTCTATTGTCCAAGGAATGGGGTTACCGGTTAATGACGCTCTCGAAAGTCGTATATGTGACTTAAGGTAGAGACATATATCTAATCCATCTGTATTTTGTAAGGGAAACATAACTGTGTACATGTATAACTTTTGTCTGCATAATGTACATGCAACTTAATCAATATAATTGTGATCCCGAAATCAGACGAGCACATATTCGGCTTCAACTCCAAATCTAATGACCGAAAAAAATAATTCTTTGTACGTTGTAAACAATACAAACAGTGGCTGATAAAACTGACAATTATTTGTCAATATATGATCTCTTTTTTTCAGTTTTAAGATTGATGGAGGAATGGTTGTGGGCAGGTCGCGTTTTTGCTCACGGCAAAAGTGAATGAGTGAGTGAGTATGGTTTAACGCCTCTTTTAGCAATATTCCAGCAATATCACGGCGGGGGACACCAGAAATGGGCTTCATACATTGTACCCATGTCGGGAATCGAACCCGGGTCTTCGGCGTGACGAGCGAACGCTTTAACCACTAGGCTACCCGACCGCCCCCAAAAGTGAATGAGAGTAGCGCCGCAACTGTGGCGTGACGTCATAACACTGTAGCACTGTGTGACGTCATCAATGGAATGTCGCAACAAGTCACAAATTAAGGTGTAAATGCGCACGTTTTTTTGTAAATAGATGTGCTCAAAATAATGTACACTTCTTAAGAGAAATAGATGTTCTCACATAACAACGTTTGTAGATTCATATGTTGTTGATATATTTTAAATACTACTGCAAAACTGTTAACCCAATAAATTTGGCGCAGTCGTTTAGTGCACCATGCACAATGCTATGACCACATACCCGTTTATTTCTTTAGTTGGACGTTAGAATAAATACAGATTTCAGACATGTTTATCTTAGAAAACGTTAAATACTCTTATTACAGACATGCCTACATCCCTTATTATGTTTTATATTTAAAAAAATAGTTTCCGCAGAAAATTAAAACAACAGCAAACTGTTTTGCTGATCTGTAAAGCACTCTGTCAGTTTCCGTTGTTATCGATCAAACGGCAAAATAATTGGCTGATGGGTGGGGCGATTTTTTATTCGTATAAGGTTACCTAGGCCTGAGCTACATGTTATACTGTCGCTGAATTCTAGATAGATGGCGCCCTGGCTGAGAGGAGCGATTTGATTGGCTGCTACTTCAAAATTACGATTTCACGAAGCATACGCGGTTCATTCAAAGACAATGTTTGTAAATACGCCATAGTGATTGATTTTATTCCTGATTAACTGGTGAGTTTACTGTAATTTGTAACAGTTCATTGTGTGTTTAATTATTGCAAACCACCAGGTAGCAGTTACGCAGGATCGGTCAACACGGAGAAACATTCCAATTTGATGATGAACCTGTATCATTACATGAGGCCTGGAATCCAAAATGACACATATTACAGTCTTCACATCAGATCGTGCATTATATAAAAGCTGTTAAACACGTTGATTGAATCAGGAAATCAAACAGAGTTGCCCCATCATTTGCATTCATCGGACATTATTTACCCACAGACACCGATTGGCTTTGTTCTGACAATATCAATATTCCACATGAACAGCTGATTAGCGTAACTCCAAATTTCTGAAGTTTTATGAGAAAGCCTGTGCACATGGTTTATCAAATGTTACATCCCATTACATTTTGTGTCCGTTTTGAAAACAATAAAGTGATTTGAACTTTCTTCAGCAATTCTTGCTCCCTCTTGACCATGTTGACTGAATTATTCAAATAATGCTCCCAACTTGCCATACTATCTTATCTGTTGTAAACTATCACTATCAGGCTAAATGGTAAATCAGTGGTAGGTATACATGATATTAACATCATACTATATAAACTGTATTTAATTAAAATAGAATTGATTCCTAGTACTATTTTGTTGTCAAAAAGTCCATGATGTTCATAATAATATAGTCGAGTTATAGTTTTCGGACATGATGCGTATTCGGACGGCCACGTTTATTGCGATTACTCGCATTATAACGGTGGATGTAGCATCAATCACATAGACATCGTAAATACTCAGATGATGGCTTATATTCTAGAGAAAGCTGTCTTTTATAAGTGAATGAGATGTTTTACAGTTGTTCATGTGATTAGAGAGAAAACTACGAATATTTCTAAGCGTCTGGAACCCATAACACAAGGATACCTCCATCTCATCAAAATTTTGATCTAACCATGTCAAAATTAAAACATTCATGGATGTATCTAGTATTTATAATTAGGAACCTATGGCAAGCAAATTGAGGAAAAAAGTTGGTTCTTAAATTCTTATGAATATGGATATTTTGACATTACATTTAATACAGTAATGTCAAACTAAATCACATTGGTAAAACTTTAACATTATCATTATGTTAACATTTATGATAACCTGAATTGGGCCATCTTTTATTCCAGTTTGGGAGGTTTTACCAACACTTGCCATGCTTGCTGCAGACTTATAAATTTGGACCTTAAATCCCTGCATGATTACACTGGGAATTGCAGTTTTCCTGTTCTAAGGTCCTTCATGTTTATTTTGTCATCATGGTTACAATATCATAAATTCATTACATTGTACTGCTTTTGTAATTTCAGAAATAATTCACAATGTCAAAAGAGGATCCATTAAGTGACAGGCTAAAAAGCCTTTATGAGATCTGTGCTAATCACCATGACAACGCTGAAGGACAGGAGATGCTCCCTCTGAGCCAGGAGGGTCTGCTTGATGGCTTCCTCACTCTGTATGATGAGTGTACCCACGACAACCTGGCTCGCATCAAGCATATATCAGGCTTCACCAAGAAATGTAAGTCCTTTCACTGGAGGTGTGCGGTATTACTGGTGTAAAGTCTGAAACTATAGCCCCCTTTCAAAGTATACCTGTAGATTCTTGGGCCTTCCAGAATCTACCCCGAGGTAGATTCTGGGAGCTCACAGAATGTAACCCCCTTTCACAGATTCAACCCCTGGGGCTTACTCTGGGAGTTCTCAGAATCTACCCCGGGTTATAACTATTATCTTGGAGCTCCCAGAATCTAATCCAGCCCTGTTTGATTTAAACATTTTTATTTCATGAATGTATATGTTTTAACACGGGATCCGGTGATCAGGCTTGATCAATGTTCATGATGTCAATCACTGGATTGTATAGTTCAGACTTGATTATTTATGGAACGCCGTCATATAGCTGGAATATTGCTGAGTTTGGCATTAAACAACAACAAACAAACAAATCTATTTTATTAATTCTACTGACCCTCGGGATAGCCTCAGTCTGCAACTTTAGGAAACTAGTCCGAAGCCTGAGTCAAGTAAAAATCTGATCGGTCTTGTAAGCTCAGCTAGTAATTTGGGATGTCTTTGTATGTTGCGATTATAGTAATGATACATTAATAACAACACAATCTAAAGTCACTGATGCTTCAGCAATAATATATAGACAAACTGACTCAGGATAGTGGCCTAATGCAGAGCTACAGATCACGGCGTATTTGCATAAAATACCCCTAAAAAATATTCAAAACCCAATTACTTTCAATTAACTTGCATACAGAAACACATGCATTAAATGAAAAACTCAAATGGAAATACCCAATAGAGTGATGAAAAGATGAACGAAAAAATATTGATTGACCAATGAAAAATGTAATAACCCAATTAAAATAGAAACCCTAGAATAAAAACTCAATTGCTGAAAAAGTAATCTAGGGATCTGTTTATGTCAATATTTATCCCAGCTGTTGTGATGGCTTTTTCTAAAAGTACATTACAATAACTATTAATTGTGATTCTATGTTTGTACTTGACAGACGAGGATGCTGTGAATGAAGCCCACCAGTTGATGTTGAAAGCCTCCGATTTTGAGGTGAAAGACATCATTGGCCGCGGCCACTTTGGGATAGTACAGGTTGTGAAGGAGAAAAAGCTGGAAACAGTTTATGCAATGAAAGTTCTCCGAAAGAATGACATCTTGTCACAACCAGAGGTAGGTTTTCTAATTTAAAAACACTTGATCATGTTGATATATAATGGTATTCTCAAAAGGAAAATGTTTTTATGAAAAGGTTCATTGCCAGGTTTAAAAAATGAGAAAAACGCTTGGACATGGATGAGAAGAAGCATGTACAGTCGTGCCTCGTTTATACGGACTTCAGATATCCGGAAACCTCAGTTCCCGGACGATTTTCATTCAAAACGAAATAATTACTATATAAATTTACCCGTATATCCGGAAATTCAGTTTCCGGAACCGGACGGTCATTTTCATACGCAAAACACTGAAATGCACACAAAATTGTCTCACTTATCCGGACAATACACTTCCGCTGGTGGTAATCCTTCCGCTGGTGGTAATCCTTTGATTCGTTAGAAGTCAATTAACCAAGTGACACTGAGTTACGTTTGAGACAAACTTGTTTATTCTACATGTAATCCCCTTCGAAAAATATGGCGTCTGTGGAGGTAAGATGTCAAAGTTGTGTAAGTATGGCCTGACAACCAGCAAAACATAAGCGACACGCAGTTACAGCACGCTTAAAAAAGGGAAATTTGTCTGAAAAACACCCTTCAGCAAGTTTAGAAACCATCAGTAAGCATTATGGCACTGAATTTGGACATACCATAGGAAAATCGACAATTGGTGACATTTTAAAAGACAAGCAGAAGTGGCTAAATTTCCTGGAAAACCGATGTATCTGTTTGCTCTGTCATCTGTCATGAGTTGCATAATTGAAGGGAAGTAACTCTTCCAGTACGAAGCTGGTTTCAGTTATACGGAAATTCGTTTATACGGACGAATTGTGAAATGACGCAAGTGTCCGTATAAACGACGCACGACTGTAGTCTGACACTGACAGTTTATAGTAGCATGCATGTATCATGTTTATAGCATTAGTTTCATGTAAGAATTTGCTAAAAGCTGATTATACTAAAATTGTTTCGCGACTAGTGTCTTTGTCGATGAAAATTTTGTACGATGGGACTTATGGGTCATAAATTTGGAAATACATGCATTGTTAATTTATTCAACTTGTTCAGAGTGTTTTTTCCTTGGTTTGATGTGAAATGTGTTGTATCCATGGAGCCTATGTGTGGAATGCATGAATCATCATGTCAACATCCTGGTGGCCTGTCCACAGATTTCCTTCTATAAGGAGGAGCGTGACATCATGGCGCTGGCAACCAGTGAGTGGATCACACGCCTCCACTACGCCTTCCAGGACAACTCTAGTCTCTACCTCGTCATGGACTTCCACCCGGGGGGCGACCTCCTCTCTCTGCTCTCAAGGTCAGTCCACAGCCAGTATCTTCATACACCGGGGGCAGTCGGGTAGCCTAGTGGTTAAGGCGTTCGCTTGTCATGCCGAAGACCCGGTTTTCGATTCCCGACTTTGATTTTCGACTTCTGGGGAAGAATAGGTCTTCAACAACCCATGCTTGCTGTAAAAGGTGACTATGCTTGTCGTAAGATGTGACTTAGGGGATCGGGTGGTCAGGCTCGCTGACTTGGTTGATGCATGTCATCAATCCCAAATGCGTGGATTGATGCTCATGATATCAATCACTGGATTGCCTGGTCCAGACTCGATTATTTACAGACCACCGTCATATAGCTGTAATATTGCTGAGTGCGGCGTTAAACAACAAACCAACCAACAATGTGTTAATCCCATTTCTGGTGTCCCCCGCTGTGATATTGCTGAAATATTGCTAAAAGTGGTGTTAAACCATACTCACTTACTCACACATCAACTGGGTTGTTGATCGAGGTCAATACTCTAGGCCTGTAACCAGTGATAACCACTAGCCATACCTCTTATCTAGTAGACCGCTTCCGTGGTCTAGTGGATAGAGTGTCTGCCGGAAGAGGAAGGTTGGTGGTTCAGTCCCCATCTTCATCATGCCAAAAGACGTGAAAAGATGGTACTTGTTGTGACCCTGCCTGGTGCTCGGCATGAAGGGGCTAAATCAAGGACTGGTCAGCTCGGAGTCAGTATACTGTGTCTGATTGGGGTATTCATGTTTAACTGCGGCATGGTATCTCAGTTGGCTAGCACTATAAAATCGGCATTAGTTCAGGCTACTACAAGCAGCCACATATAAACATGCATACATGTTGCTGTACAAGTGCAATAGTCTGAAACACAATGTTAAACCCTATTTCATCCCACCTAATCTAGTAAATAATATATGGGTCGTGAAATTTGCGATTGATAATTCTGAATAAAATCCACTGGAGACAAAGTGCAATTTGTCAGGCTTCTAGAGATGTAACACAGATGGGATTGTTGATGCTGTTCAAATGTATTCAGGTTTTCTTCACATCTTTTAACATGAAAATGGGTTGATACAGTTGGCATTTCATCTTGGAAGAAAATGTCTTCTGTATGAGTGAGTGAGTCGGGTTTAACACCGCTTTTAACAGTATTACAGTTTTATCGTGGTGTGTCAGCTTAATGTGGGAGGAAAGCCTGAAGTGATGCAGGTCTCAGACGTTTACCACTTCGGTGAAACCCACGAGCCTGGGTATGGTTCTGACAAACCTAGAAACATAATCGGGGCAAACCGAGATTCGAACCAACAATCATGGCCCAAGGGATGCAACTCTGCACAGTTAATCGCGGCGCCTTAGACGACAGGGCCACCTGTGGCCCCCTTCTGTATGAAACTGACAACCATGACAACTAGGGATATGTCAGTGCCAATATCATTGATATATAAGTTGTGTTGTGAATTTATTCCTGAAACATCTATGATTGATTACCAATCATTACCAGTTTTGTATGAATCAGAAAATCCTCTTATAACTCCTGTCATAATGAATTTGAAGACAGATTTGTTTAATCACACTTGTAGCCATATGTTGTGACACTTGATCTGGGGTCCATGGGATCCTCAATTAATTCTAAGGGTCCTTGCAGGCAGTGTGAGGGACCTGTAAAGTTATGTAATGGTGTACTGTACGTTTTCATAATTACTTTAGAGCCTGGAATGAAGCATTAACAGTGTGCATGTGGACAGTGGTCATGATTGGTTGATGAAATGACAGACACCCATAACTGCTCTTGATGAGCTGTAGGTACAATGAATATTATTATGCATATCTTGGGAAGCAGTATATTCTTTTTATGCGCCCAATCTCAATATCTGTGCGTACTGGACTGACATTGTGCGTCATGTAAAACCCTGCTCAGTGTTCCCGTTTACCAGTAATTACCAGTTTTTTACCGGTAAAATTAGGCTTGGACCGGTATTTTATGACTGCTTGTCCCTGTGGACCGTCAAATAAAGAACCTTATAAATCTGTGATATTCATATAAGTATATTTTTCGAACAAAGTCATCTTGTCTGTTACCATCAGGGTTTCCCCTTGTTGATTTTTAGTGCAAGGAAATGACATTTTGCTTAGCTTCAAGGTTAAAAATATATTTGTAGTGACTTGAAATATTAAAAAAGAAGAGAAAATTGTGATTGAACTTTGTGTGAATGATGTGTAGATCTAACTAAGTTACTTCAGAGATGACATCTTTGCATTGAACATGATGTTGAAAGAATTATAACCAGGTAATTTTCATATGTTTTATTTGTTTTGAAAGTTGGGACTGACAAATATTAGGGGGGACTGGTAATTTTTAGAGTTACCAGTCCACAAGGACTGGCAGTACCAGTCCACAAGGACTGGCAGTATCAAGAGCCAGCGGGAACACTGCTGCTTGGTACAATGATACAATGATACAATGATACAGTGAAGTACACAAGACTTGTTTGTTGACAGACATGATGACATATTTGAGGAGGACATGGCTCGCTTCTACCTGGCCGAGATGTCGGTTGCCATCAATGATCTGCATGAGATGGGCTATGTGCACAGGTAACCATGAAGTGTTCTAATAGAAAAGATTGGTCCACAAGCAAAATACTGGTGGTATGCGACTTGTATAAGTTAATGGTGACTTGGTTTGATTGCATGTCATCGTATCCAAATTGTGTGGATCGATGCTCATGATGTCAATCACTGGATTGTTTTGTCCAGATTCAATATTTATCACTGCTGTCATACAGCTGGAATATTGCTGAGTGCGGTATTAAGCAACAAACACAAATTGAAATGGTGAAAATATGTTAATGTCTTTCAAATTTAAGTTTTGTACTTTCAAAACTGCTTACAGCTGTAAAACATTTATTAGAATAGACTTTCACAGGAATGTTTAAAGGTCAGATGCATGTTTTTATGTTTTATTTCCAGAGATATCAAACCCGAAAATATTTTACTGAACCAGAAAGGTCACATCAAGCTAGCTGACTTTGGTTCTGCAGCCAAGATGTCTGTAGACATGCTGGTATGTGTATACAGCGTATTTTGTTCTGGCAGGTTGCTGTGGTTTTGTTTGGGTAAATGTAATTTGTAAACTTTATTTGCTTCGATTATCCTGATTATGTGTGATTACCTTGGGATGTTATTAATGGTAAGACAGCTGAAATGATGCTGTATATATGTCATTGACATGATTAAGTCAGTTCTCGTGTTAAAGGTTATTGTAGGTTATTGTCATGATTAAATGATGATAGTAATTACAAGGCAGTCGCTGACATAACATGTACGCAAGACGGCCATATTGTCTGACTTGTGCGGCCCATGATACTCAGAGAAGCGCTAAGCGCTAATTAATTCAGCGAGGGCAGCATTAGAAATTGGCACTCGTCCTGTAGTCCTTGCCAAACTGTCCATTAGTTAAGGTATCATAAGGACTAGCAGAAATTTGCCATTTTTAAGGGTTTTGCTATGTGTTATCATTGTAAGGACAAGTGGACTAAAAATGTTAGTTTCTGCCGCTGGAGGGCCTACTCAAGTGCGAGCTATGTGAACAAATATTTCGGGGGCCGCGTATGCCAGGGTACTGAGTTTTTTATATGTGCCTCCACTTTACCACGTCTACTATGTTTACAGAGTGCCTGTTTTACGGGACACGATAATGGATGAAAGCTGTTAATGGTTAAATGGTTAAAGCTGTTTTTATTTCAAAGTAAGGAAGACATGTATGTATTGCAGGTATCATCTTGTACGCTTGGCGATTATATATCAAACTCAAAGTTTCGAAACTTGTATACTGCAGGTGTTGTCTTGTAGTCATGTTGGAGATTATATTCCAACTCAAGACATGTATATATTGCAGGTTTTGTCTCGTATGCCTGTCGGTACTCCTGACTACGTTGCCCCTGAGTTGTTGACCTCCATGATGAGACTTAAACATGTTAAAGCTGTTTTTATTTCAAAGTACGGAAGACATGTATGTATTGCAGGTTTCATCTTGTATGTTTGGTGATTATATATCATACTCAAAGTTTAGAAACTTGTATACTGCAGGTTAAGTCTTGTAGTATTATATTTCCAACTCAAGACATGTATATATTGCAGGTTTCGTCTCGTATGCCTGTCGGTACTCCTGACTACGTTGCCCCCGAGTTGTTGACGTCCATGAACAGCAACCGTGGGCCCCGTATGTACAGCGTGGAGGTGGACTGGTGGTCGCTAGGCGTGTGTGCCTACGAGATGATGTATGGGAAAACCCCCTTCACTGACGAATACGGTTCCATGGTTACGACCTACAGCAATATCATGAACTTCAAGGTCAGCTCGGACAACAATTCATTTTAAGCTTTAAAACTGAAAATGTGGTTGCTCATAATATCAATCACTTGATTGTCTGGTCCAGACTTGATTATTTACAGGCTGCCGTCCTATAGCTGGAATATTGCTAAGAGGGTGTTAAAACAACAGACACACCATACCATGAACAATTATGTCCATGCAGACTTCATCAGTCTTGTGAGTGAGTGAGTTGGGTTTAACGCCGCTTTTAACAGTATTCCAGTTATATCACGGCGTGTCAGCTTAATGTGGGAGGAAAGCCCGAAGTGCTGCAGGTCTCAGACCTTTACCACTTCGGTGAAACCCACGAGCACGGGTATGGTGCTGACAAACCTAGAAACATAATTGGGTGAACCAGTATTCATCAGTCTTGTGATGGTAGACTGTAACAATAGCCATTATAGTCTTGAACCACACTTGATTGATTCATTGAGACCTGGGCACACAGGTGGCCCTGTTGTCCAATGTGCTGAAATTCATTGGCAGAGCTGCATCACTTAGGCATGCCAGATAGTTGTGAATGTTGGTTCGAATCCTGGTTGACCTGATTATGTATATCAAGGTTTGTCAGCACCACACCTGAACTTACGGGTTTTACATCTTAGACCTGCATGTAATAGGTCTTCAGCAACCCATGCTGGTCTTAAGAGACAACTGTGCTTGCTGTAAGAGGCGACTAATGGAATTGGGTGGTCGGGCTCGCTGACTTGGATGATGCATGTCATCGTATCCCAATTGCGTGGATTGATGCTCATGATGTCAATCACTGGATTGTCTGGCCCAGGCTTGATTTATTTACAGACCACTGTCATATAGCTGAGTGAGGTATTAAACAACAAAGAAAAACAAACAACACTTTCCTTCTACATCAAGCTGAAACTCCATGTTATGGTTGAATACTGTTCAAAGTGGTTCACTCACTCTCTCATGAAGTAGTTATTGACTATTTCAGAGTAAGTTAAAGTTTCCGGTGGACAGCAGAGTGTCGGAGTCTGCCAAGGATCTGATGAAGAATCTGCTAATGGAACAGAACCAGCGCTACACGTGGAAGGACATCTGCGGTCACAAGTTCTTCAGCACCATCACCTGGAGCAGCATCGGCAAAAGTCAGTACAAACATCTCACAACAATCACTTCCTATGTACAGGGTCATGTTTGCAACAGTTTCTACTGCTGACTGAGTTTTGCTATCTGTGTGGGAAGTTAGTAATTAGATTTATTATCTAATTTAGCAACATGAGAAAATACCCCCCCCCCCCCCCCCCAATAAAAAAAATAAAATAAAATAAAATAAAACACAGCCCGCCTGCACTTTATTTACAAGCCATTGCCTGAGAACCAATTCTTTTTATTTTTTGAAGCCTACATCAATGAATGTATGCTTCAAAAATGATTTCAAGATATAGGATTTAGCAAGTTAAGGTTTTCTGGGAATCTCAGTCTGTAGCACCAGCTTGTTATTTCATATCATATCTGGTACATTTAGGCTTAAAAAAATAAAAGAAGGCAATCGCTTTTGAAAATAAAGTGCGGGCAAGCGGTGTTTTTTAGGGGGAGGGGGGTGGTGTGTTTGTGTGTGTGTGTGTGTGGGGGGGGGAGGATGTTTGTTCAAGCTAGTATGTAACCAAATGAACATTTGTGTACAATTAACCTGGGAAAGGGCCTCCCTACATAATTGTATTCCTTGATGAGTAAAATACTGGAATACATTATTTGACTACCATTAGACTTGGAATATTTGAGTTTGTTTTGATTTTAAAAATGGAAATAAAAATCAAATGTGCGGCAACTTGAATGATGCTGCAAGTAGTCCCTGAGAACCAAGACTATTATATGTTTTAGCCTTAAGTGTACTGTATGGGCTTGTATTAGGTAAGGAAATCAGTGTGGACACTGTTTGGGACAGTAGGTGTGCCTCGTGTTCAACGGAAGATTCAGTTTCCATTAAACAATAAAAACAGGGCAATATGATGGAGTGTGACGCAGTGTAAGTGGAATTAATGTGTCATGTATACGTCAATGCATCACACCAACTTGTCCCATGAATGGTGTTCCTGGGTAGAATAGGTCTTCAGCAACCCATGCTTGACGTAAGAGGCGACTATGCTTGTCGTAAAAGGCGACTAATGGGATCAGGTGGTCAGGCTCGCTGACTTGGTTGATTCATGTCATCATTCCCAATTGCGTGGATCGATGCTCATGATATTACTCTCTGGATTATCTGGTCCAGATTTGATTATTTACAGACCGCCGTCATATAGCTGGAATATTGCTGAGTGCGGCGTTAAACAACAAACCAACCAACAACCTACCACATGAATGGTGGCTGTTAACTGGCCCATGAGCAGACCTTCCACCCCTTCTGTCATCGACTGCGAGGATTAAGCAGATTGGTGGTTGCAGTTGACAGATTGTGATGAAGTCTGCTTAGCAGTAGATTGAAAGAAATTGGACAAGACCATGGCTTCAAATTGACTAAAGCGGCATCCCTTTCTACCCCTGACAGCCTCACCGCCTTTCATCCCGACTGTTAACAGTCTGGACGACACGTCCAACTTTGAGGAGGTGGAGAAGGTGAAACCCCAGCCCTCCCTGGATGAGTTCAAGATTCAGAAGGACTTCTCGGGGCGAGATCTGCCGTTTGTTGGATTCACCTATGTCAGGGATCTCAAGGACCTGTGAGTAGCACTGCACAGTATACTGCAATACGCTTTTTAAAACGATACATACTGCAGCATTTTTTATGTGTTTCGGTAGATTGGGTTAAAAAAGATTTGTTATTATTTGTATCGTTTAAACTAAAATCTACTCAGAAATTCATGCACAATTGATGTTTCCTTTTGAAAATAATTGACAAGATTTTTCTCTCATATTGTTATTACTGTATGCATGGCTACAAAATGATGGTGATTGACCATGATGGTGATTGACCATGCTGGGTAATATTGTCTGAAGTATGTAGAAAATAATGTATGCATGTACAATCAGTGTCAATCACTTTAGCTCCCAGTATATCGCTATCCGTATCGCAATACAGAAACCTGTATCGCAGTATGTTGCAATACAATTGTTTCGCTGTTTCTCATAATATCTGTCACTTGATTGTCTAGTCCAGACTCGGTTATTTGCAGACGGCCATGATATAGCTTGAATATTGATATGTGTGGCATTAGACACCATCAAACTTGGTGGTAGTGGACTGTTCCATATGCGTGTCTTCTACCTTCCCCAGCTGCTACTGCTCCTGTCACAGTGGTAAAGTGTCCACCAGAACTATCCTCAAGGAGTCCGATGGCAACACCTCCTTCTCCACAGCCCTCCAGACGGCTCCAGCCTCCACCAATCTGGAGGTAACACTGACGGTGAAGATCGCGGAGCTGAGGTCACTGAAGGAGCGGTGCAGTGAGCTGGAGGACTCGGAGGTCAGCCTGAGGTCGGAGGTGGAGCAATGGAGACACAAGTGCGAGGAGAAGGATGACCAGAGTGGCTTGCAGGAAGGGGAGACAACCAGGCTGCAGAAGGATGTGGACATGTATGTCAACAAGACCAAGGTTAGATGCTGCTGAGGGGTTTAAACGTTTTATGGTACTGGGCATTTTATTTTTATTACTTGGGCAGAATAAGTCCCCAGTACCTCATACTTGTAAGAGCCAATCTCAACTGGTGATTAAATGGTCAGACTCTGTTCTGGTGATTGGGTGTCATCGTACCCAAGGGCTTGGATCACTTCCCATGCAATTTTATTCAGTTATTTACAGGTCGTCATTATATAGCTGGAATATTGCTGTCTGCGAGTAAAACAGAATAGAATCATTTACACTTATACTTGGTCTCCAAGTTTCATTTTCACCTTTGGTTGAGGGGGCACGGGTGGCCCAGTCGTCTAAGGTGCCGCGATTCGCTGTGCAGAGTTGCGTCCCTTAGGCCCGCTAGAAACCTATGATTGTGGGTTCGAATCCCAGTTCGCCCCGATTATGTTTCTAGGTTTGTCAGCACCACACCCCTGTGCTCGTGGGTTTCACCAAAGTGGTAAAGGTCTGAGACCTGCAGCACTTCGGGCTTTCCTCCCACATTAAGCTGACACGCCCTGATATAACTGGAATACTGTTAAAAGCGGCGTTAAACCCAACTCACTCACTCACCTATAGTTGATGATGTTGATGTTTGAAATATGAACACTCAAGGAACTGGATAAGATGAAGAGAAAGGTGATCAGTCGTGTTTGAGAGATTTCTTTGAACAAAGAGAAGTTAAAGATCGTCTTTGTTTTAAACATCTTTTGAAGTCTATACTCCCAGGGGTCTCTTGGGGAAGATATGGTCCAGTGTACCTTATTGTTGGATGAGCTGACTCAGTGGGGGGAGAGTTACAATGTGTCCTCTGACTAAATCGTTTTGTTTACCTGGCCCAGGGGGCGGTCGGGTAGCCTAGTGGTTAAAGCGTTCGCTCGTCACGCCGAAGACCCGGGTTCGAGTCCCGACATGGGTACAATGTGTGAAGCCCATTTCTGGTGTCCCCCGCCGTGATATTGCTGGAATATTGCTAAAAGCGGCGTAAAACCATACTCACTCACTCACTCACTCACTCACTCACTCACTCACTCACTCACTCACTCACTCACTCACCTGGCCCAGGCTTCACTATATATAAGTGATCCTGATATAGGCTCGCTGATGTGGCTGAGGCACGTCATTGCATCCCAATTGTGTAGATCGATGCTCATGATGTCAATCACTGGATTGTCTGGTCCAGATTCGATTATTTACAGACCGCCGTCAGATAGCTGGATAATGGCTGGTGTTAAACAACAAGAAACAAACTAACAATCGTGATATAGCTGCAATATTGGCTGATTGTAGTGTGAAATAATATTCGCTCACTCGTTTGATTACTGTAACATCAAAAAGATTTTTTTGTTTATATTTAAAGCCGCTCTCAGCAATATTCCTGCCATATGATCGTGGCCTGTAATGATACATTACCGTTAGGGTATGATGAAATGCACACAACCAGTTTGGCGACCACCCAATCCAAGTCTGGTTTTGCGACCGGCATAGAATGCTGGGGACCAATTCTAATCATGTGCAGGAATCCCCATAGGGTAGATTCAACAACATGAGAAAAACAAAAAGAACAAATATTTCAAAGAATGCACAATTGCATATAGTAAAATCCAAGGTTCTGTTGCTGGTTGTTGCAGGTGCTGAGCGAACAGCTGATGAATGAGTCTGATGAGCGACGGCAGTTGGAACAGCAGGCTGAGCAGATGTATCTGCAGATACAGGACATGTCTCAAGAGGCTCGCAACATCCAGGACGAACTCACCATGTACGTGCTTCGTTTAGGAATGATCTCATGATTTCGTTGTATGCGAGGTTTTCAGTTTGACCAGAGCTCAGTGTGTTCTACAAAGTGGCCACGGTGACTTTGTGAGTACTTGTGTCTTGATAGTCAGAAGGTAGAGTTTCAGTAGTGCTTCAGTTAAGGTAAGAATAAGTCTTGATAATACAGCATCAACACACTCATTCGAGGATCCATTTTCATATTTATATTACTTTGCTTATTAGCAAATAATGTGATCTTTATTTTCTTTACATTTGAATGAAGTTGTTTTCTGTGTGAGGGGGGCACAGGTTGCCCAGTCGTCTAAGGTGCGGCAATTCGCTGTGCAGAGTTGCGTCCCTTTGGCACACCAGAAACCTATGATTATGGGTTCGAATCCCAGTTCACCCCAATTATATTTCTAGGCTTGTCAGCACCATATCCATGCTCGTAGGTTTCACCGAAGTGGTAAACGTCTGAGACCTGCATCACTTCCAGCTTTCCTCCCACATGAAGCTGACACGCCGCAATATAACTGGAATACTGTTAAAAGCGGCGTTAAACCAAACTCACTCACTGTGTGGTGAGTGTGTCATCAACCATGTGTATGCAGGATTGTGTTGATGTGTATGCAGGATTGTGTTGACATGTATGCAGGATTGTGTTGGGGTGTACTGCAGGATTGTGTTGACGTGTATGCAGGATTGTGTTGACGTGTACTGCAGGATTGTGTTGACGTGTATGCAGGATTGTGTTGATGTCTATACAGGATTGTGTTGGTGTGTATGCAGGATTGTGTTGATGTCTATACAGGATTGTTTTGACATGTATGCAGGATTGTGTTGGTGTCTATGCAGGATTGTGTTGGTGTGTACTGCAGGATTGTGTTGACATGTATACAGGATTGAGTTGACGTGTATGCAGGATTGTGTTGATGTCTATACAGGATTGTGTTGACATGTATACAGGATTGTGTTGACGTGTATGCAGGATTGTGTTGATGTCTATACATGATTGTATTGGCATGTACTGCAGGATTGTGTTGATGTGTACGCAGGACCCAGCTGGACGACCTCCGTGACATCATCAGCCAGCTGGAGATGGAGAACGAGAATCTGATGCGGCGACTACGGCAGAAGGACCGGCAGCAGCACACAGTCAACAACAGCCTCAACGACACACAGAAACAACTGGCTAGCGTCCAGCTCAAACTCGATAAGGTGATGTAAGGGCCATGATGGGAGGCTTTGTTGTGACCTTGTATGTTTGGTGCTGCAGCTACTGGCTTCTCTATTTCTGACAGGGCCTCCACACTGATGCTTCAAATCTTAGAGTAGTCCTGTGGATTGGTTTGTGTTTTCCTCCGATGCAACTTGAAACAAGTGAACTGACCATATCATAATATCATGTTATAATAGCTCAGTGGGCTGGGTGTTAGTTTGTCATGATGTTAAAAGGTTTGGGTCCTGGTGTGGGTACAGTTAGTAAAGACCCATTTCTGCATGTGCTGGCTCAACTTCAGACGCTAGTCCAAAAACTACTCAAAATCTGTCTAGTAACCTCAGTCCTTATTGGGAAACTAAAATGTTTTGAAAATGTTTAGTCAAGAAAAACTAGTGGAATAATAGATTATGGGCACAGACTACACCTGCCAGTGCAGAAGTTAGTCAGTGTTGTTTGTTTTCTAGGTACAACTGCAGAAGTTAGCCAGTGCTGTTTGTTGTCTGGGAGTCAGTGCAGAAGTTAAATAGTGATGTTTGTTGTCTAGGTACAAGTGCAGAAGTTAGTCAGTGTTGTTTGTTGTGTAGGAGCCAGTGCAGAAGTTAGCCAGTGCTGTTTGTTGTCTGGGAGTCAGTGCAGAAGTTAGCCAGTGTTGTTTGTTGTCTAGGTACAAGTGCAGAAGTTAGCCAGTGTTGTTTGTTGTCTAGGAGCCAGTGCAGAAGTTAGTCAGTGTTGTTTGTTGTTTAGGAGTCAGTGCAGAAGTTAGTCAGTGTTGTTTGTTGTCTAGGAGCCAGTGCAGAAGTTAGTCAGTGCTGTTTGTTGTTTAGGAGTCAGTGCAGAAGTTAGTCAGTGTTGTTTGTTGTGTAGGAGCCAGTGCAGAAGTTAGCCAGTGCTGTTTGTTGTCTGGGAGTCAGTGCAGAAGTTAGCCAGTGTTGTTTGTTGTCTAGGTACAAGTGCAGAAGTTAGCCAGTGTTGTTTGTTGTCTAGGAGCCAGTGCAGAAGTTAGTCAGTGTTGTTTGTTGTTTAGGAGTCAGTGCAGAAGTTAGTCAGTGTTGTTTGTTGTCTAGGAGCCAGTGCAGAAGTTAGTCAGTGCTGTTTGTTGTTTAGGAGTCAGTGCAGAAGTTAGTCAGTGTTGTTTGTTGTTTAGGAGTCAGTGCAGAAGTTAGCCAGTGTTGTTTGTTGTCTAGGAGCCAGTGCAGAAGTTAGCCAGTGTTGTTTGTTGTCTAGGAGCCAGTGCAGAAGTTAGTCAGTGCTGTTTGTTGTTTAGGAGTCAGTGCAGAAGTTAGCCAGTGTTGTTTGTTGTCTAGGAGCCAGTGCAGAAGTTAGTCAGTGTTGTTTGTTGTCTGGGAGTCAGTGCAGAAGTTAGCCAGTGTTGTTTGTTGTTTAGGAGCCAGGGCAGAAGTTAGCCAGTGTTGTTTGTTGTGTAGGAGTCAGTGCAGAAGTTAGCCAGTGTTGTTTGTTGTGTAGGAGTCAGTGCAGAAGTTAGCCAGTGTTGTTTGTTGTGTAGGAGTCAGTGCAGAAGTTAGCCAGTGTTGTTTGTTGTCTGGGAGTCAGTGCAGAAGTTAGCCAGTGTTGTTTGTTGTGTAGGAGCCAGTGCAGAAGTTAGCCAGTGTTGTTTGTTGTGTAGGAGCCAGTGCAGAAGTTAGCCAGTGTTGTTTGTTGTTTAGGAGCCAGTGCAGAAGTTAGCCAGTGTGGTTTGTTGTCTAGGAGCCAGTGCAGAAGTTAGCCAGTGTTGTTTGTTGTCTAGGAGCCAGGGCAGAAGTTAGCCAGTGTTGTTTGTTGTCTAGGAGCCAGTGCAGAAGTTAGCCAGTGCTGTTTGTTGTCTAGGAGTCAGTGCAGAAGTTAGCCAGTGCTGTTTGTTGTCTAGGTAAAACTGCAGAAGTTAGCCAGTGTTGTTTGTTGTCTGGGAGTCAGTGCAGAAGTTAGTCAGTGTTGTTTGTTGTCTAGGAGTCAGTGCAGAAGTTAGCCATTGTTGTTTGTTGTGTAGGAGCCAGTGCAGAAGTTAGCCAGTGTTGTTTGTTGTGTAGGAGCCAGTGCAGAAGTTAGCCAGTGTTGTTTGTTGTGTAGGAGCCAGTGCAGAAGTTAGCCAGTGTTGTTTGTTGTGTAGGAGCCAGGGCAGAAGTTAGCCAGTGTTGTTTGTTGTGTAGGAGCCAGTGCAGAAGTTAGCCAGTGTTGTTTGTTGTGTAGGAGCCAGGGCAGAAGTTAGTCAGTGTTGTTTGTTGTTTAGGAGTCATTGCAGAAGTTAGTCAGTGTTGTTTGTTGTTTAGGAGCCAGTGCAGAAGTTAGCCAGTGTTGTTTGTTGTGTAGGAGCCAGTGCAGAAGTTAGCCAGTGTTGTTTGTTGTCTAGGAGCCAGTGCAGAAGTTAGTCAGTGTTGTTTGTTGTGTAGGAGCCAGGGCAGAAGTTAGTCAGTGTTGTTTGTTGTCTAGGAGCCAGTGCAGAAGTTAGTCAGTGTTGTTTGTTGTCTAGGAGTCAGTGCAGAAGTTAGCCAGTGTTGTTTGTTGTGTAGGAGCCAGGGCAGAAGTTAGCCAGTGTTGTTTGTTGTCTGGGAGTCAGTGCAGAAGTTAGCCAGTGTTGTTTGTTGTGTAGGAGCCAGGGCAGAAGTTAGCCAGTGTTGTTTGTTGTGTAGGAGCCAGTGCAGAAGTTAGTCAGTGTTGTTTGTTGTCTAGGAGCCAGTGCAGAAGTTAGTCAGTGTTGTTTGTTGTGTAGGAGCCAGGGCAGAAGTTAGCCAGTGTTGTTTGTTGTCTAGGAGCCAGTGCAGAAGTTAGCCAGTGTTGTTTGTTGTCTAGGTAAAACTGCAGAAGTTAGCCAGTGCTGTTTGTTGTCTAGGAGTCAGTGCAGAAGTTAGCCAGTGCTGTTTGTTGTCTAGGTAAAACTGCAGAAGTTAGCCAGTGTTGTTTGTTGTTTAGGAGTCAGTGCAGAAGTTAGCCAGTGCTGTTTGTTGTCTAGGAGCCAGTGCAGAAGTTAGCCAGTGTTGTTTGTTGTCTGGGAGTCAGTGCAGAAGTTAGCCAGTGTTGTTTGTTGTCTAGGAGTCAGTGCAGAAGTTAGCCAGTGTTGTTTTTTGTTAAGGAGCCAGTGCAGAAGTTAGCCAGTGTTGTTTGTTGTCTAGGAGTCAGGGCAGAAGTTAGCCAGTGTTGTTTTTTGTTAAGGAGCCAGTGCAGAAGTTAGCCAGTGTTGTTTGTTGTGTAGGAGCCAGGGCAGAAGTTAGCCAGTGTTGTTTGTTGTGTAGGAGCCAGTGCAGAAGTTAGCCAGTGTTGTTTGTTGTTAAGGAGCCAGTGCAGAAGTTAGCCAGTGTTGTTTGTTGTGTAGGAGCCAGGGCAGAAGTTAGCCAGTGTTGTTTGTTGTGTAGGAGCCAGGGCAGAAGTTAGCCAGTGTTGTTTGTTGTGTAGGAGCCAGTGCAGAAGTTAGCCAGTGTTGTTTGTTGTTTAGGAGCCAGTGCAGAAGTTAGCCAGTGTTGTTTGTTTTGTAGGAGCGGAGGAAGTCAAGGGATGACCAACGCCGAGACCTGGTGATGATGGAGAACAGAGATGAGGTGTGGAAACAGCAGCTGGATCAGAAGCAGGCATCCATCGATGATCTCAACAAGAAACTCAGGGTATGTATACTGTATATTCGTTCATGTCTTTATTACATGACATATACAAAACTCATGACATTGGATGTTTAAGTCCTGCATGACACAAGGATTGTCTGACAGTAACAAAAGTTCACTGCAGGCATACAGGTGAAAAAATGTTATGGCAAAACTTCAAGGATAACAACTTTGTAATTGTTTCTTATGAGGTTTGTTGACATGGGCGCCAACAGTCTCTGTAGGTGTAACTAGCCTCTGTAGGTGTAACTAGTCTCTGTTGGTGTACTCGTCTCTGTAGGTGTACTTGTCTCTGTTCATGTAAAAGTCTCTGTAGGTGTACTTGTCTCTGTTGGTGTACTTGTCTCTGTTCGTGTACTAGTCTCTGTTGGTGTACTAGTCTCTGTTGGTGTACTCGTCTCTGTAGGTGTACTTGTCTCTGTTCATGTAAAAGTCTCTGTTGGTGTACTTGTCTCTGTTGGTGTACTCGTCTCTGTTGGTGTACTTGTCTCTGTTGGTGTACTAGTCTCTGTTGGTGTACTAGTCTCTGTTGGTGTACTAGTCTCTGTAGGTGTACTAGTCTCTGTAGGTGTACTTGTCTCTGTTGGTGTACTTGTCTCTGTTCGTGTACTAGTCTCTGTTGGTGTACTAGTCTCTGTTGGTGTACTAGTCTCTGTAGGTGTACTTGTCTCTGTTGGTGTACTAGTCTCTGTTGGTGTACTAGTCTCTGTTGGTGTACTTGTCTCTGTTGGTGTACTAGTCTCTGTAGGTGTACTAGTCTCTGTTGGTGTACTAGTTTCTGTAGGTGTAACTAGTCTCTGTAGGTGTACTCGTCTCTGTTGGTGTACTAGATTCTGTAGGTGTACTTGCCTCTGTTGGTCAACTCGTCTCTGTTGGTGTACTCGTCTCTGTTGGTGTACTTGCCTCTGTTGGTCAACTGGTCTCTGTTGGTCAACTCGTCTCTGTTGGTGTACTTGTCTCTGTTGGTCAACTTGTCTCTGTTGGTGTACTCATCTCTGTAGGTGTAACTAGTCTCTGTAGGTGTACTAGATTCTGTTGGTGTACTCGTCTCTGTTGGTGTACTCGTCTCTGCTGTACCTAGTTATGATTACCCGACACAGGACCTCGAGGACCTCGTGGAGGCGTATGAACAGCAGGAACAGGAACACGCTGATGAGATCGAGCTGCTCCACAACAAGATGAACACGTCACTGAGGGAGAATGGCCTCGCTGTCCCGCACATCGTCCGAACTGAAGAACCCAGGAAGAAGAAAGTGGTGAGTGTAGTGTGTCATCTACAATTTAAGTGATAGGTAATGCTGCCTTGTAGTAACACTAACATGTTGATGCATCTGTTGGGGAACAAGTGTAAGTTTTTGGTATGTTCTGTGCAGGAGCTGTTTGTCACTCTACAGACTGGGAGGCCTTCTCTTCTCAACAGCACCCACCTGGAGGACAAAATCAAGGTGAGTCTGGCAGCCACCATGCCTGTTTTGGAAATGTGTTTACCGAGTACTGTCTACCATGCCCGTTTTGAAATGTGTTTACCGAGTACTGTCTACCATGCCCGTTTTGGAAATGTGTTTACCGAGTACTGTCTACCATGCCTGTTTTGGAAATTGTACCGTGTACTGTCTTCCATGCCTGTTTTGGAAATGTGTTGCCAAGTACTGTCTTCCATGCCTGTTTTGGAAATTGTACCGTGTACTGTCTTCCATGCCGGTTTTGGAAATGTGTTGCCGTGTACTGTCTACCATGCCTGTTTTGGAAATGTGTTGCCGAGTACTGTCTACCATGCCCGTTTTGGAAATGAGTTTACTGAGTACTGTCTTCCATGCCTGTTTTGGAAATGTGTTGCCGAGTACTGTCTTCCATGCCTGTTTTGGAAATTGTACCGAGTACTGTCTTCCATGCTCGTTTTGGAAATGTGTTGCCCAGTACTGTCTACCATGCCTGTTTTGGAAATGTGTTGCCGAGTACTGTCTACCATGCCCGTTTTGGAAATGTATTTACTGAGTACTGTCTACCATGCCTGTTTTGGAAATGTGTTGCCGAGTACTGTCTACCATGCCCGTTTTGGAAATGTGTTTACTGAGTACTGTCTACCATGCCTGTTTTGGAAATGTGTTGCCGAGTACTGTCTACCATGCCTGTTTTGGAAATGTGTTTACTGAGTACTGTCTACCATGCCTGTTTTGGAAATTGTACCGTGTACTGTCTTCCATGCCTGTTTTGGAAATGTGTTGCCGAGTACTGTCTATCATGCCTGTTTTGGTAATGTTTCTTAGTCACTTGGTACTGTACTGTCAGTTGGGTGGTGGGGTAGTCTAGTGATTAAAATGTTCACTCAACAAGTACTCTTTGCTGAACTCCAAGGTACCATTCCAACTGTTACCATATCTTTATTTAGTGCTGATTACTTCCTATAATAGCTGAACAATTGGATTCCTTCACTGATAACCACAGCTGTCATTGCCCTGTTTGTCTACCACTGTCCTCTGTCTACCCTGTACAGGACCTGGAGTCCCTGATTGACCACTACAGTGGGGAGGCCAAGGCTTGGCGCCGGAGGGAGGACGACATGAGGAACACCATACAGGTAGAACATGTATAACACTGTATACACAGACCTAAAATGACAGGGCTCAACTCAGTTGAAATTTGTGTTCTTTGAAATTTTTGTAAGGTTATCCTTTGTAGTTAGGGATAGCCACAATGTAGAGAAAGTGCTTGCAAGCTTTACCAAGAGAGTGTGTGTGTTCATACAAGAGCCTGGTGAGGGTGAGGTTGTTGACATATTGAGATTTGTGATGTCAGTGGGTGTACGTGATGAGTGTATGAGCATCTTTGTCCTTCTAGGAACTGCAGCAGCAGCAGACGGAAACCAATGTGCTGAACGAGTCCAAGAATCAGAAGAAGGAGAGTCTGTTCAACCATCTGAAGCTGTACCAGCAGGAGGTGCAGGACCAGAAGCAGCTGATCAAGGTTTGTACAACACCTGTACGACACCTGTACAACACCTGTACAACACATGTACAACACCTGCACAACACCTGCACAACACATGTACAACACCTGCACAACACCTGCACAACACCTGTACAACACCTGCACATTGCCCACACCTGTACAACACCCGTACAACACCGGTACAACACCTGTACACCACATGTACAACACCTGTACATTGCCCACACCTGTACATGCCTTTGTCTGTACAGCTCCTGTACATCACAGGCTATACAGACTCCAGGTGGTGTATGATAGTCAATGCTGTGTCTCCTTCTCCCCAGGACCTGCAGTCCACCATGAAGAGCTGCCTGGCAGAGAGGCAGGTCAAGTCCGGGGAGCTGCGCCTGCAGGTGCAGGTGAGTACCCCACACAGGACGTACACTGCATAGTCTCATGGTGTGTGGGCATAGAGTTGCTTCCCAGGTGCCAAGCATGGAAACATGAAGGTGGTTAATCTGCAGATGAGCTGTGGCAGTTTGTCATCACCCCTTGGTCATTGCTGACACTATCACCGCTTATATCTGGTTCATGATTTATGTCCTCGTCTCACAAGGATCAGTGGTGGCTCCAGTTTTATTTAATCTATGTACCAGGGAACTGGGGGAAGTTATTGATCTGCAAAACTTATGATGTGCTCTCTAACTTTTACCCAGGCCCTTGAGGAGGAGAAACAGAGCCTGGAGCGGGACCTGGAGCAAGAACAGGAGGTGGCCGAGGAGCACAGGGCTCTCCTGGACAGACAGAATAAGGTAGTGCCTGATGTTTCAGTAGGTGGCCGAGGAGCACAGGGCTCTCCTGGACAGACAGAATAAGGTAGTGCCTGATGTTTCAGTAGGTGGCCGAGGAGCACAGGGCTCTCCTGGACAAACAGAATAAGGTAGTGCCTGATGTTTCATTAGGTGGCCGAGGAGCACCGGGCTCTCCTGGACAAACAGAATAAGGTAGTGCCTGATGTTTCAGTAGGTGGCCGAGGAGCACAGGGCTCTCCTGGACAAACAGAATAAGGTAGTGTCTGATGTTTCAGTAGGTGGCTGAGGAGCACAGGGCTCTCCTGGACAAACAGAATAAGGTAGTGCCTGATGTTTCAGTAGGTGGTCGAGGAGCACAGGGCTCTCCTGGACAAACAGAATAAGGTAGCACCTGATGTTTCAGTAGGTGGCCGAGGAGCTCCTGTGTTTTCTAATCATGCAACCTTGAAAAGGTTAACATGAGGCTTTCCGAATGACAGTTAATGTGATAAACATTTGAAACAGTAGAGATTTTCCATAGCCCATTGTAGTACTACCATACGATCTCGTCCATCTATTAGACATTCCAGAATTTTCTTTTATTCAGTTTTCAAATTTTCAATCAAGAACTTTAGAAAGGAAGTTGCAATTTTGAAACTAGTCCTGTAAAACTCAGAAAGCTGCTTTCTAACTGGCTAATGTCGAGTTCCTGTAAGTCATTTCATTGGTTGGTCAAAATTCATGAAAAGTCATTCCAACGTGACCCGTAGTGTGATGTTCTTGGAGCGAGCATTAACAATTGATTTTAATAAGATTGAACAGAGCTAAGTTCCCCACAACACATATTCATATGTTGTCACATGCCTCATGCACTAAAGGATTGTCTACTAGTCTAGGCGACCTGTGAAGATCCGGGGTAGAATAGGTCTTCAGCAACCCATGCTTGCCGTAAAAGGCGACTATGCTTATCGTAAAAGGCGACTAACGGGATCGTGTGGTCTGGCTCGCTGACTTGGTTGATGCATGTCATCGATCCCAATTGCGTGGGTCGATGCTCATGATATCAATCACTAGATTGTCTGGTTCAGACTCGATTGTTTACAGACAGCTGTCATATAGCTGTAATATTACTGAGTGCGGCGTTAAACAACAAATAACAAACAAACAAATAAACATGTCTTGGCCTACTTGAGATAGCTGTCTCCGGCATAGGCTCTATTATATCACAACACTTTGACTGCTTTGTCAAGCAGAATCTAGGGCGCTGTTCCACAAATCTCACTTAGTGCTAAGATGATCACAACTCCCATACTTTAATAGAGACTTCAATCGCAGAATTAAGGGTTTTATGAAGTACTTGTTGATGTTGTTTTCAGGAACTGGAGGAGTTGTCTATCCTTGTTTCCAAACTTCAAGATGAATGTGAGGAAGCTGAAAGAGAGAAGAAAAATGTCATGGAGGAATACTCTTCAAGGTCAGATGTTACATCATGTCAAATCAGTTAACACTCAATACTGGTATATTCGCTAATAATTATTTGCATGACCAGTATATGTGTACCTTAAAATGATCAAATATGCTCAAAGACCTATGCTTCGTCTTGTTGGCGTCATAGAAGTTTACCACAGTGTAATGGATAGAATGTCAGCCCAGTGAGTGTAATTTGATCCCCGACTGCATCATACCAAATGGCGTTAGCTTGCTTGGCGCCAAGGGATAAAACAAGGACTGGATAGCTCGGAGTCAGTATACTGTGTCGAGTGGGTTATCCATGTAAAACGGCAGCTTGGTACCTCAGTGGGCAAGCGCTATAAAACTCATTAGTTGTACTGTACAAGCTGCCACACACACAAATGCATGCACATTGCTATATAAGTGCAAGAATCTTGAATATGATGTTAATACCCTTTTCACCTCACTAATGTGCTAAGTAATGTATCAATTGTCACAATATAAGTGTCACTGCATGGTTGAAAACATCCTCTTTATACCATGAGTACGATATCAGGTCTTAGTGAGGGTGTTTTGTTTTCAGACTGGACACCTCTGTACAGAAGTTGAGCTCAGAGAAGCTCACCCTGGAGAAGAAGATTGCGTCTCTCCAGAGCCAGTCTGACACTCTGCAGAGACAGGTGGATGACTTGACTGACAGGCTGAAGTCTGCTGACCGCCGTCTTGCTGAGTCCAAGACTCAGATACAGCAGCTGTGTGAGGAAAAGACCAACCTCCAGGTGAGGATGGAGTCCCTCCAGAGGAGATCTGCCAGTCAGGACGAGGGCATGAAGGCAAAGGCAGAGCTCAATGCCCAGATCAACACTCTACAGCAAGAGAAGAGAGCCATTGAGAGCAAGATGGAGGATCTCTCTGAGGAGAAGGAACAGATTGAAAGAAGGCTGAAGAACTCTGAGAAGGACAGGGAAGATTTGAAGGTGAAGGTTGGGAAGTTGGGGGATATTGAGAGGGAGAAGGGTCAACTGGAGAGGAAGGTGACTCGGTTGGAGAGAGTGGAGAAGGACAAGGAGGAAGTGGAACAGAAGCTGGTGAAGCTGAGGAGTGTTACTCGGGAGAAACAGGACCTGGAGACTAAACTGATGAGGCTGGAGAGAGTCCAGAAGGAGAAGGACAGGCTGGAGGAACAGCTGCAGGGTGTGGAGAAGGAAAAACGAGAGCTTGAGAGGAAGATAGCCAGGCTAGAGCGTGGGGAGAAGGATAGGGAAGGTGTGAGGGAGAAGTTGGAGAAGGACAAGACTGGTCTGGAGGAGAAGATTCGGCGGTTAGAGAAAGTGGAGGAAGAGAAGCATGAGTTACAGGAGAAGGTGATCAGGCTGCAGAGACTTGAGGCGGAGGTGGATGAGCTTAAGGACAAGCTGAAGAATGTGGAGAAAAATGAAAAGGAGAAGTCTCGTCTGGAAGAGAAGGTTCGTCAGTTGGAGAAAGTGGAAGTTGATAAGTTTGAGCTTCAGGGGAAAGTGACCAGGTTGCAGCGACTTCAGGTAGAGGGAGAAGAGCTTAAGGACAAGCTTATGAGTATGGAGAAGTCTGACAAGGAGAAGAGTCAGAGACTGTCTAGGACAGAGGAAGATAGGGCGGAAAAAGAATTACTTGTACAAAGACTTAATCTTGAGAAGAAAGACTTGGAACAGAAGGTTAAAAAGTTGGAGATGATTAAGTATGAATTGGAGAAGACAGAGAATGAGAAGAGAGATCTGGAGGTGAAGGTCATTCGGTTAGGAAGACTGGAGAATGAGAATAAGGATTTAGAGGACAAGTTGCGGAATTTCGAAAAAGGGAAATTTGATGTTCAGAAGGCTGAAGAAGAAAGGAGAACTCTCGAGAGGAAGGTGAGTCGGTTGGAGAAGATGGAGGTGGAGAAGAGGGACCTGGAAGAGAAGCTGAAGAAGACACAAAAGGAGAAACAGGATTTGGAGAAATCCGAGAAGGAGAAGAGAGAACTGGAGATTAAAGTTAACTGCTTGGTCCACTTAGAGACTGAAAAGAAAGATCTGGAGACAAAGGTAGTACAGTTGGATAAGTTGGGGAAAGAGAAGCAAACCCTAGAGGAAAAGTTAAGGAAACTGGAAAGTGAAAAAGAAGTACTTGAGAAGAAGGTGGAGGATTTGGAGAAAAAAAGCCGTGAGAAATCTGGTGGTGACAGCAGACGTTCTTTGGTTGACAGGTTGCAGACAGAGAAATCTGACCTTCAACGAAAGGTTGAAACTCTTGAAAAGGAGAAAGATAATCTCAATCGGGACAATTTGAGAAAGAGGACATCCATGCATGAAAGTGACCTTCAGAAGGCAAAGAATGACCTTGAGGACAAAGTCAAGAGATTAGAAAAAGTGACTGGTGATCTTGAACAAGAACTCAGCCGAAGCAAAGAACAGATTCACAAGATGAATGATCAGGGTGGTAGGAGGCATTCTGTACAAGATAAGGTTGTGTCACTTATGAAAGAAAATGCTGACCTGAGGGTTTCCCTGGAAAAGTCCAAATCTCAGGCAGAGAAGGCAGCTGAACTGAAGACAGAGAAACTTAAGCTTGAATCTCAAGTTGATGAGCTTCAGCTGGTCAGAAATAGCTTGAAAAGAACAAAGTCTTTTGCTGTGTCCAAAGACAATCAGGTTGATGACCTTGAGCAGGAAAAAAGATACCTTGAGGCCAAGGTCAATGGCCTTCAGAAACAGCTTGACCAGAAGAAGGTAGCAGATGGCAAAAGTAGTGATCCGACGTCCGAGTTGGTCAGTCTCAAACAGGAGAAGGTGAAGTTGGAGGAACGGGTGAAGCAGCTGACGGAGATGACAGCAACGCTGCAGAAGGAGCTGGAGACGTTGTTGGAAGAGACGGATGGTGTGGATGACCTGAAGGATCAGAACGAGAAGCTGCAGACGGAGATGGACTCACTGAAGAAGAAGCTGGATGCACAGGATCAGAGCAAGGTCAGTTGTGGTTTTAACCTAAAAGGGGTTGCTTGGAGATTTGTAGCTCACCTGACTGAATGTAGGAGGGTTTGTTTGTCTGTATATGTGGCTATTGTTCACATTTATGTTTTCAACATCTCCTCTGAAATCACAAAGGCCTATAAAGCTGACTGGATGATCAAAGCTATAGTTAAGACTGCTTATAGAATCCCGATCTGATTTTATACATGGCAGACATGATATGCATTCAGTATGTGCCATGTGGAATAACGTATCATACTTTTGTTTCCATCTTTTGATCTTTGACACACCTAGAATCTTTGACCACCACATGCCGCGATATGACTGGAATACTGTTAAAAGCGGCGTTAAACCCAACTCACTCACTCACCCACTCTTTGACCACCACTTTCAAGTTTTTCTGCATTTCCGACATCTCTGAAACCTCTTGATTTATGAACATGATGAAGCTAACATTGCGTGTGTACATACATAGTATATGACCTGAGGGATGGTGTTTCTAAAATTTGAGTTTAAACATGGCTGCCAAGGCAGCCATATTGAAAATATCATTTTTGCCAAATGCTAAGCCATTTTTGCAATTTCATTATGAAATGTCATATGCAGAAATATATGTGCTATGTCCAATAACATATTTTTATATATATATTTTATTTTTGTTACTATGTATTGTGATGTTTGACACAGCTTCAACAATTGACCTTCATGATGAATATAGAGTTGGCTCTCTACAAAGCCAGTTATGTTTGAATAAGTGTTTAAATTCAATGAACTTACTGTGAGGATATGTCTTGTGTAGATACTTGTGTCATTTCTTTGCTTATTTTTCTTTACCCTTGTATGACCGTTGTGATCTAATAATATATTCAGAAACATTCAGGTGAGCTACAGAGCCTTGTTCTATTTTATAAATTTGCTTGAATAAGAGTTTTGAGGCTTTTTTTAACTACTTGTTACAGATGTGAAACAGATGTCAGAGTGACAGTGAACTGATGTGTCTGTCAGTTCATCTGAACATGCTGTAACATCAGTATTTCTTTTTAGCTTAATATTTTTCGATAAAAACTTGACATAGTTTGTGATTAACAACATCATGTCATGGAAGGAAAACATTTTTGAACATTAAGTATCAAAGCTGCATTTGTACTGAACTTTAAGAATGACCACATATTTCAATCTAGAACTTGAACCAGAACAACAACAGTAGTCTGGCCTCGGTGAGACAAGAGCTGAATGAGTCGAATCTGGCACTGAGTGAGGCAAGGTCTCTTCTATCTGCTGCGCAGCGCCAGGAGCTGGAGCTGCGAGATCAGATCCATCTGATGCAGAGACAGCTGGACACCAATGCCATGGAGCGTGGCGTCAAGAGAAACGTAAGTCATGTGTTATCTCTGAAGGCTCTATTACAGTCAGTAGCTGTCGGGGAGTTAGTGTCTAGTGTGTTTTCTCATAAGTGTACAGGGGGCACGGGTGGCCCAGTCGTCTAAGGCGCCGCGATTCGCTGTGCAGAGTTGCGTCCCTTGGGCATGCCAGAAACCTATGATTATGGGTTCGAATCCCGGTTCGCCCCAATTATGTTTCTAGGTTTGTCAGCACCATACCCGTGCTCGTGGGTTTCACCGTAGTGGTAAACATCTGAGACCTGCATCACTTCGGGCTTTCCTCCCACATTAAGCTGACACGCCATGATGTAACTGGAAGACTGTTAAAAGCGGCGTTAAACCCAACTCACTCATAAGTGTACATGAAGGGCCCCTGTGAAAATCCGGGTTAGAACTTCACTTCACAAACCCATGCTTGTCGTAAGAGGTGACTAACATTATCGGGTGTACAGACTTGCTAACTTGATGGATGGATGCCATCATATTCCAATTGTGTAAATGGATGCTCATGATGTCAAACACTGGATTATGTGGTCCATACTTGATTGAGTGCTGTTATATAGCTGGAATATTGCTGAGTGCGGTGATAAACAAACAAACAAACACACACTGTAAAAGGAGAAGCATATAACAGGATTAAGTTGTAATAGTTTGGGATAAATATTCTTTGAATGTTTGAAGTTGGAGGTGAGTGATGTTTGATCATGAACTGGAATGGAGTTGTGACATATTTCAGGATGAACAGCCAGCTGTCCCACCTGTAAATCAGGTTGTGAAACCCGTAAGAATTCTCTGTATTATATATAATCATGTTCATTTGGTGGAGAGTTTCATATCATTAATCATGTTATATTTATACCAGTTTCATAGACAATTGTCTACCAAGCCTTCTTGCACAAAGTAATCCGTGTTAAAACTCTCATACAGCAGTGAGTGGGGTGGTTGTTCCAATGGTCACCCTGAGCTCTATAGAAACTGTTTGGTAAAGTTATTGATGTGCTAATGCTTTTGTGGATACTCTTTAGTACTCACCATTGTCAATACTTCTCAGGTCTGTGAAACACCACATTTTCTCCCCATCATCCAGGAACTCAGTGGGCTATATTTAACCAACGAATCAGCCGATTCCAGTGTGAGGGAATTAAGCAGGATCTCTTAAGCAGGATCTCAGACCAATGAGCGCTCAGGAAACATGTGACAGCCTTGTAGCCATCTGCTCTGCACACTGCTTCAGTGTCAGTCATGCTAGGTTTAGCGTTCATTTCATTTCTGTCATCTTCCCGAGGCAAGAAAGTTAACTGACTATAAAAATCCAGTTTCCCCTGCCAAACTAGGCTGGAATTATGGAGTTATATTTTGGCTGGACTAACGAGTCTATGGGTAGTTCAATCAAAATTGTGGTTCGACAACTGCTGTGTAGATATTGGTCAATTGCAAGCTTTGCAAAGCACATTTACTGCCAACTTGGGGTCAACAGATATTTTCCAAATCTTTTCATGTTTTTGATCAAAGTGCTCGAGTGATTTTATGCACCCTGCGAGGTAAGACCTGTTTTATTACAGATTTTGATTATCGATCAGCTCATCTTGATTGGGCACCGCAATTTTGTTTGAATGCAAGCAATATGAGAGGTGGAATCTGATTGGTCAATAGGAGGAACACAGAATGGACACAACTTGTAATAGCCACTGGTGGTGCTACGATTGAGCCCAGAAATTCTAGCCAAGTTGGGCTTGGGTGGAATCTGTATGTATATAGTCAGTTAACTCCCTTGCCTGGGAAATGCCTTCTGTGAGATATACATGACCTCATTTTATTACTTGGCTGAAAATGGACATGTGCCACACATATGAGCTTGCACTATAAATTGGCATCAGTCTGGACTAGTACAAGCAAACACACACACACATATGCACGTCGCTATATGAGTGCAATTATCTTGGACGCGACGTTAAACCCCATTTCACCTCACCTCATGGGTATATGTTGTGTGTACAAACCTGTGAAGTGTTTATCAGGGGTATGAGCCTGAATAATGAAAACAATACGAACATGGTCAACATGGTCAATATGTAGACAAATATGCTACAATTTAAAGAAAAAAAATCCACATATACTTTGGTCAAGAGGGAGGTCCTGCTGTATCAGGATAAGGATTCTCCCACTTCTTATGTCCTACTGCTCAGGGAGTGAACGTTTGAACAAGGACTACTTTGTGCACAAAGGCTTTGTAGCAACATGCTGGAAAGGTCATACTAACCTCCGTTTGATAGGTCACCGGGGCCAGTGTCGTGACCTCATCTACGTTCATGGTTATCTACTTACACAGTGTTCCCGTTTACTGGTAATTACCAGTCTTTTACCAGTAAAATTAGGCTTGGACCGGTAATTCATGTGACTGCCAGTCCCTGTGGACCGACAAAGAATGTACCTTATAGATCTTTATTTTTGAAAAAAACATTGGCTATATTCATACAAGTATATGTTTCGAATGAAGTCAGCTTGTCTGTTACCATCAGGGTTTCCGCTTGTCTATTTTTAGTGCAAGCAAATCACATTTCGTTTTGCTTCGAGGTTAACTATGTATTTGTAGCAACTTTGGCTTGAAATATTAACAACAACAAAAGGAGAATATCGGACTGAACTTTATGTAAACGACCTGTCGATTTAACAAAGTTACTTCAGAGATTACGTCATTGCATTGAACATGATGTTAAAAGAATTAAAACCAGGTAATTTTCATTCTTTTTTTATTTGCTAAAAGTTGGGACTGACAAAAACTTGGGGGGACTGGTAATTTTTAGAGTTGCCAGTCCCGGTGGACTGGTAGTTTAAAAAGTAAACGGGAACACTGCTTACATGCTTTTCATTGACACGCAATATACTGTTTGTATATCAGGTTAAATAGATGTTTTGGATACGATTTACCAGAGGTTAAAGCTAAATCATTACCATAAGTTTTCTAAAATATTTGATGTTAAATAAAGATAACACCCTGGTAACAGATTCATGGATACTTGATGCCTTTAAGAAAAGGAATCCTAGATTGTATTGTGATCTGAAGTAATATCAACAAAAATATGTGTTTTACTGTGATCATGCTAATAATAACCCACTGACAACTACAAATCATCCCATGTAACCATGCACTGTAAACTGAGGCTGTCAACATGTAGCTCCTCAGTCAAGTAATGTGAGATATAGGGCTGGCTATCAATATAGATCATTGAGATCGATAATCACAAACTAAATATCTATAAATTATCAATAAATATTATAGAAGTAACTTCAAGCAATATGCAAGAAAGACCCAAAAGAAATCAACATTTCACACAACTGATGATCAGTGACACATTTATACATGGATTACATTTGTGGACTTAGTGAGATATAGAAAAAACAGTTGTTTTTTGTCTTTAACAATTGACAAGATTGAAAATAACAAGTCTGTTTTGATAAATCTGAACTTTATTTCATCACAATAGTTTATGTATGTTATTATTGATGACAACAATTTCATATCGATAAATGTTAATATTTCTTCCCATCGAGGATAATTCTGATTATTGATTTTTTTGGCCAGCCCTAGTGAGCTATTACTGGAAGATTAATGTTCATTGAATTGTTTTTTTTGGTAACCATATCTTGCACCTATCATTGCTTCCATTCTCCCCTGTTTGTACTTGTTTACAATTTCCTTGAGGATTTGGTGATTCTGTTTTAACCACTTTTTTCTATATCATTTTGTTTACATCTTTTCCAAGATTTGAAAAAATAATGTTTTTATGTGACTGGCAAAATGAAATAATCAGTTCAAATTTTAATAACAAATTAACTACAATTACGAGGACCAAACAAGTAGCATAGAAACATGTTTGCCAGACTGTAACTAAAACATATTTAGCTCAGGCTATATATTTTTCAGAACAAAAAAGGAAACAACATTTACTTCACAACCATGTGATTGTCTATTTGACAACCTGTGATTATTGTTGCAGGCGCATGACGAGAAGGAAGCCCAGCTGAATCTGTTGAAGTCCAAGTTTGAAATGTTCGGCAGACAGAACAAGGTCAACTTTGCATCTTATTGGGGAAATCGGATAATATAGAAGGAAAATTATGCCACATCTATCCGTGTGATCAGTAGATATCCTCCAAACCCAGTAATAACTGTTTTGTGGTCCTCTATGGATCATATATGCTTTAAAGACTATAAACACGATAGAGAATCTTACCCAAATCGCAAGCCTCTGAGGCTTCTTAGACAAATAGCTAGCTCACCCAGTGATTGTGGTGTTCTCATTGTCAGACTCTGGAGGAGAAGCTGGTGAAGATTCAGAAGGAGCGCAGCCTTGACATTCTGGAACTGGCCAAGGTCAAGGCCGAGATCAATGACAAGAACAGGCAGATTGATCTGGAGGTCAAGGTCAGTTTTCATGGACATCAGTTATGATTATTTACAAAAGTGAGGTAATAGGGGGTCAGCTTCCCAGGTAGGGTCAGGTAAAAGGGGTCGGCTACCCAAGTAGGGTCAGGTAATAGGGGTCGGCTACCCAGGTAGGGTCAGGTTATAAGGGGCTGGCTACCCAGGCAGGGTCAGGTAATAGGGGGCTGGGTACCCAGGTAGGGTCAGGTAATAGGGGGCTGGGTACCCAGGCAGGGTCAGGTAATAGGGGGCTGGGTACCCAGGCAGGGTCAGGTAATAGGGGGCAGGGTCAGGTAATACGGGGTTGGCTAACCAGGTAGGGTAAGGTAATAGGGGGCTGGGTACCCAGGTAGGGTCAGGTAATAGGGGTCGGCTACCCAGGTAGGGTCAGGTTATAAGGGGCTGGCTACCCAGGTAGGGTCAGGTTATAAGGGGCTGGCTACCCAGGCAGGGTCAGGTAATAGGGGGCTGGCTACCCAGGCAGGGTCAGGTAATAGGGGGCTGGCTAACCAGGTAGGGTAAGGTAATAGGGTGCTAGGTACCCAGGTAGGGTCAGGTAATAGGGGTCGGCTACCCAGGTAAGATCAGGTTATAAGGGGCTGGCTACCCAGGCACGGTCAGGTAATAGGGGGCTGGGTACCCAGGCAGGGTCAGGTAATAGGGGGCTGGCTAACCAGGTAGGGTAAGGTAATAGGGGGCTGGGTACCCAGGTAGGGTCAGGTAATAGGGGGCTGGGTACCCAGGTAAGGTCAGGTTATAAGGGGCTGGCTACCCAGGCAGGGTCAGGTAATAGGGGGCTGGGTACCGAGGCAGGGTCAGGTACTTGGGTTTTGTACCTAGGTAGTAATTTGAACTAGTCCCAGCCCCAGTAAGTGTCCTAGGTTGTGTGTCAGTGTCTGTGTGTCGCGTGTTACAGAAAGTGGAGAAATTCCGGGGTGTGTGTAAGGAGCTGGAGGAGCAGATGAAGGACCTGGAGGCTCTTGTGGCGGAGTACGAGAAACGGGAAGCCGAGTGGAATAAGATCAGGTAACAAGCCTAGTGTTTATGTTTTTGTTTCAAAGAAAGTGCTTAGTATCCAGCTCCATGATCGTGCCAGTAATTCAGTCTCAGTTGATGTATCATGTTTATTCAGATATTTCTTTTCAATTCTCAAACATTTTAAAACATGTCAAATGTAATCCATGTTTTATAATGTCACAGGGTTATTTTTATGTCAGTTTTAGAAAGGATTGACTTTAGTGATTACTTTTTTTATGAGGTTGGCATTCATACATTTCAGTGCTTTTCTTTTCAAGATGACAATGGGTCACAAATGGTCATACTTAACAATCTGTATCAGTAAAGCCCTTACCAAACTCACCATTCATTCACTTTGCACAGATATTCTGTAATTTTTTGTTGCTTGTATGCTCTTTTCTAATTAGACAAAAGGGAAGAGTGAAGTGTTTTCTTGTGAATTTTTATTGACACAACTGTGAAATACCAATTCATGCTGTGTACAGAAAGACGTACGAGCAGGTGGTCGATGAGCGAGAGGAGGAACTCGAGGGAACAAGTCAGAAGTTGTCCGTCATAGAGCAGGCCAGGTAGGGGATAAATCTGTCATAGAGCAGGCCAGGTAGGGGATAAATCTGTCATAGAGCAGGCCAGGTAGGGGATAAATCTGTCATAGAGCAGGCCAGGTAGGGGATAAGTCTTGTCATAGAGCAGGCCAGGTAGGGGATAAATCTGTCATAGAGCAGGCCAGGTAGGGGATAAATCTGTCATAGAGCAGGCCAGGTAGGGGATAAATCTGTCATAGAGCAGGCCAGGTAGGGGATAAATCTGTCATAGAGCAGGCCAGGTAGGGGATAAATCTGTCATAGAGCAGGCCAGGTAGGGGATAAATCTGTCATAGAGCAGGCCAGGTAGGGGATAAGTCCATCATAGAGCAGGCCAAGTAGGGATAAATCTGTCATAGAGCAGGCCAGGTAGGGGATAAGTCCGTCATAGAGCAGGCCAGGTAGGGGATAAGTCCATCATAGAGCAGGCCAAGTAGGGATAAATCTGTCATAGAGCAGGCCAGGTAGGGGATAAATCTGTCATAGAGCAGGCCAGGTAGGGGATAAGTCCATCATAGAGCAGGCCAAGTAGGGATAAATCTGTCATAGAGCAGGCCAGGTAGGGGATAAGTCCGTCATAGAGCAGGCCAGGTAGGGGATAAGTCCATCATAGAGCAGGCCAGGTAGGGGATAAGTCCGTCATAGAGCAGGCCAGGTAGGGGATAAATCTGTCATAGAGCAGGCCAGGTAGGGGATTAGTCTTGTCATAGAGCAGGCCAGGTAGGGGATAAGTCCATCATAGAGCAGGCCAGGTAGGGGATAAATCTGTCATAGAGCAGGCCAGGTAGGGGATTAGTCTTGTCATAGAGCAGGCCAGGTAGGGGATAAGTCTTGTCATAGAGCAGGCCAGGTAGGGGATTAGTCTTGTCATAGAGCAGGCCAGGTAGGGGATTAGTCTTGCCATAGAGCAGGCCAGGTAGGGGATTAGTCTTGTCATAGAGCAGGCCAGGTAGGGGATAAGTCCGTCATAGAGCAGGCCAGGTAGGGGATTAGTCTTGTCATAGAGCAGGCCAGGTAGGGGATAAGTCCATCATAGAGCAGGCCAGGTAGGGGATAAATCTGTCATAGAGCAGGCCAGGTAGGGGATTAGTCTTGTCATAGAGCAGGCCAGGTAGGGGATAAGTCTTGTCATAGAGCAGGCCAGGTAGGGGATAAGTCCGTCATAGAGCAGGCCAGGTAGGGGATAAATCTGTCATAGAGCAGGCCAGGTAGGGGATTAGTCTTGTCATCTTGTCATAGAGCAGGCCAGGTAGGGGATAAGTCCATCATAGAGCAGGCCAGGTAGGGGATAAATCTGTCATAGAGCAGGCCAGGTAGGGGATTAGTCTTGTCATAGAGCAGGCCAGGTAGGGGATAAGTCTTGTCATAGAGCAGGCCAGGTAGGGGATAAGTCTTGTCATAGAGCAGGCCAGGTAGGGGATAAGTCCGTCATAGAGCAGGCCAGGTAGGGGATAAATCTGTCATAGAGCAGGCCAGGTAGGGGATTAGTCTTGTCATCTTGTCATAGAGCAGGCCAGGTAGGGGATAAGTCCGTCATAGAGCAGGCCAGGTAGGGGATAAGTCTTGTCATAGAGCAGGCCAGGTAGGGGATAAGTCCGTCATAGAGCAGGCCAGGTAGGGGATAAGTCTTGTCATAGAGCAGGCCAGGTAGGGGATAAGTCCATCATAGAGCAGGCCAGGTAGGGGATAAATCTGTCATAGAGCAGGTCAGGTAGGGGATTAGTCTTGTCATAGAGCAGGCCAGGTAGGGGATAAGTCTTGTCATAGAGCAGGCCAGGTAGGGGATTAGTCTTGTCATAGAGCAGGCCAGGTAGGGGATAAGTCTTGTCATAGAACAGGCCAGGTAGGGGATTAGTCTTGTCATAGAGCAGGCCAGGTAGGGGATTAGTCTTGTCATAGAGCAGGCCAGGTAGGGGATTAGTCTTGTCATAGAGCAGGCCAGGTAGGGGATTAGTCTTGTCATAGAGCAGGCCAGGTAGGGGATAAGTCCGTCATAGAGCAGGCCAGGTAGGGGATAAGTCTGTCACAGAGCAGGCCAGGTATTGGATAAGTCTGTCAGGGCGGACCAGACAGGGGATAAGTCCGTTATAGATCAGGCCAGGTAGGGCATAAGTCTGTCATAGTGTAGGCCAGGGGATATTGAAAGTGTTTATGGTTATTCAATTTCTCTCACAGATTTTGTTTGTTTGAACAATACAGCTTTATTACTAACCAATCAGATGGTCATCTTGTTTTATCTATATCCCCAGATCTGCCAATGACCAGCGCTTGACAAACCTGAAGCAGCAGCTCAAGTCTGCCAAGGCCGCCCACAAGAGTGAAGTCGAGGCCTTGAACCACAAGCTGTGGGAAGAGAGAGGCAAGACACACAAGTTCGACAACAAGGTGAGTCTGGGGAATGTTTTGCCAGCTGCTGCATTGACTGTTCGGCCTGTTCTGTCCACTGAGGCCAAGTACCAAGTCCAGGATTTGTAAGGAATAAGACTCCCTCTGCTGTTTCAGATGTCGGATCTGGTAGAAAAGTGTGAGAAGAGTGAGCAGATCCTGAGCCACCAGAAGCAGATCCTGGATGCCCAGGACACCGACAAGATCAAGCTGAAGGAAGAGGTACGACCACAGACTGACCAGGGCAACCTCATTGCTGGATGAATAGCGTTTCATTTCTTAGATGTGACAGGATCTGCTGATTATGGTGTTTAGTTCCGGATATTCACAACTTATGATCCATTGTCTGTTACCTGTGCCACGCAAAAGTTGTTTTTGGGAGTTTCTCCCACATTTAGCTGACACTCAGTGGTATAAACGAAATATTGTTCCAAGTGGCATCAAACCCAACTCACTCATGTTTTCCATCAGTCATCCACCCCATGACGATTCGGGTTAGAGCCCATGCTTGTCGTAACAGGCGACTATGCTTGTCGTAACAGGCGCCTAACAGGATCGGGTAGTCAGACTCGCTGACTTGGTTGATGTATGTCATCGTATCTCAATTGCATGGATTAATGCACATGATGTCAATCACTAGATTATCTGCTATAGATTATTTACAGACTGCCATCATATAGCTGGAATAATGAATGCAGCTGGAATAATGCTACAAACTACAAACTACAAACAAACAAACAATAAGACACCCACTTTGTGCTGCTGTGTTCAGATCTCCAAGATCCTGACCGAGAACCAGGAACTGAGAGGGCACAACCTGAAGCTGAGGAAGAACCTTGATGAAGCCATGGACAAGTTCGAGCTCATCTTCGGGGAGAAGATTGATCTCGAAAACTTTACTGAAGCTATGCAGGTAGGACATCAAATCTTTTCCCGTTTCTTGATATTGTCCTTAAACATAGGTCAAACTAAACATATTATTTGACTTTGCTTTAATCATTGTCATATCAATGTCAATCATCAATGTGGTTTTACTCTAAGATACATGTTTGTTGCCAGGGCCTCCACTTCTTGGAGAAATACAAATTTGAGAGTACCATCGGCCAGCAGATGAAACTGATAGACTATCTACAGGAGCTTTGGCATGATAGTATGTCCAAGAAGAAGAGGGTACGTCCAGCGTGACAAACAATAGTTTGATGCGGAAGCAGTCAACCTTTCTGAGAATACACATCTATATGGAGGGCACAGGGTCCCACTCGTCTAATGCAGCACCAGTGATGGATATGAACCCTGGTTGACCCTGAATATGTTTCTAGGTTTATCAATACCATACCGGTGCTCGTTGGTTTCACCAAAGTGTTAATTATTTAAGATCTGCATTACTTCAGGCTTTCTTCCCACATGAAGCAGATATGCCATGGTTTAATTAAATACTGTTCAAAGCGGTGTTGAAACAAACTCTATCACTCACAATATCTGACACCCAGAACAACCCACAATAAGGTCCCCTGATAGAACTAGCTGAGATGCAAGGAACTGTAAATAGCTAGAATTCAGTCATTACCCAATTATTGATTTGTGAACAGAGGCTCTTTTAAACAAAACCATTCTCCTATGTTAACACTGAGCAGTGTTGCCTTGTCTTACCTGGGCCCACTTGCACAAAGTGATCTTAGCACTACAACAATTGTAAGCCTATGTTAAAGTATGGGAGTTACGATCATCTTAGCGCTAAGATCGCTTTGTGCAAGTGGGCCCTGGTGTCTAGGATCAAGCTAACCATCAACTCAGATCAACTGTCATACTGTGGCTCATTGGTCAGGGGCCCGTTCCACAAAGTGATCTTAGTGCTATGATTGTGGTAAGCCTGTGTTATAGTATGGGAGTTACAATCATCTTAGCGCTAAGATCGCTCTGTGGAACGGGGCCCTGGTGTTTGGTCAACACAGCTGTAATTTGAACTTGTTACTCATTACTGCATGTTGCTTTCAGCCTGGTAAGATATTTGGCAGCATGAGAGGCAAGGAGGCACCAACTGTTGTTCCGCAATGGAAGGAGTTTCAGGCCAGTCTGGAGTCTGAGAGGAAGAAGAACTGCAAACTCCAGGAGCAGCTGGACCGACTCCGCCAGGAGAACTACCAGCTGTCCAATGACCGTGAGTAGGACTGTGGTTCTGTCAGATGCATGTAGAGTAGGACGGAGTTGTAGCCAAACAAAAAATACTGGATTTTCACCCCATTCGGTAATCATGTGACTAGGAAACACTAAGGTCAAAATGGCTATTGTCAAACTCGGTACATATACATGTAGTCAAATACTGTTGTGTTGAAGTTGAAGGGACCCACGTAAATACTTTGCGTTATCCGCGGTGCTACACAACCAAAAATGATGAGTAATGAAAGAATGTGTAGGCACCAAGACAACTGTACGTTAGACACATCAAAGTTCGACACAACTGTATATAGATGTATCTAGATGCTTATATGTAACCACAGTTCCTTATAGCATGGTTACATCTCGGCAAGTATAATAGGTCTGCATCCACCTGGCGTCTCACAGAATGGTATTCAAAGTGGTGAGCAGGCAGGTTGGAAAAAACCCTCGAAAAAAACTAAAAAATGCATGAAATTTATGAATTTGATAATGCTATTTTGTATCATCCTTTAAAAGTGTTATATAAAGATTCTAGTTTTTAAAGAAAACAGGTAATTCAAAATTCCATATTCTACAAAAGGTTGCATGTTGTTTGCTCTAGTGTTGAAGCTGAAGGGTCCCCTCCGAGAGAAACTCATCCTTGATGGTACCAGTACTCTGACCCCCAAGGTGAAGGCTGCTGTAGCGGCCCTCGCACAATCTCCGTCCAGTCAGCCCGATCCTGGCACCCTGATGCCAGACGTTGCCTCATACATCGTAGGGCCTCCATCGACACCACAGCCGAAACAGCAGCGCATGCATCACAACATCCCCCACCGGTTTGTCACCGGCCTCAACACCCGAGCCACTAAATGTGCTGTGTGCCTGGGCAGCGTCCACTTCGTCAAACAGGCCGCAAAATGTCAAGGTGAGTGAGAAGTGCATGTTGAGCCAGGTTATTAAGATGCTTGTGAAACTGAGTGAGTGATGTTGAACAGTCAAACATCAACTATTGCTGTCTCTGTGTTCACGTGTGAGGCTAGACCATTTGTTTTACTGTTAAGGGTGGTAGGGTAGCCTAGTGGTTGAAGCGTTAGCTTGTCACGCCTAAGACCAGTCAATGGGTGCAATGTGGGAAACCCTTTTCTGGTGTCCCCTGCCCTGATATTGCTGGAATATTGCTAAAAGCCGTGTAAAATCATATTTTTTCACTAATCCACTCACAGTTTTACTGTTTTCAAAATTTTAATCGAAAAATATATTGTTTGTAGGTTTGTTTGAATTTTTTTTCTACAACCTTTTGGGGATATTAACCTCAAATCAAGCCTAACATGAAAAACAGTCATCATATTTTGAGATTTTGTAAACGTCAGTTGCTTTGACCAACGTATGATTAAAAAAATTATTTAAAAATTGAGATACAGTTATATGTTTCAACCCAAAATGTTTTTGTAACAGAATTAATATCCTGTGTATTTTTCAGAATGTCATATCGTGTGCCACCCCCGATGTGTGACGTCAGTCCCTGCGTCATGCGGCCTGCCCACAGAGTATGTGAGTCACTACACGGGAATGATGGCGAGAGTCAACACCGACCAGCCTCTGTACTATGGGGAGGAGGAGGAGGAGAAAGACCTGAGCAACGCTATACGCATGGAGGGATGGCTGAAATTGCCGCGGTATGTCCACAGTGACTCCCGAGGGACTGCATTCATTTCACACATTAAGATTCATTGTTATATTGAGGTGTACTACAATCTAATAAAATCAGGGGCGGTCAGGTAGCCTAATGGTTAAAATGAAGATCCAGGTTTGATTCCCGACATGGGTACAATGTGTGAATTTTTGGTGTCCCCAGCCTTGATATTGCTGGAATATCACTAAAAGCAGCATAAAACCAAACTCGGTCACTCACTAACTAAAGTCAGATCTTCGTTCTCACTACTGCTAAACAAAGATCTGAGGACATCCTAAAACAGATCACGTCTGAACGACCTTTCATCCGACCAATCAGAGCGTCGCTTACCAGATCAGGAAAGTGACAGTTGGAATGTTTTGCTAATCATGGAACCTCAAAAACGTTAAACACAGGATATTCAAAATGAAATTTAGGGGCTGTACGATTCCGTCAAAACCTCATCAACCGTTCCCTTCAATTGGATAAACATTTGAACAGAAGAGACTTGCATCGCCCGCATACTGCCATACAATCGCATCTATTTGACATTCCAGAATGTTCTTTTGATCAGTGTTCAAATTTTGATTCGAGAACTTTGCCAAAATATTTTTCAAATTGTAGTCAGGAATGGAAGTCGCCAGTTTGAAACTAGTGCCATATAGCTCGAGAAAGCTTCTTTCTGATTGGCTAATGTTGACTTCTTCTTAGTAATTTCACTTGTATGTCCAAGTTCGAGAAAGGTCATTCTGACGTGACCTTTATTGGGATGTCCTCAGATCTTTGTGTAGCAGTAGCAACCACTAAGATCTGATTTTACTGAGATTGTGATTTACTTTTGATCATTATTTAAAATATTGAATGTGTTCTGCACATGAATTCAAATGGGCAAATGTCCCTTACAAAATTGTTTATGTGAGAACTGATCAAACTGAGCATCTGGGACTAGGACATAGCTGATTTTGTGTCATTGCACCCCGAGACTATGGATTGTTGCTGAAACTATAACAGGCTTTTCTAGCACAGATTTGAGCATTTACAGACTGGTGTGATTTAACTGGAATATTGGTGTCTGCAACATATAAACTTCCTCATAAAGGATGGAGACTGAGACAACTGATGAGAATTACTGTGAGCCGATTACAGTTCACAAATCATATAACCTTGAAGTAGTACTGACATTATAGAAATACATTGTTGAAAAGATAGAAATGTTGCGGATTGCATTAGGTGTTTGTCCTCATATAATTGGTTGTGAAAGTCTCCTCACTCTACACATACCAGAACTGGCAAGTCAAGTTGGGAGAAGCGCTATGTGACACTGGATGGCACCTGGCTGATGGTGTACAATCAACAGAATGATGGCAACCCTATAGACACCCTGGAGCTGAACCCTGGCGACGCCGAAGTCAGCGTCCACAGCGCTGTCACGTCGGCAGAACTGTCCAACACCGCCTCTAGTGACCTCGCCTATGTCCTCCGGATAGATCAAGATCCAATCACTACCTGCTGGCCAGGGAGGTAAGAAGGGAGATAACCCACACAAACATTTAATATTCTGAGGGGGGTATTATTTTTCTGGTTGGAGACATTTTTTCAGTCACTGCCTAAAGAAATCGAAAGAAATCAGAACTTCCGCCATGTCTAGCAAACAAATTTCTATTTTGTTTTTGTAAATCCTGAGGCTAAACCCCAGATTATCAAATTGTCAGTCCCTTAGATAATGCCAACTCTCTGTCTTGAATGTTGTTCTTAATCCATGCTCCGAAATGATTATTTGATTTCTTAAAAAAATTTGCTCAAAGATCACAACAGATGCAGATAGTACCTTGGTTTAACAGGCAGATAGGAACTGTGTTGTCACGCGTGTGTTGGCCATCTTAGTATCCTTCTGTCTACTATGGTTGTTTTTCATCTGGCAGAGTGATGTACCTGATGGCGTTGACTTTTGCGGAGAAGCAGAAGTGGGTGGCGTCTCTTGAAGCAGCTGTCAAGTGTGCCACGAAGGGCGAGGCTTTCAGGAAGAGTGTAAGGCATTTACACTCAACCATATTGATAACTAAACCAAAGATGTAAATTAAGTTGCATTCTTGATAACTGGTCTCTCTTAAACTCAACACTATGTACTACATACTAGAGGGAGGTATGCTCAAAGCGTATGAGATTAACCCAGTCAACAGATCAGTGCACATTCTCAGACCTGGGAAAACAAAATCATAACAACTGTTGGATGATGATGATGATGATGATGATGATGATGATGATGATTTATCTTTGTGCAGAGAATCCAGATGAACACGGTTGTGACATTTTCTGAAAGGAAGGAAGTCAACAGTACCCTTGTTCTCTCCAAGCAGGTGGGTCTCTTTTCTATTTTCCACTCTGTCATTTCCACATGCTACATTCAAAACAAAGAGGTAATCATTCTATATGCAGATGAATGATAGAACTGAGATATAAGATTCCAAACCGTGACCCCCATCTTATCTATACATAGTCATAAAAGAACATTGCATCAACAGATATTTTTTCTATTGTATACTGAACAAAAAAAGTAAAGGATTATGAATATTTATGGGGATAATTTTTAAAAGTGAAGGCTGAGCACAGAATTTCCTAAAAACATCCCTCAAAATATTCATGATCACTAACTCTTTTTTATCAGTATGATATTAATCATAAGTGTAATATTCTTCTGTCACAATGATTTTTTAGATGAGCCAAACATATTCATCTCCCTGATAATATCACATCACCTGACATGCCCATGGAAAACATTATTTTGTGGGGGGAGGATGCTCGATTTTAATGCCAATAATAGAAGGCCAGCTTGCTGTTCCTGTTTCTGTTAACTGGTGGGAAGCCTGTGTTGTACATCTGGATTATAAAGAGCATTTTGTCGCCTTTCCATTATTATAAATACCAGGACCCATTTGCCACCAAACATAGGGAGTGATGTCACCATCTTCATCTGTCTTATCGCTAACTTAGATCAGGGTTTCTCTCACTCATGACTGTAATTTGTTGGGTGTCATGATAAAATCAGCTCAAAACGAAACTATGGCAGCAAATGGACCTAGGATATTTATCATCCAAAACTGTCTTTCCCAGGATGTATCACTTGGGTGAGATCAAACAATATAAGAAATACTGCTACAATAAAATTGTATCACAGAGCTTTGCAGACCATTGTGATGTCATCGGTTGCCATGACAAATGACATCACTAACCTCTGTGCCCCTGAAGCTGGTTAGCTGAACTTTATAAACTCAGACACCTGTTATTGCTCTTCATACGATGAAAATGTTCGAAGACTGATTTTAGATGATAACTATAATCTCACCCTTGTGTTTTTATATCAGTGGAAATAATATACACTATTATTGCTGTGTCAGCTGGTCCTGCTGGGAGCGGAGGAGGGACTGTTTGCCATGAACCCCCAGAGTCCCATGACCAGTGACAAGATCCTCATTCCCCTCACGGGGATCTCCAACATTCACCAGATGACCCTCGCCGCCGGCCTCGGCATGATCATCATGATCGTAGGTCAGTACTGCTCCGACTGCTGTGCACGACACAACTGATGTGGGAGAACGTGTGTTATTATACAGATCTGTGTCCACTTGCACAAAGTGATCGTAGTGCTACGATGATGTAACTTGCATACTGTAACACTGACTATGACAGTCATCGCGCTGAGAGCACTTTCTGCAAGTGGGCGCTGAACTCTCAAAATATATCCTACTTTTCTCAAAACAGTAAGTTGTCTGAGGCTGAATTCCTAATGTTGAAACATAAATCCAGCTGTTTTTATGTTGGTTATTGATTATAGAATTACAGTGATTAAGGGTCTTGGGGTCCTTGTCATGACCACATTAAAAGATGGAGATTTTAGGGAATCCCTGGATTCAAATACTACAGCAGCATACCATGAGAACCCAAGAACACCTTAAATTATTAACACGGAATCATATTGTAAATTGTTAAATAAATGTGATTTTTTTATTTGAAAAATTAAATATATTTTTTTAACATTTCAATCAATTTACTATGACTATTGAAATTTCGAAGCCTATATATTTCTGATTTGGGTTCTGGTTAAACAACCTATTTTACATGTAGAGTAATTCTGTGGTTGAGCAGGTACTGATCGCCGGCTTCTAATGGTGGAGAAGAAGTTGATCAAGCTGCGGCTGACTCAGTGTAACGGTGGGGAGACGGCCCCCCTCCCCTACAAGCAGATCGATGGGGTGCAGGGGTGCACGGTGTTTGATGTGGGCATGTGGCAGGACAGCACCTACCTCTGTGTGGGCATGACAGACAGGGTCCTGCTCATGAAGTACAACCCCAGTCTCGCCATGTTCTGCACCAGGAAGGTGAGGATGTCATTGATTTAAAGCGTGCAAGATATAAGGCTTGTTCAGGTATCAGATCAGTGGAAGTTGTTTAGAAGTCTGTTTAAATGATATTGTATATATTTCAGTCGTTGTGACAGAAGGTGTGATCACATTTGAGAGGGAAATATTGTAATGGATATACAGTAATCAAGGCGCTGTGTATTTAGAATATTTCCGATTTTGCTAAGGGACTACACATTCTTTCCTGATGCAGGGCCGAGACATGGGTCTTACTCTTAAGATAATGAAACAGCTATTAACCATCCTTGATGTTGTTCTTTGTATTTAAATGATATGAATGTTATGTTTCTAGGAGTTTGATTCATATGAGCCCTGCAGCTGTGTGTGTATAGCTGAGAGTTACGCTCTGGTCGGGACAGAGAAGTTCTACAGAATCAGCCTGGACCACCCGTCCATGATAGGTATGTAGATGTACTGAACCACCCACCCTTCCATGATAGGTATGTAGATGTACTGGACCACCCATCCATGATAGGAATGTAGATGTACTGGACCACCGACCCATGATAGGTATGTCGATGTACTGGACCACCCACCGATGATAGGTATGTAGATGTACTGGACCACCTGTCCATGATAGGTATGTAGACATACTGGACCACCCACCCATGATAGGTATGTAGATATACAGGACCACCTGTCCATGATAGGTATGTAGATGTACTGGACCACCTGTCCATGATAGGAATGTAGATGTACTGGACCACCCACCCATGATAGGTATGTAGATGTACTGGACCACTCACCCATGATGGGTATGTAGATGTACTGGACCACCCACCCATGATAGGTATGTAGACATACTGGACCACCCACCCATGATAGGTATGTAGATATACAGGACCACCTGTCCATGATAGGTATGTAGATACACTGGACCACCTGTCCATGATAGGTATGTAGATATACAGGACCACCTGTCCATGATAGGTATGTAGATGTACTGGACCACCTGTCCATGATAGGAATGTAGATGTACTGGACCACCCACCCATGATAGGTATGTAGATGTACTGGACCACTCACCCATGATGGGTATGTAGATGTACTGGACCACCCACCCATGATAGGTATGTAGACATACTGGACCACCCACCCATGATAGGTATGTAGATATACAGGACCACCTGTCCATGATAGGTATGTAGATACACTGGACCACCTGTCCATGATAGGTATGTAGATATACAGGACCACCTGTCCATGATAGGTATGTAGATGTACTGGACCACCCACCTATGATAGGTATGTAGATGTACTGGACCACCAACCCATGATAGGTATGTAGATATACAGGACCACCTGTCCATGATAGGTATGTAGATGTACTGGACCACCTGTCCATGATAGTTATGTAGATGTACTGGACCACCCACACATGATAGGTATGTAGATGTAATGGACCACCCACCCATGATAGGTATGTAGACATACTGGACCACCCTTCCATGATAGGTATGTTGATGTACTGGACCACCTGTCCATGATAGGAATGTAGATGTACTGCACCACCCACCCATGATAGGTATGTAGATGTACTGGACCACCTGTCCATGATAGGTATGTAGATGTACTGGACCACCTGTCCATGATAGGTATGTAGATGTACTGGACCACCTGTCCATGATAGGTATGTAGATGTACTGGACCACCCACCCATGATAGGTATGTAGATGTACTGGACCACCCACCCATGATAGGTATGTAGATGTACAGGACCACCTGTCCATGATAGGTATGTAGATGTACTGGACCACCTGTCCATGATAGGTATGTAGATATACTGGACCACCTGTCCATGATAGGTATGTAGATGTACTGGACCACCCACCCATGTTAGGTATGTAGATGTACTGGACCACCTGTCCATGATAGATATGTAAACTGGACCATCCGCCCATGAAATCTGGTGAAGATCCTGGTTAGAAATGGTCTTCAGCAACCCATGCTTGTCGTGAGAGGTGTCTAACAGGATCTGGTGGACAGGCTTGTAATCGTATCCCAATTGCATAGATAAATGCTCATTATGACAATCACTGGATTGTCTGTCCTAGACTCAATTATTTAAACTGCCGTCAAATAGCTGGAATATTCCAGAGTTTGGCATTAAACAACAAACAAACAAAGCTGTCCATGACATGTATGTAGATATAGCCTTCCATCAATATATTCCATGACAAGCAAGCTTCAAGTCCCTGTTTTCTTCCACTCCAGACTTTGTAGACCGACAAGACAGTTCGCTGGCATTTGCTGCATTTGGAGCTGCCAACCACCACAGCTACCCCCTCGCTGTTGTGCAAGTCTCCCCCGCAGGACTACCTCATGAGTTCCTCTTGTGTTTCCATGGTAACAACATGTTTTAATTCGCTTTGTTTCACACTTGTTTTTACTGTAAATGCACTACATAAACCCTGAAGTAATAAATGTCAAATTCAAAAGATATTCTCCCCAATAAACATATATCTTGTGGAATCAAAGTACTGGTAAACAAACATGCTCAAATATAAAGGCCAGGTATTATTGTCGTTGTGTTCTTATAAAATATACACTTATTCATAATATAAGTGATGACATCAGTAAAACATCTCCGTTTAGTGTCTGTGTTATTATCATGATAGCTAAAGATAATGTGATGCATTTCTGCCTGCTGTTTTCAGAGTTTGGTGTTTTTGTGGACGGCAAGGGCAGAAGAAGCAGACCTCTGGATGTGAAATGGAGTGGACTACCGCTTACATTTGGTATGTTACTCTAATCATCAATTACTTAGTTTAACTCACAACGAGCTCCTTTTTGGTACCTCTGATGTATTAATTATCCATTTGATTGTAGCTGCTAAAAGATTTATCTTTGTCCAGTGTATTAAGAATGAAAATGTTGACTTTGTTGCTTTTAAGAACACAATAAGAAGTATCTATGACGTTGAATATCATATTGCACGTAGAAATTATTACTTCTCTGCCTTTAACAGAAAATGGGCTTTGTTTACTCAAATTGTAAAATAACTTATTCACTTGATGCTTGCAACATAATTTGATCTACCATAAATACCGCACCTTCTTAATTGTATACATAAATATGCCTTCATCTGTACCATGCTGTGGATTATGCCTTATGCCTCCTCTGTACCACAGCCTTTTGCGAATTACCTTTATACATGAATTTGTACTGTTATTTGACTGTATCTGTATCCTGTAGTACATCACTGAATATAAAAAAAAAAAATAATTATTTAGTTTAGTTAGATCTTTTGATTCTCACACAGAAACATACATAGAGATACATGAAAAAGTTTTAAAATCTGCATTATGTAAAAAGTGTGTATTTCTGGTGAAACAGTGAGTAAAACTGACTGAGTTGGTATTGACTTGATGTTTTGTTCCCAGTGTACCGGGAGCCGTTCCTCTACATCACATACTTCAACTGTATCCAGGCAACCGTTGTCCCTGCAAGCAAACAGGAAGTCAAGTGAGTAATGTTTTCTCACATGCCTCTAGCTGGACCACCCACGCCCACATTATTTCGTCAAAAGTATTGCAGAAGAACTCATTGTTTATTTGGAACATCCGGGGTAGAATAGGTCTTCAGCAACCCATGCTTGCTGTGAAAGGCGACTATGCTCGTCTTAAAAGACGACTATGCTCGTCTTAAAAGACGACTAACGGGATCGGACGGTCAGGCCCTTTGACTTGGTTGATGTATGTTATCGATCCCAATTGCGTGGATCAATGCTCATGATATTAATCACTGGATTGTCTGGTCCAGACTCGATTATTTACAGACCGCCATCATATATCTGGAATATTGCTGAGTGCGGCATTAAACAACAAACCAAAACAAAACCTAATTTGGAAATTGCCAATGTTTTTAACACCACACTCAGCACTATTTCAGCTGGGGGGCACGTCCCTTGGGCAGTGTCAGAAACCTATGATTGTGGGTTCGAATCACGGTTCGCCCCAATTATATTTCTAGGTTTGTCAGCACCATACCTGTGCTCGAGGGTTTCACCGAAGTTGTAAACGTCTGAAACTTGCATCACTTCGGGCTTCACTCCCACATTAAGCTGACACGTCGCGATATAACTGGAATACTGTTCAAAGCGGCATTAAACCCATCTCACACACACTATTTCAGCTGTCAAGGATATCTGTTTGTATGTTTGTCTATTTGCTGTCTTCCATCTACATATATTCAGCCAAATTGTCGCTTTATTTGAAGCAAAGCAGACAAAGCATCATGGACTAAAAATCAAATTGTAAAAGATACTGCATATTATACAAAAGGGGAATAGTTCCTATTTAATGATGGTCATGTATTGCTTGGGCCAAAGTGTAGGGGAGGACCAGATTTCTTAAACTATGACATCACTGCATTGTAATCTTGATGAGTGATGTCATACACTGTATGTTGATATTAATGAAATGTCCCTACACGTTTGATCAAGGAAAATAAGTGAATGCATATTTTGATCAATTTGGTTAGGAAAAAACATACAGAAATTGTTTCCTTACTGAGGAACATTTCAAATATTTTTTTTTAAATGTCGAATCAGTGCACCTTACATTGGATGATATTATAGGATGAAGTATATAACATATCATAAGGTTTATCTCATTACCCTGTCTGGACCAACATTGTCATCTAGTGGATAGAGCAGCTTCCTGGGGAGTGGAACCTCAGTGGTTCAAGCCCTGGTTGCATCATTCCCACAGACGTTTGAAGATGGTTCTTTAAGGGGATGGGGCGGTCGGGTAGCCTAGTGGTTAAAGCGTTCGCTCGTCACGCCGAAGACCCGGGTTCGATTCTCGACATGGGTACAATGTGTGAAGCCCATTTCTGGTGTCCCCCGCCGTGATATTGCTGGAATATTGCTAAAAGCGGCGTAAAACCATACTCACTCACTCTTTAAGGGGATAAAACATAAACTGTTTGGCTTGAGTTAGTATTCTGTGCTGGAGTGGGGTATTCATGTTAAACTGCGGCATGGTATCCGAGTAGGCTAGCACGATAAAACCGGCATTAGTCCAGACTAGTACAAGCTGACAGACACACAGACATGTATACAAATTGTAATGTAAGTGTACTAATCTTGAAGGCGACCCCATTTCACCACACCACCTGTGTCTGACTACCTGTGTTTTTGTCCACCCGACAGAGGCCGTAAGACCATCATTGACCTGCAGTCTCCGCGGTACTTGGGGCCGGCAGTGACAGCGGGATCTGTGTACATCATGGCTTGCAACAACAACGCCATCGAGCTGATGTGTCTCCGCGGACTGGAGGAGCATGACATCACAGATGACAAGGAGAACAGGAGAGCAGACAGGTAGGCAGTAGTCTCTGTCATGTTCTTACACTTGGGTGGTACCTTCAGATTAGCCTTAAAGACTTCCTATGCATTCATGATTTATTTGATATCAATGTTCTTAACTTTTGGAATGTAAACACTGAAGACACTATCTTACTCCATGCATACACTGCAGTTTTAATAAACATAAAAATGGATTGGGCTGAAAATGTATTAGTTTTAAAGCAATCAGCTCTTTTTTATTTTCTGATGACATTTCTGCATGCCTATATATTTTGATATGTTGGTGGGAGTAAATAATGACTGGCCAGACATTCGTCTCCCTCAAAAACTAATAATCATGATGTCATGAACTAAATAAGGGTAAGATGAACAATTTCTTCATTACAATTAGGAGCAAAGTTTTGGTGTAGGTTCTATCACTGTTATCAAGCAAGAACCTACATCGAAAAGTCGCCTGTAATTGCAATAAAGTAGTTGTTCATCCATATATCTTACCCTTACTTAGAACTCCCAACTTCTTGATGCCTCTCAAAGAAGACATGAACTGAACTAAACTGAAACCAAATCATTTGGTGACAGATTTTCAACAAAAATGAAAATTGAAAACCTTTTGGCCCCAAAATGCAAATAGTTTCCCATAGTTAATCTGCCATGGCAAGACAAACCGATTTTTTTAATTAGTTTTTATTTTTTTTATTAAATATCTGCATACACATTTATTGTTATTTCAGTTTACGGTCTTCTGACAAGATACAGGTCAGGTTTGTGAGTCCCCAGAAGGAATCCAGACGAAGACTCTCTCTCACATCATTTGACAGCAATACAAGTGAATCCAGCAGCAGTTAGCTCCCTTGACTCATTTTATGGGCATAGAAAACAAGGCCAGAAAAATGATCGAGGTGCAGATTCTTATGGAGTTAATCAGAACTGTGCATTGTGTTCCTTAATCTCACCTGGTAGCAATACATGGGGCAATGTCTGTATTCAGTGCCTATGTATGCTGTCATAACACTTCCTAGTATGTCTAGGAAACATGGAAGCAAACTTTCAAATGCCACAGAATAAGGAGGATATTTAACATATCAGCTGGAGTAGTAGTGCTTTGAGATACACATGAACATTTGTTTAAAATCCTTTAGCAGGGATGACAGTGGGTTTTTTTTTCTCCCTTGAAGTTAGCCAGGGGACTAGATGATTTATGTATATGTTGTAATAGCAATCTATCACAAAAGTTACCCATGACGCAACAAGATCTGTGGATAAGTTTCATTGCTACAGAAGGTACTCATCACTGATATAATTTGTTTGGTACCAAATCTTCCAATTCACTGCCAACAGTGAGTATATGCTTTACCATTCCGTAGCATGAGTATACCCACATGAAAGCTTATGTAATAATTAATGCAGAAAATGTTTGTAAAGATGAAGAAATGTTAACATAAAGACGTATCTAATGTTATGGGTGAAGTGATATGATGAGATTGGGTAAACGCCATTTCATTGTGAATTCCTCTAAATGTAAGGTTGTATGACTTTTTGTCTCAGCTTGCTGATAACTTGATATATTTTCAAAGGTCCCACTACTCCAAATGACACAAGTTGTTTGCATCAAATATTATTGGTGACAATTCGGAGTACATATACAGGTGGAGCTGTATCATGCTAAAAAAGAAATTAACACCAACTTGGTGAGAAAGCTGATCAGAATCACAGGTATTCTTAGGATAATGACTGGATTGTGCAATAGGTCATCTAAACTAAATGAACACAGGGTTGTGTGAAGGATTTAACAGGCGTAGCCTCCATATTACTGGTGCTACATATATCACTTTAGAATGTGTGGAATATCTTTGCATCATGTTTTGTGCAGCTTAGTTTTAGGAGAAAATCTGAAAATACGAAGATACCTCTATTGCCTGCTTGTGGTGTAAAAATGTCATTTACCACACTTTCACCCTCATCTTTTCTATCCTCTGAAACATACTTGTTGATATTTATATCATGTACATGCTTTCTGTATCAATACTGTTGTGAATATGAATCCAATTAAATCAATGATAACACATTACATGTTTTGTATTTTGAAATGGACCTAACATCATCCTGTATGATGATGTTGTTTAACGCTGCACTCAGCATTACTCCAGCTCTATGACGGCGGTATGGAAATAATTGAGTCTGGACCAGACAATCCAGTGACTTACATCATGAGCATTGATCCACAAAATTAGGATACACAATAATTGCATCAACCAAGTCAGCGATCCTGACCACCATGATCCCGTTAGTCGTCTCTTGCGTCAAGCACGGGTTGCTGAAGACCTATTCTACCCCGGATCTCCTGAATGATATCTCAAGGTTAACACAGAAACCATCTACAAGTGGTTTTCTTTAAGCCGCAGTCAGCAATATATCACTGTGGCAGGCAAATTAGTGACAGATGGTTATGTTTGTTGGCTGTTGAAGAAATAGCAGCCTAGGTTGTGTTCTACATAATCATATGCATGCAGAACAACAATCTTGTCTTCAAGAAATGTTTGAAGCTTGAATGAGGTGGACGACACAATCTTGACATTTACCTTCATATATGACATATATACAAAGGATATTGTTGGAACCTTAATGGTCTATTTGTTATAAAAATGCCATCAACTGTCATGAAATAGATGCATACGAGAGACTACACATTTTATATTCCCCTCGTAATTCCCACAAACTTGACAATGGTATTTCATGACTGGGAAAGTGTATAGAACCATAACAAGCAGAATGCCCAACTCACTTCTTGTCTCCAACACTGCAACTGGTTTACAGAATCAACCTAATATTCTTCAGAAGTTTGCAGATTCACACCAATAAAATAAATAAAACGAATGTTGTATAAAAAGATGAGTGGTTATCTGTTAATGACAAATGATTCTATAAAGGTGAACTGTAGATATCTTGGCTTTGTATTCTTATATACAGTTGAACTCGTGGGGAGTTTGAGTTATCCGGGGTTCAAGACAACCAACAAAGTGATTTTTAAAAAATCAAACATTAGGACAACACTAGATTTCAAGTCGTATGTAAATTGGGCGGTCGGGTAGCCTAGTGGTTAAAGCGTTAGCTCGTCATGCCGAAGACCCGGTTCGATTCCCGAAATGGGTACAATGTGTGAAGCCCATTTCTGGTGTCCCCGCCGTGATATTGCTAAAAGCGGCGTTAAACCAAACTCACTCACTCGTATGTAAATTTCAGTGCCCAGGCTGCTGGTAGTGAAGGGGACTGCAACTCCGGCGTATCATCTATCTCGCTGTCCGCATCTATACTGGAGGCATTGTTTTAGTCATAACTCGAAAAATAAATACACTAACATGACCTTAATCCGTTTTACTAATTTGTCAATTTTTACATGCGAGAACAATTAAGAAACTTGCTGGCAATGTGTATATAGTAATCAGCTTGAGCCATTGATGAAAGGTGTGCTTGTTAATATTTAATAGGCTTGATTGGTGTCAGGTATGCAATTGCAGTGAGGCCAGTCAATTGTGTTTGAAGCAAGTAGAAAGTTTGTCGGTTTGGGGGACATTTATTTTTTTATTTGGAACTGTTCGGGTCATCAGGATTTTACGCTTAATTTGGATACTTGGGACTCCAAAATGAATTTGAGACAACTGAGAATTTGACACATCCGAGAATAAATGATGATGAATATAAAAGGAATTCGCAGGGACCAGGAGAGTTCAAGACAGCCGGGAATTCGACAAGCCAAAGTTCTACACATCAGAGTTTGTCTACATAAAAAATGAATGAGTGGGTTTCAGAACTTGCATAAAGGGCACAAAAGCTTTCGTGGAATTTCTTTGCAATATTCCATCGCAGATTCAACCCACATGGTACAGAAATATGGGGTGTTGACAGATTTGAAAAACAGAACGTCCATATTATGGGTTTTAAGAGGTTTCCTTACGTTGGTTTGCAAACACCAAATGCTATTGTGTATGGGGAATGCGGTCGATAGCCACTATGTAAATGCTACGTGTCGTTCTGTAAAGTATGGACTTAAAGTGATCGAAAGGAATGAAGACTGGGTATCAAGAAAATCTTAAAACATGCTCATAGAACGATAAGTGTGGCCACCATTACTACGCTTCGTTTTGTTCTATATTATTTTCTCACAGATTTTGAGTAGTTCGGCTTGGTTCAAGATGTTGGTGACAAACCATAATAGTCCTAAAAATGTTTTGATAAATATGTTCCATCATCATTGAAAAGCACTATCCGTGCCAGCTCTAGGTACATTCTGTATAAATAATCTACCAGACTCTTGAACCAGAAAAATACTTTTGTAATGGCTGAAATATAATATTGAGACGAGGGGAAATGGGGTTTAACGTTGCGTCCAAGATTATTGCACTTATATAGCGACGTGCATGTACGTGTGTGTGGTTGTGTGGCTGCTTGTACTAGTCCGGACTGATGCCGATTTATAGTGCTAGCTCACTGAGATACCATGCCGCAGTTTAACATGAATACCCCACTCAGTCACAGTATACTGACTCCGAGCCGACCAGTCCTTGTTTTAGCCCCTTAATGCCGAGCGCCAGACATGCAGGGTAACAACAAGTACCATCTTTTAAAGTCTTTTGCCAGTTTTGGTATGACGCGGCAATATAATATTGAAATGTTATAAGGCTTAGATCCAGGCTAAGTTAAACGAAGGTATTGGGCTGATATTGATGTACGTTTACTGTTTTGCCCTGTATGTGAAACAAGTGTAGAGACTGAAAACCATTTTACTCTTAAATGTGAATATTTATACAATGATATTAGACATCTGTACTTACCAACAACTTTTTCCCATAATCCAAATGTTTCAACTTAAAATGCTGCCATCATACCCATGTAAACAAACATGAAATGCTCATATCCCCCGCCAGTGACATTTCCGGTTGTGTGCGATGTATTAGCTCCTGTGAACTATGTTCACTGGACCTTTTTGTAAATCGCCTTAATGCAGCACTGAAAAAGTTAATACGGGTGTTGTTTTGCCATCTGCAGTTTGTGATAGAATCAGTAACTGTATTTGTAATGAGTTTCATCATTGTTTAAGTAATAACCCGAGAAGTAAGGGAGTTCTTACTTTACTTAGAGATCAATGAGAGCAGGGGTCACCATGAGGTGTACTGAGAAGTACAGCACCAATCATCTGATGATCTGTGTAGTAGACTAGAGTCTGGAATGCTACAGCACTGGCATGATCAGTAAACAACAAGTCCAGTATAGCTCTAAGACAGTGAGTTGGAGAGTGAATGAGTCGAGTAATTTTCCGCACATTAAAGAAATCTTCAAGTTTCAGTTTTTCCACTCCGATCACAGTTGAAATCCCCAATAACTAGGGCATGTTCACATTCATGCTGCTCGGAGAGATCCTGAAGTTTCTGAATGAAATCAGTAAGTGAATGTATTCAAAACTACGAGATGACATTACATCACATAGCTGGACACTGTTCTTGAAACTTGTTGTAACATACACAGCAATACCTAGTGTAATGTCTCCTGGATAGACTTGCAGGTCTTTTTCACTGTAATCATTCATGTGTGTTTCTGTGAAACACAAAACACCAAGCACACCAACACACTTACACTGCGAGGAAGTAGGCTGTTTGGGGTGCCACTGTTCATGTTACCGGTACCGACGGCGAGGAAGTAGGCTGGTTCGGGTGCCCCTGTTCATGTTATCGGTACCCACTGTGAGGAAGTTGGCTGGTTCGGGTGCCACATGAAAATTGTGTTTTCACAATAATTCACCATATACCTTGACCAAGTTCCTTTGTAAAGTGGTGTACATCTCAATTAGGTAATTATGTTCATGTTGCCGGCACTCATTGCGTAGATGTTTTTGTAGGATATGCAAACGGTTTCCGAGTTATGCTCTTGCTCAGGAAACGTTTGTAAAACTCCCAAACTATCAAAATGCACCAGTTTACCACTAGACCTATTTATATGCCAAGTTTGGAAGAAATATTTACGTTTTTCAAGATCTGTGCCAAGTTTGGTGATTTTCATATCTGCTAAGGAAACCAGGACTACTGCCAGTTTGAGTATAAGTCAAAGTCGTTGCCAGGGAAACTTGAAATTATTTTTTTTTTAAATCCCAAAGTATCAAAAGGCACCAGTTTTTCACTAGACCTATTTATGTGCCAAGTTTGGTGAAGAAATATTGTACGGTTTTCAAGATCTGCTCCGGAAACGAGCACTACCGCCATTTTCAGTCTAAATCAAAGTCGTTGCCAAGGAAACTTGAACTTTTTTTTTTTTTAAAAGTCCCAAATTATCAAAGGCACAAGTTCACCACTAGACCTATCTATGTGCCCAGTTTAGTTAAGATATCTCTCATGGTTTTTGTGTTCTGCTCCGGAAACGAAACGTGATTTTATTTTTATCACGACATGCTGCACATGATTTCCAAACTCTGCATGAGACAAATGGTGCATCTCGAGTCATGGATCCGACGTCATGTGAGGTGTTCATGAGCATCGGTTCACACAACATACCAGTATTTTCGTTTGTGCATCTATTATCTCTTGCATATGAGTAAGCATGGTAAGTCTTCATACATTAACCAACATGTATAGTATTCAAGTTTCTTTTGGTGGTGAGTATATATGGGCCTGTGGCCTTAATACAAATGAAAGGCTTCACATCGCTAATCTCCATAAAATCCTCATTCCCGAGCATGTTGAGAGGTGATCCAGTGTGTGACACATGACATTATACGAAAGGTCGCTGAAAGTTCCGAGCCGATCTGTGATGAACTGCGTTGGAATTGGTTGCAAATTATTTTTCACAATTTCCCTCTCCGATGTCCACACACTTTCGCCAGCAATGCTTGATCCGGCTGGTGTCAAAGTCTTCCTACTGGTGGAGTCAAAAGTCCTTAAAATCAGAAATGACGTTATCAGACACCTCTTTCCAATCTGGTGACTAGAGATGTTCAATGAATTCAGAGCCACAACTTTCGTGTGTTTTCTCTCACAGTTGCCTAAGCAGATTAGCAGAATCCCTGAAAGCCATCGCAGGATGAGGCGTTTCCAATACTTTGTTAACTGCTGATGGTGGTGAACCCAAGGCTTTTCCATGATTACAAATCACTGAAAGTCAGCTGCTTCAAAAAAGACGTAAATTCTCGTGAGAGATGATAATCCTTAAGCATTTCTGATCAGGACTCGGAAGCATGTCACGTGAAGTCTATACCTCAGAATGTTCTCATAAGAGATGCCAACTGTATTGGCTATGTCATTTCTGGGGATAATCATGTGTATTTATCAACATTTTCCTTAAAGGATTTCAGTTGAAGGTCTTCCTAATCTTGGAAGCGCCAGAGCTACAGATAAGCTGCGTATTTCCGTAAAATACCCCCCCCCCCCCCCCCCCCGAAACTATATAAAACCCAATTACTTTCAGTTAACTTGCGTACAGAAACGCAGGCATTAAATGGAAAACGCAATGGTTTGAAAACAGCATGCGTAAATACCCAATGAAGCTTTTTCAGCATGCTTACAACAGAGCAAGTTTCTGAAACACAATTCCGAGCTAATTTACTTGCCGAGTCAAGCCTAATTTTTTTCGAACTTTTCACATCTAAAACATTATTTCATTTTTTTTAAAATCTCAAAATGTTGACTCATTTCGGGACAAACCCAACAGAGTGATGAAGAGATGGGTGAAAAAATATTGGTTACCCAATGAAAAATGTAATGACCCCAAACCTTCGAGTAAAAACTGATGTGCTCAAAAAGTTATCTGGAGCTCTGAAGCGCTCTCTATTCCCCTCCTGAACTCACTGCTGTACAGTGGTGAAGGAGCCAGCAGCATCCCCTAAGTTGACACCATGAGTTCAGCAGGCTGCAGCGGTGACACCGTTGTCAAGTATCGCCAATTTTGTCCATTTTCATCAACAGAGCATACCTCGTCATTGTGATGTCTACAGAAACGTGCTGTATGGTTGGGTGTTTGGTTCTCATGCAGCCTGTACTGTTCTTAACACATGCAAACTGTTAGTGGAAAACATCATCCTTTGTAGGCTTTGAACTTCCAGCTACCCGCGAATGAAGGGATCAATGATGCACGTCAGCAGTGATACGAACATTGAAATTTCAGGACTGCTGAAGTCGAGGTGAAATTGGGTTGAACGTCGCATCCAAGATTATTGCACTTATATAGCGATATGTGGTGTGTGTGTGTGTGTGTGTGTGAGCGAGCGCTGATGATGCCAATTTATAGTGCTAGCTCACTGAGACTTTCTACAATGACACAAATAACAAAGACTGAATCATTCTGCTATATTACATATAACTATTGCATAGATACATTATGTACATTAGACACTGATGGATGGACATGATAACAGACTGCTAGGAAGTGATGAGGACTAAAACTAGATACATGGTTACCCACTGGAACAGTCGGTGGGATGCTAATGTCAGAAGTTGTCTTGTAGTTGGGTACTGTTCTGTAGTGGGTATGGTATTACGCCGTTTTAGCAATATTCCAGCAACATCAATTCAGGGGACACCAGAAATGGGCTTCACACATTGTACCCATGTGGGGAATCGAACCCAGGTCTTCAGAGTGATGAGTGAATGCTTTAACCACTAGGCTACCCCATCCACCCCTGTGGTCCTGTAAACATTCATGATTGCAGTCATGTACACTTCCACTTCCTTCCAAGAGAAACACATACTTGTAAATGATACAGCGCTGCGTACATGTTTGGATTTAGCTGCCATGGAAGAACATCAAATTATCTTGTGATTATTGCCAGAAATGTATCTACTGACATTATACATATATGTACATGTGGTCTTCTCCCAAACATACTGTCCAGACCAACCAAATCTCCTTGAGCCAGAGACTAATGCCAGAGGTGACCTTATTAAAGGCCATGTTGGGAGACCAAACCAAACTGCCAAAACCAATTTTGAAAGCCATTTTGAAAAATATCAGCCATCATGAACTTTTCTTATGCTCATAAAACATCCATAAACACGACTCCCAGATGGGTCGCACTTCAATGACATCTATAAACACGGCTCTCAGATGGGTCGCACTTCAATGACATCTATAAACACGGCTCCCAGATGGGTCGCACTTCAATGACATCTATAAACACGACTCCCAGATGGGTCGCACTTCAATGACATCTATAAACACGACTCCCAGATGGGTCGCACTTCAATGACATCTATAAACACGACTCCCAGATGGGTCGCACTTCAATGACATCTATAAACACGACTCGCAGACTGGCCGCACTTCAATGACACCCATAAACACGACTCCCAGATGGGTCGCACTTCAATGACATCTATAAACACGACTCCCAGATGGGTCGCACTTCAATGACATCTATAAACACGACTCTCAGACTGGCCGCACTTCAATGACATCTATAAACACGACTCCCAGATGGGTCGCACTTCAATGACATCTATAAACACGACTCCCAGATGGGTCGCACTTCAATGACATCTATAAACACGGCTCCCAGATGGGTCGCACTTCAATGACATCTATAAACACAACTCCCAGATGGGTCGCACTTCAATGACATCTATAAACACGACTCCCAGATGTGTCGCACTTCAATGACATCCATAAACACGACTCCCAGATGGGTCGCACTTCAATGACATCTATAAACACGACTCGCAGACTGGCCGCACTTCAATGACATCTATAAACACGACTCCCAGATGGGTCGCACTTCAATGACATCTATAAACACGACTCCCAGATGTGTCGCACTTCAATGACATCCATAAACACGACTCCCAGATGGGTCGCACTTCAATGACATCTATAAACACGACTCCCAGATGGGTCGCACTTCAATGACATCTATAAACACGACTCGCAGAGTGGCCGCACTTCAATGACATCTATAAACACGACTCCCAGATGGGTCGCACTTCAATGACATCCATAAACACGACTCCCAGATGGGTCGCACTTCAATGACATCTATAAACACGGCTCTCAGATGGGTCGCACTTCAATGACATCTATAAACACGACTCCCAGATGTGTCGCACTTCAATGACATCCATAAACACGACTCCCAGATGGGTCGCACTTCAATGACATCTATAAACACGACTCCCAGATGGGTTGCACTTCAATGACATCTATAAACACGACTCGCAGACTGGCCGCACTTCAATGACATCTATAAACACGACTCCCAGATGGGTCGCACTTCAATGACATCTATAAACACGACTCCCAAATGGGTCGCACTTCAATGACATCTATAAACACGACTCCCAGATGGGTCGCACTTCAATGACATCTATAAACAGGACTCGCAGACTGGCCGCACTTCAATGACATCTATAAACACGACTCCCAGATGGGTCGCACTTCAATGACATCCATAAACACGGCTCGCAGACTGGCCGCACTTCATTGACATCCAGACATGTCACAGTTAGTATGTATGAGCACCCAGACACATCTCACACTTCAATGGCAAGGAGTCTCGCGTAGGTGGCATCTGTGGGTTGGCTTCCCGATGAATTTCACACTTCAATGACATCTGTAGACTTTCTAACGGATAAGTCTCACACTACAATGGCATTAAGAAGCATGACTTGCCAATGAGAAACAGGAAACCAATGGGCTGGCTTACCCTATGAATATCTCACACTTCGATGGCACGTACAAGCACGACCCCCACCAACAACTCTCAGTCTTCAAAGGCACGTACAAGCACGACCCCCACCAACAACTCTCACACTTCGATTGCACGTACAAGCACGACCCCCACCAACAACTCTCACACTTCAATGGCATGTACAAGCACGACCCCCAACAACAACTCTCACACTTCAATGGCATGTACAAGCACGACCCCCACCAACAACTCTCACACTTCGATGACACGTACAAGCACGACCCCCACCATAACTCTCACACTTCGATGACACGTACAAGCACGACCCCCACCAACAACTCTCACACTTCGATGGCACGTACAAGCACGACCCCCACCAACAACTCTCACACTTCGATGGCACGTACAAGCACGACCCCCACCAACAACTCTCACACTTCGATGGCACGTACAAGCACGACCCCCACCAACAACTCTCACACTTCGATGGCATGTACAAGCACGACCCCCACCAACAACTCTCACACTTCGATGGCACGTACAGGCACGACCCCCACCAACAACTCTCCGACTTCAATGGCACGTACAGGCACGACCCCCACCAACAACTCTCCGACTTCAATGGCACGTACAGGCACGACCCCCAACAACAACTCTCACACTTCGATGGCACGTACAAGCACGACCCCTACCAACAACTCTCACACTTCAATGGCACGGACAAGCACGACCCCCACCAACAACACTCAGACTTCAATGGCATCAATCGTGTCCATGTCTTCCATTTCCAGCTCCTCTGGAGTCATGGAGGGTAAAATGTCTTCTCCATCAAACATGAACTTCAAGTAGGACAGTTCTGTTTTCACTTTGGTGGCGTAACTACTCATCAGCTTGCGGAGGGCCTGGTGCTGAAATACAGGGGAACAGTGAGTGAGTGAGTGAGTGAGTGAGTGAGTGAGTGAGTGAGTGAGTGAGTGAGTGAGGTTTTACGCTGCTTTTAGCAATATTCCAGCAATATCGGGGGCCACCAGAAATGGGCTTCACACATTGTACCCATGTTAGGAATCGAAACCGGGTCTTTGGCGAGACGAGGGAACACTTTAACCACTAGGCTACCCGACCACCCCACATGGGAACAGTGGTGGCAGGACAGGGGCATCATCAATAGTGGGATCAACAACCTGTCATCAAGTCAATGATGTTCTAATGAGCATGTAGGTGTATGGTTTCATGCCGCTTTTAGCAATATTCCAGCAATATCATGGCGGGGGGACACCAGGAATGGGCTGCACACATTGTACTGAGGGGGAATCGAACCCGGGGCTTAGGCGCGACAAGAGAACGCTTTAACCACTAGGCTACACCGCCATCCCTGTTAAGATATGTGTTGTTTAGCATTGTCAACGCCACTCACCAATATTACAGCTGTATCATATGACAGCAGTCTAATCAAGCAAATAATCAAGGCTGGATCAAACAATCCAGTGACAAATATTGTGCGGAACGATCCACACAGAAAATGTAAATACTTTTGTCTAGTGTAAGCTGGACTACAAATGGAAGACCAGTGAGGTAAGGTTAACACTAGTGGAGGACTAATCTTATGGGAAACGAATTTGAAACACATTCACAGTGTCCCATGGCAATGGAGTTCAAGATTACAAGTTGCCTGTGTACCAACCTTGTTGACCTTGATGAGGATCTTGTTCTTCCTGTTGCTGCACTGGACGTACAGGGAGACGGCATCCCTGGCCGGAATGTCCTCCCCCATGTCCAACATGCCCGGGCTGTACAGGTGGCAGTCTGGAAGCAGGACCACAATCACAGTCAGTCTTCTGGGTGCTACTACAGTGCCAGGACCTCAGCAGTGGACAGCCTTTTGTCCTCCATTGCCAGGACCTTATCAATGGACAGCCTTTTGTCTTCCATTGCCAGGACCTCAGCAATGGACAGCCATTTTGTCTTCCATTGCCAGGATCTTAATGGACAGCCATTTTGTCTTCCATTGCCAGGACCTTAGCAGTGGACAGCCTTTTGTCCTCCATTGCAAGGATCTTTACAATGGACAGCCTTTTGTCTCCCATTCAACTTAGTTTGGGCTATGGTCAACATGTGGTAGCAAAGTAACATTGATTTCACATAGTTATTAAAGAGAGGAAATATTTGAAAACATTTTCATGACAAAATTTTTTTGGGGACGTTGAAAACCCATGCACTAAATTTCTTCTGACGATTGAATAACTGGGATCTGCAGATTGTAGACATTTCCCACTTTGCTGAATTTGACATTCAAAGTTTGCCAACAACGACAAATTTTGCTTGTTTGTTGTTAAACGCTGCACTCAGCAATATTCCACATATATGACGGCGATCTGTAAATAATTGAGTCTGGACTGACAAACCAGTGATTGACACCACAAGCATCGATCTACACAACTGAGACACGATGACATGCAACCAAATAAGCGCGCCTGACCCCCTGATCCTGTTAGTCGCCTCTTGCGGCGGGCAAGGGTCAGCCGAAGAGCTACGACAGGCATGGTCCACTAGAGACCAGTGTGATGCACCTACCGATGATATCCGCGATGTGCAGGCTGATGCTGATGGGAGTGTCTGTGGGCAGGATGTTCCTGTCCGCCACCATGAAGAACAGATGATCCTCCTCCTCCTCAATGTCCCCAGCCAGCCTCGTCTTGATGCTTTGAAACGTGTCGGCCTGCAACACACGTGTACACCGTAAGCTTCACAGAGCTTGTATTCTGGTAACTGGCAGTACTTAGTAACATTTCCCAGACACTAACAAATTTCAGTTGATCATGTTAATTTGCGCACTTCAATCAAAAGTGACTGCCTCCTAGATCTAGTGATAGAGCGTCTGCCCGGAGAATGGAAGGTCCAGGATTCGATCTCCAGCCACGTCATACCAAAAGACGTTACAAAATGGTACTTCTTGTTACCCTGTCTGGCGCTCGGCATTAAAGGGTAAAACAAGGACTGGTCGGCTCAGAGTCAGTATGCTGTGTCTAGATCCTTATACCATTGTCAAGCAAGACTTTCGGTATAGATCCTTATATCGTTGTCAAGCAAGACTTTCGGTATAGATCCTTATACCATTGTCAAGCAAGACTTTCGGTATAGATCCTTATACTGTTGTCAAGCAAGACTTTCGGTATAGATCCTTATACCATTGTCAAGAAAGACTTTCGGTATAGATCCTTATACTGTTGTACAAGGATCAATGCCGAAACGTCGCCTTTACGGTATTAAAGAAGCTGTTATCCATAAATTGTGTCTACTTCGTCACCTGTCAACTTCCAAGTAATGCCTATCAAACAATTCAAAACGGGGATAACAACAACCCTTATGTGTTCGGAGAGTCCAGAATGAGAACACAGGCATCCATATTCAGATGGTCCTTCACCTTCATCATGCTGTACTTGAAGATCTTGGACTTGTAGCGGATCTTGGCTGTCATGCTGGTGGTCTCGGGGGCGGGGCTGCTGAGGTGTCCCACAAGGACAAGGTCATCGTCCTCGGATGATGAGTGTTCCACTCGTATCGTGTCCTTCATTCCTTCCAGTGTCCTGATGGGAAACAAGCAAGGGCTTAACAACAACTTCTGAAGCATCAATTCTACAAGATGGCATATGCTTTATGAGCTACAATAATTTATTTGTTTGTTTGTTTGTTGTTTAACGCCGCACTCAGCAATATTGCAGCTATATGACGGCGGTCTGTAAATAATCGAGTCTGGACCAGACAATCCAGTGATTGATGTCATGAGCATCGATCCATGCAAATCGGATCAATGACATGAGCTGTATGAGTACAGTGTATGGTAAAACCATGACGAGCTTACCGGAGAGCCTTCTTCATGTGTCTGTTCATCCTTCGTGTCCTGGTGGGCTTCTGTGTCACTATAGAGTCAGGGGTGGGAGGGGGGGTTGGCGAGCGGGAACGCACAAAGGACGACTCCGGTGTTGTGAGATTGGTGCTGATAGCAGAATAAGTAAATGTTTAGCTTATATGTGGCTAAGCATGGTAAGTCACTCATTAATTGTCAGGCTGAAACTTGTAGTATCCTGACATCCTTAAATATCTACAAGTCCAATTTATTATCCATAGGGTTAGAAATAACCGAGTTCATAAAAATTGTATGTGCACTAGTGCAAATATCACTTCTCTCACACCAGTGTATTGTTTCCATCATCTGAACGGCATTGTTGACGACATTCAAATCTTATTGTGACATACGGTGAGAATGACATTACACTAGAAATGAGGTCATAGCTGAAGATTGTTGACGTCATTTGACAAATTGGGGTTCTCTAGGACAGTGCAGGTGGTCAGTGCATTTTCTATAAGGTGAGCTAAAAAGGATTAAGAAATAAAGGGTAATGAAAATATTATTATTTTACAGCTGTATCATATGACAGCAGTCTAATCAAGCAAATAATCAAGGCTGGATCAAACAATCCAGTGACAAATATTGTGCGGAACGATCCACACAGAAAATGTAAATACTTTTGTCTAGTGTAAGCTGGACTACAAATGGAAGACCAGTGAGGTAAGGTTAACACTAGTGGAGGACTAATCTTATGGGAAACGAATTTGAAACACATTCACAGTGTCCCATGGCAATGGAGTTCAAGATTACAAGTTGCCTGTGTACCAACCTTGTTGACCTTGATGAGGATCTTGTTCTTCCTGTTGCTGCACTGGACGTACAGGGAGACGGCATCCCTGGCCGGAATGTCCTCCCCCATGTCCAACATGCCCGGGCTGTACAGGTGGCAGTCTGGAAGCAGGACCACAATCACAGTCAGTCTTCTGGGTGCTACTACAGTGCCAGGACCTCAGCAGTGGACAGCCTTTTGTCCTCCATTGCCAGGACCTTATCAATGGACAGCCTTTTGTCTTCCATTGCCAGGACCTCAGCAATGGACAGCCATTTTGTCTTCCATTGCCAGGATCTTAATGGACAGCCATTTTGTCTTCCATTGCCAGGACCTTAGCAGTGGACAGCCTTTTGTCCTCCATTGCAAGGATCTTTACAATGGACAGCCTTTTGTCTCCCATTCAACTTAGTTTGGGCTATGGTCAACATGTGGTAGCAAAGTAACATTGATTTCACATAGTTATTAAAGAGAGGAAATATTTGAAAACATTTTCATGACAAAATTTTTTTGGGGACGTTGAAAACCCATGCACTAAATTTCTTCTGACGATTGAATAACTGGGATCTGCAGATTGTAGACATTTCCCACTTTGCTGAATTTGACATTCAAAGTTTGCCAACAACGACAAATTTTGCTTGTTTGTTGTTAAACGCTGCACTCAGCAATATTCCACATATATGACGGCGATCTGTAAATAATTGAGTCTGGACTGACAAACCAGTGATTGACACCACAAGCATCGATCTACACAACTGAGACACGATGACATGCAACCAAATAAGCGCGCCTGACCCCCTGATCCTGTTAGTCGCCTCTTGCGGCGGGCAAGGGTCAGCCGAAGAGCTACGACAGGCATGGTCCACTAGAGACCAGTGTGATGCACCTACCGATGATATCCGCGATGTGCAGGCTGATGCTGATGGGAGTGTCTGTGGGCAGGATGTTCCTGTCCGCCACCATGAAGAACAGATGATCCTCCTCCTCCTCAATGTCCCCAGCCAGCCTCGTCTTGATGCTTTGAAACGTGTCGGCCTGCAACACACGTGTACACCGTAAGCTTCACAGAGCTTGTGTTCTGGTAACTGGCAGTACTTAGTAACATTTCCCAGACACTAACAAATTTCAGTTGATCATGTTAATTTGCGCACTTCAATCAAAAGTGACTGCCTCCTAGATCTAGTGATAGAGCGTCTGCCCGGAGAATGGAAGGTCCAGGATTCGATCTCCAGCCACGTCATACCAAAAGACGTTACAAAATGGTACTTCTTGTTACCCTGTCTGGCGCTCGGCATTAAAGGGTAAAACAAGGACTGGTCGGCTCAGAGTCAGTATGCTGTGTCTAGATCCTTATACCATTGTCAAGCAAGACTTTCGGTATAGATCCTTATATCGTTGTCAAGCAAGACTTTCGGTATAGATCCTTATACCATTGTCAAGCAAGACTTTCGGTATAGATCCTTATACTGTTGTCAAGCAAGACTTTCGGTATAGATCCTTATACCATTGTCAAGAAAGACTTTCGGTATAGATCCTTATACTGTTGTACAAGGATCAATGCCGAAACGTCGCCTTTACGGTATTAAAGAAGCTGTTATCCATAAATTGTGTCTACTTCGTCACCTGTCAACTTCCAAGTAATGCCTATCAAACAATTCAAAACGGGGATAACAACAACCCTTATGTGTTCGGAGAGTCCAGAATGAGAACACAGGCATCCATATTCAGATGGTCCTTCACCTTCATCATGCTGTACTTGAAGATCTTGGACTTGTAGCGGATCTTGGCTGTCATGCTGGTGGTCTCGGGGGCGGGGCTGCTGAGGTGTCCCACAAGGACAAGGTCATCGTCCTCGGATGATGAGTGTTCCACTCGTATCGTGTCCTTCATTCCTTCCAGTGTCCTGATGGGAAACAAGCAAGGGCTTAACAACAACTTCTGAAGCATCAATTCTACAAGATGGCATATGCTTTATGAGCTACAATAATTTATTTGTTTGTTTGTTTGTTGTTTAACGCCGCACTCAGCAATATTGCAGCTATATGACGGCGGTCTGTAAATAATCGAGTCTGGACCAGACAATCCAGTGATTGATGTCATGAGCATCGATCCATGCAAATCGGATCAATGACATGAGCTGTATGAGTACAGTGTATGGTAAAACCATGACGAGCTTACCGGAGAGCCTTCTTCATGTGTCTGTTCATCCTTCGTGTCCTGGTGGGCTTCTGTGTCACTATAGAGTCAGGGGTGGGAGGGGGGGTTGGCGAGCGGGAACGCACAAAGGACGACTCCGGTGTTGTGAGATTGGTGCTGATAGCAGAATAAGTAAATGTTTAGCTTATATGTGGCTAAGCATGGTAAGTCACTCATTAATTGTCAGGCTGAAACTTGTAGTATCCTGACATCCTTAAATATCTACAAGTCCAATTTATTATCCATAGGGTTAGAAATAACCGAGTTCATAAAAATTGTATGTGCACTAGTGCAAATATCACTTCTCTCACACCAGTGTATTGTTTCCATCATCTGAACGGCATTGTTGACGACATTCAAATCTTATTGTGACATACGGTGAGAATGACATTACACTAGAAATGAGGTCATAGCTGAAGATTGTTGACGTCATTTGACAAATTGGGGTTCTCTAGGACAGTGCAGGTGGTCAGTGCATTTTCTATAAGGTGAGCTAAAAAGGATTAAGAAATAAAGGGTAATGAAAATATTATTAAACTCACACGTGTCATACTAATTTTACGACCAATCAACAACCAATCAAAATGCCTCTTCTGAATGCGAGTTGGGCAGTGATCTACATTCAGTATTGTAGCCTCATCTGAGAGCAATCATTACATATAATTAAATCAGAAGACTGTTCTATCTTAGAAACTTATTCTGCATAACTCCTTAATGCATCTACTGCAAGGTTCAGATGAAGCTGTGAGGTCCAGATGAAGAAAATAGTTGTTCAACTAGCTGTGAAGCAAGGCCCCATCACACAGTTCACGTGACCACGATAGTGATGACGTCACGGAATCTTCACATTACTGCTCGAATTGGAACATATGAAGACACCGCGGGGAGGCAGCTCTGCGATGGGAGGTCCCTGAGACGTAGTAATGCAGGAAAAGTACATAAATGTACAAAATATTTAGATTTTACTAAAGGTTTTTTAACTAATCCTGCATTACTCCTTAATACATCTGAATCGGACAGTAGGGCGGAAGGCATACCTTCAGATGTGGTTAAGGTAGAAAACTTCCAAGTGTGTCTAGGTAGTCGTCAGACCACAGCCTCTGCGAAGAACAGCAACCATTTGACCAATCCTGTTCGCGGAAATATCGAGACAGCAATAGAAAATAGTGTGTGCTCGAGTGTAGAAACTGACTTACCGTGCCATCTGCTGGGTAGCAGGAACCCCATTGGGTGTGAAAACACTGGGCAATTTGGGTAAGGCTGGTTTTGGACTGGAGGAAACTTTAGCGGCATCGAGGATTGATGACCTGCTGGGCAACAACCAGAGGGCCAAAACTGCAAACGCCTTCGACGTCTTTCAAAGCCATGTCCCTCAGATAATGGCTGGTGAAGACCTTGTCTGCCCTCCAAAAACATCCTTCCATGATTGCTCTAATGGAGCGGTTGCTATGGAGAGCCATTGTAGAGGCAACCGCCTGTGGGGATTGTTGGCTCTTGGGGGGTCAAGATGGACGGCCTTGTATGCCTGAAGAATGATAGCACTTAACCATAAGGATATGGTGTTGCGGCTGACTTCAGTCACGTCATGGATGTTTCTGAGCCCCAAGCAGAGTCTTGGAGCAGCGGTTGAACACTCATAGTGTGCACACACTGGGCACAATAGGAGTTCCTCGTCATCTTCCAACATCTATGATCGAGGAGAGAGGTGGGATGGCGGATGACTGGTCGAGCTGTCCGGGGAGTTGATCCTTGGCAACACACACACACCCTCAGGTGAACTGAGGTCCACGAACCACTCTCTCCTTGGCCACCAAGGTGTGATCAAATTTAGAGCGAGGCGCCTGGTTGCTTTGACCTTCTGCATCACCTTAGCCAGAAAAACAGGAGGCGAAAATATGTACGCTCCTAGTCCTTCTCAATGGAGGTCAAGCATGTCACCCGCCAATGCCTGTTGATCTGGCACCTGAGAGACGCATGCCTGGATCTGGCAGTTCTGGCTGGTGGCAAAGAGGTTGATGTTGGGATGACTATGCTGGGATGAGGCGCTGACATACAAGATGCAAGGCCCTAGAATGAAGCTTCTTCTCTGTGGGAGCCACCCTGTCTGGCTGGATAGAGTGTCTGCCAGAATGTTTGGACATCCGGGCAGGTGCTGGACCAGGAAGCGCAAACCCAAACAATCCACAAGATGAAAAAACCCAGAACATATCCTGGAGGAGGGCCTGTAAGTGTGTCGTCCCGATTACACAGACACCACACCACTGTGATGATGTCAGTAGAGATGGCGAGTTGAGTGTTCAGGAGGTCAGCTTTGCCAGTGGGATATCGCTAAAATTAGGGCTTCCAGCTCCAGACTCTTAATGTGCCATGTGCGCTGCATAGTGGACCACAGCCCTGAAGCTGTCTGGTCCCGACCCTGCAAAAAGGCTTCTACGAATTGGTTTGACATTGGTGACAACCTCTGTTAACCCTGTTGAGGTCCTTCAGGGAAGAACGCCCTGTCCTGGTAGATCATTCAGGGAAGTTCTGGGAAACATGCTCCAGGGCTTTAAGAGCTGTCATCACTTGAGACCCTGGCGTGGGTGTCAGATCTGATCGTTGAAGAGTGACAAAGCAGACAACAGTTGACGAGAATGTCAATGCTGGAACTCTGAATCCCAGTTAGTGATGGTTAGGTATCAAAGATGACAGGTGGTGTTAATCTCAGCGATAGCAACTTTTAGATGGTTACACATTTGGTCAATCTGGCTCTGCTGGTAGTCGACAACAGTCAGGAAGTGATAAACCCGATTAATGTTGGTCTCAGATAGATCCTGGTCAATGGCCCATGAAGTGGAAACCAAAGCCGACAAGGGTCTCAGAGAGCGCCTGATCTTCTCTAAGAAGGCAATATGTGAATCTGGGATCTTGAGTGTAATGACAATCCTGTCATCCAAGACATGTGCATTGCCACTTTGAAAGCATGGACGTGGAAGTCGTCCTCATATTTGGGCACCTTGAAAGCTGGGGGAATAATAGTCTGGCAAAATCCTCATCTAGTGCTTTAACCAAGTCCTGAAGCATAGGATCAGGTGGGATGGTGGTGAAGGCTCCACCGCAGACAAACAATCGGCCATCCAATCAGGCACTTAGGATAAGCTGAGATGGGTGTCCGTCTCCAGGGATGTCTCGTAGTCCAGTACAAAACATCCTTCTGACAATTCTGTGATACAACTGAGAGCATCAGATGGGAGAGCGCCTCCTTGCACGGCGCTTGGAACGTGAGGCCTGGGGGAAGTGCCGGGTGACGCAGAACCACGTGATGTCTGATCTGTAGGAGGAGTCGCAGGACTGTCTCAGTAGGTGCAGTCTGAGCAGGAGGAGCTGTCGGTGCTAATGTTGGTTGGTTGGTTGGTTTGTTGTTTAACGCCGCACTCAGCAATATTCCAGCTATATGACGGTGGTCTATAAATAATTGCTCCTGGACCAGACAATCCAGTGATTGATTTCATGAGCATCAATCCACGTAATTGGGATCGATGACATGCATCAACCAAGTCAGCGAGCCTGACCACTCGATCCAGTTAGTTGCCTCTTACGACAAGCATAGTGGCTTTTTACGCCAAGAATGGGTTGCTGAAGACCTATTCTAGCCCGGGTCTTTAGGGGTCTCGGTGCTAAGGTAGTTGGAGAGGCTGGAGGCACAGGCTGATAGGGGGACGCCAGCACAGGATACATATGTTACGCAGAAGTTGTTGGAACATGGACTGCATAAAAACTCCATGTAGGGTCTCTGTAAGGTGCTGCCGTCTGCTGGTACATGAGAGGTGCTGGCAGGAACCGGGGAGGCGCAGGCAGAAATAGACCCTGTGGGGCAGATGTCATGGAGGAGCCGAAAGGGGAAGGTAACACTGTAAATGGCGCCTGAGAGATTGTGGCAGGTGTTGACAGTGGTATAGTAGTAGGTGCCTGGGTAGGAGATGATGGCAGTGGAATATCTGACGGCGCAGAAAATGTAGGCAGCGCCCAGCCCAACAGACGGCTTTGAAATAATCACAGGGTTCTCATGCTGAAGGGAATTTTGAGAGTCTGATATTTTCTTGGAATCTCGTAGAGTCTATTGTGTAAGCCGCTTGCTAGAGACCGGTAGATACTTGTTAACGCTTGATGGGGAAAGTGAGCACAAAAAAATCACACTTAAGACTCGTGGTACAGATCTGCGTACAGTCAAGACACTGTGGATGGGGGATCTAGGAAGAGTAAGTGAGTTTGATTTGATTTTATGCGGCTTTTAGCAATATTCCAGCAATATCACGGCCGGTGACACCAGAAATGGGCTTCACACATTGTACCCATGTTTGGAATCGAACCTGGGTTTTCAGCGTGCCGAAAGCCGACCGCCCCGGTTCTTGGAAGAGTTTTTACCAGGGCAGCAGACACAATGAACAAGCATCAATCTGCAATTTAAGCAGAAGTTGCAATGATCAAAGGGTACCCAATTAGAAAGGATAAAATTACCAAGTTTTAATCCAAATAAAGGGTAAACTTTACACTAATAAACGTGTAAAACATAAAATAATTACCAAGCCAAAAAGAATACCCAACATAAATCTTGATGTAGGAGACCAAGCTAGAAATCAAAATGGCAGATTGGAACAAAAAGCACACTAGAATGACAAATGTCACTTTCATGTGCAAAACATAAATGCTATAGTATATATAGAACAGGAAAACACCCATGGTAGGATAGGAAATAAATCACATCCAATTCAATACAAGAAGAAATAAACAACAGATTACACAAATTTGCAAGACAAATTTATTGATACAAGAAGTCTGTCTGGTGACAAGTAGTAAAGTGAAGATTCCTTTATGTCATCACTTCGTGAGCTGTGCGATAGGGCCTGCTTCACAACTGGTTGGAAAACCTTTTTCATCAGGTGGACCTCACACAGCTTCGTTTCTGTCCAAAACAGTAAATGCACTAAGGAGAAATGCAGGACAAGTTAAAAAATTTAACATTTAGCAGAAGAAGATGTCACCACTCACCAATCCAGGTCATCCTTGCTGTCATCCAGTGTTATTGAGGGCACTCTCCTGTCAGTCTTCACATCCTGCTTTGGTTTCTCAACTGGCAACAGGAACACATTATATTAACCTATTTGTGAACATTGTGACAGAGATAGAACTAAACACAAACGCTAAACTAGCTGGGTAAAGAAACTATGACTTTGTAATGTTAAAGCAATGGGGAAGTTGTACTGCCTGCAGGAACTTGTTCTCGCCCAGGCTAGCGGGCTTGTGTGTTCTGACACTGTGTGAGATGTACATGATACATACATGATATACAGTGTTCGAAGCTAAGCAAGTTGGTAAAGTCATCCTTGTCACAACCCTAATGTAAAAAACTAAAAAAGCGGGAGGTCTCAAGATTTGAATACAATAACCGATAACTCTAAGGCCCCCCTTCCCACAACCCTTACCCTTAACTATTGGATTACTTAATTACAAGGGATATAAGCATGCAGGTCGATCAGGGCCCTGGTTTTAACTTGACTGTCACCACACACTGAGCAGGCTGACTAACAGTGAAAAAAAAGGAAAAACTCAGCTTCAATAAATTCAATACACGTAAGTGAATTATATTTGTTGGCCAAGAATCATTATAATCATCAAATAATCTTGACAATCATCATGCTATCAAATGGGGTCAGTAACCGGGGCAATGTCCTTACATGTAATTCAAATCTAGTATTGCCACAAAATTATTTTGTTTGTTGTTTAACGCAGCACTCACCCGAGTGTCTTTTGATATCAAATATATCAACACTCGTATATATATTTGATATCAAAAGGCACTCGGGTGAGATTCTCTATATGATGAGAGTGAGTTGGTTTTAACGCCGCTTTTAACATTATTCCAGTTATATCACGGCGTGTCAGCTTAACATGCTTAATGTGGGAGAAAAGCCCGAAGTGATGCAGGTCTAAGACGCTTACCATTTCGGTGAAACCCAGGAGCACGGGTATGGTGCTGACAAACCTAGAAACATAATTCGGGTGAACCGGGATTCGAACCCACAATCATAGGTTTCTGGCGTGCCCAAGGGATGCAACTCTGCACAGCGAATTGCGGCGCCTTAGATGACTGGGCCACCTGTGCCCCCTGATAGCAATGTAACCATGGTAACAGCAATTCCATGCATGAAAACTTTCTGTGAAGGAGTTGGCTTAACGCCGTAATGAGTGAGTGTGTGTTTGTTGTTTAATGCCGCCCTAAGCAATATTCCAGCTATATGACGGCGGTCTGTAAATAATCGAGTCTGGACCAGACAATCCAGTGATTGACATCATGAGCATCAATCCACGCAATTAGGATACGATGACATGCATCAACCAAGTCAGCGAGCCTGACCACTCAATCCCGATAATCGCCTCTTACAACAAGCATGGTGGCCTTTCAGCCAAGCATAGTTTGCTGAATACCTATTTGAACTAAGATCTTCACGGGTGTATTGCCACATAAAATCAGCCTCACCTATTGGCGTTTCCTCTTCATCCTTATCTATGCAGAGTTGAAGCCTGCCTGACTTCAAGTCCTCCAAACACTTCGTGACTCGAGTCGAGTACACAGACACTTGTTTCTTGGGTAGCACTGGCGGGACAGTTGTTGGGTTAGAGGCTAGTATGCTGCGGACAGACCTTGTGGATCGGGTTTTGCGTATCTTTGGGGGAGAATCAGCATCAGAGCTGTCACTGTCTGACTCGGAGAGAACATTCTGTAATGAAAACAATGTCCATACAACACAAGACAAGCAGGACACAAAGGACTCCAATAAATATCTTGATAGCAATGTGAGTGTGAGTGAGTTGGGTTTTACGCCGCTTTTAACAGTATTCCAGTTATATCGCGGCGTGTCAGCTTAATGTGGGAGGAAAGCTGGAAGTGATGCAGGTCTCAGACGTTTACTACTTTGGTGAAACCCACGAGCACGGGTATGGTGCTGCCAAACCTAGAAACATAATTGGGGCGAACCGGGATTGGAACCCACAATCATAGGTTTCTGGCGTGCCCAAGGGACGCAACTCTGCACAGTGAATCGCGGCGCCTTAGACAACTGGGCCCCTTGTGCCCCCTGATAGCAATGTAACCATGGTAACAGCAATCCCATGCATGAAATCTGGGATACGAGGGTACTTGTGATTTACTCATCGTCTGTCCCAGTGTTCCTGTTTACCAGTAACTACCAGTATTTTACCTGTAAACATGGTAAAGTTAGGCATGGTCCGGTTATTCATGTGGACTGGCAAAAAAGTACTTTATAAATCTTTGTTGTTGAATCTTGTCACTGTACTTTGTGTGAGTAACATGCAGATCTAACTAAACTATGTTTAACGCCGCTATGAACAGTATTCCAGCTTAACATGGAAGGAAAGCCCGAAGGGATGCAGGTTTCAGATGTTCAGCGCTTTGGTGAAACCCACGAGCATGGGTATGGTGCCGTCAAACCTGGAATCATTTTGTCCGAAAAGGGATTGGAACGTGTCCAAGGGACGCAACTCCAGGTTTCTGGCGTGCCCAAATCAAACCCAGGCCTTTGGTATGACGTTTTAACTCACACAAAAGTGAAGCGGATAGCCTAACGATCGATCAACGGCTTTTTAGCATTCACCAACACTAATGCACCTGTCAGAGTGGGCCTAAAGTACTCACGGAAATGAAAAAACCCCTGTTTTTTCGACCTCAGATCTTAAATAAATGCAGTTAATATACAAAATATGTAAATATTCAAACAACTAAATTAGTACTAATTGGGCCGTGGCACAAATACAGCGTATCAAATGTTTTTATGCCTTTTTACACGTAAAGTGTGTAAAATTGTGAATAAAACAGACTATTGTGAAACAGGGCATAACCAGGTGTAAGTAGATCAAGGTGACCTATGACACCTTGACGACAGGTGAGAACAGGTGCATAATTCCTATAGTCTGTTTCTGCTATGTCAATTTGGACTTAGTTTTATTTTTGAATGTTGAAAGTGCCGACAAATTACCTCCTGTAAAGTACATTTTGTATTGTTCACTGAGATCAAACTAGCAAATCCAGACTAGTACTTTTCGAGTTGTTTTGTTATTTTACAGCTACATAACACTTTGTGTCGATTTTTAAACTGAGAAAAACAGGTTTTTTTCATTTCCGTGAGTACTTTAGTTCTGGATATATATAATGCATATAAAAACAAGTGTTTTTTATTAAAAATCATTACATCTAAGTCACGTATTATAAGTACACCATACTTTTAACTGCACACGATGTCTACATTATGTGGACACAATATGATAAGATTTGTAAAACGGGGGTACACTTAGATGTGGTCTGGGTACAATATTACAAATCGTTTGCCATATTGTTTTGTTCCCAGACCACATCTAATTTGTAATATTGTACCCAGGGCACATTTTGATCGAAAAACAATTGAGAGTGACGCTATCAACTAATGCTGTGTTTTTCTGTCATTTATCACAAATTCAACATACCCTTCAAAATTATGTGATAAATGACTGGATCAAAAACACTCACTGCACTCGTTCCTTCTGAATCATGTGAATGCTTGTTGACAGCCATCGAGTTCTGTAACAGATCTGCACATTCACACTATCTGTCGCGGTTTGCATGATTTACCGGTTTGGTTCTATCTAAAATGTACCAGGTTCTCATAATGATGCAAACTTTAAGGGGATTGTGTCTTGTTTGTAATTTGTGTGGATTTTTCTATTTAAAGTGTGTACATATTCCATAGTTTTCTACATATTCTCACGGTTTTCAATGGAAGGTTGGTTGGTTTGTTTTATTTTACGCCGCACTAAGCAATATTCCAGCCATATGACAGAGGTCCCGAAATAACCAAGTTTGGACCAGACAATCCAGTAATTGATATCATGAGCATCGATCCACACGATAGGGATTGATGACATGCTTCAACTAAGTCAGCGTGCCTGCCCCTCCCGATCCCGTTAGTCGCCTCTTACGACAAGCACAGTCGCCTTTTACGGCAAGCATGGGTTGCTGAAGACCTACTCTACCCTGGATTTTCACAGGCCTTCAAAGTAAAAACCTACATTTCTGCTTGTTCTGGCCTCACAAAATAATTATATTCCAGCCATGAGGAAGTCAAGGTGCCAGACATTTCAACAATACAGACACTGTCTATTTTCTGCTTCTTATCTATGCTGTCGGCCTACGGGCCTAACTCATCAACTGCAACGACATTTTGGCGACATGCCCTTCATATTTGTGATGGTACGAGCTCTGAAAGCAGCCACCATAGATCTAGGCCATGTATTAGTATTTACGTAAATCTGTTGAGACACAAAGTGACATTTAGATCCTTTAAGGCCTAAAGGGTTTATTCAATTCAAAATATGACAATGTCAAACAAAAGAATAACCCATACAAACTGGACCACTGACCATATCTCTGCTTTCCAGAGGTAACCTGTCTCCCATATTGTTTCTTTCAAAATGACGATTAGCGCCAGTTTCTTAAAAAGTGTAACTGAAGAATCACTGGATACGGATTAAGAATCATCGCTCAAAGCCAAGCCGTTACATAATATTTAAATGCTTAAATTTCGTAAGCGTCATTATGATTAATCGCCAAAAAAGCAGTCTAAAATGGAAAAGAAACAAAACGGATTTAGGATGCGGGAAATAATTTGTGATATACAAACAATTTAAATCACTTTTTTATTTTTTTATTTTTTTTAATCGTCTTGTCAGAAGGAATAGTGATCACTACAATGTACGTTGTGTATATAAAAATACAGAGATAGTGATCATATTAATGATCATTCATAATTATTGCTTTCAAGATTATGTTGATTTGTACTTACGACTGTACTTTTCTACTGTACATTGTTGCAATTGTCAAATGCGATTAATACATAACAATTAAAAGAAAACGTTTGAAGCAGTTTGAAGATGGGAAGCCACGCTGAAATCATCTTGGATAGAATGGAACAGCATGATTGTCGCATAGATCAGCGAAGGCTCGTGCAGATAAAAAGCTCGTGCAGTTTCACGTGCACGTGAATTTGCAAGTGCGCGCTGATTGGCTGGAGACCTGTTCAGCTTTTTGGAATTGAGATATTTCCACTGTCGGCACAGCCAAGTGTGGTCAAGTTATAATGGTAAGTCATAACTATTCTTGTTGGCTATGCATTAATACTATGCCATTAATGTTTTTTGGGGGGTGGAGTATAGTCAAAAGCTTTTGCATGTTGTTGTGTATGCTTGTCATGGCGAAAAGACCCTGGTTCGATTGTTTCTAAAAAGCCCACGTTTTATTTATTTTCTTCCTGTTCTTCCTGGCTGGGGAAAAAATGTGACCAACCATGAGATGAGGGACCTTATGGGAGAAAAGCCACTTTTTGACTTTCAGAATATTTTAAAACTGAAGCATTTTCGGAACAAAAAAAAATACAATTACGAACTTCGTCCCCCCCTCAGTCCCGATTTAAATTCCATTGAGCACCTGTGTGACGAGATTCAAAGACGGCTGAATGACGCCCGACCAAAGCAGACAACTGCAGCTGAACTGCGTCAGGCGTTCCTCAGAGTGTGGGCTCAAGTGCCAATGGCCTTCATCAACCGCCACATCCACTTCATGTATCGACGGTGCACGGCAGTCATCAATGCACATGGCGGACACACGAGATACTTGTGATGCCATTTTCTCAGACTAGTGAGTACTAGTGTTGTGTTTCACTTTAAGAACATTTGACACTTTAATTTCAACCTTGATCAGTTTTGCCAAGTTATATCTTTTTAGTATGTCTCAAAGTATGTTTACAGTGTTTCGACAAATAAGGTTTCCCATATATCTATCCATGGTGACGTTTCTTTTGCGGTTCAGTATTTCTATAAAAAAAACGGGATCGGGTGGTCAGGCTCGCTGACTTGAATGAAGCATGTCATCTATCACAATTGCATGGATCGTTACTTGTGACATTGTCATGTTAAAAAGGACGGCACTACATACTGAAAAACATGGTCAGCTTTAATTACATTTAAAAAACGTATACAGCTTACACAATATCGTCCAATCACAGCTCCCAGATCTCACTACATGCTCTATCTGCACACTACGGAAGCTGGTCGAACTGATTCTGCTCATGATTTGGCGTTGTGGAACCTGTACCTGCACAAAGCTAATGCGTTATGTATTTATTGTATCATACATATATATATCAACGGAAATCAATGTGCTTCATGTAAAGTTCAATAAAAGCTGCTCATCAGGTGCTTATAAAAGCACGTTTGTTTAACCGTGAATGAGGGTTCTGCAATGCCACTGAAAATCTAATTCGACGCGTCGTGGGTATGTTGCAAACAGAAATGGTGCAAAACGAAGAAAGTGACTTTAATGTCCATCGACACACAATATCTCTTTTGGAGACGTAATCTCCAGCAAGCACCTCCATTGAAATACCACGGGCCGGGGCCGGTGCCGGTGACTTGACGTCTACAAGACAACCATATTCGGTTGTTTTTTCACATACGGAATCTATACAAAACAGCCACATACACAGCTGACAAATCCCGGGTTGAGACCAAAGAGTGGCAGACCGAACGCAACCGGTTGAGGGAGCGCAACAACCGGACTTTACGTCCAGCCATACGCCAAATGTTGCCTCCACGTCACCGTCAGGTGTTGCCAGCTTGGTGTAGACAGCGTCCGAGGTTCAGAAGACGACACTGGGACAGGAAACTGTTCAGATGAATCCAGGTTTCATCTGGATCGATGGTCGTGCAAAGGTCTACAGGCGTCCAGTTGCTGGGTGGAAGTGTACTGGTTTGGGGTGAACACAAATCATCATTGGTAATGGCAATTTTATTGGCGTACACTGCAGGGAAGACATCGTTCGAGGTCATGTATTACCCTTTGTGCATTTACAGGGACGTAACGACACACTGCAGCAGGATAATGCCCGCCCACACGTTGCACAACACGTCTTTGAGGCAGCATAACAATGCTGTACTCCATGGCCGAATGTTTCTCCAGACTTCTCCCCGATAGAACGTGTCTGGGGTGAGACGGAGAGACGCCTACGGCAGGACCAGAACTAGTGGGTAACGCTAGCTCAGTTGGTTCAGTCTTTGACATTTTTATGAGGCACATTTACTTTATTCCGCTAGTATACAAGGTTCAACAACGAGATAAGAAAAAGATTTGTTTTGCTGGACATTAAAATTTAGCTTCTGTTCATCAGAAAAGTCTTCATAATCGACATTGATATATCGGGCAATGCATTCTGAATTAAAACGTAAGTCGTCATACACTGGACGTTTAAGAACATACATTTCATCCTTAATAGTTGTCAAAGACCCGCGCTGTATTTATAGAAAAGAACTGCATTGGAATGTGATACTTCAACATGATGTAAATGAGATTAGAAACTGCTCGAACATAACCCATGCATTTCTTGATCACTCGAATGACAGTCCACATTTGGTAAATCAATGGGAAGGTTAACATATATGTTTGTTTTCATTTTCCAAAAAGATCAAAAGTATAAACGCCTTAAGTGTAACTTTGTAACCAACGTCGACCTTGAAGGTAATCGCATAAATTATGCAAGTTGGCTAGAAAGCATGAAATTCAGACCCGAAATTGGCCAGAGACATTTTCGTAGCTTTAACGTCCTCGATAGAAGGCGGGGGGCACGGGTGGCCCAGTCGTCTGAGGCGCCGCGATTCGCTGTGCAGAGTTGCGTCCCTTGGGCACGCCAGAAACCTATGATTGTGGGAATCAAATCCCGGTTCGCCCCGATTATGTTTCTAGGTTTGTCAGCACCATACCCGCACTCGTGTGTTTCACCGAAGTGGTAAACGTCTTAGACCTGCATCACTTCGGGCTTTCCTCCCACATTAAGCTGACACGCCGTACATGATATAACTGTAATACTGTTAAAAAGCGGCGTTAAACCCATCCCACTCACTCATTCAACAGAAGGCTTGATGATGAACTTGAAGTGAACGTTTTCTTTTGTGCAAACCATTTCAATACGTTTCTTTAAAACTACATTTATCTTTCATACGTAATTGTTTCAATGTTTCCAAAGAGTACCGAAAATCTTTCCGTTGTGTGTTTAATGTATACAGCAAACATACGGCGTAATAAGCACCCTCAGGGCAGTACCCTCAATCCCTGGGCTATCGATAACCTACGTAGCCGGATCTTACGTATGTTCATGTCCGGAGGTCACTGACCTTGCTCCACGTTATTAATACCACTACAGAACCTAACGGCCAAAGATCGACAGAAACGGACGGATTGTACGGCTAGTCGTGGCGTCGGCCTCACTAACGACTGCGCCGACGGTGAAGAATTGCCGTCCGACTTCCTGCCTATGGGAATTCATGGCTTAATTCCAGGGAATTGAAGTCTTGCAGTGAAATTACAAATTACATTCTATTTTTTAGAATACAAACATCAAGCACTGATCATTTCATACTCAGTATTTGGCAAACCCAAAGTCAAGACGTTTTTGTTGTTGTTGACAACCGCCGAGTAAACGGTTAACATGTCGTCGTCCATCACTTCAAGTGACACACAATCTTCAACATCTGGGTTTTCAAACTTGTAAAGTCATCTCCACGTGTTTGTGTAACGCCACTCAGCAATATTCCAGCTATATGACGGCGGTCTGTAAATAGTCTGGACAAGACAATCCAGTGATTGATGACATGAACATTAATGTACGCAAATTGGAATACGATGACATGCATCAACAAAGTCAACGAACCTGACCACCCGATCCCGTTAGTCACCTCTTACGACAAGCATGGGTTGCTGGTGACCCCTTCGGGAATGCAACATCCGGGTCCTGCCATGGCCCTCCAGGCCTGCAGATTTAAACCCAATAGAAACATTTATGAGATGCACTGGATCAACGAATCGAGTCTGGACAGGTCAATGTCAATCACTGGATTGTCTGGTCCAGACTCGATTATTTACAGACCGCCTTCATATAGCTAGAGTATTGCTGAGTGCGGCGTGAAACAACAAATATTTTTTTTAAAAACACTGCGAGCACGTCGGCAACCACAGCAGAACCTCCGACAGTTGGCACAAGCCCTGCAGGCAGAGTGGGGGACTATTCTCAGACAACACGTCGGGGTCCCATTGCTTCCACGGGTCGATTTCAGTCGGTTTGGGACCGTAATGGTGGCCATACAAGATATTGAGCACAGATGACCTTATGCTTGAAATCTACTGTTCCATGTGTGCCATATGGAATCTGGGTCGATGAGAATGTGTACCAATTTTGAACAATAGATTACTCTGTTGATTAATAAATCTAACATTACTTTTGCGTCGTTGTTTTTGTTGTTGTTGCAAAGTATATATACTACTCAAAAGACGTTAAGGATCACCTGATTCTTTCATTTTACTATAGTTAATCGCTCATGTCTTGACAGATTAACCTTACCATTATGAAAGAATCGGGTGATCCTTAACTTCTTTTGAGTAGTATATATCAAATGGAT